TGAACCCTGAGCAAACATCTGGCGGAGGTCTCTTCTTGAAGTCCCATTGCATCGTTGAATGCCCGAGAAGGGCAAATCAAGGAAGACACAGATTAATATCGAAGAAGATTAGAAATTATCACTGAAACTGGTATCGCCCGTTCGCCCATAACGCCAACCGCTCTCCAATAGTCGAGATCCAAACATACGAAGTAATGCTTCGCCCTCTCACGAAAGTGACCAACACGCCCACCGCGATATCCTGAAAATGTGAGACAAATCTTTCCAACCCACCAAAGCCCATCAAACCCCCATCCTCCTCGACTCCGCCACAACAGCCGCCGCCGGCTCCGCCACGTCAACATACTCAGGCGGCCTCCTCCCCTCCTCCATATCCCTCAACTCGGTCGCCGCCGCCGCAGGCGTGCCGCCCTCGCCCTGCCCCTGCCCCTCGGACCCCGGGAGCAACACCTTGTTGGACTTGTACGGCGGCGGCGCCTCTCCCAGCTCGTTGAGGCCCTCCTGGGAGGGAAAGCCGCCGCCCCAGGGACTCCGCCTGTAGTGCCGCGGGACGAAGACGAGGGTGCCGTCCCGCGTCACCCAGCGGCCGCGGCCCCATATCGTGCTGTCGGCGGCGATGAGGCGGCGGCGGCGGCGCCGGACGTGGAAGAAGAGGCCTACCGAGCAGATGACGAAGAGGGCCAGGAGAGGGATGATGACGTAGGTCAACGGCCGGGTGGATGTTGGCTCGCCCGAGTTCATGGCGATGAGGAGGATGGGAGTGTTGTCGAGATACCCAGTGTAACGAGATGATGCTTGAAGGGGGATGTTATTTCCTTCAAGACTGATTAAAAGTAGCTGTTCAGATGGGCGTCGCAGAATGATGCTGCTCAAGATGGTAAGGGCCTCTCCTCTGCAGAGAGCCCAAGCAGAACAAACCAGACGGAAGACAAGGCGCTCAGGAACAGTCGCCGGGCATCAAGACATCAGGCAGAGCAAAGCACGTAATAGCAATAAAGGCGCAGAATGTCAGAAAGAAAAGAAAGAAAAAAGCGAAGCAAAAAGCGTCTCAGCTTAGGAAACGCGATGGAATCCTTATGACTTTTGCTTTCGTACTCGGAAACGGACCTCTCCGCAAGACGTCATTCGCACCATCCGCGGGCCGTCCAGCGTCGCAATCACCAATTACCCAGCACAGGCTGCGTACATGTAGGCAAGGGAATACGCCCTGAGCAGATCAGTTCGCTGAGGGTGGTGGTGTGGCTTTCATATGTATGTGCTCTGCGGCCCCCGGTTATCCGTAGTGGTGGTGGGTGTCGGGAGAGACAAAAGGGACCAGACCGGACGGCACTGGCAGGATTACGTGTCTATTGCTCGGGATTTGAATCAATCTGTAGGGGCCTATACGAGCAAGGTAGGAATTGGAATACTTGGTGTGGTGGTGTCTGTCTTTCTGGTCAGGCCTTGAAATGCGGGGAGCAGCAACGGCAGAGTGATGCCGAGCGTGGCACTAGACAAGAACTCGACGATTGCTTCAGCCATCAACCTGAGACGGTATCGTTTGGATGATCCCGTGGTAGTATCACAGTTGGTCAATAACTTATCAAGCCTTGAATACATCACTACTCGGGTTGGAAGCATCGCATACATACGGCACTCGCTTCGCTTCTGGACACCGGACTGGAGACTGCCCGGATCAGTCCAGGTCCACCCGCCCGCCATCCGGGCGCTAAAGCGACGGACTGGAGCCCCCCCAAGCCCTGTGCAGTCAGTCCATCAAACCGCCCGTAAGCACCTGGGCATCCATATGCCAAGACCCGCTGGGCATGCCAAACATTCGAGCTGGAACCTGCACGAGCCATCGGCTTGACCATTTCGCCGACATCTGGAACCAAACATCATCACAGCCTTGCCTTTCACATCTCACCACCCATATCGTCAACCTCTTTCCCCCACGACACAGATCAGCTACCCAAAAATGCCGCGTGCAATCAGAGGTAATCTTTTTCTCTCTCCCTCTCTCCTCAATCAACTTTATAGCAAGCTGACCCCTTTTTGCGCCCAAGGCGTCCTGATCGAATGCGATCCCTCCATCAAATCCATCATCGTTAACATCGACAGCGTCAACCACGACTTCATCATCGAGGACCTAGACGAGGAGCGCGTCGTCGTCAAGGAGAACATGGTGCAGCTTCTCAAGCAGAAACTCGAGGACGTACGTTGGCCAGAACCCCAAAGCTTAACTCTCCCATCCTCTCCTTCTTCTTCGTCATCTTCTTCCTCGTCTTCTCTCGTCGTCGAAATCCGCCTTGCCATCGTCATAGCTCGCATTGCTGACTGCATGTTTTCCTTCCATAGCGCCTCAAAGAGAACCTTCCTCCCGTGGACGAGTCCGGCTCCGAGTAAAATCACACGCCATGGAACCCGCAATGCAACGTTTCTTTCCATACCGCTTCCCTTGACGAGAGAGCTTTCTGCATTTACTACTCGATAAACCCCCCTATCTACATATCTACAAACAAACCATCCATCACCCGCCCCGCCGACCAACCAAGAAAAAAACCCGCACGTCCTCCGTCCCTCACAGCTTCGCAAACGTCGGCTTCTGCTTCTTCAAAACGCTCAGTATCGCCGCCGGGAAATCCGCCCCCTGCAGCGCCACCGAATTCCACAGCTGCGTGTACCGCAGGTTCTCCGCCACGCCGTGGTCCCGCGCGTGATTGAGCAGCTCCTTGGTCCCCTGCACCGCCACGGGGCTCTTGCCCGCCAGCGCCGCCGCCAGCCCGACGGCCGCCCGCACCGTCGCCGCCTTGCCCTCGTGCACCTGGCTCACGAAGCCGACGGCGAGCGCCTCCTGCGCCGAGAAGTCGCGCGCCGTCAGGCACACCTCCTTGACCCACGACGTCGAGCCCACCAGCTTGGGCAGCCGCGCGAGCGTGCCAATGTCCGCCGCGAGGCCAATGTCCACCTCCTTGACGGCGAAGCGCGTGTCGGACGCGCAGATGCGGATGTCGGCGCAGCAGGCAATGTCGATGGCGAGCCCGAGCGCGATGCCATGCATGGCGCAAATGACGGCTGTATGGGTAAACAGTGTTAGACAAAGATACATGTGTCTCTCTCGTCTCTTCAGGTAGAACAGAATGAATACATGAAACATCAAAAGCCTTGAAGCTCCTTTTCCCAAAGTAAAACAAATCAAAAGGCAAGGCAAGACAAGGCAAGGCAACACAAGGGCAAAACTCACGCTTCTCACACTTCTCCATCGCCCCAATACTCCCCTGAAACTCCTCAATCTGCCTCCTCAACCCCTTGGCCCTCCTCGCCGCATCAACCACCACTTCCCCGTTTCCTCCACCTCCAGTCAACGCCCCGTCCTGCGCCGCAGACTGCACGTCCAAGCCCGCCGTAAACGCCCGATCCCCCGCCCCCGTCAGCACCACGGCCCGCACCTCGGCGTCCCCGCTCAGCTGCGCGAAGACGCGCCCAAACTCGAGCCACATGGCCTCGGAGAAGGCGTTGAGCTTGTCCGGCCGCCGGATCTGCACGTGCGCGACGTAGGGCGCCGGCGAGCTCACGGCGAAGAACTTGTAGCCGCCGTAGGAGGCGAGCGGGGTGCCCGAATCCGAGTCCGAGTCTGGTGATGGCGAGGGAGAAGAAGAAGGAGGGGGTGGTGGTGAGGATGAGGATGGTGGCGCCATGATTGATGAGAGTGATGATCTGATCTCCAAGGTAAGGTATCTGTAGATTCGTTGGTGCTGGGGGAATTGGTGGGTGGATGAGCCAGCAGGTGATAGATCGCAGCAGGCTAACAATAATAGGTAGCGTTGTGTATAGAAGAAATCACAATGACAGAAAAATCAGCTGGAACAGTGCAAAAGATATCATGAAGATGCAGTTGTTGAAAGCATCTCGGCTCACCTTATGCTGCCGTTGCTTACATGTACTCGTAGTCTTCAACGAAGCCGAGGCACAGCTGCAATAGTGGGGCCGCAGCCAATTGCCCGAATCCGGGGAAGCTCATGATTACGGGACTCGTGCATACCACTACATACATACATATGTACCTTACGAAGCAGAGTCAAACAAGCAACTTCACTGTCACAAAAGACATGACCAAAAAATTCATTTAGAATAGAAAAAAAAAAAGGGGGGGGTATTGCAGGTATAAACAATGGCCCCAAAAACTAGACTGTAAAATCATTTCCACCCGTCCGTCTAGTCCTTCCAGAGCCAGACTCGCCGGCCTTTACATTACGGCCAACCGCATTCCATTCATACCGTACACCAGGGCCCGCCGGTCTATCGTAGAGGTGACATGGCCACTCCAATATCAAGGCAAAAGAGAAACGAAAATCCTTCTAAATCAACAAAAGACTCAATCACTTAGAGCAGAAGAGTGCCAAACATGGTGAACGAGGAGGGCCAGGCCGGACACGACAAAAGGCGTCGTGTCCAGAGGGCCGTGGGCGATGGAGCCGGCGGCGCTGTCGGACTCGGTCTCCTGAGAGCCAGATGTGCCGGTGGGAGAAGCCGTGCCTCCCGTGACACTAGCCGTGGCAGTACCGCTGTCGGCAGCGTTCTGAGAGCCGTCGCCGCCGAGGCCGGGACCGTCGCCAGCACCCTTCTTCATGTACTTGTTGGCAGCCTCAGGCATCTCGGGAACCAGGCTGGGGTCGACGTTCCAGCTAGAGTCCTTGGGCGGGCACTTGGCAGCGTGGCTGGAGCTGGCGGCACCGCCAGAACCGGTGGGAGTCGGGTTCTTGGCCAAGGCACTCTTGAAGAGGTTGTACTCGTCCGACTTGGAGATGGAGTCACCCTTGATAGTGACAATTCCATAGTCGTTGTCTTCCTTGGAGTATTCGTACATGATGCCGCCAGAGTAGACGCCCGTCATCTCGTCGCTCATGAGAGCAGACAGCTCCTCAAACTTGCGAGGACGGTTCTTGATGCAACCCCACTCGGACAGGCTAGAAAACGCATGAGCAGGTGGTCATGAAACAACGAGGTCTGGTGCACTTACAAGATGGGAATGCCATAGTCGGTAAAGTTCTTCACCTTTTGGTCCCAGCCAGAGGTCTTGAAGTCGCTGTTGCACCACGAGTAGTCGTTGAAGGCAAAGAAGTCAGATCGCATATCGTCACTGCCGCAGTTCATGTACATGGCCGTCTGCATGCGGTTGGAGGAGACGTCGGCGGCGGAGTATCCAACGGGGACCTTGCGCAGTCCTCGCTCGTTCATGTAGTTCTTCATGTCGCGAGTGACGGCCTTGACGAAGGGAGCAGACTTGTCCGTTCCCGGCTCGTCGTTGATAACCTCGTTGCCGGAGAAGAAGGCCAGAGTGTTGTCGTACTTGGCAAACATCTCGACGGTGGCAAAAACGCTCTGGAGATACATGGTGTTGTAGGACGGCTCGGGGGTCTTGCGGTTGATGGAGTAGCCCGGGTTGTTGACGTCGAGGACCAGGTAGATGCCGGCATCGGCGAGAGCATTCATGCAATCATCGTGGCTCTTTGAGTTGTCGACGGCGTAAACACGAATAGTGTTGACTCCGAGGTCCTTGAAGTTCTTGATGTCTCGGAGGCAAGTCTTGGGATCAGCGAGGGGATCCTCGTTGGCAGCAGCACCACCAGGCTGGTAGTCTATGCCGCGCAGATAGAAGCGCTTGCCATCGGCCCAGAATGCTGCAGAAGCGAAGCGTGTTAGTTGGTTTCATTCCAGAGTCTGACACGATGGTGGATGCAGATGGCAGCATCTTTGGATCGACTGACCATTTCCAGAGGCCGAGACGGCGGGCAGCGAGGCCCTCTTGGAAGGAGGATCGCTCTTGGAAGGCGTGGGAGTGGCCATGACGGCGCCGAGGCCGGCAATGGCTGAGAGAAGAGCGAGTCCCTTCATGGTGTCACCGAATCGCTGATGGATGAAACGCTGTGGATAAACTGTCGCTGTGGACGAGCACAGGCAAACGGGTATGGATAGAAGGATGAGCCTCTGCAAAGAGTGGAAGGGCGCTGGATCACGAGGAGACGAGTCGAGTCGAGTCGAGAATATTATACCACGGAATAGCTGGCTAACGAGAAGACGATGGAGAAGGAGAGAAAGAAGAGGAAGAAGCAGCGACGATGCTGCGAAAACGAGAGAGAGCTTGTGGAAAACGAGTGAAGAAAGAAAGTTGGTCGGACAAACAAGCCTCTGGGCGGGAAAGAGATGATGGTTGGGAAAGAAGAGGGAGGAAGAGAAGAAGGGCAGGAAAGGGCAGCTGGAATGGAGGGTGTTTAATAAAAGAAAGAAAAAGGACTATCGAGAGCGTTGCTCCATAACAGCCCGGGTCACAGCTGAGGTACAACGAGGAACATCTGATACAGAGATTTGGATTGCCCTTTTCCCTCATCCTTGCGCGACCCTGTGGACGGCCCTTTAGCGGGCCTGTGACTGGCCGCCCATTGGCATTTTGATTTGGAACCCCGTTGCTCGCAGCTGTGCTTCAGTGTTGCGAGCAGTCGGGCCACAGCGTCTCCAATGGCTGGCCCGAGAGCGTCGCACACGAACCCACCGCGAAACTGGGAGACGAAGTGGCCGGTCCACTGATTGGCGCCACTACGAAACGGCCAGCTGGCGACGGTTGGTGATCTAGTAGAAGGTACATGATGTCTATGTCATGTAGGTAGGGAGAGGGAGGGAGGCAAACCGCCCGGGAGCGAGGCTGTGAAGGCGAGGGCGCGGACGAGGTTGGGATGGGCAGACAGTGTGAGGCACTGCCCGATAGTATCCCTTTTTCCAAGAGCATGTTGATCAGCTCCGCTGCAGCTCCTCCACAAGCTGAAGAGTGAGTATAGTAAGGTTGTTTCTAATGCAGACCATAAGAAAGTCAATTGATCCTGCTCCGGTCCAGGCACCAAAAAACATGCGATTTCTCGCCCGGAGCCATGCAAAAGCCTATCCATGATGCGCTGCTCGTATTACCGCGACCGCAGCCAATGGGCGCCGCGAGCCAGACGAGCCTTCGGCTAACGCGAGAGAAGAGGGCTGCCTCGATTGTCGCGGAACAGGCACAAGCTGCGCGTGGTGACATATACCGATCGTCATTGATCCACCCGCCTGAGCTTGGTGGTTTTGTCTGTCTGCGTGTTTGTTCTACCAATACCGAAAGGTATCCCTTGGCTTTCAGCTTCGTAGGTATCGTGAGATATGCTCTCTACCTTGACAACCCGGGCTGGCAAATGGATGCAGCCAACGACTGCCATCGTGATACAGAACGGCTCACATGTACTTGATAGAAGATACTGTACGGAGAGCATCGTCAGAAGAAAGCGGAACGAGGCCCCAGGCTGAAACGCGGTCGTCGTGTGTGGATGCGCCAGAACAAGGCCGGCCAAGGTTATTTGTTCCCGCACCACCCCTGCAGACGCCCCTCTTCTCACGCACGCCGAGCCCACTCTCCACCGTCTTGGCTTCGAGAAGCCATACGGCCTGGAGTAAGAGTTCCATGCACTGTCTGTCTGTCCTGAGGCCTACATACATGTGAGTTGTTTATCGTCACTAGGTACTTGGTTCTCAAGCTGTACAGTTCAGTTCATAGAAACAATCCATGGCAGGCTCTCACACACATAAAAGGCTGACATTATGTGTAGAGAAACATGATTCTAAACTGCATCATCTCGGCATCAGAAACCTCACATCTGTGCTGTACCGGCAACCCGCCCTATCGGAGCATCTCCAACAAACCCGCCTCGGCATCCCTCTTTCGTCCCTCACCCCGCGCAATATTCAACCAAAAATAGCCTCGAGCCCTCGTCTCGTGTCTACGAGTACACAGGCACAGTACATACGTATCCCGGTATGTACGATATACTCGGAACAAAAGCAAGCAACCTCAACAAGGAATCCCCTGGCCGCACCGATCCAGAAATCCACCTCTCAACTTCCGATCTTCAGGGGCCATCACCATCTTCAGTCAACCAAAACACCAGCGAACCTTTTCCCATCCAACCAGCCGTCAAAATTAAGAGCATTGAAGCTTGTTGGTCAGAGTTAATGCCGCCAAGCTTTTCCCTTCCCCCCCCCCCCCGGCCCCGATCGACCGCACTTCTCCCTGTCACTTGAAGAACTACTAGGTACATACCTCTGTACTGTAGGTACCATAGCTACGTTCTTCCATGCGTAAGGTAAGGTAGTAGTAGTATCTCGAGACGCGGAAATTTGCATCGTCGTGACGATCTTGCTATGCTCGTCACCATCTTTTCCCTTTCGCGCCCCCCTCCTTTTACCCCCCCTCCTTTACTTTGCCGCCTTGCTACGAGTAAAGTATGCTTGTCAACTTGCGCAAATCATTGAAAAGTCGCCCTGTTCGGAATCTCCTAGGTGAAACAGATGGAGCCGGATACATCCACCTTGCCATTGCCTTGCTCACCTTGACTTGCAGAGCTCACCGTATGACAGACAGGAGAGACTACATCTAAGGAGTTCCAGAAGGCGAAGCATTCTCCTTTCCTTTCCACGGGGCAATTTGTCAGGATGCAGATTGCGATCTGCCAAGAACCTGACAGTTTCTCACCCTGCTTGCCACATCAACAAGAAGAGCAACTCTCCAGTAATAGTAGTATGCAGGCACAATCACACTCATGCAGCCGCAACAAGCTCGTAGATAATACTTCATAATGAATATCTTTTTCCCCAATTCTAGGTTCATTCTCAGCAAGAGAGTAGTAGTAGTAGTAAGATACTAATGCTTTTTTTAAATGGCTCCAACCGTTCTATCGTTTGTTTCGTACCCAAAGACGCAGTAACAATGCCTGGGAAAGCTCTACTCCTCGGGCACGTTGAAGATGTCCTCAACGCCGGTCCAGGTGCCGCGCGCGCGCTCTTCCCAGTAGCTATCCTTGCCCGTCTTGATCCGCCACACCTCCTCGCCCTCCGGAGACTCCTCCGCCTTGACGAACCACCGTGGCTTGTGCTCCTCGCCTCGCTCCTCCGTGGCGCGGCGCCGGGCACGCTGTGCCTCCTCCAGCCTGACCTTCCAGACCTCAGCCTCGTCCAGGTTACCCTGCTCGGCCAGCCGCTGATCTTGACGCAGCCTGCAGTCGGTTGGCGGCAGCTTGCCCTTCTCAATCTCCGTGATCTCGTTGAGCGAGGCTGCAAACGCCGTCATGCCGTACGTCTGCGTGGGGTTGTCCACCATGTTGCCCACGCGCCAAATTTCCTCGCCGCCAGACTTTCCAGGGCCGGCCGTCTTAAGACCGCTGGTCCAGGTACCGACCAGCCCGGTGCCCAGGTTGCCGCCGTCCGGCCCAAAGGCCTCGACGCTGACATCCTCGGCCCTTCCGCCAAACATGCCCTTGCTCTTGAACTCAACGGTTGCCTTGTGGCCCGTCGAGTCGTTGACCACGTTCATCGTCCCGACCGGCTCCACGTACTTCTCGCCCATGACGACGTTTCGCAAAAACATCGTCGCAATGTTCCACGAGTAGAGCTCGTCCGATCCGTCTGGCAGGCGAAGCACGACTCTCACGCGTCCATCAGTCGTAATCTCGGCACTTTTACCCCAAAACTTCTGACCCGGGGCGGCAGACTGCGAGAGCGACCAGCTGGCCGAGTCGGCTTGCATGGCCAGTTTGACAGGCCGGTGCTGGACCTTCTCCACGAGCAAACGGAAGCCGCCGGGGATTTCCTTGTTCGCGCGAACCAGCTCAAATGTCTCCCCAAGCAGGGGGTTAAACGGCTTGCGGATGGCTCGCTCCTTGGCACGACCACTGCTAAACTGTGAGACGGCAAAGGCGGTTACGTACAGCAGTCGCTCGGCTACCGATCCGCGCTTGACAGCCTGGTCCAGGAGCTGCGCGTACTCTAGCTGTTCCGCAATCTTCTGCAACAGAGAGATCGGCTCGTTCGCGGAAACGGGCATGCTGATGGTGCTAAGATCTTTGCCAACATTTTTCCGGACAAACGCAATCAGACTCGGAGGCAGAACCGTCGCGGGCGGTATGCCGGTCCTGCGGTTGACAGTGACGTCGAGAGGCAGGGGGGCAAGGCTCTTCGGTTTGACTGGAAACAGGGCGTTTGCGCCGCCACTCCGCACCTCCTCTTCTTCGACAGATGAGATGGACGAGTTGTCGTGTGACGAGGCATCATCGGCCTCCTCCGACTCGTGTGGCTCTTCGTCGTCGCTGGCATCGATTTTGACAACCCTCGTGGCATCTTCCGCATCGAAGAACTCTTCCGCGGTTGAAATTGTGTCCAAGCTCAGGCGGGATGCGGCCTCGGCTGATTTGGGCACCGGCAGTCGGCGGCGCTTGCTATTGTTAATGAGAACGGTGAACTCGCTTACAACGGAGTCGAGGTCAGCCAGCAAAGCCGCGCAATGATCCTGCAGAGTCTTTTCTTCTTGTGTCGTGCCCTTTGACTTGCGCCTGTTCGGATCAAGGTGGTCTTCGACTGTCGCCGAATCCGGACGCGCCCCGGGCGGTGTCACTACAGAGGAGCTAGACTTGCGTTTCCAGAAGGACTTCTTCTCTGCTCCATCGCCACTATCGTCGATAGCACTCCCCGAAGGGCCCAGGTGGTGCGACGACGAGGAAGTTGGTCTCGGTAACGCCGCAACCTCCTTGGTCAGACGGCGCAACGCATCACGAGTTCCAACGACACGGCTAACCAAAGTCTCGACCTGCTGCCATTCGACCTCTTCGTCCCGACTCGCCTGGAGGCTTCCAACCGTCGTGTCCTTGTTGTTGTTGTTGTCTGACTGTAAAGTGCGATGATCGACCTGCAGACCAAGCTTTGGCTGCTGCGGCTGGCTTTCCAGACCTCTGGCCAGTTTGCTTGCCTTCTCGAGAGCCCGAGCCCAATCTTGGAATTCCTTGTCGTTGGGTGCCCTGAGATGCCATACTTCGGCGCCAGAGTCGATGCTGATCTCCCTTCTCCTCTCATCGGCAGCAATGGCAGCCAAGCTCAAGGGGATAGCTCCGCGAAGAGCAGAAGAGTTCCGGTTGTAATAGTAGGACAGGGTGCAGGTGGAGTAATCGAGGGAAAAGAAGCGGCGAGCATAGCCCTGTCCCTTCTTCCGTCGTCTCTTCGAGAGCGTTCCGACGTGATAATTGGCCGGCATGGTTGCTTCGGACACGGTACGCGCATGGCCTTTACTCGGGTGGCTATGGAAGCTATCCACGGAGGCAGCGGGATCCGCCTCATGGGGCGGGCTGCTGCCATGCACGCCCAAGCTGGTCTGGCTGGCATTTGGCATCTGCAAGTTCGGGAGGTGGTTGGCACTCTGCGGAGCGGCGCCGGTAGGGTACGTCAGGACGACAAAGGTGGCCGTCTTGGACGTCTGCTTGGAGAAGGTGTTGTCGAAGACCAGGCCGTACATGCCCGTCTGCCCCGGGGGCACATCGTACGCCCCCATGGAGACCTTGTCCGCCTCGCACTTCCCGAACCATTTGATCGATATGAATCCCTTGCTGGATAGCAGTTCCTGCGCCGTGACATCTTTCTTGGCGAATCGGCTCGCTTTGCCCTCAGCAACTTCCTGGGTTTGGGGGGTATGGGAGTGTAGATCGTCGCCGGCCGAAGAAGAGAGACCCGTGGCTCCGCTGCCCGGGTGTTTGACAATACCGAAGTTTCTAAATGATATTCACGGTCAATCAGGGTCACAAAGGAGCACACTGGCTCACATGGGAGGGGGTCTCTGCTAACATGGACTTCTTGTGTGGTTGTACGCTCCAGGAGAGGGTGTTCCCCTCCTCGACCTTGACCCATCGGACAATGTAGGACTACATGATGCCAGTCAGCCATTTGTCTCCTGTCTGTGGCATCTGAGGAATTGCAAGGGTGAGTTTGAAAGGACGTACCCTGCTGTGGACCTCGAGTCTCTCTATGCCCGCCATTGCTCTTCAACGTGTCCAGCAAAGCCTCGAGGCGTCGGTTGTGTAGCAGAAGGTCGCGAAACAGGCTGCGTAGTTCTAGAGCTCCAAGTCCATCGTATGTCCCAGGGCTGCCGTCGGAATCGTCGGTGGAAGCACACGCGCAGGTGAAGCAGCTGGTTGAAGGTTGAAGCAAGGAGGTGAGATGGCGTGTGGCTCAGGAGCGGCTTTTAGGAGGTGAGGATTGGGCGAGATGGAGCTGATGCTGGAGTCGGAGATGGACAGACCACGTTAAATCAACTTGTCGGGCTCGACGTGGTTGGCCCAGCAGAAGGTACTCGTAGCTGCCTGGGCACCCGGCACAAGCGGGGGGTACCAGTACAAGTTGCACGGGGGCTGTGGCTGGGGTCTTTCATTAGCAGCGGGTTGTGTTTAGCACAGGTGGCTGAGGTCCAGGGTCCAGATCCCGCCTTCGCCAGCTGATTCCGGCACCGCTCAGTACATGTAAGCTCTTGCGCACGGCGGTGACATCCAGGTCATACAGACCGTACAAGTACTCGTACAGACTCGCGTCGTGCAATGAGGGACAGGCGACGCGGTGGTCAGCATCGTGGCCTTATATAAACGCTGCGTCCGGCGCTGTCGGCGGCTGGGCTCGGACGGTGACAGCACAAAATCGGACCCCAGCAAACGGCGGACTGGGCGATGGCGCAAGGTACGGCCAGGCGGATGTATCCGGCGCCTCAGCCAGCTGTTGACAAATTCCCCGTTTGGTGCCGGCGGGTTCACAAAAACTCGTTCTATCTTCTGTAGTCGCCTCGAGTAGGGCATTTGTAACATCCGATAGCTGGCTTACGGTCGACCTCTGCGTCAGTGGCACCCCCACGACGAAGGGGACCGAGGCCCAGACTCCATGAGGCAAAGTGAGACCCTTCGTCCACGGACGTTGCTTAACCTGTATTCCGTGCCGACAAGTAGGAAGTCGGTGGGCCGGCAAGCCCGGAGCCTCGGATTAGGAGCACGTGAGGGATGGCAGACGGGCGAGTCCGGAAGTTATGTACTGTAGGTAAGATTCACGGTTTGCGTGTTGAGAGAAGGGCTGGATGTAGTTGACTTGTCGGTGGTCGGACTCGGTTCATCCCGGTGGCTGGCAGCGGAGAAAGTTCCTAGAGCCATCCATAAGATGCATTCCGAGGGAGATCGGATACAAGACGAACCAGCGGACCTTTTGGAAACGAGGGCTTTCCAATTCTTCGATATTGACGATGGTCCCTGAGTATCTCAAAGTTGCGCGGAGGGAGAACAAGAGTACAAGGCCTTGAGATGGTCAACAAGCCGCCGTCATCCTGGTGAATCAAACGGAATTGATGTGCCCAGAACTGCCGTGCTACGTCTGCTAACGCATGGTAACGCAGCGCTCGAGTGTTACCGCGAGACAGCCGCTGCAGCCAGAGGCTTGTCATGACCTCGCCAAGCCATTCGTGACAAGAACTGCCGTCTCTCCCTTGCTCCCATCGATCGAGAGCATCGCATCGTACTGCGTCTCGCCGATGATTCATCCGCACATGGCTTCCACGTTGCCCGTCTCCGAAACTGCCCAGGCGTGGTATGGAACTCGAAGCTGAACCTGCAGCCTTATCGATTAACCCCGCTGCGACGGGTCTCTCTTTCGACTGCACCCGCACCCATCTGGCGCCTGGCTCAAATACGGGCACGGCCGCAGGAGCGCTGCTAGAATCCTTCGATGCCGCGCTGAAGCGCTGGGCCAGGCCCCGAGCACGGGCGGCTGCAGGCCCTGGGCCAGCTGGAGCGCCTCTGGAACACCTGTAATTAGCCCCTCCCCACAATGCGCTGTGGCGCTGTCGCTGGTTGTGTGGCAGCTGCAGGCTAATGGCGAACGTCGGGTAATGATTCGATGCTTCTCCTTTTCCCCAGTGGATAAGTTCAGAAACCCGAATCGCAACACCCATGAATCGCTTGCCTCGCTAGCACCACTTTCGTCGTCTTTTCTCCTCGTCTCTTTTTCCCGCCCTCTGGTCTGCTTGGGTTGTTCGTTGCTTTTTCCTCGCGTCTTGCTGGTCCTCCTCCGCCGTCTGCGAGCTGCCATCTCCTCGGTTTCGTCTCTCTGCCGCACGGCCCTTCGCCCGTGTCCATCGCCATGACCCTGGTCTGATACCAAGACCTCATCTTACACACAGCCCAGGCGTTGAAAATCGAATAGGCCCGGTTGGGTCTCCAATTGCTTGGATAATACTTGTGCCTACATATCGGCGAGCACCCCGGTCGTGCCAGCACCTGGACCTGCACGCGCGCATTTGCTCCCTCTCACCTCGCCTTGGTCGACAAGCAACGCATCGCCCGAGAGCCACGACAGCGTCATGTCGGGCACCCTGAGCAAGCGCCAGCAGGCGCGTAACGAGTCGATTTTGCAGGAGCTGGTACATTCCGTGCCAGGCAATGACCAGTGCGCCGACTGTCACGCGCGAAACCCAGGTATGCAATGCACCACCATGCATCTCCGACTCTGCTCGCACTCTTCGTGCAACCGTTTGCTAACCGCGACCTGTGTGACAGGCTGGGCATCATGGAGTGTACGATATCCTTTCCTCGACGACGATATTTGCCCGTCCTTGCCGCTGCGACCCGAGACGGTACATGCTAACCCGTGCAATTGCAGTTGGGAGTCTTCCTGTGCATGCGCTGCGCCGCGATACATCGAAAGCTCGGCACACACATATCCAAGGTCAAGTCGCTGAGTATGGATGCGTGGACGAACGAACAAGTCGACGTAGGCGAGCGCCCTCCCCTCATTCAATACTAGACGTGTTTGAAGCTCATCTGCTTTGGTCATAGAACATGCGAAAGGTCGGCAACGCTGCTTCCAACAAGATATACAACCCGGAGAACAAGAAACCATCGATCCCCATCGACGTGGATGAGGCAGACTCGGCAATGGAGAGATTTATCAGGCAAAAATACATCAACAATGTCCCTGGCCAGGCTGGGAAGCTCAAGAGACCGCAGCTAGATGAAGGCACCCCGCCACCACTCCCGCCCAAGAACTCCAAGTTCGGTTTCCGGTCGGCATCGTCGATATTCCCATTATCATCGCGGGCGAAGAGGGAGGCCAAAGCAGCCGCTGCGCAGGAGCATGCCAACTCCAATTCCTCGTCAAACCAGGCAGACCAGACGAACCACGCGAACAAGCAGTCCAAGGTATTTGGGGCCACCGTGGACTACGGCCAGGACGACACAGACAAGAAGCTTGCGAGACTACGAGACATGGGCTTCCAGGACGACCAACGAAATACAGCTATTCTGAAGGGAGTCAATGGCAATCTAGAGCGCGCTGTGGAGGCGCTCGTTCGTCTCGGCGAAGGCGACCGATCGCCAGGACCGGCGCCGCCAACAGCCGAGCGGACGTTACGCACCTCGAGGTCGCTGACGCCGGTAGGTTCCAATGCCGGGGGGCTCAACCTAGGTCTGAGCATGCCGCAGAAGGAATCGGCTCCCGGACGCCCAACCACGGCATTGGCGGCGTCTACGAACCCCTTTGACATGTTCCCGCCTGCCCAACCCCAGACGGCTCAGTCCACCGGAACGCTTCAGAGCACCAATCCATTCATGAACTCGACGAACCCCTATGGGAATCCAGCTCACCAGGCCAGTCTTGTCACACAGGCATTCCAGAACATGAACCTGTCCCCGGCAGCTCAACCTCTGTTCCCCCATCATACCGGAGGAATCGTTACGTCGCCCCATCAGTTTTCCATGTACCATCAGTCGCAGGCCGCTCCGCCAATTCCTCAACAATACCAGGGCTTGAGCTTCCAGAACAGCATGACGTACCCTCAACCCGCCACACAGCCTCTGGCACCTCAGCAGACGGGGTACAATCCGTTCTTGACGCAGGCTCCGTCTACGTCTCCGTTTCAGCAGCAGGCACCGCAGCAAAGCCTGTCCCTTAACACCAACCAGCCCGCGACATATGCGAACAATCCCTTCACCCGGTCGCCGACAAGGATATCGTCGCCTTCTCTCACCCAGATTCCCGAACAGTCTCAGCCTACGATGTTCCAGGCCCCGACGCCGCTTCAACCTCACCTGACCGGAACGAATCCCTTTTTGAACAATGGCGTGCAGTACCCCCAGCAGCAGCAACCGCAATTCTATGGGCAACAGCTGCAGCAGCCGCAGCCGCAGCAACAACAACAACAACAACAACAGCAGCAGCAACCGCAGCAGCAGCAGTTTTACCAGCCCCAGCAACAGCACCAACAGCAACAGTTCTACCAGCCTCAACGTCAGGATAAGGCGTCTATCCTCGCGCTCTACGGCCAGCCGCAACCAGCCCGCCCCGCGGCCTCCGACCCCAACTTGCACGGACAAACGCCGACCATCCCGGAGGACAGACCCATGCCGATGCAGACCATGCAGCCTGTGGCGGCTCCGGCGCAGTCACCTCTGAGCCCATCACAGCCAGCTGCCGGAACCAACAACCCGTTCGTCAAGAGCGGGCCTGTGGCAGTGTCTCCAGATCCCTTTGCGACGGATCGTAAGATCAGCCGAGAGAGCATGAATCTGGGTATGGACATGGCCTGGACGAACGGGCGGCATAGCCCAGACGCCTTTGCAAGCCTCAGTGCGAGACACGGCTGAGCAGATTGGAGGAGTTTAGGGGTGTGCTTTGTTGTGGGTGGTCTTTCTGGTCGATTATCTTGGTTCTTGATTCCTCTTCACTTTTCATAATGTATTCGTTTTATGTTCATTCAGGGCGCATATGCCAAAGCAAAGGGCTTTGGCACATTTGTTTATTATATATGCCTTGCAATGACCGGGCCTCGGAGGGTTTACTAAAATCTATACCTGAATGTTTGGGTAGCGAGCTGGAAACAGGGCCCATCTCCCTAGGATGTAAGTAGCGGTTATAGCATACATGAAGATGCGCAATGCAGACGGGCCAAGGTGTCTGTCCGCAGCTGCGAATAATTCTCTTTTGTCCTCGTTAGTCTCCGTCCGCCAGTTGATGAATCTCTGAGGCGGCTTCGAGAGTGGCAGCGGCCATTGTGTCTCGTGGTGTCTCACTGCTCTGTTCGTTTCCCTAGTAAACAAGCCCATCTCCGACTGTAAGCGAAGGTCTTGAATGACAGCTTCGGACAGATAAGGTATATCGGTAGCGGCGCAGCCATGGCTGGCGTCTGTGACTCGGGATGAGGTGCACAGACTGTCACGAGCTTTGTTTGGTAGGTCGTACCGTGATGGAACTTCGTAAGGAAGTATGCCACCCTGATACGAGCATCTACAGCATCAGCCACGCGGTCTCATAAAAGCGCAAGGACCAGTACGAGACCATCAATACCAGCATTAATCGGTATTCTGGCCATTGCCCCTTTTCCTGATATACTTGACCCCGTAGCTCGGTCAGACGGCTGGAGCTGGACATGGTCTTGTAATGCCTGGCCAGGGGTACAAAGTACATCATTGTTCAGCCGCTTGAAGCGATGTACTAGCACCTTCAACCAGTCTTGATGCTATTCACAGCCAGTTCTCTTATCTACATACCGTCATACCCAAAAGCCTGAATCTGGTATGCAGCGTCAAGAATTGGCCAACATCATACAGTACAATGCACCACGGTCTTGCCAAGAGGGTATTTCGTCATCCAGACACCCAGTTTGACAACGGAAGCCCGGGACCGCAGACGGCAAACGCAACATCGCCAGAGGGGTCGCACTGTACGGCCACACGCAGGCTGTGCGCGCCAAGACAGTGTGCACAGACGCCCCCCCACGACGTGAATCAGTGACCCAGCAGGTGGGCTTGGCGATCCGGCTGATTGGCACCCACAGCGTCCTGGTCCTTCTGGACCTTTCGACTCCGCTGCGACCGGCTGTTACAGGCGACACAAGCACCCCCCGAGCGCGCCGCTGGAGCGCTGTAAGCGGCCTGCCAACCGCCCTGCCGAACAGCCTGGAAGCGTCGGACCGTGCTAATAACGCACTGGACACGCAAGCGCTAAGGCCTGGCGGGCGTAGTCAGCAGAGCACGCAAGCCGTTAAAGTGCACACCACTTCCGCATTTCTCCCGTTGCTCCTCTTTTCCCTTTTTTCTCCCACTCGATTTCCGCAGCAGAAAACCACCAGCTTTCACCAACCGCACCAGCAACAACGACCACAACAATCGCCGACTTCGAACCCGGTCAACACCGCTCAACACGCTTGATTGAACAACAGCAACGCACCTCCCTTCCGAATCCAATCCGAAGTGAACGATCCGCAGCCTCTTGCGTCGCCAAACCCAAAACTCGCCACCCTCAGTCGACCTAGCCCACGGCTCGGTATCTCGATAACTTCGTCCCAAAAAACACACATCCCAAGCAATCACCGTGGAATCCAGCAGCAATGTCGCCAATGAGTAACCACAATTTAAATTACAGTAGTAATTATGGCGAGGACCTGACTGCCCGCGTCAACGTCCTTGCCTCCTGCTACGTCGTCGACTCGGCCGCCAACCTCAAGGGCCTCCACTACTGCACTACGGGGGTCACAGGTAAGAAGACTCCGTCCGGACTCTATCCCACCGGCTCTGGACCCGGCAAGCCAATGATACTAACTCTCTGCCCAGGGGCGGAGTGGTATTCCTGAGGTCCCTTCCTCAGGCCTGCCTTCTCCTCCGTCAAGTCCCCCCCTCGCCGCATTGACCTCGTCCAACGAGCTCGCCCTTCTTCCCAAGCAGAAGAAGCGCGACATTCCAGGCCGCCGCCTGGAGCGACGAGGGGGGGCAGCACTCATGATCAGGGAAGAATGTGAGAGATTCTTCTGTGAGACCATGAAGACCGTGTTCCTTGGTGAGAGGAACCTGTCTATCCATGGCTCCGGCTTGACAGGTGCTTATTTGCAATCGCCGCCACCCGACAACCACCTCGCGGATCCATTCAACCAGGGCCCGGACGCAGCTCCGGCAGGCTCGCGGATCGACGCTTGGATGGAGGTCTGGGACTACGCCGGCGGATCAAGCTTTCGCGCCTTCGTGGCAGATGACGGGAGGGAGAAGTCTCTCTTTGTCTTCTTCGACATTGAAGGCGTCCTAGGAAGAGACTTGAAAAAAGCGTAAGTTATTGCATGCCCTCCGGCCCATGACAGGTTAGAATAACTCATACTAACCATATCATCTCTACAGTCTTATGGCGCTCATCGAGCTCGCCGACGGTCCCTTGGCCTGTAGCCAGATCGTCGCTTGCCTTGATCGCCGACTTCCTGCGGATGACGCTCGTGATTTGGTCAAGAGCCTTCAGTGGGTTGGCTTCGATATGGCCACGCTAGATCACTGGGCCAAGGATTTGGATGTGACTAGCAAGCAGTGGATTTTCATGGGCATGGAACTCTAGGCTTTTCCCTTCTTTACTTGTTCTTTCAGCTTTTTCTCTTCTCTGCGATATTTGTGCGAAACACCCCAAAAGCAAACCAGGTTGAAAAGCATGAGGCGTTGGCAATCATCCATGGATCTTCTCTACCCCTGCATCGCCTCTCAGGAGTTTTCCGGTGTTGCTGTTCTTTTCTTTTGATTCGTTCGCGCTTCTGGCAATTGGCAAAACTGCCTCCGTGGACCAAAGCGTCTCAGCATTTTTTTCCTTTGGAGTCATGGCTCAACCGGGATAGAACTGTGACGGAGTACTCCGGACCGGATATAGGCCAACAGTTATCAGGTAGCTGCCAAGCATGTATATAGCTTCGAGAATGGGTCAATCTTCCTTCTTACCAGTCTCTTCCTCATAGTGGACATAAGAATGTGAAACGTATCAATCATAGTCTCTTCAGATTGCTCTATACCAGCGGCTTCAGATCCTTCTTTTCTATCAGATCCCTCCATCTCATATATCGTCATTCAACATTCCCTTAGCTATCACAGATCCCCCTCAAACTGCCTTACCAGCAGCCCCTTTTCCTGAAGATAATCCTTGACCTGCTTCACCGTGTACTCTCCCCTGTGGAACATGCCCGCACCCAAGGCAGCGTCGGTGGTGGTCTTGTCAAAGACCTCCTCAAAGTGGGCCGGGTTGCCGGCGCCGCTGGAGGCAATGACGGGGATCTTGACGGCGGCCTTGACCTGGCGGATGAGCTCGAGGTCGAAGCCGCTGTTGGTGCCGTCCTTGTCGATGCAGTTGAGCAGGATCTCGCCGGCGCCCATGGCCTCGACGGCCTGGACGAGCTCGACGACGTCCATGTCGCGCGTCTCGCGGCCGCCCTTGATGGTGCAGGCGTACCAGCAGAAGCGCTCGCCCTTGGGGCCGGGGAAGTCGGTCTTGATGATGGCGTGGCGGGTGGCGTCGAGCTTGGGGACGTAGACGCGCTTGGGGTCGACGCTGACGACGACGGCCTGGCGGCCGTAGGCGCGCGAGATCTGCTCGATGGCGGTGTTGCCGAAGAGCTTCCTGCCGAGGGAGTAGTACTCCTCCGCGGCGAGGACGGCGTCGGAGCCGATGGAGACCTTGTCGGCGCCGGACTTGAAGTACATGGTGGCGATGTCGAGGGCCGAGACTTTCGTGCCGTCGGTGTCGACGGTGTCGCGGATGCCGCCGCCGATGGTCAGGGGCACGAAGACGGTCAGGGACGTCTGCCGCAGGACCTCGAGCATGGGCAGGTCGGCGAGCGGGCAGTCGCGGAAGGAGGTGATGTTGAGGAAGGTGACCTCGTCCGCGCCGGACTCGTAGTACTTCTTGGCCATCTCGACGGGCTTGCCCAGGTTGCGGACGTTGCGGTCGGCGCCCTTTTCGCGGACGTCGTACTGGTCGCCCTTTGTGACGACGAGGTCGCCCTGGTCGTTGGTCCGCACGTCGAGGCAGGCGATGACGCGGCGGGTGAGGCCGTCCTTGAACTCGATCGAGGCCGGCACGCCGGAGGGGCGGAGGTCGGTGCCGAGGTCTTGCGCGCCGGAGCCGGTCAAGAAGGCCCGGATCGTCCGAAGACCAGCGACGCCCGACTTTTCCGGGTGGAACTGGGTGGCGTAGATGTTGCCCTTTGCAATGGCGCCGACAAACGTCTCCTCTCCGTAGGTGCCTGTCGCCACTGTCCAGCCCTTGGCTTCGAGCTCGCCTTTGCTGTAGGGGGACTTGTAGGTGTGGACGTAGTAGTATTTGGAGTCCGGCCTCAGGTCGTACATGACCTTTCCTCCCGTGTTGGCGTCGTTCCACCCGATGTGCGGCACCGACTTGTCCTGGTCATCAAACCGTGTGAGAGAAGAGGGTATCAGGCCGAGACCGGGAACCTCAGGGTCTTCTTCCGATCCCTCAAACAGAGCTTGGAGGCCAACGCAGATACCCATGAACGGCTTGCCCTCCTCGATGTGCTTTTTTATCGCGGGCAAGTAGTTTGCCTGTGAGAGCTGAGTGAGGCAGTGGCCGAAGTGGCCGACGCCGGGCAGAATGAGTTTCTGTTCATGAAAGCCATAAGTAAGTGATTCACACAAAACCACCCCCCTCGTTTCGGTTCACTCAAACCTCTGCCTTGGGCACATCCTCGGGCGACCGAATCCAGTCAACCTCGTAGCCCAGCTTCTCAATGGCATTGACCAGACTGCGTATGTTGCCGGCCACGTAGTCCAAGAGGTGAACCGTAGGCATCTTTGCCTGCTGCTGTGCCTGCAAACAGCAACTCGTGGGGGGTTCAGCGAACAAGTTGCTTCAGTGAGGGGCGGGTGCGAAGAGGTTTTGAGGAGACCCGTCGTAGATGCTGGTTTTCTTGCGCTGAATGTATGTATCGACAAAGAATAGCCAGTGCTTCTGCGACTGATGGGTTTTTGCAGTCGAAAAATGTCTTGAGGCGGGTCGTGAGTCAAGCAAGAGTCTGAGTCGAAATACTAGTTCCATCCGCTATGCAGTTAAACTGGCCCTGCGATGCGAAATTCTTATCGCGGGCCTGATAACGGCAGTTCAGAGAGCGATGGCGGGGCTGGAGCTGGACCCGAGTCACTGGCTACGGGACTAGGCCGAAAGTAGACAGCAGTGGGTGGCATCGGGACTTGTCAAGAGCTTCCAAGGTTCGCAACTTGACGATTGTTTTTCCCCCCCTTCATAAACCGCAATACGGCATTCGGACCCGAGGCCTGGCTTCGTGCAGCGCATGGCAAGCCTGATGTGCTGTCTGATTCTGGGACAGAGAAACGCCTTTACTCGCGCATTCTCCATCACAGCGTCGCATCCTAGACGCATTGCCTACGTAGGTACCATAGCTATCTCGGGGACTGTAGGCTCTGCAGCTACAGTTAGCTGCCTGCCATGGCAACCTCACCAGCAGCGAAATCGGCAGCGACAACGACTCCATCACCATGGCTGGGGGACGAACCCGGCGCCTTGAACATCGATAAAGTCCTGCAGCAGGTATCGCAAGATGACCAGGAAGAGTGGGAGTACGAATACTCCGCCACTGAGACAGAGGTAAGGTCCTCCTAGGTCTCTGCGCTTACGCATAGTGGTGGGAGATGCCCGCTCTTGGATGCTAACTTCTATCCCGATTAGACTTACTATCTGACAGTCGAACTATCATATCCAGAGTTCAAAGAACGCCCGGCAAAAGCCCACCATCACAGCCGCGGTGGTTACTACAAGAACTGGTCAGACCAGTACGCAGATCACCTGAAACTCGACGCCAAGCCCAGTGATCATGCCGTCGGACCGCAGGATTCCAATGACCAAGATGACCGCAATGGCCAAGGCAATGATCGGGATGACGAGGAGAACCCTGAGCCAGAACAGAATCCTCTAGGAGAAGAGCGGGAGGAAAATGCAGAGGACGCAAACATAGATCCGCGCCTCAGAGCCATGGGAGACGCTGGCCGCAACGATGCTACAAAACCAACAAAGCACGGGAGAAAGGACAAGGGAAAGGGAAAAGAAAAGGAAGTGGAAACAGCGATAGCAGTGACGGAGGCGACAGCAGACGACGTGGAACGAGCCGACGAGCCCCTGGAAGAGATCCAGATCCTCGAGCTTCACTCTCACAACCCAATTATATCCTACAGGGGCCGGGTGTTTGAGGGGCAGTGGGCAGAGGTCATTGGAACGGAGGCGATCCTGGCAGACCGTGACGCCAAAGACGCCGCCCAGCTACCAGCTCTTCGCCATCTTCCCGGCGGCGTGGACATACTCGGAGCCTGCTCCTCGCGTCTCTTGACTACTGAGAAGATCTTGAAGCCCAAGGTGGCTCAAGAGGACTCTTTGGCAGCTATTCGCGAGGAGTGGAACATTCGCATCCCTCCTGGAAAGGATCGGACTGGCGAAAGGGCGCAGCAGCTACGCTTCCTGGAAAATCTCATCGCCCTGAAGAAGAAGAGGGGAGACCCAGATGAAGTCACGGTTTACGCGTTGGATGGGCCTGGAAAGGACTTTGACGACAGAAAGGGGCCAGACTTCAAACCTCGCAGAAAGAAGCCCAGTCTTGGTGTTGATCAGAGTAATGAAGCCGGCCAGGACGAGAGAAGAGAGCGTCGATATACCAGGCGAAGCCAGGGGCGCCGAGGGGGTCGACGAAGGAGGGCATTCGCTGCGAGGGGAGGCTCAGCGGCAACAGACAGGAGCGCCGGATCAAATCTGGATTCGAATACACTATCCACCCCAACGCCAAGCCATTGGGACGAGCTATTCGGCATCCAAGAGGACGAGGATGAAGATGATAGTATCAATGACGTCTCCGACAGCGATGGACCAGGGAGACGGGGCGCTTCTTCCGGTGAAGACCATGATGACGACGAAGAAGGGGACGAGGACGACAATGACAACGACAACGACGGCGATGTGATGATGCTTGATTAGACTCTGATACGGAGAATATCTGCAGCCCCTCGCAGCCTTTGGATCATCAGTGGAACAGCAAATCGTGATGGCGTTTCTCGACACGATACTCCTCCAGTGGCCACGAGAAGCAGCACCAAGGGAAGCACCAGCAAAGCTTAACAGGGGGTTCACGCACGACTAGCCCTACGAGGGGGGACGTAGCCGCATTGATAGCTCGTTGTTTAGGCTGCCAAGTTGGCCACATGCAGTCTACCGCTTCGGGAGAGAGTCTCATGGGTGACTATCAGGTGCTATTATGGCAGACACAGTGACAGTAGCCTTGCATATCCATCTCTTCAGCAGCCAAGCCATGATAGGTCGACGCTGGCCATTGGGCGGTGCCATGTGGTGGCCTCGGGGCAACTGGTTCGCCGCGTATGGCTACGCCGTCTAGCCAGCGAGTGGGCTTTGCGACGCAGAAGCGACGAGACGATCTCTTGGCTCGGGACAACGTAGCGGGGGTTCTGGCTCCCCGGGACGATTTCAGTAGATGAGCCCAGCAAAAAAGCATGGACGGGCATTCCTCCTTGCCTTTTGTGTGCCTATCCGCGATCGTCGAGGTGGTCTTCAACAACCGCATGCTATGGCCATGTACTGCTATTGGCCAGAGCGGAGATCTGCGACTAATGTCTGGCAGGTCGATACGCGGAAAGGTGTTGTGACTGAAGAGTAAGGTATAGAATTGGAAATAAACTAATTCTCACTACTGGGATGAATGCCATTTGCGATAGTGGCTACCATCGAGCCATGACCATAGCCATCACAATCACAGCCTAGGTAGTCAAGCAAGCCATTTCTTGTCACGGACCGAGACTTGTAAATACCGTCTCAAGTGACTGTTCCACGGTGTGGACTGGGAGTTTACGAGTACGAAATCACTCTGGGCAGCCAAGAGCTAAAGCAAGAGTCTCCTATCAGCTTTATATCTTTTCACAAAATCTGATCCGTAGGCAGACGATCTTGATGCTCAGGCGATGGTAGAAACGGTAAGCTATGTATTGCTTCATGCTGCGACAACTACCTACTAGGTAGGTAGATGGTGGACGGACGAGAATAGCAGTACAGTAAGCTGGCCGTTTACACGTAACCACTAGTTGGTGCTGGCATATGAGGTAAGCCGGCAGTACGAAGTCGGTAGACATACGAGTTACAAGATATCGGGGCTAAGAAGTGGCGTCCGTTTGTTCGGCGTCTATTGTCTTGTCCAAAGATGCCTCCTGTTAACGATGGATACCTTACGTCTAGTTAATGCAAAGTAAAAGTGAAAGTGGGCTGCAACAGGATATGCCTCTAGAGACAGTACCCACGGGAATGCATCATTTGCTCTCGTGTCTTCTTGTCCCGTTTGTGCTGTATGTACATCTTGTCTACCTTTTTCTTATTGCTTTCGGTGTTCAGACTGCCAGGCGGCCTAATTCATGCTGAGCGCCCCGAATATAGCTTGATGACGCCTAGTTTAAGTCCTTCGGGATAACATGTTTGACGGAGAATATCTAGTACGAACCACCAAGCTTTGGGCTGGAGGGATTGGCTTCCGACGGATGATGAAAATCGCAGGTAACGTTTCGATTGTATACATTATCTCAGAGAGACCCAAGGCATTTATCAAGATACATAATGTCATTCCTACACCTATAAGGTAGCTGATTGATGGCTTCGAAGTACGAGATTGGATGCATCTCTGGCGTCTTATAGGGTAGTGGGTAAGGTATGACTGGAGGTTTACGAGACGGAACACTTCGTGTGCCGAATCGTGATAATCCCAACGCCACTAGGCAGGTATTTTAGGCATTACATCCCAATCGTACATCAAACCCATTAGCACTTCTGAATGTTATCAACTGGGGACTATCGCGACATGATCAAACGTGGAAACAGGAGTCTTTGAGTCGTTGGCAGTGATTCGCCTGCAGATGGAATGTGAGAAAGCTGCATGTCAATGTACCGCTACCTGCTTGAGTGCTTACTTGTACTGCTGCTGGCACCTGCAGGGCAAGAGGGTCGCAGAGGGAAAGAGCTGCTGGCAAGAACACATGGCACCGCTGCGTGAGGGTCCGACGAATGACATAGCGAGATGATAGGAGGAGAAGGGGGGCAGGCGCTGCGGGCTGGCCTTGGCTTCCTGTCAGGGCGGCTCAGCCGGACAACGCCCAAACCTCCTTCCTTCCCACGGGCGCACGACATGTACGGGTACAGGTACAGGTACAGGTGCGAGACCCAGCCAGGCTCTCCAGACTCGGTTTCAGTGGGCGCTCGTACTCGTACTCACAGCCTCAAGGTACAGTACGCAGGCCCTCGGCGGTCAGGCAGCGCTGCGAGGTACCGTCCAGCGCCCGAGCAATGCCGGCCCAATCAGCGCCGCCGCCGCCCACTCAAACGAGCGCCAGCGACCAACCGCGGCGCCGCGTGGCAACAGCAAGTGCCAGCCCAGCGGTTGCGTCCCTCCACGCGTGAGTACCGGTACTTGCAGCAGACTGCCTGGCCGGTGCCGGTGTAGAGCTGCCACCTGCCGCCCGAAAGCATGTACGCTGTACGAGTACCTGCCAAGTACCGCGACATTCCTTGCCTTACATTGGCGCAACACACACCCGCCGCCACAAAGAACCACCAACTATCTCGATGGCTACGCTTCCCACCTCAAACTTTTCCCGTCTCTTCATTCCTCTTCTACCTCCTCCATACTTTTCTATTGTCCCTCCTTGTCTCTTCTCCCCCACATCCTCGTCGTCTATTTCGCTTGTTGGCTCGCCCAAGCATGTCGCCAGGGGTCCTGTGAGTAGTAGTGCTTTTCGCCTTCTCGCTGCCCCTTCCGTGATGCTCTTATAACAAGGCCCTTCGCATTCCTCGTCCTTGTCTCGAGTATTGGATCCGCTTCGAGCCCGCAGCCCCCTCCGGACCGCCCGCCTCTTCCGGTTCCCTGGCCTGTCGACATCTGTCGCTCGTTCTCTGTTTATGATTGCGATTTCGCGGGTTTTGCTGCACGACATCTCCAGCTCCTTCATTCTACAACAAACAGTAATTCGACGTCATCATTAATACGAAGCCTTACCATATCCGTCAACATCTTGGCCGCCCTCAACGTCCCAGCTGCGCATCTCCGGTCTCCGGCGACTTCGTCCTGATATACTATTTCTACCTTTCGACTACTTATATCAACCCTCATCGAACTCTCACCTGCTCGAAGATACCTCGTCATATTGTTGCCGGTCGTTCCGGACCCCCGAAGCCGCCATGTACTGGGTGCGCCGGTTCATGATCTTGACGGTGCCGTTGGCAATCATCATCTTCGCGGCTACCTACCTCCCCGTGATCCTCGATCCCACAGATAGAGATCCCCAGGTTCGTGCTCGCGATCGCCTCTGGGTCAGCAGCAGTCCCTACTTTTGGGATCGCCAGGCCTGCCGCTGGTTTAGTCTGTGTGGTCTGCACCACCTACGAAGGGACCCTGCAGTGCTACCGCCCCTCGAGGATGAGCCTGAGGATGAGTTGAGGCTTGAATTGCGCAAGCGCATGGATCGGACCTGGGAGGAGGATGCTGAACTGAATGCGCCGGAGGCGGACAGTCGGCGGAGCAAGCGATCGGATAAGAAGAGAAACCCACAGGAGCGGCGGAAGATTCTCAAGGAAGTCCCCCAGTATGTTCTCCAGCATGCGCCGCTGGTGCACCTCTACTCTGGCGAGCAATTCTGGCCTTCGGACATTCGCGAGCACATTGAACACATGATTGTCACGGTCGACCACAAGCGAGTGAACCTGACCGAAAAGGTATCACTGCACAACTTACAGGCTCTCAACAAGTACGAGAAGCGCATGGTCACCCTGCACAGCGTCGAGGATGTCGAATCTCGACCCAAGTGGCTGCACAGCCACGACAACCTGCCGAATCCCTTTGATGACCCGGATGCTTCTACGCCGCCTTCCATGGGAGGTGGCAAGAAGAAGCACAGCGAGCCCGACACCTGGTTCGACGTGGACAAGAAACACCCCGTGCATCGCATCTCAGACCCTCGAAACTATAACGTACCCGCCTATGCTCCCACTCTCACTCCTGGCAAGGAGCAGCAGCGCATCGTTCCCCGCGGTCACAAGCCCGACCACGATGGCTATTCGAAGGCGCCGGCTACCCTTGTTCTGGTTGATAAAGGGTCGGGCATTGTCGACGCCTTTTGGTTCTTCTTTTACAGCTACAATCTAGGACAGACCGTGCTTGGCTTGCGATTCGGCAATCATGTGGGCGACTGGGAGCACTGCATGATTCGCTTTCAGAACGGGGTGCCCCGTGGCATCTTCTTCTCCGAGCACGAGGGTGGTCAGGCGTACGCCTGGGAGGCGGTTGAGAAGCGCGGCGACAGACCAGTCATCTACTCCGCCGTCGGCTCTCACGCCATGTATGCCCTGCCCGGCTCGCATCCCTACGTCTTGCCCTTCAAGTTGCTCAAGGACGTTACGGACAAGGGCCCGCTATGGGATCCCGCATTGAACAACTACGCCTACTTCTACGACTACACGCTCGAAGACCCCAAGGACACCATCGAGCATGAGGACGGCATTGCGGAGAAGGGGCTCTTGCACGATACGCACAGCTTCACTCCCGCTGCATCCAATCCGGATGCTCCGACTACGTGGCTGCACTTCCAGGGCCGTTGGGGCGATGAGGTTTACACCCTCGCCGATCCTCGACAGTGGCGTCTTTTTGGCCAGTACCACTACGTGACAGGGCCCGCCGGACCCAAGTTCAAGAATCTCGAGCGCCAAACGCTTTGTCCATTGAGGAATTGCCGCCTGCTGTATGAGGTTGATCCAAAGGGCACCTGGTACTAGGCGGCGGTTGGACTCGCATGCATCGGCGCCGAGCCTTTTCTTTTTCTTCCCACCCTTTTTGGTTATCTTTCTGGACACTTTCGCCACGCTTGGATGTGTACCCAATGAAGGATTAGCGGTTGATACCCAAGAGGGAGCGAATCATATGGAGCGGTCGCAAGGCTATCGAAACCTAAGATACATCTTGGAATGAGGGACTCAGGCAACAACGAGTCTGAGTATGGTTTACACGGGCGGTTTTAGACGGGCGCGAGAGCGCACCGGCGTTGTTTTCTTTCGATTTTGCACGTCTTGGTCTCCCCTTGCTGCATTCCTTCCCTCCCGGATCTTTTTTCGGCTTGCCTTACCGAAGTTGATAAGTGCTTCGTTCCCGACGAGCGCCTGTTTGGCCTCAACGACGGCCCTCACTCACCAACGAATTGATGATTACCCTCATTTTCCTATGCTGCATTTTCTCTGGTGTTTTTGCTTGGAGAGGAGTTGTTGGGGGCATTTTGCAGAGTTCTTTCTAGGGGGGGACCTTTTGATACCCAATCTCGCTGCTTGCGATCCCTTTGCACACACAAAGTATGTACATCACCTACGTCTCTTACACATGCACCTACTATAACGGTATGCATATGATGCATCATATGCAGTCCCTTCATCCCACACATAGATCCCAGATATACTCTTTGTTTTTATAGATGTGTTTCTTTCTCCGCGAAGAAGTTATATATACCAGATGCTCGATTTTGGATCGTCGCATGCTTTTTGGGTATGTAGTTGAAATCAAACTGAGAAATGAGTCAAAAATCCCGTTTCTCTGAATGTGAACTACTGTTGGGTGTGTGGTATCAATATGTGTGTCTCGTGCGAACCGTCATATGCCACATCTTGATTCATTGATTTGTTTCCCACATGACGGTTCGATGGCGCTTCGGGGAGGGACGAGGCTGGATTCGGACGATGTACGCTGGGGAGGTTACATGTTTAGCGATGATACGCTGATAAAGTAGTATATCTTGGGGGGTTTTTTTTTTATAAGAAAAGCTACGGTATCAGTAAGTCATTGCAGTTTCGAGGGGCGAGTTTCACGTCTTTCCATGCGTTTCTCTTGATCTACGCAGAGTACTTGACTCGTTTCCCCTTTGGAGCAACATCTGTACATAAGGTAGTGGAAGACGGATGAAAAGAGAAGCACCAGACATGAGTGAAAAAAAAGAGATGGTAAATAGGTATATAACCAAACAGGAGAGAGAATAAACCGCCCATCTTGATCCTCTGTCCCGAAGCTAAACCACGATATAGGTAGATACAACCTCCAATTCCAGGCCGTTAAAAGACGCAGAAGAAAACTCCAAACACCATGCGAACAACACTGAAACTATGACATGAAAAGGACGATTCCCCAAATCACAACGGCCTGAGCAGCCAAGTTATCCCAGCACTTTTCCAAACGCAACTTCCAGCATAAAACAGCCATCTAAATAGATAGATCATAGATTCCCATGCGTCCTCCATCGCTCTCAACTCCATAGATACCAGGAAAAAGGGCACATAATATCGTTACAGTCACCGCGTCCCCTCCCCATCTTGGTGAATGTCAAAAGTATCGCCGTCATCGTCCTCTGCCATGGGATCAATATTCTCGGCGTCTGACAGATCGTCTTCGCGGCCCCAGTCATGGCCGTGGGGGTCGAGCGGGATAGGGCCTTGGGCGGCTGGCTCTGGGCTGCTGGTGCTGGACATGGCGCCCTCGTGATCCCCTTCGCCGTCTGATTGAAGGTTGTAGTTGTACAAGCCCATCTCGACGTCAGTCTCCTCACCTTCATCCATATCGGCATCGACTCGCTCTGTCAGGAACCCCCGAGGGGCAAACATGCTGTGCGGTGTAGCGGGAGTTGTTCCTCGAGGAATTGTCCGATCCCGCCGCTCGGGGCGATCCGGTGCCGGGGACGGCGACACGGTCGGTCTCGGACTCAACGGCTGGTGGAATGACGGTTCCCGGGTCGACTGTCTCTTCCTGACGCCTCCGTAGACGAGCGGCGAAGACTGTCGGCTCTGCCGGCGGGAGGAGGACGTCTTTCGCTTGCGAGGTGCGCTGAACACAGTCTGGAGCGCCATGGAAGTGGTGGGAGCCGAGGGGGTCCTGATGAATGGTGGCACCGACTCTTCTCGACTCTTCAGTATCGTTGGCTGGTGGTGCGCAGCATCGGTAAAGCTGCTGGACCATGAAGGGGAGGCAGAGTGGTATTCCACCTGGGGCGATATTGAGACACTCCTATGGCGTCGGTTCTTGCCGGGCGGCTGCGCAATGGGATCTCCGTCGAGATTGTCATTCCACGCCCAGCATTCTCTCTCAAGGCGAGCGGAGTCGGGCACTTCCTGGGACTCGGTATCGTCGGCGTATACCGATGGGACCTCCTTCTTCAACTTCTGCCATGTCCAGCCCGAATCATACGCTTTCGAGTCCTGCAGATAGGCGCCAGGATGGGTAACGAACAATCTAGGTTGCGCTGCCTCCATCCTGACCGAGTTCAGAAACTGCACGTCCCACAGTGCCGGTGTCAGCATTTCCTCGGGACTCAGGAACCTTAGCCGCGAGTCTTTGTGGATCTTGCGAAGAGGAATCCACGGAGACTGGAGTCCCATAGCCTCCGGAGCGCTGCTGAGGCCTGGAGTTTGGCGCCTGGCGTACATGTGCATGTCGCGGAGCACGTTGCCAAAGGCGCCACGCATCGCAGTGCTGACGCTCCTTGCATCCGGCCCCGTGACTCTGATTTTCTTGATCAGCCCACGACTCCTCAGGCGCCGGTATATTATGCTCTGGTCGTTGCAGGCCCTAGGCAGCAGCCACTCCCAGTCCTGGCCCTGCGCAACACGCCAGTTTTCCAGCATACCGGACGCATCTCGATACTTGGAAGCGCTCTGTGTTTTAGGAGACTGAGAGGAGTCGCTTCCGCTGTCGACAATGGGGCCGATGTTGAACTGGTGGATTTGACGCCAAATCCGCTTCAGGGGGAAGGGGAGGAAGACGACCTCGACTTCCCACGCATGCTCATGACAAGGAATGGCGGAGCGAAGTACGTTAACTTGAGTCTGCAGCGACCGGAGCTGCACGTGTACTTGGTCTGAGTGGCTTTGTCGGCTGGCGGTACTGGAGGTGATGGAGGCTGCGCTGGGGGTGGCAACATCGTCTTGGGCATCGTGGCGACCCAGGAAGCTGTCGTCCAGGATACGCCTCTCAATATCATCCACCTTGCCCTCCAGCTCAATGACACGAGCGTCCATGTGCTCATATCTGTCCTGACACTCTTCGTAAGCGCTGCCGGATACTGAGGTGGTCTCCAGCCTGTCGAGTCGTTCTGCGTGGGCGTCGACGGTTTCCGTGAGGTTCTTCAACATCTCGTGAGGTAAAGCCTCGGGTTCCTCCGCGATCTGGGTGGTGGCCGTGCTTGGCCGTGGCGTCGATTCCTCATCAGGCTCCTCAATGCTCGCCATTTTGTGATCTGAGAGCGATTCGCGCAGAGCGGCTTGGGCATTAGCCGGACCATTGTTGCCGAGAGTCTGCAAGCCCTTTCCTGCAAACGGTCTTAGGTACCTGGCGCGTGTGGACGAGTTGGTGGTGGTAGAGGCGCCCTGGGACATGAGACACTGAGGAGGAATAGAGGGCCATGAAGGATTGGAATCTGGCTGGCTCGGTCGTACGACGCCGTCCCAGGCTAGTGTATCTGGCATGGAGCTGGATGCCTGCCGGGGCGTGGGAGCGGCTGATAGAGGATCAAACGGGCCGTCAAAGGGCTTGTTGAGAAAGGACAAGGGGTCAGCATCCTTGGAGTGCAGGAAATCGGGCCCAGAAAATGGCGTTTCCCTCTGACGAAGGAGGAGATCCGGTTCCGGGCTCATGGTCTGTCGTAGCCGCATGGTCTGTAGCCGCTCCAGGGCCTGTGCCGCCGCCGTGGGAGCAAGAATCGTCTCCGGCGGCTGTTGTTGGTGTTGAGGATGCTCATCATGGTAGCACGCATGATGGTTGCACATGCACCACCCTCCAGCCTGATCCACGGCAGGTTGTGAATAGAAGCGACGGCAGCCGCATCGAGGGCCGCCGGCACCGGGCGTCAAGTCTACAAAGTTGCATCCGCCGCTGGGGAGCTGAGGAGGGGCGGTGGGCGCGATGGCGGCGGTTCCCTGGTAGAGGTTGTAGAAGTCGGCGCCGAACTGGAGGGGGTCGAACGGGGCGGAAGCCATTGATATGAGCCTTTTATTGCGTTTGGTTCGGAACAAGTCGCAATGTGTGTGTGGGAGAGGCGCTCAGGAGCCTCAGAAGCTCCGCTGGCTCGTTGTCGTTGACAGGTCCACGGTGACGCGCTCAATTGGCGAAGAGCGCGGGTTGAGCCTCGCAAGAGCAGGCCCGGACGGGTCGCAAGCCGGTCGGCCTCAGTTCATGGCACGATGAGATGGCGAAAGCAAAAGAAGATGGCGAGTTCGGTCTGCGGGGCGGCGCAGTTGGGAGCAATTGTCGGTGTCGATCGAAATGGCCTGGAGTCGCGGGCGGGAGGAAGGGGTAAGCGAGAAGCGGGCGACGGCCAAGTATTTAAGTATGCTGCTGCTGCTCTATGGAGGCCGGAGCATTGCTGAGTCGGGATCGAGAGCGCGATGAGGTGAGAGAAAGCAAGCAGCAGCAGAGAAGAAGCCTGAGGGGGGGGGGGAGAGAGAGAGTGGATGTGATGGGGGATGTCGAGACGGCAATGGGGGGAAAAAGAGGGTGGAATTGCCAGGCGATGCGGGAGCGGGAAAGAGGACCAGCGCAGCTTCAAGTTCCATCCATGCATGCATCCCCACATTTTGGTCTCCCTCGAGCGCGCCTTTTCTGCCGCTAATAAGCCAGAGCATTTTGATATCAACGAGATGGACAGCTCACATCCTCCTTTGCCTTCCTTGGGTCGCGGACTGGAAAGAGGGGGAACAAAAGGGTTTGACGTGAGAGTGTATGGATGCCTCTTAACTCCGGATCTGGCTCGAGATGGTGGTGCTCGCAGGCAGCACACCAACTTGCCTGTCCCCGATCCAACACGACCTTGAACAAAGCAGACCGCATTTGCCTGCGAGATGCCGCCCATCCACACAAATCCGCCGGTGACTCTGAGGGGCCGCGGGACAGGGGGTTGATATGTAGGTATGCAGCCATCACCGAGAGGGTCGCACTCGGGCTTCTGGTCCTTTGGTTCCGCATCTGCCGCGATTCTGTCGAGATCCAGTGATGCCCAATGCTACGTTCCTACGCATCGTAGCTTGAGTACCTATGGCCGGTGGTGGACGAGTTGACGCATATGATGGGTGAGACTCTGCCGTGATGTCTTTTCTTACTACCGAAAGGTTCATCTCGTAGCTTTCAGTAGCAGCTGATCAGGACTCGATCAGCTTGTTCCCCGTAAGACGGCACCTCATCCCAAATGGCAGTCGAGTGCCATTGAAGACGGTCATTCCATCGCACACAACACACATCATCGTCCTACCCAGAGCCTCCATCAGTCATACACGTCTCAACATCAACCCCCGGAACACGCCAACATAAAAAAAAAAAAACAACTCCGTCCCAGAACCAAACGAAACACACCTTGATCGAAGCACATTAATAAACCCGACTTGCCCTGCCTTTCTTTGCATCACACCCCGCCTTTCTTCATCCAAGCCCACTTCAACCCACCACTTTACGCGACAAACCGGCGATAGTAGTAGTCTCATCTCCCTGAAACGCGTTCTATGTATCTTGTCTAGAAGAAAGAAAAAGAATGGGTCTTTTGACGGCATGGCCCGTGCCTGGTTCTGCTAAATTAAAGAGCCCTTTCTAGTTGCGGCGTGGCGCTGCTTCGGATGAATTCCCTCGTTTCTTCTCGAAATCGATTCTTCAGATGAGCAATAAAACCTGAACTAGCGGTTGCTTGCTTTGTTCTGAGAACTACTAACTCATAATGGCCATCTTGGCCATCTTCCAGGAACTCCCCTCCTGACGCTCTAAGCACGTGAGTACCTATGGTACTGACTGAACGAGCCACAGCTCTGTAGATTTCCTCCAGATTATGAGATGTACTTGATACCAAGCCATCAAAAGCCACCCACTGGTCTGCTAGCCTCATCACCATCACGAGTCCATCCCATCCAGTGGACCCCTTTCCCGTCCTGCATGCATACGCTCAGACACGACATGTCTATCGAGCCACAACAGGCGTTTCCCGCACATTTCCTACCCATTCCCGCGCCATGCGAACCCCTCCTCTTCTCTCCTCCTCAGCCGCGTATCAGATTCATCACGTCAGATGCATCCCGAACGTTACGCCGTGACCCAGAAAGCGATTATTATGTCTTTGTATTTGCGAACCCTTAGATAGGCAGTGGGAAATTATACGCTCCTTTCAGAAAAAAAGGCCCTGCCTGTGTATTATCTGGAAAGGGATTTGTGGAAAGTATGTCTATAATATGGGCAAGCAGAAAGAAAAAATGGTGGAAAAGAACGCCAGTTCCCGCATATCCCATCATGACCGTCGCCTCGTCTCGCCAACAGATCCATTATGCCCTGCGTTTGAATGGAAGAAGTAAAGAAATCAATGCTCGCCTAATAATGCTTGCTGTAAGTCATGCCAGGAAGATATAGAAACCAAGTGAAAAATATGCGTGGATGGAGATGAGGTGAAACCGTTTATAAACGCGCCGTCGCTTCTCTCGTGCTTCTTGTGCTTGTCGTGCTCAAACCTCGCCCCAGCTGCCCATCGGCGCATTGGGAGCGGCGGCAATCACGGACCCCGTGCCGATGGATCCTCCAATGTCCCAGTAGTGCCTGGACGAGACGCTGCTCCTTCGGGCGGACCGTCGTGTGCTCTGGCTGGCACAGCTGCTGTGGTGTCGCATGGCCACGGGGCTGCTAGGTGCAGTTGCTTTGAAAGCTCGACGTTCATTAGGGCGAGTCCGGGAGGTGAGGGGGTGGTGCTGCCTTACTCTGGCAGCCTTTGCGGCAGCGTCTTGCGGCTTCGCGGGGACCGGCCGGGTCGTCAGCTCGGGGGCCAGCGTGGGCTCGGGCCGTGATGTGAAGCGCGAGACCAGGTACCGGAATACTAGCTTGATATCCATCTCCTGCTCCCACTCGTCTTGCGTAAACGTGTCAGCCATCGACACATCGTGCAAGAGCACATCCGGTGCGAGTGACCTCGCGGACGGTCTGTCTGCGGCCCGCAGGGTGTGTCGCATGGTGGGCCTGAATTCGGGAAACAAACTCTCGCCGGCCTTGTCCGCCGCGGTGCGTCCAGAGGCAGATGTGCGGCTGTCTGCAGTCTCTGGTATGGCCGGCAGGCCCGCATAAGGCAGCGGCGCCTGATGAACATGCGCATACGTCGAAAAGGCGCCGGGATGCTTCGAGAGATGGTTCACCAGCAAGCCGAGCTCTCTCGACACCGTCTCCAGGATGCGCATATGCCACGACTCTTCTGTTTCCGGAGTCCCTGCTTCTCCAGTAGCACGCCCTTGCTGCGGCGGCCGTGACGTCCTCGATAGCTCCTCGTCGTCCAAAAGGTCGCCGCCGAGCATCACGGATAGTACCTTCTCATCTATGCCAAGCAGATCCCGCAGAACCTTGCGAGTGATTCTCGTGAGGAAGCCTTCGCTGTCTTCTTTGTCCTCTGGGTGTGTGTCTGGGTCTTCTTCATGCCACGTCATGTCCTCCGTATCGGCGCTTTCCTCCGCCTTTGGGGCAGCAGGTTTCTGCGCAACGACCCGTTTCTGCTGCATCATCCGCGACCGCCGCGCCTCGCGCTGGACCTCTTCTAGGATGATGCGGCTGTGCTCCAGCCGCCAGGCCTCAATCCGCTCCCTCTTCTCTGCCTCCTGGATCTGCGCCTGTTCCAACTCGAACTGAGCTTCATCAAAGCTGTTCATCCTCCGTCGTACTCGCCTGGGGTTGAATCTCTCGAACTGGAAAATGTGGTCCTGGGCGTCCAGGCCAAGTGTTGGTTGGTCTAGGTGGAACGAACCCAGGCCATCGTGCGCTGGAAGGACAGGCATCGCGAAGCTACTCCTTGGAAATGATCTGAATCCGGGGAGATGGCCATCGAGGCTATCCAGCTCAGCATCATCGGCCTGGGACTCATCAGCAGCCGCGGAGAGCGCCGAGGACTGAGCCTCGTCTTCCTGTGTCGCCGCCGCTGGCGCTGCCGACTCCGTTCTTGCAACTGTGTTGAGGCTGCCGAGGTCACTCAGACGTGACCGGCCGGGGGTCTCGAGCGATTGATCATGCTCGTCTTCGGTCAGATAGGACGTGGTGGTGACATCGGTGGGAGGCGAGAAGAGCACCCAGGTCTGCGCCTCGTCGGCTTCCTGGCCCTGGCTGTTCCGCGCAGAGAGCCTCGAGGCGCCCTGGCTGCCAACGGCGGAGCGGGCAGCTCGCTGCGTGGTCGGGCGGTTTGGCTGCTGCTGGAACGCCATGGCTGCGGGATCGTATAATGGAGAAAGAAAGAGAAGAGGAGAAAAATATGCTCAATGTGGGTTGCGAGCGTCGGTTATCCTGCAAATATCGGGGAAGCGACCCGCGATAAGGCGAACGGGGGGTTGGAACTGCAGCTGCCACTGGAGACTGATCGGTGAAGCAGCCCCGGCAACGCTTCTGGCAACGCCGAGCCGGTGGAGCGCTCAAGGGAAGAAGCTGATAGGTTGAGGACGAGGGAGGATATCGTGTTCAATGGACTGGGGCTGGTCCTGTCCGAGAGCGAACACAAGAATAAAGAGCAGAAAGAGGCTGTGAGGGACGTGAGGGAAAAGGAGAGGCTGGCCGCTTTGTTTTGTTATCAGGTCGAGCGTCATGTCATCAACAACTCCAGCTAACTAGCAGCAGCGCTGGACCGCCTGGGGGAGCAGAACGGCCTGGCGGACAGGGTGGGGGGGTGCTGTGCTCGCGTGCTGGTTGGCCGTCAGGCAGTGGGTGCCGGTGGTCAGGCCAGTGGTCACATCAGCCACTGCTGCCGTCTGGTCGACTCCAGCGCTCGATAGCGCAATTGGCCGCCTGCACAGACGTCCACTGGTTCCATCCACGTCCCGAGACAGCGCGGCTCCAGTGCGCTGGCCGCTGCAGCCACGGCAGGATAGGGCCGTTCGAGGTACTGAGAGGTACCGCCAGGGTGGCGAGCACTTGTCGTGCGGTACGAGTACTTGCAGCCCCCCCCAAGGAAGTGAGCGGGTGGCCCGCACTCACAAGCACTGGCAGCTGCTGGGCACTTAAACGGCCAAGGAGGGACAATGCCGGTACCAGCCCGTACTTGGCCAGTACAACGCACTAAACTTCCAGCTCAGATGGCGCGCCGGCGCCGCAAATCACCCCCCAGCTGTCGCTCTGCGGCATTACGGCGAGACTCACCTTTTCTGCGTCACCTTTACATACGCGTCACTGCAAATCGCCGCTGCGATCGATTCTCACGGTGTTTGTAATGCGATCTGTCTTCAGACCCAATATACTACTATGTATCAAGTAACACGTATGTACGTCGATGCGAGTCAGAATCAGCCGGATAACGCGATGAAGACGGGCGTGGATAACGAGTAAGAAGGAAAAAAACTTTTTCTTTCTCAGCCGCGAGTATTACATCGTAGCTGGCATCCATGACTCCTAATTCACCGGAATCCGCCAGGATGCTGATGCAAGGCCCGCCACCCAAGATCCCGTCCTGCCGCTCAACTCACTTTTTTGGCTGTGCATGGTGCCATCAATGGCACGCATCTTTCTGCGAAATTTCGTGCATACTTCGGCGTTGGGCGGCGCTGCGGCGGAGATGCGAGCGAGAGTCTCCAGGGCGAAGCGGTTCTCTCCGATTCTCTGGGCCCTTTTTTGCGTGATAGATGACTGACAAACTCTGGGGGTCCTTTTGTAAGGTATTGATGAACTGATAGCCGGGTTGCATGGCACTGGAATCAACCACCTTTCAGCTAGTAAGCACGAGAAGCCCAGGATAAGAGCAAAAAGGAACCAGAACTGGACCCTGCGTCATGAGAATGGTCCCCCACCGGCCAGTCCAGTCATCTGTGTGCCATCCCTCAACTTATTGTGCAATCCATTCTATTATGCTTCCCGTCTGTCTCAGCACGAAGCTTGTGCCTCCAACCAACGACTCGCACACAACTGCGTGATCTCTGCTTCCCGTCCCCTAACACAAGCCGTAACCCCCAACAAAAAAGAGAAACAGTGCATCTGCTAGTGATGTAGGCAATCTAACGCTTGTTTAGTAGCAGCTTGAATATCGACGCCATCCATCATTGTCTCTGTGACCATGGTGTCACTGACGCAAGTCAGGTGGTCCCATCAGACAACCCAGTGCCAGTGCCAGTCGGCTATCGGGATATCGGGATAGGGGGAAGGAGGTTTACCATTTGATTGACTTGTCTGTTCCTGGGTTAGGACACGACATTCCGATGAGACGGCCATCGTCGTGGCGGCTGATGGAAGGTAATAAGCTTGACTTGTAGATTTCTCTGCTGACTGTATCCCGACTGTATTCCTGCCGCTCAAAGGCCAAGTTCTGCGATCGGCAGAGCATCTGTCACCCGAGCACGCCGAGTTAAATCCACACAGTGGTGATATCATTGGTGTTCTTTCCGTGATTCTAAGGTAGTCGATTAGGAAGCAAAACGTAATTCAGTACCTAGTAGCCACCAAGATGTTCCTCAGCCTGGAGTGTAGCTCGTCTCAACGGTACGAGTTCGTACAGAGACAACACCGGTAGGATAGCAAGTTCAGCGAATTGAGAGAATGAATGCAATCCATAGCATGTCTAGTGCTGAACGCACAATGGTTTGATTTGCCTAACTGGTGATTCTCAAATCGAGAATCTCTTATCTGACATGCCATAATTACGCCAACCTAAAACCCAGATGCCATATGAACAAAAACTCTTTACGCCTCACCGGAGAAAGCCTCGGGGAAGCGGCGGATGTTCTGCTCAATGGAACCGTGGTTGCTGAGGAACTGAACGTAGGCACCGTCGACCTTGACACGGCCGGCAGCCTTGCGCTCGAGGTAGTCCTCGCGGCGGAGAGGGGTGAAGCCCCAGTTCTTGGAGATGATGATCTTCTGTCGGCCGGGGAACTTGTACTGGGATCGTCGCAGAGCCTCAAGAGCCAGAGCACGGTCTGGAGAGTGATTCTGTTAGCATTCTTGATTTTGCCATGACGTCGTAGTCCAAGACGAAGAAAAGAAAAAAGCAAAAGCGAGGGCGCAACATACTAGAGTCACGAGTGCGGACGCTCATGATGATCTGACCAATGTTGACACGGGCGACAGTGCCGTTGGGCTTGCCCCAGGCACCACGCATACCGGTCTGCAGTCTATCGGCACCAGCGCAAGACAACATCTTGTTGATACGGACGACGTGGAAGGGGTGGGCGCGGACACGCAGGTGGAAACCCTCCTTTCCGGTGTGCTTGACGAGGTACTTGTTGGCGCAAATACGGGCGGCCTCGAGGGCCTCGGAGCTCAGCTGCTCATACTCGTTGGAGACGAGGTGGATGCAGAGAGGGAAGTCGTCGACGTTGGCGCGCTTTCGGCCCAGATCGAAGATGCGGATCTTGGGGTCGGGGACACCACGGTTGAACCGGGACTTGGGATACGGCTATGAAGGAAAAGAGAGTCAGTATTTGCTTTGCTTTTGCTGCTGCTGCTGATGGTGATCCGAGTCTTCGAGGACGAGCAAGGGGCCGCGACACAGCAAATCCATCCGGAATGCCTTCATCTCTTGATCATTTATAATCCACCTCTTGCGTCACTCCACAGCAATGCATCCTCCGTTTTCGACAAAATCCTCGCTCGAACCATCAACTCGTGAGTCTTTCAGCAGTCTTACCTTGTTCTTGCAGTATCGGTAGCAACGGGCGGGACGGCGAGCCATTTTGTCGGTGTTTGGCTGTTGCTTCTTGGGGTGTTGATGATGTTTGGGGGAAGATTGTTCCAACAGCAAGGAGACCCGGGCGCCACTTCAGAAAAACCGCCTGGTTGATTTCAAAGCAAAAGTGTTTCTGAGTCAAAGTTCCGATGTGGTCCGCTTAAACCCCGGTGCTTTAGGGCTTACCAAAACGGCAAGTCTGCGCTCATTGGCCGCTCGCGCGAGAGCCCTGCCCCGCCCGAGAATTGGTGGCATCTCAGTAGAAAACCAAAAATCCACGAACTTTTCCAGAGCTTGGAGAGAATTGTCTTCAGCATCCGCATCAAATCCAGTCGCCAGATCGCAGCTCGCACCCCAAATCAGCAAAAATGGCCCCTACCAAGAAGAGCAAGAAGGATGCCAACAGCATCAACTCCAAGTTGGCGCTTGTTATGAAGTCCGGAAAGGGTGCGTAGCTGCTCTTTGAAGAAACTGCCTTCTCGCAATATCTCCCACAAGGTGCTAACATGATTTTTGCCAGTCACCCTCGGATACAAGTCTACTCTCAAGTCTCTGCGATCCGGCAAGGCCAAGCTGATCATCATCGCTGGCAACACTCCTCCTCTCCGAAAGAGCGAGCTCGAGTACTACAGCATGCTGTCCAAGGCCCCCATCCACCACTTCGCTGGCAACAACGTGAGTTCTGCAACCCCGTACACTCTCGACGAGTGAAACTTCTCGCTTCTCAGAAGCTGCTCTTGCTACCCCGAGAATTACAAACAATTCTTGCGGAATTGCCCAGAGAAGAAGTCTCTTACCAGACTTTGGAGGGTTCAAATTGGCTTACACTATTCGTAAATACAGATTGAGCTCGGCACTGCCTGCGGAAAGCTCTTCCGCTGCTCCACCCTCGCCATCCTGGATGCCGGTGACTCTGACATCCTCAGCGACCAGCAGGCTTAAATAGCCAAAATCTAGTGCATTTAAAACGGCGTTGGGGGTAAAACGGTTCAAGGGCAATATGGATACCATTACACTTTGACACTCTTGTGTGTGTCAGGCGAAAAGAATTGATGCGAAATATCATCTACCAGGAAGGCAAATCCTTGGGGTCTTCTCCCAGAATTTTCCCGTGGTAGTTACTTGAATGGAATAATACAGCCACGAAGACTGTTCCCCCTTGTCAGGTTGAATAAGCTGCTTGCTATTTCCATGTGTGATTGTATACCATTTTGTAGTACCAACAGGACCTGATGTGTTAACATCAAGGATGGGTTTTTGACATGCGATCTGCTCAAGTACCTGGAATTTCCCAACATATGCGCCCCCCTTCGCAGGCGCCTCTCTCAGCCATCACAATAAGCAGCAGGGAAATGTGCGTGGCCGTGGTATGGATGGAGCTGATGCCTCGTTCATGGATGCTTGGTCGCAAATGTCATTGGCCAGAAAGGCCACTCGATAAGGGGTTGCATACACCAAGAGCGACGATGGAATGCTCCTCGCAGGAAGATCCCAGATTCGCCGTTTCAGGTCCCGTTGCACATACAAACGTGAGTTGGTGGTATCCGTGGCACGACTGCGTGAACCAGCTGAGAAGCAGTGGCTCACGACGGCCTCTTACAAGCACTGCGGCGAGAGTCTGTGGCTTGTAGTCCAACTAGCATGGCTTTGCTGTTGGCCTCAAGAATAGAAACAGAGTCCACATGGCGAGCGATGACATAGCATCAGCAAGCATACGCAAACTCTCAGCTTGCCAAGGAACAAAGAGTTTGATATCGTTGTCACGCTCACAGGGCTTGAGGCGCATCCAAATCATCTTCAGGTACGGATCGATCGCCAGCACATGACTTTCGCCACGGAAAGGCTGAGCGACCAAGTCAGCGAAGCCCTGTTTATAATTATAGCAACCACAGCCCTTTTCTGACGGCCGTCGTTGTAGCGCTTGTTGTAGCCGATACTCTGCAGTGACCGGAATCTGTTGCGCCTCACCGTGCCAAAAGTCAAATGGTCCTCAATCTCAGAACAGATATCCAGCAGCGAACAGGAGAGTAAGAAGTCACTCGTCATATCCATTTGCGTAATGGTAATTGGTCCATATGAAGCGAAACCAGGATGACAAAGCAACGGGCTCTGGGTCAAGGGGTCTCGGGTTCTTTTCCATTTCCTTTCTAGAATGAGGATTTGCGCTGTTTCTCTCTCGAGCGCAGAGAGGCGGTCAGTGAAAGCAAAGGCACACAGGATTGCGAAGCGGAGCGTTGCGTTGCGTCCGCAGAGGAGCCGAAAGGCGACAAGCTCAAGGGGGAGCACCAGAGTCAGAGTCAGACTGCCCGCCCTCAAGAGGGGAGGGGAGAGGGGGAGAGGAACTGAGATGCCAGCGGTACAGCAGTGGGGGTGGAGAGACTCTAGGGGCGGCGGGTGGCTCTCCAGCGCCTGTAGCGCCCAATCAGGCACCTGTCCTGGCATGAGATGCAGGGCGTCCCGACCGGAGTCATGCACTGTTTAAGCAGAGGCATGAAGATTCCGGAGCGAAAGTGCAGGACTACAGGCAAAGTCTCGCTATGACAATAAGGGAGAAAAGGAGATGAAGCAAGATGCAAGCAAATATCGTGAAGTCGAGAGAAGAAACAGAGGTAAAAGGACCCGAAACACCAAGCACAGAGGCATCTGCCTGTCCCGGTTCCGTCACCGCATTCTCCCTCTCCTCTCCTCTCCCCAACTGTGCTACTGTACGGCCTTGTACTCCTGCAGTTGCGGGTACCTCGCACGCGCTCAACGCCGAACCCTTGACGGAGGTACCTCTTTTTTCCTGTGAAACCCGTCCTTTTCATTGCCCACCGACACATTCGAGGTGGAGCCCAACCAAGCAGGACGAAACCCTCGTGGCCTGTTATTGTTCTGCCGTCCTGCTATCCCTCCTAAACGACGCCCAGTTCTCCTCTACACCACCGGCCGTCTCGCAGCATAACTATCGTATATTACAATTATCCCACAGTTCGACCTGTTTGGCGCTGCGCCAGGCGGCCCCGTTTGTGCGTTTCACCTAGAGTAGCTCACCGACCTCGACGGCAACTCCCACGGCTTGCAGCATCCCCATCCCTCAGGCCCGTTCCCTCATTCGCCATGTCTACGGTTGCGAAGAAGCCGCCCGTCATCTCAGTCGGCAGAGCGAACTCAGAATCTCCCACTGGAACCGCCGCTGGAACCGGCACGTCGCCTCCCAACCCGACTCACACGCGAGCCCAATCCGTGCGCTCGGCCACGCCCAACGGCGGCAACCACGCGAGGACGAGATCTGTTCGCGCCGCCCCTGTTTCTGCCCGCGCTGCCGTTGCCCGACGAGACACGGCCATGAGCAATACCGACTCCGACGCCCGCGCCGCTGCGGCCGCGGCCCTGGAGGATCTCCAGCAGCGCCTGGAAAAGGAGGAGAAGCAGTCGGAGCAGTACAGGCGACAGGCCGAGGTGCTGCAGTCCAAGCTGGACGACGCCGTCAAGGAGTCGGCCAAGCTGGAGGAAAAAGTTCACGAGCACGATGAGCTGATCGAGACGCTGCGAAACGAAAAGAGAGAGGCCGGGCGCAAGATCCGCGAGATGGAGACAATCTACGAGGCGGAGCGGAGCGCGATCCTCAAGGAAAAGGAGGAGATGGCGAACAAGGAGGAGGAGATGCAGATGGTCATTGCGCGGTTGAAGGAGAGCTTGGCCCAGAAGCTGAGTCTTGAAGACGATCCCAGGCCGTCAAGGCAATGTAAGCCGTCTCTTGGTCCATGTCGAGTCAAGTCTCCCTTGGTCACACGCTAATTCTGATTTGCCTCTACAGCAGCCAGCGCTTCCCCCTCGCTGGACGGCAGCGGCTTCGCCCCCCCGTCTTCCCTTCAGCGGAGTGACTCGCGAAATAGCTCCAAGCTGATCCTACAAAAGGACAAGCTCATCGAGTCGCTGCGTCTGGAACTCGCCGAAGCCCAGATCAAGCTGGTCGAGTCCGAGAACCAGGGCGGAGGCAGATTGCACGAGGTTGAGCGCCAGCTGATGGAGGCGCGCATGTCCAACGCGCGGCTCATGGAGGACAACGAGAGCTACCAACTGCTCCTCCAGGAGAAGACTCTCAAGGGCGACTTTGGCCAGAGCGACTTTAGCTACATGAGCCCGACCGTCAACGAAGAGGCATTGAACGCGCTCGAGGGCAAGGCAGGCGGCTCCAGCCTCGCTGACGAGCTGTCGGATGCGACGCAGTCCGAGGGCGAGTACAGCGTTGACCACCGCCGCCTCGAGAGCGAAGTCAAGGCGCTCAAGGAGAAGAACAAGGCTCTTACGTTGTACATCAACAAGATCATCGAGCGCCTGCTCCAGCACCAGGACTTTGAGACGATCCTGGATCAGTCGGCAGACATGAAGCCCCCGTTGCCCGAGAAGGACAAGGAGCTCCCGCCACCTCCGCCGGCGGAGAAGCCCCCCAAGATCAACACGCAGGTCAACGGACAGGTCAACGGACAGGCCAACGGCGACCTCAACGGACAGCCCATTCTGCAGCGAACTAGAACCGCGCCCATTATGACTGGAAGGGTGAGACCGCGACCCTTTTCCATCATACAGACCAATGGCACTCAGTTGGATCACACCGATCCCGACAAGGCGCCCAGCATCCCCATCGGCCTTGGTCGGATAAACAGGCGTTCGCGACCTGTCAGCGATCAGTTCCCTGGAGCGGCCAGCCTCGTCAGCCAGATGTATAGGGGTCCGGACAGCCCTGCCTCGCCGCCCCTCAACCAGAGGCACTCTTCCGCCTTCTTCCCGACCGCCGGCGTGATTGGCACTCCCGGACGGATTCCTAGCGGTAGCCAGGCTCCTTCATCCGGAAACTTCCCAGGCACGAGAGGCGAGAGAAGCGAGACATCAAGTTTGAGCGGCGACTCTGGTGAGATCTCGACGCCGCAGTCGCAGTCGCCGCCGCGTTCCCACTCCGACAAGCAGACAACCTTCACCGGCAGCAAGCCCCGGCCGCTGAGACTGGTCCAGGAGAATCCCGACGCTGTCAAGGACAACAACGCCAACAAACGAGCAAGCTGGATCTCCGGCTGGAGCTGGGGAGGCAAGAAAGACGAAGTCCCAGCAAGCCCCGCAATCCCAGAGTAGGACGACATGGAAAAGAAAGGGGGGAAGAGAATGAGCCAAAGTTGCTTCTGACGATTTTTGCAACAAATGGAAAGAACCTGGAATCATGCTTTCTTGTTGGGGACAATTTGGGACAGGCGTCTATCACGGGAACGCACCGACTACTTCGATATATTCAGACGGATAATTTCTTTTACAACCAGGATCAGTATGAATGCTTCTCTTTCAACATCAAGGACGATACGCACGGCAATAACGATAACAACGACGAAGCGGCCGGACCGGCGGGCAGAGCGGGCTTGGACATAATGCCTTTTGCCCATAAAACTCCTTGGACAGCAGACGACAAATGACGACAAATGACAAGTACATGACTTGCAAACAGTTTGATATGACATATATAACCTTGTCTGGTGCCCTTCAATTTCCTTTTTATCTCCATGACCCTGTTTTTCTTTTGTCACTTATAACTACCTTATTATTATCATCAGAGGACGTATGATGGGTCACGTCTTCTCTTCTTGGGATATTGATTGACGAAAGACAAAGTATGTCTTTGGAGCAAAGGAGAAGAAAAGAGATATAACGCAAACGTGCATTAGATACATACAATGTACGAGTATGGCGAGACGCATGTGCGGGTATATGGTTCGGTGGAAGTTGATGATGGGGGCGTGTTGTCTTCTTTTTGTGATTTCTTCTTCTTTTACACCCGAGTTACTTTTTTTCGTTGGATACTTTATGTAGTTGTTTAATTGACGCATCATATACGCGGACGGAATGCAGACCTGCTCCAATATAGGAGGCATTCGCATTATTATTGACTGGCCTTGGAAGGGGCATTTGCCTGCATGCATGGTGGACAGATAGATCTCTGTGGACGTCGTCTGAAGACCGGGGGGCATGCAGTATGACAAAATCAATTATTACTTGTAATATCAGGCGACACATATCTGACGAGGTGGCTTGAATTTCCATTGCCCGGGGCGATGGCCTACCTTTACGCGGGCACGGGGAGGATTTGGAGGGCGGGAAGTGAGGAGAAGGATGAGGAGGAGGAGGAGGACAGTTTTCGGAAACACAGCCCAAGGCAGAAGGGCAGTGCTTGCATGTACACTCTTGGAAATAAAAGGGGTGCTGCTGCTGCTGCTGCTCCTGCTTCTGCGAGAAGCCTTGTGATTTTGGGCGTGGGTTGTAGGAGAGAGAATTTGAGGTTGAGAAGGGACAGGAGGTTTGTTTGGGATTTGTGTAAGTTGTGTGCTTGAGATGTAGAAGACGTATAACAGAAGTTCAATGCTGCATTAAATATTTGAGAGAACTGAGATTATGCCAGCTCTTTCATTTTTCTTTCGCATACGGCGTTTTGCAATTTATCTTGTAATTGTTTCTTCTCCTTCTTTGTTTTGCTTTTGTATTATTTCCTATCAAATCAATTCATAGCCTGGGTTTCGACATCATGGGTTCAAGAGGAAGAGGGCCTGTGTCCATAGTGCTTGACCGCTTGTTACTACTACATCAATGTGTGTCAAGGCGGGATCACGGCCCTCAATAGCTGGAGCAATGACCTTCTTTCATGGTATCCTCCTCCCTCACATTGTCCTCATGATGGCTCTTTGTTTCTGATTTCTGACTTTATCACTGGCGGTTCTTTTCCCTCTTTCTTATGCTCTCTCTCCACTTGCTTGGTCTTCTGAGCGTTTTGTGTGTTGCTGCATTTGGTTTGATGCATGTACAAGTACGTACGCAAGGTTTTTCCTGTACAATTGATACCCAACGAGGCATCACGCGTGGAATGGGGGAATGGGCCAGTGACTTCCCAATCGTCAATGTTTGCCTTGCCTGACCCTGTCAAAATGTTGTCTCTGGCTGTCCTCTTTTTGCCGGGTGTTTATTGTCTGGTTGAGAACTTCTTTAGTCTGTCGAGTGAGGGTCGTCGCATAATGTGGGCATGTGGAGTGTTCCTCTCTCTCTCTCTCTCTCTCTCTTCGAACCAATCTGCAGCAAAGGCGGTGAGTGAAAGAGAATGAAGAGGGTAGAAAAGAGGCAAGAGAAGAGGCCCTTTGCTTCGGCCAGGTAGGGATCTGTATGGAGAAAAAAAGGGTCTTGTGAGGGGCGTTTTTTGTTCACTACATACTAAGGCATTAGGCACGATGCGGGATCTGTCGAGGGTTTTGTCTTGTGAGTGCGAGGGTACAGTACAGTAGTGAGAGAGAGAGGCGTGTATGTACAAAATGAAGGGCGATGGAGACTGGGGGAGCAGGGGAGGTACAAGTACTAGTATGTAAATGCCAAAAGTGATTTTGTTTCTTTGGCGAGCAAATCTACTACTACTACGACTCTTTTGGTGATGGAGGCATGTAGGGAGATGTTACGAACGAGTACGAGTAGGGCTGTTCGTGCACTGCAAGGTGGCGAGAAATTCATCTCTTTTCCATCCTTGCGGTTGATCGGGTCAGTCGCTTCGCTTAGATGTTGCTTAGAGGGACGATCCAATATCTGTCATTCGACGTGGATGAAACTTGTGATACTGATGGTTGAGGATATCTTTTGCTTGTCTATTCGGTGTAAACTTAGTTACGTGATGTGATCCCAGGCTTAAAGATGGTGTTAATGTCTGCCTCTATCGGTACATGTACTATCTCAAGCCCTTGCAAGTCCGGAATCCACTGTCCAAGCCGCGCACCTCGTCGGCTTCAACCCGAGCCAAGCAACCCGCAGAGCAAGACATCTTCGCCAACGGGTTTCCGGTCGTGGGAGTGCGTTCTCGGTAAAAGGGCAAAGGGCAGAAACAGGGCGTGGTGGGACGACGTGGAGGCGAGGTCACCTGTGCAGGAGGGCCAGAGGCTTAGACGCATGTAGTTGTAAGTACGAGTTATTACAACTACTGTATGTGGTTGAACGAATTAGTAAGGGGATCAAGACTTGTTGAGGTTTCTGGATAGATGGAATGTCTCGAGTACAGTGGCGAGAGGCCATGCATTGCGGTTCATCATGCGTGCGACTTGGGACCGTTGACGTCCAATGGAGATGCTACTATGGAATGGGCGAGTTGGACCGCCTAGGGCAAGTATAAGCGAGCCGTTGAAGCAGAGGAGCAGCAACTAGCCACGATCCGGGATGGACGATTATACGCATACGCACATTGTTGCAGATGACTGATGGGCAAGAGACAAAGAAAAAAACATCTCGACAAGATCAAAGAGGATGAGAAGAGCAGGAAAAGCAACACCAGGCCTTGACCCAACCAGGCCTAAGGCGAGTCGAAAGCCGCAAGCCCCCCAAGCGGGACGGCAAGGGGCAAAAAAAAAAAAGGAAAAGAGAGAGAGACAAATGAAAATCCAGGGAAAGAATACAATAAAATAAAAATAAAGAGCTTTGATCTATTTTTTCGTTTCTTCTTAGGGCCATGCATCTACTATGAAACCGCACAGAAAAAAGACAGGGGTGGCGTCTATCGTGTCGAGCTGTGAGAGGCTGGCGGCAGAGGCTGATGGGAGAATCCTGCTGGGGGATCGGCTGCAATGGAGGGGTGGCTGCTGCAGGTGGGAGGAGGGCGTTGGGGGCCGGTCAGCGGAAAGGGCTCTTGATTTTGCTTTCTTTCTTCTTTTTCTTCCTTGGATAGAGTCATCACAGGCTGTTGGAGGCGAGAATTGAGACACGAGAACGCCTTGATCCGATGGACTTGTGTGCATATATCGTACGAGTACGTGGATGTGCTTGAATCAAGCCAAGTTACGTGTAGGTACATGTAGTTATTGTTGTTCTTTTGCTCCAGTTGCTTGGTCACAGGTTGGGATGTGCTGTCAGCGTTGATTGGGAGAACCGAGGGGCGTCGTGACGAATGTTGTAACAAACAGGCCCCGTCGAATGTGGTGACGGTTCATTCCTTGGTGTTGTCGTCGCTTGCGGTTGTGTCGTTGAAGTGATGGATGTCTGGATCGGTATCAAATAGAGTGAAATCCCATCTGGGCGAGCGGATGGGACGGGACGTGCCCGGGCACTGGCAGCTTTATGGCTTGTTTGAGCCTAAACACGTACGTTGTTGTTGCTGCTGCTTTATCTGTTGGATGGGCGGGATGGGCAGAGCTTGGCTGCTGCAACTCATCATGTGTTTGTTGTTGACAAGCCGCCACAGTATCCATTGGGCCGCTTCGTCGTGGTACTGTAGTTAGTAGTAGAGGTAGTATAACAGGCCTGGATCGTCGTCGTATGTACCATGTCCCGGTTCTTCCCATCGGGGAAACCTCGTCGCTCGAAATACTACTCCCAAAGGGCTGAAACCGGGCTGAGCCATTTACTTACACGGCCAGCCAGCATATATTCTAAATTGTCTACATGACTTGCGCGCGCAGGCTCCTGCAGAGGTGGTGCCGACGACGTCGTGCGTTTGGTCGCCTGCAGCGAGTTATCCCGCGAAGAAGAGAGGGTTGGCAAGGGACGGCCCCTGGCATTGGCTGCCCCCTGCTAGGCCTCTTCTGGGCTGCGTTTTGCTGTGAAAATCCTGGGGAATGCTTTGGGCGTGCTGAGAGAGACCACAAGAGAAGCAGGCAGGCTCCTTATCATTGAGGTAGGGCGCTATTATCAGGCATCTACCTTGCCTATTGCGAAGTAACGGTCGATGCCTGAGCTTGCGAGCCGTGATACGACTCTCACGTACGAGTGCATGTACGAAAAAGGACCTGCTAGCCCAGATACAGCCATCCTCTGGTGTCTTGTGCGCAATGGCTGCGGCTCACGGAAGCAAAGGAGCCTGCGGTCGGCCGATGTTGATTGTGTTGTGTGTTGCTGGGGGAATGTTGGGGCTTCTGTGGAACGCAGATTCAATGGACTCGGCGACATCCGCGCTGGGACCGGAGGCGTCAAGTTCAACAAGTCCTGGACGCGGTTTGTTTCTGTTGAATTTGCTCGCAGCTGCCGTGCTGCCGACTTGCTTGATAATCGTGTACAAATCCCCCGTACGTAGCCCATCTTTTCTTGGCCGTCTTCTTGTTTTGTTTTGTTTTGTTCAAAGTTGTTATCGTTGCTGTCCATGACGTGGGTGGATCGCCGGCAGCCTTCTCTGCCGTGGCTCATATTACTTGTACACCCGTTTTCTTCGTTGCGGCGTATCTGTTTCCTGGATTTTCAACTCAAGAATTGTGAGTAGTTGTAAGGGGGGAGAAAAGAAAAGCGAGTTGGCTGCATCAGTCGGGTCTGGGCAGGGCTCGCCTGGCACGGCAGCTGCGCGTGCTTCGAGATGGCCTCCCCCCTCCGTGTACGGATATGCTTCATGACGTGCTAGCCGTCCTATCGTGTGCGGTGCTTCCCTCTACGTCGCATTGACCTGGGCCTGGCTCTGGGATTCGTGGAACGTGAACCCCAGCAGTCATATGTTGGAAGGGAAAACGGCTACGAACAAAGAGGAAGAGGAGGGCAAGAGATGGAAAAGCAGGTATCGTATGTAAGTGGTCGGTTGGGATGATCAGTCAAGGAGAAGCTTGCTTTCCACTACGTAGAGCCCGTATCGTACTCTAATTGAACGAGGCCGGAGATGGAGGGCACGAGCTACTATTACTACTAGTAGTAGTATTACGAGTCCATGCCACCATTTGCTGTGCCATCCTCTCCGTGATCCATCCGCCGTGAACTCGGTGGCCAGCAGTCGATTGGTCCACGGCCAGACTACGAAAGCAGCTTCCGAGTGCCACCTGGCAATGTTGTGCTGCAAATGGAGCAGACACCAGCCCTTTCTCGAACGAAGAGGACGGGCCTCAGATCCATGCACAGGTCGATACGTTGAGCTAGCGATCCCAATGCTGGCCGAGAGTCAGCAGACCGGCGCTGTCGGGGGCTCTGGCCAGCTCTCTGCCCTGTACGGTGGTTCGTGCAAGTACTTGTACGAGTTGCGTGTACCGACGACGATGGAAGAGGCTGGGAGTTGGATGTTGTGGCGCTTGGCCAGGGTGGGTGCAGATGCCAGAGCGGCTCTGGGTGCAAATCATCGATATGCCCAATGACTAAGTTGTTTGGCACCAACAAACCGGTAAGAACTACGTACCTGCTTGTACATCCATTGAATTGCACGTTCTGCTTGTTCCTTTCATTTGTTTGTAACAAACGGTAAGACGGCGTCCAGCCAGTCGTTCGGCGTCTTTTTACATCTCCGCAGTAAGCATAAGGTAGGTACAGAGCATCCTCGCACAGCGTCCTGGATGAAACCGCGCCGCTTCATGGCAAAGCCAAATCCGCATCGCTTCTTCATGCTCCCATTTTTGCTTTCTTTCCCGCACAAAAAGAAACACGGAGCTTCCTATTGGTGTTGCATCGAGCTTTCACATCAACCGGCCGCCTAATCTCGCCCTCTGCCTCGGCGTCAGGTGTGCCAATCATACCGCAGCGTCAGGAAACACCCGGTACTTGCCGGCCTGACACCAGCACCAGGGACAGGCGCTGTGTGTACGAGTACTCCCCCCACGCGCTGGATCTAGGTACTTGGCGCTACTTGGCGCTGCCTGGCTGTGCATCGACAGCGCATGCCTCGTAACCCTGGTCAACTGTACCCTGCCGTACCCTGCGCGATTGGCACATGCCTTGCTCCCTCCACGGATCCAACTCTGGCACGCCCCATGTCCTTGTTCTCACGGACCCGTCTCTCTCTCTCTCTCGCCCTCTTCGTCTTCCTCCTCTCTTCTCTTCCTCCCCTTCCATCGTATTCCCACACCCTTCCACCCGTCCACTCCATGCCTGCCTTGCTGCTGCTCCTGGTGCTAGTAGTACGAGTACTCGTAGTGCCGCCCTGAAGCAGAGTCCCACCATCGTGGCCAACCCGATTGATTGTGTCATCCTTTGCGCACTTGTTTCCGCTCCGCGTCCCCCAAGCCAAGCACAAAGGCCCTGTCGCTGGCCCTGTCATCCTCTTCCCCGGCTCCAACGAATATTATTCACACATTTTCCCCCCTCTCCCTTCACTATTCTTTCGCCATTCAGTTTCTGTGCGAGCCTGCATATCCAGACACTCCCCCATCCGGCCCCGGTTCTGCTGCACACGCTCGAGCTCTGCTGACGCCACCCCCCTCGACCCCCGAACCCATTGGCTGGCCTTGAGCATCGGGCCAGAAACACCAACGTGCTAGTACGACGCACGCAAGGGAAGGGCCTCAACGTTGGGCATCGCGCCCATCCGATCCTCCCGCATCGCTGTATGTACTGTAATTCCAGTACTGTACCCTGTGTCGAGCCAACCACCATGAGCCGGGCCTAGGCTGCCAAACCTCACACCTCTGTTCCCACTCAAGCAGCCCGTAACAACAAAGCAGCCCGAACCACCACAGCCAGCATCAGCAGCAAGCACAAGCATAAGCACCAGCACCAGCACCAGTCGAGGCTTGCCCCGTTGGCATGCATGCTCTGCGAACCCACGACCTGCTCCCCTATCCACAGCCATGAACAGGCCACCGGCTGCTGCGACTGACGGCGACGGCGCCACACAGGCCGGGCCCGACATGGCGAATCATCAGCCCACACCTGGTGCGCCTGCGTCCGGTGCGACGTCGAGCAATCCAAGTGCCAATCCGAGTACCAGCTCCAGCTCCAGCTCCAGCTCCGGTGCCAGCGCCAGTAATACCAGTGCCAATCCAGCTGCTGCTGCCGCCAGCATCAGTGCTACGGCGACGTCGACTCACTCGTCCGCAAGCAACTCCGTCGCCCATTCACCCATGGGCTCCCGAGACCCCTCCCCGACCCGTCAACCCCGGAGAGCAACTTCGTCGTCGGGCAGGATCAACGGCGCGACATCACGGAACAACAGCCAGCAGGCCCAGAGCCCGTCTCCCCAGCGCAAGTCGACCCTCGCCCGGCCTGCCTCCGGCCTTCGAAGCCTCTCCGCGACCACCACGCCGGCTCTCGTGCCCGTGACCGCCAACAACGACTCACAGTCCCAGTCTCAGTCCCAATCGCCGTCGCAGTCCCAGGTCCACGCCCAGGCACCAACCGCACCGCAGAAGCCTGCACAGTCGTCCGAGTTGAGAGACAGCACGAAATGGCCCGTGTCGCCCCGTATACGCTCCCCTCCACCGCAACAACTTAGAAACGGCAGCACGACGACGCCTCGCCCCCCGAGCGAGCAGGATCCGCCCCCTTCCTCCTCCTCTCCTCCTCCCCCCATCATCATCAACGTACAGCACCCTAGCCCATCTTCCATCCAGGCCGAATCATACCAGTCCCTGACCGCCAGCGAGAGCGAAGCCGAGGACCTGCAGATGGCGTCCGGCCTCCGAACGCCGGCCCGCGGGCCTCTGGAAACCGTGCAAGAAGTCAGCCAACCAAACTCGCCAGCCCGCTTTCGCGGCCAGCAGGACGCCTCTCTCCTGGAGCACGTTAGGGAAAAGTTTTCCTACGCCGACAATCAATCCGACGTGGATGGCGGCCGGACGCTGCGAGCCAGACCTATGCTTCCCGGTTACGAAAATGGCGGCGACAGCAGGACTGAGTCTAGGAGGACAACCTCTGTCCCTCCGCCCCTCATCTCCAGACAGTCGAGTGCCATCATGCTGTCGAAGCAAGCCAAAGCCCGGCCCGAGGGCTCTACGCAGACAATGACGGTCGAGACGGAGACTGTGGCGAGCATTCCCCAGGTGGCGCTTGCGGTAGGCCCGAAGCCTGATGGCATCAATGGTACTCTGAGGACGAAGCAGAGCACAGAAACCATTAGGCCCCCGAAGAAGGAAAAGAAGAGATCCTCCCGTAAACAGCCAGTCAACAGCGGAAATGGTGAGATTCTTGTTCCCCCCCCCTTCTCGTTCCCTCCACTCTGCATCAGAACTCTACATGGTTCCCGTGCGAATCAGTATACCTCGGCCATGAAAACAGCCATGCTAAACTACTTGCTAGGGTCATCCAAGGCGGACATCTTCGAGGCCAAAATTGCCAACGCTGTCGATGAAGCTAATACCTCCGACTCGGAAGAGACGTTTGTATACGATTCTAACCCCCCGGACGTTGGCGAGCGAGCCTCACGCCGCTTCCACTCCCGCACCCCCAGTGCCACTTCCATAGTAAGCCAGAGCGATCGCCCCAACATGCGGGCGATATACGGCATCGTCGATGGCCATGGTCCTGCGCCTAAGAAGAGCATGAAGTTCCCCAACACTTACGTCAACGGCCCCATCAACGACGGCATGTTGACCGGGGACGAGGACGGCAGGGGAACCGGCCGCAGCGCCAGCGGTTCTGGCCGAGGCACCGTCCGGCAGCATCACCACATAGGCCGCTGGGGTCGACAGCCGAACAACGGCCATGCTTCGCTTTTCGACAACGAATCGCCCTTCCAGAATGCGTCAAGACCAAAGATGACTAGCTCTCGCCACTCCTCCGGACCCCCGAGCCCGAGAAATCACCCCTCCATGCGGGGACCCCTGAGCTCCAAACGCTCGGTGATGCACATGTCCTCGAGCTATGATTTGGACGAAACGACGGGCGCGGATGACGAGCGCAGGCCTCTCCTCGACAACAACCGCAGAGGAGGACGATTCAGGCGTGGCCCGCACAACTTGCGGCAGGCTGAGGCGCAGACGTACTCTAGGAGGTCGTCGTATCTCAACCGATTTGCCGCATGTCTGGTCCTCACCATGATGTTCCTCTTGGTCATTACGGGTGCCATAGGTTTCATGTTTGCGACGTCCCAGCCCCTCAGCGACATTGAGATTGTCTCCATTCACAATGTCGTCACCAGCGAGCAGGTCCTCATGTTTGATGTCACCGTCAAGGCGCACAACCCCAACATTGTGGTTGTCACCATTGATCATGCCAACCTCGAGATCTTCGCCAAATCAGAGTATGGAGGCGCCGACTCGGACTGGTGGGATAACCCCGATGGACCGCGAGACAACTTGGTACGTCCGTACGACGATCCCATCAATGATCCAACCACTCCTGGGGGAGAGGACGAAACGAAGCCCAACATACTCCTCGGACGCATTACCGAGTTTGACAGTCCCCTGACATTTGAGGGATCTCTGTTCCATCAGGGTCTGTCCTCGTCGACTGGCGAAATGCAGCTGCCGTATCCCGGGAACGGCACAGCGGGCGGCTCAAAGCGCTGGGAGCGTATCTATCAGAACGAATTTGACCTCATTGTCAAGGGAGTGGTCAAATACAGCCTTCCCCTGAGCGCCCACATTCGCAGCGCTACCGTTGCAGGACGAACGACAGTCAAACCGAACTCCGCCAACAACCCGCCATCAAAACCAAATGTCACGGCGGAGAATTTCGAAGTATAAGACGGAGGCATCCTTTTCGTCTCTTCAGAGATGCTGCGTTGATGCCGTCTTGTTCTTGTTCATCCCCCCCTTCCTTTCCCTTCCTCGCTCCCCCCCTTTTTCTTTTTCTCTTTATTTTCCCCTTCCATTTTTTCCATATCTTAGTCTTGTTTGTGTACATCGAGCGCGCATAGCGAGGTTTCTTACGGAGCAGAGGCGTTTGACTGCAATTTTCAACAATATCATGGCTTGTTCAGTTACCGGCAAGGACAAAGTTGGCCCTGCCTAGGTGTCTTTTTTTGGGTCTCTTCATGTGTCAGAGTTCACCGGGGGGCTCCGAGACTCGCCCTCTTCATTTTCATTGTTTCCCCTTCCTCCTCTTTCCCCTTTCTCTATTTCTTCGTTTTGACGTGGCATACACCGCTGGCTTTGAGACGAAATATGCCTTTCCTAAGCAACAGATGTACAAGATGAAAAGTAAAAAACAGGGAGCACACGAGGCATTCGGATGGAGTTTTCTTTATACCTTACGCAGCATAGATGAAAAAGTGGCAACTACTCCCCCTCCTTGTTTTGTCATTGTAACGCTTTTTCCTCATGACAAGCGGTCGATTCCGTTCACACGCAGCTGTTTTTATTCTGGCGCTTCTTCGATAGGAGGATAAGGGGACTGTTGTAGAAGCGAGTCTTAGAATACAGAAAGAGATGTTGTGGGGGGGAGAGGGAGCAAGATGGGCTGAATTGATGCATCAGATGGAGTTTATAGTAAAACGAAAAGATACAGTGAGGAAGAAATGATTCGAAGCGATACATGAAGTTATTTTCACAGATGTATATACTCGGTAGAATTCGTCAAAAATAATGGTTGCATTTGAACGGTGAATTGTGTGATTGGGGGGGACGAAATCATGATGCTTTCTCAGATGTGCCCCCGAAATCTGTATAACTCCTAAAACGCCTCCCACTCGCCAGCCTTTTCTTTGTGTGTGAAATCATGAACATGTAACATCAAACAGTGTTTGACCAAAGACGGAAAGGAAATCCTTCTTGAACACAAGTCCCTTTGAATTCCACGACGGGGCTCTTGTATACCAGCATATGAAAATGAGAAGAGCTGCTCGAACGAAAAACAGAGAGAAACATGGAATAAGGGAGAAAGGGGAGAGAGAGAGAGAGAGAGAGAGAGAGAGAGAGAGAGAGAAAGGAGCGCAAAGAAGAGGGCGAGAACATGGGTAGTAGCCCCGCGCTCATGAAAAGTGAATGCCCTCCTCGTTAAAGGCAAACAGCATCCGCAAGAAGTCGTTCTCATCGCACTTGCTCGCACGCTTGTCCGCCAGCTCCGTCACGTCCTCGAGCACCTTGCGGATCTTCTCGCGGACGAGCTCGGCGACCCTTGTCTTCTTGCGCTTGCTCTTCGTCTTGGGGGCGTTGTTGTTGCTGGCGGACTTTGAGGAATCCTTGAAGAAGCTGGGCGTGTCATCGTCGGCGTCGGCAGCATCGCCGTCAACGTCCATGCCGGCGTCCTCGTCCACGTCCATCTCTTCGTCGTCGCCGTCGTCGTTGTCGTTGTCGTCTTGGTCGTCGCCGCCTTCGACGAGGCTCTCATCGATGGGGACGCCGTTCATGGCGCACCACGTGCGGTAGTTCCTCTCCACCATGGCGAGGACCTCCTTGGTGCCCAGCCAGCTGGCGCGCAGCGTCTTGTTCTTGCGGACGAAGCACACGCGCAGCAGGCCGTCCCACTCGTCCCAGCTGACGTTGGGCCGGTCCTTGCCCATCTTGGGCTCGATGCGCACGACCGAGGACTCGACCTGGGGCGGCGGGCGGAAGTTGTTCTTGCCCACCTTCATGATGTGGGTGATCTTGGCCCAGAACTGGGCGTTGACGGAGAGGGCCGTCAGGCGGAGGGCGAACTCGCGCTGGAACATGAGGACGGAGCAGCGCGGGGGGTTGGGCATGGAGAGGAGCTTGAAGACGAGGGGGCTGGAGATCTGTTTTTTTGTACCAAGAGACGAAGGTTAGTAAAATCTTGGACGATTTGAAATGTGCGAAAGTTTACCGAGGAGGAGGGAAAGAAAGCCGCAGCATACCTGATAGGGGGTATTTGAGATGCAAACGTCAAACGCCGGCAGCTCCGTCTTGATCACGTCTCCCAGCAGGACCTCGAGCTTGCGCTGCTCGGGCTTTCCCTGCACTCGCTTGGTGACCTCGGCCGCCATCCTGGGATCGAGCTCGACGCAGATGCACTTCTTGGCCTGCTCGAGGATGCGGACCGTCAGGTTGCCCGTGCCGGGGCCGACCTCGAGGACGGTGTCCGTGGGCTTGAGGAAGGCCTTTTGCACAATGGCGTCCGAGACACCGGGGTTCTTGAGGATGTGCTGGCCAAAGTTGGTGTTGAACTTGAAGACGTTGTTCGTCTTGGAGCCCTTTCCGCTCGGCTTCTCGTAGGGGCCGCTGGAAGCGTTGTTGCGCTTCCCCTTTTCGGCTTTGGCCATCTTGACAGAATGTCTGATTTGGCGCGAGTTGGGTATATTATTTCGAGGAGGAGCGCCGGTTGCGAGATCGTGGGGGAGACGAGGGGTGATGATACCTTATTCTTTCGTAGACAAGAAAAAAAAAAAAGTATCCCGAGGCGGAATTATCGATAAGCGGAAAGGCGGGTACTAGACTTTGAGCACGGGTGTCAATTTGTCACACATAATGCGCCGCTACTGACCCAGAATCTTCACGTGGCAAAAGCTTCCCTTGCACACCCTACGGGCAAGGCTATTGTTGCCTTCGCGACAGTGGCTTTTCTGCCTTTCTCAAACCCCGTCATCCTTTCACTCCTTCTTCTTCTTCACCGCCAAGCATCCCGCTTCAGACGCGAGAACGATGACGTCCCGACGCGACTTTCTGAGCCAGCCGGCTCCAGAAAACTACGTCGCTGGTCTGGGTCGAGGTGCCACCGGCTTCACAACCCGATCCGATCTTGGGCCTGCTCGTGACGGCCCCAGCGAAGATCAGATCAAGGAGGCGCTTGCGAAGCGCGCTGCACAGCTCGGCCTCGTCCCCGACGGCAAGAAGGGCAAGGAAAAGGAGGAAGAGGAAGACGACGAGCGATACCAGGACCCCGACAATGAAGTGGGATTGTTCGCCGGCGGCGTCTACGACAAGGAGGACGAGGAGGCAGATAAGATCTGGGAATGGGTCGACGAGCGAATGGACCGGCGGAAACGGCAGCGGGAGGCCCGCGAGCAGGCCGAGCGGGAGGAATACGAGAGGAACAACCCCAAGATCCAGCAGCAGTTTTCGGACCTCAAGCGCGCCCTGGCCACGGTCTCGGACGAGGACTGGGCCAACCTGCCCGAGGTGGGAGACTTGACCGGCAAGAATCGACGGAGCAAGCAGGCGCTGCGACAGCGGTTCTACGCGGTGCCGGACAGCGTGCTTGCGGCGGCGCGGGATGCGGGAGAGATGGGCACGACGGTCGTCGACGATGGAGCAGCGACGAGCACGACGGACGCATCCGACGGCACAATGACCAACTTTGCCCAGATTGGTGCTGCTCGTGACAGAGTGCTCAAGTCGAGGCTGGAACAGGCGTCTCAGACGGCTGGTGGCGAGTCCGTCATCGGAAGCTCGACGAGCATCGATGCGCAGGGATACATCACGAGCCTCAACAAGATGCAGGTGAACGAGTCGCAGGCCCAGGTTGGCGACATCAACCGAGTACGAGAGCTGCTTCAGTCTGTCGTCAAGACGAACCCGAACAATGCCCTGGGTTGGATCGCTGCGGCTCGACTGGAGGAGCTGGCGGGCAAGATTGTGGCGGCGCGGAAGACGATCGATCAGGGATGCACCCGATGTCCCAAGAGCGAAGACGCATGGCTGGAGAACATCCGACTTAACCACGACTCACCGAACAGCAAGATCATTGCACGACGAGCCATCGAGGCGAACCCTAGATCCGTTCGGCTTTGGGTCGAGGCGATGAGGCTGGAAAACATTCCCAGCCATAAGAAGAGAGTTATACGACAGGCGCTGGACCATATTCCAGAGTCGGAAGCGCTGTGGAAGGAGGCCGTGAACCTGGAGGACGACCCCGAAGACGCCAAGCTGATGCTGGCAAAGGCTACGGAGCTCATCCCGCTATCCGTCGACCTCTGGCTGGCCCTGGCGCGGCTGGAAACCCCCGAGAACGCGCAAAAGGTCCTGAACAAGGCTCGAAAGGCCGTTCCCACGTCCCACGAGATTTGGATTGCCGCTGCTCGTCTCCAGGAGCAGCTTGGCCAAGGCCATAAGAGCGCTGTTATGAAGCGGGCCGTTCAAGTTTTGGCAAAGGAGTCAGCCATGCCGAAGCGCGAGGAGTGGATCAGCGAGGCGGAGAAGTGCGAAGAAGAGGGCGCCATTGTCACCTGCCAGAACATCATCCAGGAGACGCTGGGTTGGGGCCTGGACGAAGACGACGACCGCAAGGACACGTGGATGGAGGACGCCAGGGCAAGCATCAACCGAGGCAAGTACGAAACCGCGAGAGCCATCTACGCGTACGCACTGCGCGTCTTCGTCAACAGCCGGACCATGTGGATGGCTGCCGCGGATCTCGAGCGGAATCACGGAACACGCGAGTCTCTGTGGCAGGTGCTGGAGAAGGCGGTGGAGGCGTGCCCCAAGAGCGAGGATCTGTGGATGATGCTGGCCAAGGAGAAGTGGCAGTCTGGCGACGTGGACAATGCCAGACTGGTGCTCAAGCGAGCCTTCAACCAGAACCCCAACAACGAAGACATCTGGCTGGCTGCCGTCAAGCTGGAATCCGAAAACGGCAACGAAGAGCAGGCCCGGAAACTGCTCGAGGTTGCGCGGGAACAGGCGCCTACAGACCGTGTCTGGATGAAGAGCGTCGTCTTTGAGCGCGTACTGGGCAACGTCGAAACGGCACTTGACCTTGTGCTGCAGGCGCTGCAGCTCTTCCCCGCCGCCGCCAAGCTGTGGATGCTCAAGGGCCAAATCTACGAGGACCTGGGCAAGACGGGCCAGGCCCGAGAAGCATACGCCGCAGGCGTCAAGGCGGTGCCCCGATCGGTGCCCCTGTGGCTTCTCTACTCCCGGCTGGAGGAAAACGCCGGCCTGATTGTCAAGGCGCGCTCGGTCCTCGACCGAGCGCGACTGGCCGTGCCCAAGAACGGAGAGCTCTGGTGCGAGTCGGTGCGCCTCGAGCGCCGCGCCGGCAACATGGCCCAGGCCAAGTCGCTCATGGCCAAGGCGCTCCAGGAAGTGCCCAAGAGCGGCCTGCTGTGGGTCGAGCAGATCTGGCACCTGGAGCCTCGCACGCAGCGCAAGCCGCGCAGCCTCGAGGCCATCAAGAAGGTGGACAACGACCCGATCCTGTTCGTGGCCGTCGCGCGCATCTTCTGGGCGGACCGCAAGCTGGAGAAGGCGCAGAGCTGGTTCGAGAAGGCGCTCGTGCTGGACGCGGACCGCGGCGACAGCTGGGCGTGGTACTACAAGTTCCTGGTGCAGCACGGCACGGACGAGAAGAGGGCCGACATGGTGACCAAGTGCGTGCTCAACGAGCCGAGGCACGGCGAGGTGTGGCAGGCCGTGGCCAAGAACCCGAAGAATGCGAAGAAGAGCGTCGAGGAGATTCTCAAACTCGTTGCAGCGGAGTTGGAGCAGTGATTTCTAGTTTTTTTTTTTTTTTTTTTTTTTTTTTTTCTTTTTTTTTCCTGTTGCTAAAAAGAGTAGAGAGCAAAGGGCGTCTATTTGGTTCACAAATGGCATGGGAGTTTGAGGCTTAGGGCTGGGATTCTTTTTGATTGTTTTCTTTGCGGTTTCTTTTGAGAGCGCCCGTGTATGTCGGGTTCTCATCGACTGGCAGTTTGGTCAGGCTTGCTTAGAACATCCACGATGTGTATTCACTCCCGTTTCAGAAAATAGATGACATGGTAGAAATTGGCGAATGGTATGAACTCAGTTACTAGTAGTTTAGCTCAACGAACCAAAGGTATTGTCCTTCCCCCTTCGACTCATAAAGACATATAAAAGACAAAGAAGATGGCCAGAGTCTGTTTTGCTGCGACTCTCCTCCACTGACACGCGCCGTGTCCCACTTTCTTCTCCTTCTTCTTCCCTCCTCGACAGTCTTGTTGTCGTTCTTTTTTTAGTTTTATCTTTTGTTCATTTTACTTGCTGCCGCCAAACCAGCTCGAGATACCACCCTTTGCCTTGGCCGCGCCGTCCTCCACCTTGCGGTCAAACTTGTCGACGGCTTTCAGAGCTTCGCTTTTGGCGTCCTTGGCATAGGCCTCGGCCTCCTTCTTGAGCTTGATGGCTTCTCTATCGGCTTCGGCCCACTAATTTTCAAGAAAAAAAGAAGAAATGGTCAGCTTTTATGTTACGAAAAGAACTGGAACATAAGAGTTGGGGGGAACTGGGTGGGACGTGAAGAAGAAGAAGAAGAAGAGGTGAAGTTACGCACAGCCTTGTCGATTTTGGCGCCGGCCTCCTGGCCGTAGCCCTTGAATTCCTTTTCGGCGTTGGGAGAGTTGCCGGGGAGGTGGGATCTGATCTTGGCCGAGGCGCGGTCGGCGTCGCTCTCAAACTTCTTCTCGGCGGCCTTTGCGTTGCCGCCGGCGCCGTAGAGGTAGTAGCCGATTCCGCCGGCGGCGCCGAGGCCGAGGATCAGGGGCATTCGTGACTTGGTCGACATGATTGTGTGTGTGTTTGTGTGTGTGTTTTTTTGGTTGTGTGGTGGTGGTGGTGGTGATGTGTGTTTTGCGGTGGTTGTCTGGGATATGGGAGGTGAGAAGTTGGTGATGCTGACGAGGTGGCGAATTGGAGATGGTTTCAAAAGAACTGACGAGCTCTTATCTGGTATATATAGATAGGTAGCGGAAAGGGGAGAGAAGATGGAAGCAAGTTCCAAGAGGGGACGAAGGAATTGAGATGCAGGAAACCACGAGGAATCTTGTTGCGGTACTACTACTAGTAGGTACTAAGGTAAGGCAGCTGGGTACGAAGGACCTTGGTTACGTGGGCTTTGCTATACAGTACAGCAGAAACTGATAATATTCGTCTGATGAGTTTGCTTGTGGACATACTTCATTATGACGCATGCCCTGTTTTCGTGTATGAGTGACAGGCGCCGAGTGCAAGAGGTTCGTGATGGTGATGCAAAGAATTGGACGTGGATATACATGACGTAGTGTGGCAGAGGGGGCGGGGCGGCAAGTACAAGTACCCCGGATTTTGGGTACGGGTTTGCATGGGCTATTATATCGACAACTCAAAGAGTATGAATAGGTACTGTGCTTTTTTTGGAAGAACTTCCTGATTATATGACATGATGCGGAATGGATCAACGCCTGGTATTCTTCGGCGATGGAAGGATATGTGCCAATTATACATACATACATACATACATGGAGGAACTGGTCAACAGGGGGGATGACGATGGCGAGTATCGATACTGCAGCTCATGGCACCAGACTCCAATCGACGGCAGACTCCACTCAAGGGGATGCTCTTCCGGTGCCTGTTCAGTTAGTAGTAGTACTTGCAGGCGTTGGCAGCCCTGGAGAACGGGCAGCGATCCGTGCTAGAGGACTCAAGCTGCTAGGGATCTCCTTAGCGCGCCGTCTGTAGCCGCCATTACATCATTGAAGCCTGCAGCTCAGCCAAGCAAGGCTTTATAGCAACGAGGGCTCACGATCTTGGCACAACAGAGCAGGCAATTTACATATTCTTCTATAAGGTACGATACATTGGACTACCACCTTTTCTACTTGCTTGGACTATGTAGTTGGTATAGCACGTGCAATATCACAGATGACATGCATTGGGCTGTTCCATCTACCTGCCTTACCATCTACATAGGTAATCGCAGCGTCTCCCTCCCCCCACCCAGTCGCGCCATGGGTGGCCCAAAGCAGTAAAACAACTTGTTTCCTTCAGCCGCCCCGTGCTTTTCCCTCCTTTTACATCCATACCTACACATACAACAAAAGGTCTCCCTCTTGCTTCTCTCCTTGTGGAGCGTTCCTGGTTTCTTCGTGCTGGAGATTGTCCCTCCCGGTCCCTCTTCCCCTGGATTCTGGACGGCCCAATGAATGCTTGAAGCGCCAAGGTGATGCATCGTGGCTCTTCTCTTGCAGGCCTCTCAAGCTGTTGTTAGTCGGTGACGTGAAATCGAATCCCTTCAGCCGTCCACTTTCGATCCATCCCATACGCTCTTCCCTTTGGCCAGATACCGCAACCGCGCACCATATCCGCTCTTTGATTCGAACAACCGTGGCCACTTACAGTCGCTACGACAGCCTCATGACTTGCTGACGACGGCGAGCAAAATGCACGGCTCTCGCCGCACGGCAAACCTGCAGCCGGGCGACTATGACCACGAGATCACAATCACGGACGACGAAGCGGCCCAGTCGCTGCGAGCCACGAGCTCCGTGTCTGTAGGCGGAGACCTGGTTCCCACGAACACCTCGACGCGCCTGCTCTCCTCCGATGGAGAGCCGGAGACGGAGCAAGGCCAGGAGCAGCAGCCGCCAGACGGTCGCGAGACGGAGCGCCGAGATCACGCTCATCTACATCCGAGTGCATCAAAGGGGAAAGATGGCGCTACGACATACCAGGCAACCGCATTGGAGACTACAAGCGAATTAGGCCAGTCGCATTCTAGCGTGAGGCCGTCGATTGAGATTCGGGGTAGGTTGAGATTGTGTCTGGATCACAGAGAGCAGTAGGCTGACTCTCTGTTGCAGCGCCAAGCGTCGAGAATTCGCAGCACACGTCGAACTGGGATGCCCGCTCAAGGCCAAAGTCGAGGGAGAAGCCAGAAACGGCCATAGACATTCTCTACGAAAATGAAAGAGGAGGGTTCATGTGTGGCATTCCCTTGTTTTCCAGCGCAGCCCTCGGTTGCCTTGATCCCACCCCCTGGAGTAAGTGACAGCGCACGATAACGGCCGATGCATACGAATCAAAGAGGACTGACCAGTTACTGTGCAGCCAACGCATACCACCATCCATCCCCCACGGACATTCATACGGCGCAAGTTCCCGATCCTTCATGGGAGTGGGTATGGCCCGAATGGCGCATCAACCACCAAGACGGCATGGATGAAGGCGGCTGGGAGTATTCTTTTGCCTTTCAGAGGCCCTTCTCCTGGCATGGGCCAACATGGTGGAACTCGTTTGTCAGGCGCCGTGCTTGGATCCGCATGAGAGCAAGGAGGCGACCTGAAGACTTGCCCGCCGATCCAAACTTGCTTGCGGGAGTGGACTATTTCAAGATTCGCCCGGCATCCGTTCTCGGACCTCCTTTGCCTGGCAGTGTGGCCGGTAGCAGGGTCCCAAGCAGGGTCCCGAGCAAGGTCAGTCTGACGCAGGCATCATCTGCTGGGCACGAACGGGAGCGGCCGGACATTGAGGACATGGACATGCTTCTTCAGGCCCTCCGCTCTGCCAGGATTGACCGAGAGAAGTGGGAGGCCATCGAGAACTACGTCGAACACGCCATAGACCTCTCAGAGCTGCAGCACAAGATGCACGAGATAATGTCTCTCTTCGTCTTTCAGCAATCGCGCAGGCAGCTGCTGTCGTACCTCATGCAGAAGCATGATGAGATTGCCAAGGCGTGGGAAGAGGACAAGAGCCCGGAACTGAAGCGACGCAAGGAGGCCCTCGATGCTGCGACCAAGCACGCTGAAGAGGAGGTCTGCAAGCTGGCCTACTGGAGCGATGTTAAGCAGATGGCCGAGAGCGGAGAGCTGCGAGACGTGGTTGACTCTTGCGAGGGGCTGGGAACCGATGCGTGGCAGGGCCTGGATAAGAGTGCTCCAGAGCCTCCCCGGAACGGCAAGATGCCGCAGAGTTGAGACTGGGCAGGTCTGTACATATACCCTTTGTTTTTTAAGAAAGAGGCGGGCCTGGTTTTACGCACGCATGGTTTGAGAGCTACGGCACGGGTCGTATGGAATGATATCGGTGAACTGGCGTTACTTGTGGAAAGGTCGGGGGCACGATGGTGTTTGATATACTTAGTCACTGCCGGAGTATCTACTTGCAAACAAAGGAGCGCAGCATATGGCGATTAGATTCCAGGTAGTAGCACATTACGGGTGTTCTAGAATAGTAGAATACTGGCTCTCTGCCATGCAAGCAAATAATTTTTCTCAAAATCACATCACTTTGAAAGCTGATGCGCAGCTGTACCTTAGGTTAGCATCTGAGGCATCTTCACTGTGGCTGTACCTTACCTGTACTAGGTAGTAACAAGCTGCTCGCACGTGACCGCCTTCAGAAGCCAAAGAGGCAAAGGGCCAATGGAAAATCTCTTATCGGTGCTTTATCGGCCGTGCAGTTCCCGATCTGTACCGCTGCGAATCTCCCGCTCGCTCCTCTTGCCCCGATGTAAAGCAAACAACAATGCGCACCTCATGACCAATGTTCTTAGGGATCAAGTCGATTTGGAGGACTCGGTCCCAACTCAAACTCATCGGCACACCTGCTTTCTGTCCGCCTCGCCCGCTGCCATGGCGTTCCTCCGCGGCGTCTCTTGCCCTGGCCTCGAGCCGGCGCCTTGCGTCTTCGGCGGCCCTGACGAGTGAATCCCCTGCCGAGGGACCGCGGGTTGGCGGAGCGGAAGCAGAAGCAGAAGCAGAAGCAGAGGCAGGAGCAGAAGCTGAGACAGGCTTCTCTGACGAACTGACATCGCCTGCACAAGAGGCGGCGGCAGAAGCAGCGCGCGCCAAGAAGGCCCGGAACCGCATGTTCAGACAGGCCTTCACGGACAGGAGCCCGGCGCGGCTGCGGGACGCAGAGCGGAAGCTGGCCTCGCCGTACGTGCCCACGGTGCGCGACTATCCGTCGGCATATGCCGCCAAGGAGAGCAGGACGCACGCGCTGCAGGTGGCGAGGGTGCAGGTCGCGTTCGACGAGATCTGGCGGCACTTTGGCCACGGCATCCCGGACTGGAGCGAGACGTTCAACCTGCTCAAGAGGATGATGACGAGGCGGAGCGAGCCGTCGAGCATGGCCGCCATGCGCATCGTCCTGCCCAAGTCGTGGGCGCTGGAGCTGGGGAGCAAGAAGATTGAGTTTGTGGACTCGACGACGGGGCTGCTGGCCAAGCTGCGCGTCTCGTCGGACCACCAGGACCCCTCCGCCATCATCCTGCGGGGGAAGAGCTCGGTGCTGGCCAACGCCGCTGAGGAGCTGGTGGCCGCGTGCAAGGACGTCGAGGTCTACAAGCTCGGCGAGGTCGCGGCCTTTGGGTACGAGGTGCAGCGCCTCTGGCCGGGCATCGAGGGCGCGGCGGACGGGGGCTCGCTCATCCCCGACGACAAGCAGGACAACATCTGGGTGCATCAAGAGTACCAGACGTACTGGATCGACACGCCGTACGAGGAGGCGCCCAGGCCGGAGATGTGGACGATGGAGAACCTCGACGGGTACATCAGGATGCTTGTCTGCGGTCGGCTTCGTCCGCACCTCGCCCTGCGCTATTATGCAAAGCCGGAGAAGGACGGCACCTTTGTCGACACGGACGGCATCAGGGTCCAGCTCATCATGGCCGCGCTCACCGATGAAGACGCCAAGGCCTGCATCACGCCGTCGATCCTCAAGATGGCCATGTCGTTCATGGCGCATAAAGGCGGCCACCGAGCCGACGCAGATCGGCTGCTGACTCTGGCCGAGGAATGGGGCATACCCCTGGACACCGAGGCCTACAACATCATGCTCGAGGGCTACGTCACCAAGCGCGACGTTGCCTTCTTCCATAAGCTGCTCCTCAAGATGCAGCAGCGCTACTTCCAGCCCAATGCCCGGACGTGGCTGTTGTTCCTCGAGCTCGTCGAAAAGGAGATGGAAAGGAGGCAAATCATTGTTGCCATGTACGACCTCGGGCTGTTCAAGGACCCGGCCACCCGCCGAGGAATCGCCCGGATCATGGCCACGCACGACGCCTACGTTGCGTTTCGCTCCGGCAAGCGACTGGACGCCTTCATGGCGGAGCAAAAGTCGCGCTACGGGGACGACTGGTTCACCACGGACGCCATGAACAGCATCCTGACCGAGTTCTTCCGCTTCCACGAGCGTTCCCACCGCCGCTTCGACGACTTCCGCGGCCTCATCGAGAAGCAGTCCGAGGACGGCCGCAAGGTGGGCACCGACACCATCAACCTGGTGCTCGAAAAGTGTTTAGTCTACAAGGACTGGGACACGGCCGTCTGGGCGCTCACGAAGCTGCACGAGTCGGGCTGCGAGGCGGACCACCTGACGTACCAGTACGTGATCCGCCTGGCCATCCGCCTCCACCTCCCGCACGCCCTCGGCGTGGCCGTCTTCTACGCCGCGCTCGAGTACAAGCTGCGGGACGTCACGCGCGTCATCCTCCGCCGCCTCCTCCTCGGCCACGCCAAGGACGCCTTCTGGCTGGACCACAGGCCCTTCATCATGACCAAGGACATGGGCCGCCTCCTCATGGAGAACAAGGCCCAGGGCATCTCCCGCGTCGTCTCCCGCGTGGAGTGGGCCATCAACACGGCCTGCGAGGGCTACAAGCCGTCCAAGCCCCTCGCAAAGGTGCTCGACCTCGCGCAGAGGACGAGGGACCGGCCGCTGCAGCTGAGGCGCGCGTTTCCGGAGAATTTCACGTATGAAGGGGCGCACGACGCGAAGCAGGACATGGCCCTGCGGATGGAGAGGATACAGGAGGAGGAAGGGGACGAGAAGAAGCCGGTGAATGTGTTTTTGACGTGGCACTTTGATCCGCGGACGATGGTGAAGAGGTGGGATGAGGAGAAGGAGATGAAGGCTCGGGAGTGGTTCGATCGACATGTCAAGAAGGAACTTTAGCGGTGGGAAAGATGTAAAGGACAGCATTTGACAAGCTCCTCCTATTCAGAGGTAAAAACTTCAAAGGTAAAAACTTCAATGACAAAACAGGGGCGGTCGATGTTTGGGCCGACATGGGGTATGGTTATGGTATGAACCTATCATGGGATTATTATGAAACCAGCCAGCACCTTTGTATACTAGCTTACCTGATTGGATCTTCGCGTTATTGTAACAATATAGATTTCAATTCCTAACAAAAAAGCGCCCCATCTATACGCCGTATCTTCCGAACTTGCTACCTAAGAAAAATCCTATACGTAGCTCCCCCCCCCAAACTTCCTTCAGCCACCGTTTTTTCGCGATGCATCCGCTTTGCCAATTTGGATTGACAGCCCGACGCTCCAATTCATAGCATAGCCTAGAATGCAGGGCAGGACACGAACAGATAAATATACATCATCAGTATACATCACCAATGTCACCCAGGGTTGATTCATGCGAGCGGCCATAGTTGGACAAGGTTTGCTGGGTATCAGAAGTGATATACTGGGTCCTGGAACAGATAAGAAACAAGAAAAGAAATGAAAGTAAAGATAAAAGGAAAGCAAAGAGGGAGGCAGAAAGGAGACGTTAAGATCCGAGTAGGGGAAAAAGGGGAGGCGTCAAAACCGAAGACCATGCATGATGCTGCTGCAAAAGACCCAACTCTCCTTTGATCCAAATATTATACCACCGGTACACCGAGTATCAACGACGATAGAAGAAGAAACCGTGTAACAAGGAACACTCAATGTCTAAACCGCCCCTACGCTCTCTCTCTCTCTGCCTTTGTCTCCCGACGTTTCGAAACGTCCCCGAGCCCCTTCCCGCCTCTCTCCCTTTGCTTTAAAGATGCCCTCACGCCTGGGTTTTGAGCAGCGGCGACGAAGAAAGAATTATGCCACACATACACAAGCGCCGCGCCTTCAACAACACCAGTGCAGGCTTTCAAGGAGACGAGCCCAAAGAATTCAAGAGGACCACCTAATCCTTCTTACTCTCCTCGGGTGTCTTTTCGTCTTGCTTCTTCTCCGACCCTTCCGCAGGTTTGGACTCTGCCTCGGGTGCCGGCTTGGCCTCTGTCTCCTCCTTCGCATCGGTCTTGCCGGAGCTCTTGGGCACCTGGCTCGCAAGGTCCTTGTCCTCGTCAGCGTTATCAAACATCTCCGTGTCGTCAGAGCCCGTCAAGACTTCGGTGCCATCGCCAAGGAAGATGATGCGACCCCGGGATCCCGCAAGGCTAAACTTGCCGCCGCTGTCGGCGTCGACGTCGTAACCGCTGTCGCTGTCTTCGTAGTTGTGGTGGACGCCGGGACCGCGGAACTCGGCTGAGGGGGGGCAAACAAGATGCAGTCAGTCTTTTAGCTCCGCGTCTATGCGTGCTTGTGAGAAGCAGGGGAACGGCTCGCTCGTACCATATTCCGGGGGGGCACAGGGGCCGTCTCCATTGGCCACTCTCTTGGCAATTTCGTCATACCACTCCTCCTTGGTCTTGCCGTGCAAGAAGCCGATGATGACCATGGTCATGTTGTCGCAGCCGACACCACCCGTTTCTGAGTTGGACGCCAGGCAGTTGTCCATCATGTTCTCGCAGATCTTGTCGAGGTCCTGCTTGGCAGCGATGCCTCGTCGCACAAACTCGATAACGGCCTGGGAGGATTGGCAATCCCAGATGCCTAACCACAATCAAAAGCATCAGTCGAAAGGCCCCAATACACCCATGCCCCTTTTCTTCCATGTTTGCCGAATCTCACTCACCGTCACAGGCAATCACAAGGAACTCGTCTTCCTCCGTAAGCTCGTGCACTTCGACATCGGGAAAGGCGGTAACGATCTGGTTTTCGGGGGAAAGCTCGGCGCTCTTCTTGAATTCGAAGTCGCCAATGGCACGCGACAGCGCCAGATTGCCGTTGACTCGGCCAAAGTCGACGAAACCGCCAGCGGCTGTGATTCGGTTCTTCTCCGCTGTAAAACGGCAAGGGGCACGCAGTCAGTATTGCCCATCTACATACTGACTTAATGGATGCACAAACTTTCAAGCTGAGGCTTGTGGTCGTTGGACAGGGGTTTAGCTCGTCCCTTGATGCCCAGCACGCTTCGAGAGTCACCGGCGTTGGCCTACACGAGGTATACATTGTTATTTCGAGCCGCGATGAACCGTCGTGGGGTAGGATGACGTACGACATATAGTTTGTTGCCGGCAATCAGGGTGACACAGGCAGTGCAGCCAGAGACCTCCTCTTCGTATTTGGGGTCTGTAAACAACGGGACATCATAGTTAGCACAGAAACCGGTTCATGAGGGATAAATGCAAGATGATGCACGGAAAAAGGGAGCCAAAAGGGTTGCGCAAGCCAAACGTCTCCCTCTCTCGAATAGCGCAAAGCAGATCAGGGATATGGCAGAGAATCATTGCGTCGCGTACCGTTGAGGATAGCCCGATCCGTAGCGAGGAAGCCGTCCTTGAGGCCCTGAGCATAATCACCGGCTTTGAAGCTGTCCTGCTTGAAAACAATGTTGTGAATGTTCTCGCCTGCGAATAACGCTACTTTGTCTCCTCCGTGTCCGTCAAAGACTCCGAAAAAGGACAGCCTGTCGGGGTGCGTCTTGGTGTCGTTGTCAGGTGGGGGCAGATTCAGCTCAGCCGTGTGAGCGTCTTCCATGCTGATGCGCCAGCCTTGCATGGCGGACACGCCGTAGATGAGTCTGTCATCTTCGCCCTTTTCGGAAGTCTAGATTGTGAAGAAGAAGGGATGTCAGCAACTGCGAGAGCAGTTCAAAGCCAAGGGACGCCAAGCTGGCCTTGGGCAAGATGGAGAGGCAAGGCACGAGCAAGGAAATGGACAAGCTGTGCGCGGCGGGGTCATGCGTGGGCTTTGATGACGGCCTTGACTTGAAGCCATCGTGGCGAGAGAGCGGGCAAAGCTATAGGAAGAGCCGTAGCAAAGCTGGCAAAGCAAAGGCCACGCAAGTCTTGTCTTGATATCGGCCGTGCAGCTGATGAGTCGCGAGATGCCGCCAGCAGAGCAGCCAAGTGCCATAAACAGGAGAAGAGCAGAGTATCTTGAGGGGCAATGACGAGGGCGGTATGGCGAAGCAAGAGGTGGAATAGCGGGCGCTCGACGAGAGGCATCCCATCTCAGACACGCACCTTTTCGACAACGGGCTCCGAGAGGGTTTGGCCCATGGCTGCGACGTCTCACGAGGGCCGGAAAGCGATCGAGGGGGGAAAGCGTCGAGGAGGGGACAAGCAGCACGACAAAGATACCGGTCTTGTGTCTATCCGTGAGAGATTCAGGGCGGGAGACCTCGAGAGGAGCACCGTAGGCTGTGAAAGACTATAGGGCACGGAGCGTGTTAGAAGGGCAAAGAAGGAAAAAAAAGGGGAACAACGACGTCGAGGCGGATCGAGGGTTGTGTGGTGTGTGTGCGTGGGTGTGGTGGTTTTCGGTTTGTGATGCCAGCAGAGCAGAGCGCAAAATCGGCTTCGCAGGAAGCGGGGTACCGCGATACCTCAGCCAGTCAACGCCACAGTTTGCTTTTTTTTCGAGGTCCCCTTCGTCTATCTCACCTTTTGGTGCTAGCAGTGCTGTACCTTCTGGCAATCCCAACGGCCTTTCCGGCGCAGTTGAATTTTTTTTCAGGTCATTTTTTTTTTCTCCGCAGGTGCTACAGCTAGTTCTCCAGCCTAGGCTCCCGTCTCTTCGTCCACTGGCCCTCCCTCTATCTCGTTTGTCGCTAGGCAGGCAGACGGGGCCGATGATAGGCCAGATAGGCAGATGTGGCGAAGCTGCGGTTGCTGCATGCGTGCTAGCAGCCAGTCAGCCAGTCAGCAAGTCACTACCAAGTTTTCACGGCGCCTGTGCGTTTGCCTGCAAGCGGGAAAGGGGACTTGAGGTTGGGGGCCTCTGCTTTGCTTGTTTCCTGTCGCCCGGCCTCGTTTCTTGTCCATTTTGTCGTTAGCAGGATGCGGAGCATGCCTCTCCCTTGTCGCGCTTAGTCTAGTGCAGCGCGGAGAAGATGCCATGCTCGCAAGGGGTCTAGAGGCCCAGGCAGCGAGGCTTCAGTGCCTTGATCCAAGGGTTTCGGCTTCTGTATCTGTGCACGAGGTCCCTTGGAGGTCGGGTCCCAATCGGCAGCCCCGCGGTTTCCCCTCGATTCAATGAGAACCCCTCCATGGCTACTTCAAAAAGTACCTGCACCTGCGACTGCCGCGGCGAGATACTTGGCCGGCACAGGGAACTGAATCTTGGCTTTTAGTGCATTAAGAGCACTACCAAACAGGTACTTAGGCTGCACCTCCCACAATGACATCAATGGATCGAGTGGCAACAATAAACCTGCAACTTTACAACATCCGTCATTCATGTGATATTCATTTCATCGAGACGAACAGTTGCCTGGTATCTAACATGTCCCAACAGAAGGAGATAAAACCATCAAAATCACTGGAGCCGCTCCTCTTTATATAAACATCTTGAAGCTCCTCTCCGACACCTTTGCAGCCGAATCCTCTCTCCTCCACGCCGTTTTGCCCTTCGCCACCGCTTCCCTCTCGCCAAACACAGACGCATCGCCGTCGCTCAGAATCGAGATCGCGCTCGTCGACCGCATCGGCCGTATCGTGCTCTTCCGCTCGTCCTCGCCCCACTTGCTGGGCGACATGAGCTCGAGGCTGCGCCGCTCCTCCAGCTGCCCCAGCTTGCCCAGGCTGATCCTCGATGCCGTCCTCGACGGCAGGAAGGGCGTCTCGTCCACGAGCTCCAAGTAAGCAACGCTCGGATCTCGCCGCCCCGGGGCGACGCGCCAGTTCTCGTTGGATCCAAACGATGGATCTGTGCGGAAGCTCTTGGCCCCCTTGCCGGAATCTGCTTCCAACCAGGAGGAGCCGCCCCGGCTGAACCACTGCTGGCTCGGAAGACGTGCCTGGGCTGGCTGCTGCAGCTCTGTGGCTTTCTCTGCTGCTTGGATCTCTGCCTGCTTCTCTATTAGAGGCTCCTTGGCTGGCTCTAGCGCTCGCCTGACGAGATCTGGATCAAAAGGCTCCTGGATCAGGGCGAGGGTGCTTGGCAGTGCGGCTGAGCTCGACGTGATGGCTGAAAATGCCCCAGAGCTAGTATCTGACTGTGTTGATGGTTTGTTTATTACTAGGGGCATCGGTTGGATATTGGCCAGGTCCTCCAACGACGGCAGAGTGAGGTCCAGCCCGCTCCTGAACGCACTCTCCCCTGCTTCTGAGAGGAAGCCGGATGTAGGCAAATATGGCTGGGCGACTTCAGGTAGGGTCGTGTCCGATTGGTTGCTCTCTGATGACTTGTGACTCTTTTCACCGGTCGTTGCCCTCTCCACAGTGAACCAAGAGCCGTGATCCCCATCATCTGTCAGGGGGCTCACGCTCCTGGGCGTTCCGGATCGAGCCCCCGAGGCCAGTGGACGCGGGGGAGCGCGCAGGACGGAGCTGTCATGCAAGGTGCCCGATGTCTTTGACCTCGATGATACGCGTGACGCAACATCAGCAAAGATGCCGTCGCCCTTCCTGACTAGCCGCCCGTTAGACGCCTTTGAACGAACAGTATCCTCCACGTGGAAGATTGTCTCAGCATCTGACTCGTCGTTGCGTAGAGTGAAGCGTATTGGATCTGATATCTTGGGCCGGTGTTTGCTGGCGGAGATGTAGGTTTGTCGGTGCCGCCGCCGCCTGCGCATGAGGCAAACAAGCAGCATGATGGCAAACGTAATGAAGAGAACTGGTAAGATGGTTGCAAGCAGAACGTCGGTTGTGCCGAGGCGGTGGCGGCGGGAGTCTTCGGACTTTGCGCTGGCTGGGCCGGTAGGCTTTGCTCCGGATGGCGATGATGCCGTGTCGATTGCTTCGTCGGGAGTCAGGAATTCGGCGCGAGCCTTGTGTGTCTCTGTGAGGCCGGTGCTTCGGGAAACGGCCTTGATGGACATGTTGAACTTGCCCCTTGCCGCCTTGGGGACGGTGCCCGACAGTTTGGGCCCTATGACGTGAAGCCAGCCTACTTCGGGATCGGTATCGACATGGAGCTGGATATCACTTGGATCGCGAAAGTAGGCGGACAGGTCCAAGTTGAATTCTTTACCAGGCTCTATCTGGATGTCTTCGAGGTTCGATTGGAATAATTCCGTTACCACGTCGACCTGGACAAGGACGCTGAGGGCATCGGCAAAAGAGTCTCGGATGACGATGGTAAAGTTTGTTGAGCGGTCGTTCTCTCGCGGAGTCCCCTCCAGAAGCAGCGTTTTAGGATCAAGAGTCAGCCAAGACGGCATATCCTCTGCAGACACGTCGAGGGAACCGGGTCGAACGGCTTCGTTGTCTAGCTGGATGCCCTTGGCCAGACCATCGTAGCTGGCTTTTGCGCCTCTTGTAGCATTCAGTCGAACAATTGGGTCGTCCGTCGTCAGTTTGTGGCTCCCCACCACAATCGCAAAGGACAGGGACGTCCCCGAGAAGCCGACAATGTCCGACGCAACGAGGCTGAAGTCGAACTTCTGCGGAGGCTGGACCAGCGACTCAAAGGCGGGCGTTCTTCCCGAGAATGTCAATGTCTTGTCGTTGAACCTGATCCATGCCGGCAGAGGCGTGCTGTCGTTTGAAGATGCGTAGTAGTTGAGATTCGTGCCGTGACCAACAAATGTATTCGGATCAAAGGTGTACTGGAACTCTGTCGAAGGATATGACAGGATGGAAGACGGCGCCGAGAATTGCCCAAAGTTGTCCATCTGCTGCGATATTGGAACATGTACCGATGGCGGCTGTCTCCGTGAAATGACAAGCGTGGCATTCAGTGTCGTCGACCCAGCCTCATCCGTAGCAACGAGCCCAAACTCCTGTCCCACAACTTCCCCGGGCGGGATCTCCTCTTCCTTGGGCGTCCCGTAGAGCCTCCTGCTCTCGCTCTCTATCGATAGCCAGCTGGGATGGTCGCCGAGGGAGTATGTCATGTTGGAGGAGTCGGATCGAAACGTGTTTGGCGAGAAGGAGTATGAGAAGGCATGGTTTGGTCTGGCGACGGGCGGGAGCTGTGCGTTGAAGGGGAAGGAGATTGTGGGATTCGCCCAGGCGGATGGGAGGAGGCTGAGGGTTGAGAGCGCGGCGAGGAGGGCGTGTGAAGAAGACATTGTGAATAGGTGATGAATTGCGCTGGGAGCAGCGCTGTACGGCTTCAAAGAGCGCGGAAGGGAGCCCATGCGGCGGGAAGCCGGGATAGGTGATCACAGCTTGAGCAGCCAAGAGGGTATTCACGGTTGAGCAAAACACGATGATATGAAAGATGAGGAATAGATGAGAAGAGAAGAGAAGAGGAGGGGGAAGAGGGCAAAGTCGTAGTCCAGATGGTAAAGAAAGGGCCATGTTGAAGTCACCCGGCTTAGATGGATGGCTGGGGAGTGGCAGACCTCGAAGAGAACAGCTGTTGGGCGCCCCCCCCTTCATTCCACCCCTCTTGCCCCGTGAAGCCATCACGGCAGTGGGATGGGTACCAATAATGCCGAACAAGGGCGAGCACTCGAGAGAGAGAGAGAGAGAGAGTCACATCAGCGCACCCATTTGGGTTCCATTACGACGAGAGGCGAAATGTTTCATCAGAAGAAGTTGGAGTCATGAAGGGGCATAATTTCTCAAGTACTATCTGCTATAGTGTGTGAGGGTCGAAAATTAACTTACAGACCAGAGCGAGGCTGTGGCATTCCAGAGCTTTGTCAAGAAAAGGTGCTCCTCGAGCGGGTGAGACATTGATGGGATGCCACTCGGAAGAATGGGGGGCTGGACTATTCGCTGATGTTGAGAATGGGCGGGGTTCTATAGACACTGAGGGGCAAGAATATAGGTAGTATTTCAAAAGTCTCCCTTGACTTGACTTGACATCTTTCCGCTGTTTGAATGAAGTTGAGGAGCTACCTTGTGTCCTATCGTCATTTGGTTCGCCGTGCAGACGGGACTGTCGTATAAGACTATAAGTAAGGTATGGCGGAAGATGGCTGTTGTACGAGTATTAACTGACGATTGAATGGTGCTGTAATGCCTGATAAAGCTGTTGAAGAGAATTGTATGATTCTACCTTAATAATAGGAGATCTGTATTATAATCTCCATCATGACAATAACAGAGCTACAACATGGTAAAGTCGTCAGCCTCATGCCCGATTGTGGCAGGTATCAACGTCAGCGACCCGGAACAATTGAGGGTCTTTGCCTCGGAATCAAAACTCTCGTGACCGGCGAAAAAAAACACCAACCTTAGGGCCATCGCAGATAAGGCAAGCACTTATCAAAAAAGAGGGACGAGAGCAGCTGCGGGGGAATCGATATCTGATAATAATATCTGTCATAATTGAACTTCATTTTCATCCGCCTCTTTCTCTTTCTCTCTCTCTCCCTCTCTCTCTCTCTCTGTCTGTCTGTCTGTCTCTCTCTCCTGCTTTGCTGTCGTCTCTATTTCTCGTGTACTTAATTCTACAGCGTCAAGCATCCAGCGTCGACATGGACAGCCGCAGCTCGTCGCCCGACCTGGACCCCGTGGCGGGCATCACGGAAGACCTCGTCTCCCTGCCCGCGTCCAAAGTGGCCGGCGACACAAGCATCGACTTCGAGGGCCTCCTCGCACAGCCCATCAAGCTCCGCGAGGACGTGCGGACGGGCTGCGGAGGGCAGACGTGGCCTGCGGGCATGGTGCTGGGAAAGCACATGCTGCGCTATCACAGAGACAGACTCTCGACTGCGCGCATGTGAGAAGACCTGTCCCCTTGATTGTTACAATCCTCCTTGTGTTGGCCGTTTCCCACTGGTCGGCGTCGTCTCTATTCGACAGATTGCCGGTTTCTTTCTTCTCTATATTATCACTCGCGGCAAACATGAATCAAGAGGCTGAATCTCAAGGGAATGAATGACTGCTGACTCAGTGCAAACAATGCAGACTGGAATTGGGCGCGGGTGGTGGGCTGGTCGGATTGGCTGTGGCGGCTGGCTGCGACCTCCAGGCGCCACTCATCTTGACCGACCAGGATGTGATGCTGGAGCTGATGAGGCACAATATTCAGCTGAACAGGCTCGAGAGCAAGGCGACGGCCTCGATCTTGGACTGGTACGTCGAGACCTTGTTCGTCTTGCCAAGCCACACTTTAACTTGGTGAAGAGACGCATGTACACTGTTTCTTGGCGGTTGCTACGTTGCCTGCCACTAGTTGCTCGTTTCTAACGTTTCAGTGAGGCAAAGTTGACTGATGCAAACAACTTCCAGGGGCGAACCATTACCAGAGGCCGTCGTGGCGCACAAACCAGACGTGATCTTGGCGGCAGAGTGCGTCTACTTTGAGCCGGCCTTTCCGCTGCTCATGCAGACGCTCAAAGACCTGTTTGAACTCAACGAGCATGCGGTGGTGTACTTTTGCTTCAAGAAGAGGAGACGCGCCGACATGCAGTTTGTCAAGGCTGCCAAGAAGGCCTTTGTGGTCGAGGAGATTTTCGACGAGGACAGGCCCGTCTTTCAGCGGGAGTCGCTGTTCCTCTTCACATTTAGGAAGCGGACGTCAGGTGGCACCACGTCGAGCAAGAAGAGAGCCACGGCAGCCAACCAGGAAATACAAATCATGAGTTGACCACACAGACGACGACAACAGAAGGATATCCGGGACTGGACGTGACCCCTCTCCGTTCCTTGCGCTTCGCTGCAGGACGCTGAAAGACGAAACCTGCCCATGGTTGCACCAACGCCCCTCAATCCAGCAAAAGACGCCGGAGGGAGCCTGCATGCACTTTCACCGGCATTGCCAACAGGCGAGACTTGACAACCCTGGAAGGGCGGGCTGCTATGAATAGCCAATTCCAACTGCGGCTTGTAATACTCCTCGTATCAAGTCGTACGAGTACGACAGGGCAAGCAATGTGCGGGGAATGAGCCCGCGGAACAAGTTACGACTGCTGAGCGAGATTAACGATTGGCGCGACTCGATCTCGGCCAGGTTCATGCTGCCAAAGCACACGCCTGGAGACTGCGAACAGAGCAGAGGGAGGAGGGCAAAGCGGCTAGCATACGCGAGCCGTCGGCGTCTGAGCTGAATGAGAAGAAAAATTTGATCCTGTGGCGACTGCATTGCGTGTTTTCCCGTTGCTCTTTTTCTTGTTTCTTTTCGCCTTTTCGGTCCTGCAAGGAGGCAGTAGTGCTACTGCCACTGACAAGCAGAGTCGAGGCTCCCAGCGAATCCCAGGCCAGAGCGAGGTTGCAGCGGTTCCATAACTGTCTGCAGATGGACATCCGGTTGGCGGCCATGCGGTGGATACATGGGTGAAGTTAGACGACAGGCCACGACGCGCAAAGGAGTCAACCGCCACGATTTTTAGAGCATATGGGTGCCTTGGTCGGCGTGGTCGGAAGCACATGGAAGACGGGCAAAAAGCATGGCCCGTCGACGCCAGCTTTTGCAGCGCAATCAACCTCATACTGTGCGCTGCCCCTACACTACTGCAGGTCGGGCACAGCGCATTCGAACGCAGCACAGTGTTGGAAGTGAAAAGAGGGGCTCATCTTCTCTGACTCGCCTCAATCTCCGAGCACACGTAACTCGGGGTCCCTTTGCGTTGGAATGCAGTGACAAAGCACGTGGAGGCGTCTCCGTCCACGCGAATGGCGCGAAACGGCCTTATTTGATGGTGAAGTGCTGCAGTCTCTGATCGACTCATTCTTTGAAGGAGACGTGGAAAAAGGCCGCACGGCACCGCAAAGCGCTTCCCGCTGTCGATGTCGCTGTCCCCACGGAAAGGAGGAGCAGCATCTCGATAGCCGGACGGCACACTGTCAAGTCAAGATCCAGGTGGATGGAGCGGGTCTGCAGACGCAGAGATATCCCTCACTGTCGGCAGGGCAGGGGAGACGCGAGGAGAGGACGCAGCACAGGAGACGCCTGGAGGTGCCGTTGATGCTGCTCCGTACAGTACGAGGACGAGGCGCATGAAGGAGACAACAAGCATGACTAATTAGAAGGGAAACCTGGAAAGCGAACAAGAATGAAAAACCTGCACGGCAAGGCGTTTTTCTCTCGCGCGTGGCTCCACCGCGATGGCGAGAGAGTTTTGCCAACTGGAGCAGTCGTGCATGCGCTGCTCCGCAGAGTTTTCCATTGGAAGCCCGCTTCCCACGCCAGCCCAATCCTGCTGCAGCGCTCGGAGCAGCCCCGCCGGTCCTCAGGCACCGCCCAGCGCCCATTGGCTGCCGCTCCGGGTACCTGGCTGGCACTGCGACGCTGGGACGGGTCCGGATGGCGGCCCCTGCAGCGCCCGAAAGGCTGTTGGCCCCCCTGTAATACAGCGCTAGCCCCCCCTGGCGGCCAATGGCAGCGCCCAGCAGCGACGTGGCAGCCACCAGCAGGGCGGCGCGGCTGTGATCCGTTGACAGTGGCCCCGTTTGCCCTAGGTCGACTATTTTCCGTCGCCATCAGTGCTGAGATGCATGTGCTGTGTGGATGCTCTCACCACCTGCTCACGCTTACTCACTCAACGCCCACGCCCAGTGCCGTGCAGCAGCGCACCCACACTGGCTGCTCTGGTCTCGATGGATGGATGGATGGGCGGCGAATGGCTCCGAGGGGGGAGTGGACACACATTGGATTGAGCACGCGAACCGGGAAGCGCTAGTAGAAATGGGAATCAAAGAGCCCAGCGGAGAGGGCGAGAAAAAGAGACAGCCCAGGGGGAATTGAAGGCCCACTCACCCCGGCAACAGCTTGTTCTAGCGCTCCGTATTCATCCCGGGCTCATTAAGTATTAAACCCGCCTGGCCCCCCCTCCCCCTGCTCGACCTGTTTCATCCCAACGCAATCCGACTTGCTCAAAGTCCAATCTCTTCCCACTCTCTCGGAGCAGGACTCTTCGTTTTCTTCCTCTTGCAACCCACGTTCCTTGAAACATTTGCACTTGCACCTTTGCCCCTACGGCACTTGCTCTCTGCTGTCTCTGTTGAACAGAACATCCCTCAGTCAACACCAGACCACAAGCACCACCGCTCCTTCAGCTTCAGCACCCCAACCAGCAACCATGAAGTCCGTCGCCGTCGCCTCTGCTCTGCTCATCGCAGCTGCTGCCGCCAAGCCTCACCACGGCCACCACGCCCACGCGGCCCGCCACCACGCTCACCAGCACGCGGCCCGCGATGTCGTCGTCACCGAGACCGAGTGGCACACCGACACCGTCTACGTGACCGAGGTCGTTGATTCCACCTACACCTACTGGGTCCAGGACGGCAAGACCTCCTCTGTCGCTCCCGCTGAGACCACGGCCTCTGCCACCCTCTCCGTCTCCGCCGGCGAGTTCTTCGAGCCCAGCTCCACCACTGAGCCGGCCACTTCCACCAGCCAGGCTCCTCCTCCTCCCCCGGAGACCACCACTGCGGCCGCCAGCAGCTCCGTCTTCACTCCCCCGCCGCCGCCTCCTCAGACCACCACCTCTGAGGCTCCCGTCGTCGTCAGCGTGCCTCCTCCTGTCGTGCAGACCACTTCCGCCGCTCCCCCTCCTCCTCCTCCGGTTGAGATTCCCACTCCCTCGCCTTCTCCCTCTCCTTCTCCTTCTCCTTCTCCCTCGCCTTCGCCTTCGCCTTCCGCCCAGGCTGCTCCCCCGGCCAACGTCGACACCGGCAGCAGCTCCAGCAGCTCCGGCGGCACCTACTCTGGTGACATCACCTACTACACCATCGGCCTGGGCTCTTGTGGCTGGGACGACACCGGCAAGGACCAGACCGAGAACGTTGTCGCCATCGCCGTCGGCCTCATGGGTGCCGTGTCCAACGGCAACGCCATGTGCGGCAAGACCATCACCATCAGCGGTGGCGGCAAGACCACTACTGCTACTGTTAAGGACAAGTGCATGGGCTGCGCTCCCCATGACATTGACGTCAGCGAGAAGGTCTTCCTCGAGCTCTTCGGCAGCCTTGACGGCGGCCGTGAGCCCGTCAGCTGGTCTTTCAACTAAGCTGCTTCGCAAGTGGAGTCTGCTGTCGTAGCTGCATCTTTTGATGCACCTCGCAACAGTTGGCTTGTCTCAATGTGCAGCGCGCATACAAGGCCAAGTTTCCAAGGACAGGAAATGACAAAAATGTCACGTTATACCCTTCACTCGTTGAATTTGTTTGTTTTGGATTCTACCATCCCTGGCGCGGATGCGGAATGCGATATGGAACAGGAAAATGATTTTTCTATTTACTTCTTACCTCTTCTTACTAAGGCCTCGTCCCGCAAGGGATGGCATCTTTTTCTGTGTACATATAGAACAGATTTGATAGAACATGTCCTCTCGTCTTGGAGACAATGTGGAATGACATATCCTTTAGATGCTATTATGTTATTGATTTAATCGATTAGTTGCCATACGTGTGTCGTGCATTACTTGCTTGGTTTGACTTGGTTGATCGACTGGACGGATTGATTGACTTGATTGATTGATCAAATTGATTAATTGATAAATCCGTTGCTTTCTCAATTCTAACCCCAACGTACTGGGTGCTTGGTGTACCGTGGAAGTTCAGAGGCTGCTGAGAGTCACACGGCACTACCGGCAAGCATGGCATTGAACTCTTAATCTTAGCAGCAAATGCCAATTTACCTTGGATGCCAATCAGATCACAAAGCAATAAATCGCCGTAGATCAGAGATCATGATTCATTCACTTATTCATTTGACAGGATACTGCCTCGTCAAAGTGAATTGTGATGACGATAGGCGCTCCCCCATAGAAAAAAGAAAGCATACAAGTAATATTAAAACAACCCACCCCCAGACGAACCAGACAAGCAGCACAAGAACCCCCCTGTCAACCGCTCTAAACTACAATGCGCCTCATTTTTCATTTGCCTTTACCTTTCACAGCAACGTCAGAAGCTCCTCGACATACCGCCTCGTATCGACGCCAATGCCCTGCGCCAGCCGCCCCATGCCCTCGCCGGCCCCGGACGCGCCCTCGTCGGAAGACGCCATGCGGAAGCCAATGTGATCGCTCGCGCGGCGTAGGAGGAAGATTTCTTTGGCGACGACAGGAGGAGGCGAGTGTGATGACGATGAGGTGGAGGAGGAAGAGGAGGGGCGGGGAGGAGACGAAGGGGCTTTGTTGTTGTTGTTGTTGTTTCCTTCTTCTCCATGGTCTTCTGCCTGCACTTTCAGGGATGACGAGGATGCTGCGGCCGTCTCGTGGATGGTGGATAGCGGCGGCGGTGCCGTGGCAGTGGTGGTGGTGGTGGCGGTGGAAGGGGTCGTCGCGGCGGTGCTGCGCTGGAGGACGCGGGTCCAGACGATCCACCACCCGCGGTTCGTCTTCTGGGTGCGCTCGACGTCGGCGATACGAGAGCGCGTCGCGGCGTAGATGTTGAGTAGATGCAGGTGCGTGCTTACGGCATCCGCGCGGGACCACGCCGGCGACGAGGGCGCAGATGATGAAGCGGCAGACGACGACGACCAAGGAGAGGCCGCCGCGTCGGGGAAGAAGTCCGGGATGTTGGGGATCGACGAGTGGACGGTGAGCGAGGGCGGATCCCATACGAGGTCCTGGATGGCATGCGACGACACAGGCCCGGCGACGGGGCGCTCGGGACGGTACCTGGTCGATGCCAGCAGGGGCTTCCTCAGAGGCGCCAGCTGGTAGTGCAGGGAGCGGTAGAGCGTGTCCCAGGCGAGCGAGTCGGTGCGGAGGCGGAACAGAAAGGTGAAGATGAAGGGCTTGTTGACGTAGACGACGACGCGGAGCTTCTCCGCCATGTTGACGTCGTGCGAGTCGTAGCCGGCGGGCACGCCGCCCACCGCCTGGGACCGGGTCAGCGGGTTGGCTTCGTTCTCAAAGTCCCGCTTGACGGTGCCGTCTGGCCGGTGCTCGGCAGCGTGGCTCGAAAGCTCGACGTGGAGAGTGCGCACAACGGTGCGGGAGTTGTTGTCGTCCTCTTCCTCGGCATCGTCCGAACCGATGAGCGCTTCAGCATCGGTACCAGCAGCTGGGACATCTTCCTCAATGTCGCCTTTCAGACCGATCAAGAAGTGGCCGGATGAACCGAAGGAAGACGGCTGCTTTGGTGATTTGACGTGCGATTCCGATGCATTTCTGGCATGCGACTTGTCTCCGATGGCAGGTTGTTGGACGGCTGCCTCTGCCGAGTTGCCGCCGCTGCCAGGAAATGACCAATACGACCCGTATCCCAAGGTCAAGTAGCTGACCATCTTGTCGAGCCTTCCAGCGTCGTGGTCGGGAGTTGTGTCAGTCGACTCACCCCCCTCTTGTTTCGGCTGAGCATCTTGGGCAGCGCTCGCCGATTCGCCTGCTTCTCGCGCAGGTTCCGTTGCAGCATCTGCCTTTGTAGGAGACCGGCTCTCAGCTGGATCCGCCGCCTTCGATGTCGACTTCTTGCCTCGAGCGCGCCGCGTTGAAGTTGGGCTCTCAATGATGCCATAAGCGTGCTCGCCCCAAGTATATAGATCCTCCATCCAATGTGCTACATCTCGTAGAGACTTTCGTGACACTGCTCCCGTTCCGAGGAATATGGCGCCGTCCTCGACACTGGGCTCTTTACCAGTTCCCAGCCATGGCTCTGCACCAGCCTTATCCGACTTGCCTGAATTTGACTCAGCGTCGTCGGGCCCGAACCTCGAGACCACAAGGTCGACAAGCCCCTCGACTCTGCTCACCAAGCCCTCGAGCACCTCCCGCTCCCCGCTCCCACGATCTTCCTCGCCGACGCCGACGCCGAGCTCACCAGACGCGGCCAGGTTGATGCCGCCAAACATGTCCCTTGCTGGGTTCCCGTGCAGCATGACATTCCAGGTGGAGAGGAACAGATCCCAGTAGCGGCTGAGCAGCGCAATGAACTTGACTCGGCGGTATCGAACAAACAAGGCGCTCAGCGACGAGCCATGATGCAAGAGAAAGATGCTGTGCGCCCGCAAGAGATCCGTGAGCAGCAGCGTAGAAGGCTTCATCTCGCGGCTGGAATACTCGTATCTCTCCTCCTGCTGCTCGCCCGTCTTCGTGGGCAGCCGCGGGGGCAGAGGTACTTTGTTCAAGTCGATGCTCTATCAGCAAGCTTTCAGTTAGCAAACCCGAGCGACGCCTTCATCAAAGTGTGCATGTCTCACAGCAAGAATCCACCATCCCGGCTCCAGCTCATGCGCAATCACCCTCGACTTCTCCGTCTCGATGGCGTCCACCGGCGCGCCGTCGGAGAAGCCGCGGCTGAAGTTGACCATGCCCTGCGCGAGCCCAATCTGGCGCAGCCGCTCGTGGCGCTCCTCCTGGGAGATGCCGTCCGTCGGCCGGCTGGTGCGCGCGCGGCGGCGGCGGTGCCTGCGGCCGGAGGACTGCGTGGACACGGAGGCGTAGTAGACGATCTGGTCGTCGATGGTCTCGTCCGTCTGGCCCAGCGACGGGTTGTAGATGGCGAGGAAGCCCAGCTGCGCGGGCACGATGCCGCCTGTGGGCGCATGAGAAGCCATCTGATGGGAGCCTGACGCAAGGCCCGGAGTCTGGCCTCGTAGATGGGATCAGGCGCGATCAAGCGGTGAGCATAGACATAGTCAGCGGATATGCGAGAGCCGAACACGAATATTCCAACAAATTGCGGCTGCGGCTTATAGATCGAGAAGGACGTTTTCTCATGAATTGGCGGTGCATGAGAGAGGGACCATTTGCGCCGGTATGTTGAAGGTCAGGTCGAGGCTGTTGTTAGTGGCTGAGAGCTGCTTGAGCCCGCGCCTAACTGAACTGCCTATGTAATGCTAACCGTCGGCCCCTCCAAGGGCGGGTGATGTGCGTCATTGAAGGAGGTGGAGAGACACCACAAGATGGGAATTTTGAAATGGTCAAAACATTTTAGCATCAAAGAATTGGAGCTGAATGACTTTATTTGAGCTTCTAAAGCTAAAGTTGCCCTCTAATGAACTCATTTATGATGATCGTCGTCGATCTCACGCCGAGTTCGGCATGACATCTGACGCATGCCGGATCGTGACATGACATTAAACGATTATTGTCATCTAAGGTACTCCTCAAAGCTATCATATAGGTATCAAACAGTAGATAGATCATAACTAACAAAGAAAATTGGGAATCATGTCGAAGCAACATAAGATGGAAAAAAGAAGCTGAAGCAAAAAGGGAGAAAAGAACCAAGCCCACGGAACATCCCTCCTTACCAGTTACCAAACGGCATGGTCGACTTCTTGGAGACTTCAGTGCCTTCTTTCCGCAGCTTGGCCAATCCAATCCCGCTCGCCTCGCCCTTCTCCTCCGCCGAAAGCTGATCAAAGCTCGTCTTCCTGCGGTCCCGCTGCCTCTTCATCACCCGCAGCCAGAAAAAGTACAGCAGAAAGGTGACGACGGTGAGCGGCACGGTAATGGCCCAGTACAGCCCAAACTGGGGCATCGTCCGCACCGCAATGCTGCCCGCGCCGGGGTCGATGCTGTCCCAGTCGAACATGGACGTGGAGAAGAGGGCGGAGATGAAGCTCCCTGGGAGGAAGACCATGGTGACGATGGCGAGTGTCTTCATCGATAGGGAGTCGCGGTGCTGGGATTCTGCGAGGTCGAGATTCGCCTTGACGTCGTCTCGGGAAATGATACCGGCGAGCTGCGGGTGTTAGCTTATGCCTGCTATCCGACCACAGTGATCACTTGCAAGAACTTACCGTGTTGATCTGTAGCTGAACACGCCTCAGCGTGTACTCTATATCGACAGCCTGCATCGCCAATCTATCCTGCAAGAGAGTCACATGGCTCCTCAGAAGCTCACTGGGGTTGGGTGGTGTAGATCCAAACGAAGGCCCGAAGGCCGAGTTCGGCGTGTTCTGCAAGACGAAAGACAAAGTCTTTTCGGCCATTTTGCTTTTCCTGCTCACGCTGGCGAGCTTGACGGCATGTCGATCCACCTGGGCAGCCAGCTTGATGTATGATTCCGTCGTTGCCTCTTGTTTATGAGCGGCTATCCTGTCCTGGCCTGTACGTTCCTCGATCTCGCGCAGTTTCACCTTGATCTTTGCTTCCTCAAAGTGGACCTGCATGCTGAGGATCATGCTGAACAGAAGGGCTGGGAACATGGGGCTCGCGTAGAGTCGGGCATCCCAAGGCGAGCATAGCGTGTCGGAGAGGAATCCCTTATTGGACTCCTCGACCAGTATAAGCCCCTGGGTGAGATTTGGTCGTACTCGATCAGTCGAGCGGTTTCTGGCGAAGCTCTTCTGAGACCAGACCGCAACCAGCTTGGGCATATAGCAGAACGAGTATGTCTGTTGGCCCCTGGAAGGAATGGCAGACACATTTGTGATGCAGCTTTGCGAGTACGTGTAGGCCAGTTCCAGGTTGAACTCGTCGAGCAGCGGGTCCAGGACATCTTTGGACAATTTGAGAAGCTTGCGCTTGATGTCGCAGCCTATCAGCGCAAGACGTAACACAAGAGACTGGCTCGTGTCGCCATCGTCTCCTTCCGTTCCTTCGGCCAGCCAGCTGTCCAGCTCTTTGAAGTAGACGAGCTTGCGGTTGATGCTGATTTTGCCAGAGGCATGCTGGTGCCTTGCCTCGATGACTTGGAAGGACGTGTCGTCAGAGTTGGAGAAGCCTTCCCACAAGTTGACCACGCTGAGCTTTTGATATATTTCCTCCATGTTTTTCACAGTCGTCAGACGAAGCGATACAAAGGCCGATGGTGATGGGAAGTGGACAGAACCAAGAGAGGGACACGCGACGAAGGTCTGGATACTACAGCTGTGAGGATTCGTGTGGGTTCATCGGGCATATATACGAATAGTGGCCAGCGCGCGTGCGCGACAACTGCAGGTCACCACCATCCTGGGGATGCAGCCGGACCTGGTGAACGAAGCGCTTCTGAGAGGGGTGGCAAGCCGCAGGCCAGGGGTTCGCCCCAGACTCTAAGCGCCGGCCACGCAGCACATTTTGCAGGACCTTAGACGCGATGCCGAGGGACTGCACGACAGCGACACGAACAGCTCCTGAGGCTCATGGCCAAGGGATCTCGATTGGGGAAACTCCAATTTGTCCGAGTTGTCGTTTGTACGATGGCGCGAGATCTGCAGGTTGCCGAAGAGAAGTTGTCTCGGGCATGGCTGAGCGGGTTGGAGATAGATGAAGCGGCTGAGAGGAAAATGCGACGTCGCGGGGGGGAGATATACTAGGTAGGGAACACAAACTGTAAAATCTCGTGGGGCAAGGGACAAGGCTGTGGGACGGAACAGTATGAGTGTGGTCAGACAGCCGGGATGGAGGAAGGTCGTGTTGGTTCTTTACTCTGGATGCCTTGGAGACATGAAGGATGATAGGTTCGTCGCTTGGAGTGCCGGCCGGGGTTGGGGTGGCTTAGAGGCCCTTGTTGATAGTAAACATTTGCATGGCCAACATCAGTTTCGTGCGTATGCAGGGGATCGGCGCGGTAAGAGTTGTTGCTGTTGGTTGTGTTGTGAAGAAGTAAACAGGAGCGATGAGATGGGATGAGAGTCTGGGAGTATGAAGGGCGGCCTCTGAAGAATCATCTTTAAGTGCTAGTGCTCACAGCAATCAACGGTTTATGGCTGCGCAAAGCGCAGATGAGACGGTCTTGAAAGGCGTTTAAGATGATATTATTTCCTAATTGATCGGAATTCTATCTAGTTGATTTATCGAGGAGATGAGCGAGAGTCGTTACTTTCAGACTGAGAATGTAGGCGGGAACTGATCATCTTCTGGGGAATCGAACGGTGACGTGTGTGACAGCTGGACTGCAACAATTGAAGCGTATCATCATGGGCATATCGGATGATTTGCGCATAGGTATTATTAGGCTGCAAAGGTATACCGGAATTGCCCCTCCAGGGTGCGAGTGCATTCAGAGGGGCAACCGTTGAGGGCGAGGCAGAATGGAGGGCTCTTTTCGTAGCAGCAGTCCGTGAAGCCATGGACAGCCCTGTAAGCTACAGAACAGTAGAGCTGTTCCCCCACTTTCCCGCCTGGTTGAGATTCCAGGATCGATACTTGAGCCTACCTTATCCAAGTTGTTTACTCTCGATCCCATCCAGCGTCTGGAAACCCCCTGCAATGCCGTCAAACAGCTGCCTACATAGCATTGAACCGTCTCAAACATCACCTGTTCATTCTTGACACGTGCTTGACAGTAGACGGGAAGCCGACTGATGGAGTACTCGGATGGTAATGGAAGGGTTTCAAGAGCCTACAGTGCCCGAAGTGCCCCGCTGTCTGTGAAACAGCACGCTAGCATGTTCCGCTAGCAATTTGCCGTCATCAGTGCAGCTTGACCTCCATATTTCACACACGGATTCCTACCCTGCTTTGCCTACAGACATACAGGATCACGCATGAATAGCCTCTTGACTAGCAGAAGAAGAGATGCCGAGTCCCTAATCATCAACAGCCCACGATCAACTTACTAGATAAGGTGCTACTTTCATCCATTCGTCGCTCAAGCGCTGCTCCGCCTCGTGCTTACTGCACCAGGTCCCCACTCTCGTTCCCGCCGAATTGAAGGATCACAGCCCACACAGCGATCGAGACTCTCAAGCTCCAGCTCCAGCAGCGCAGGATTCGGTTCCAGGCTCTATTCCGCATTGCGTCTCCCTTGTTGTTGTCCTCCATACGAGCTACGTACATGCACTGTAGGGGCCCCGCGGGAAATCCCCCAGCTGCTTGTTTACAGGGCAACGACCAGGTAGTACTGAAATAGGTGCTCGTACGTCATCCGCCGGACACCTCGACTTGCCTCCCGTCCACCATCAACCAGGTCCAGAGTCAGCAGCCAACCATCTTGCATCTCACTAATCCCTCCCGATTCTTGTCTTCTTCCTGCTGGAGCTGCTGGTCGTCCGCATTGCCGCCATCCTTGCTTCTCTCCTTCGACATCATCGGCATCATCCACTCACCTGCCCCAGCTATCACGATACGCCTTTGCTTCCGCCGCCGAGCTTCGAGAAGCTACGTACACACAGAGACAGACTCCAACCCCCATCGTCGTCGCCATGAACAACATCGGCGGCACCATCAAGCGCCGCTCCACCGAGGCATGGCAAGCTGCGCAGAGCAATCTGCCCGCCATGCCCGCCGCCCCGTCGTTGCCCGCTCTGCCTTCTCTCCCCGCCATGCCACAGTTTTCCTTGAATGCCTTCAGGAGGCACCCCAATCAGGAGGGCATGAAAGGCACCTGGGAGCGCATCGATCTGCCTCCGGTGCCTCGCTCGTCCCATTCCCTTGATATCATCTCGGGCTGCGCCTACATCTTCGGCGGCGAGACCAACACCCACGAGACCGCCGACAATGACATGGTCGTCATCCGCCTTCCCTTTAGCAGCGCCGGCGCCGACTACTTCAAGATCCCGGCAAAGCCAGACACCACGATCCCCGCGCCGGCACCGACTCAGGACAAGGGCAAGAGGGCTGGATCAGATGAAGCAGCCAGGGCCAAGGCTAAAGCTGAAGACCTTGGCGAGGAACCCGCAGAGAAAGAGAGTGACGACGAGTTTGAAGACGCCGAGGAGGCAGCGAAGCCGACGGCCGCGGACAAGGGCAAAGGGCGGGCTACGGACGACAGACTGGGCCAGGTCCCGCCGCCCCGAGTCGGGCATGCAACCGCCGTCATCGGATCCCGCATCTTCCTGTTCGGCGGCCGAGGCAGCGACATGAAGCCCCTCGACGAAGGTGGCCGCGTCTGGGTCTTTGATACTCGCACCCGTCTCTGGACCTACCTCGACCCCGTCCCGGCTGTCAAGGGCGGGTCCATCATCCCTCACCCGGCACCACGATGCTATCACAGTGCCACTGCAACAGATCGGCCCCGCGACTTTGCGCCTCCCCCGCCGACGAAGCCAAAGTCCTGGCAGGAGTGGGCGCTTGGTGATATCTCCAAGACGGGCATCCCGCAAGATCCCGTTGTTGGTAACGTTGCCGAGAGTGCAATTGACGAGGAAACAAGCGGCTACGGCACCTTCTTCGTGCATGCCGGCTGTCTTGCCAGCGGTGATCGTACCAGTGATCTCTGGGCCTTTGACGTCCACTCGCGCATGTGGACTGAGCTGCCTGCCGCGCCGGGACCTGCTCGCTCAGGCACCTCGATCTGCATCAGCAAGAGCCGAATCTTCCGCTTCGGTGGATACGACGGACAGAACGAGCTCGGGGGCCAGATTGACTTTTTGCATCTCGAGGTGGAAATGTTCGACGACCGCGTAACTCGCGGCGAGGTGGCTGTTCGAGCCCGCGGCAGCTGGCAGTCCATCTTGGAGAACGCTCCCGAGGCCTCGTCGCACGAAATAGCTTCAGAGAACGTCCAGGCCTGGCCCGCGCCACGAAGCGTCTCATCACTCGAGGCCATCACCTTTGGTGGCGGCACCGAGTACCTCGTGCTGACCATGGGTGAGGCAAGCCCTGGCACAGAGGGCCACGCCGGCAAGTCGCACAACGACGTCTGGGTGTTCCAGGTCCCGCCGGTGGGCATGACCGCTGCGAGCTTCACTGCGGCCATGTTCTCGGCTGTGGGACGCAAGACGGGTGAGGGCAAGTGGACAAAGGTGACCATGGTGCCTTATGACGACGAGGTGCTGGAGATGCCGAGGGGACGGGGTTGGCTGGCGAGCGCGCCGATGTCTGATTTGGAGGAGACGGGCATTGTCATTTGGGGTGGAGTGGATGATGTCAACAGGCGGCGTGGCGAGGGATGGATCTTGCGGCTTGCTTGAGCCTTTCCTTTGCGTTGAGCCTTTCTTGGACGTCTACATGATTTCTCTGGACATGTTTTTTCTTATGGTATTTTGCATACGAGCTAAGATTGCGAGAAAAGGCTATGCAATCGTTTAGGATTGCTGTCATGTCATTACCTTGTCCTTGGATATTTTGAAAGAGAAACAAAAGAACAAAGCCCTGCCCTATTTCAGGAACAACATTCACGTATATGCATTGAATTGACTGTAAATTATCGCACAGCACACCACCACCAATATGGTCTATATCCGTCTCGTCTCCCATCTTTTTGTTGGCATTCAACGTGGCGTTATGTACATTTCAAACCCGTGTCAAACACACCACCCTCAATTTTCTCACCCATCCCCATCCCCATTCTTCCCCTCTCTCATAAGAAACTCTTTTTACAAATCCGACCTCGTCTTCTCCGCTCCCCACGGCTCTGATGTCAAATTCGTCAACCCGGCGCTGTTCTCGCACGACTTGCGTCCCGTCAGGGGCCCGGCGACGGGCATCTTGGCGGGGGCGCCGGTGGCGGCGGAGTTTGCGGCCGAGGCCTTGAGGTCGTCGAGCAGCTTGACGACGGTCTCGGGGGTGAGGTCCTCGTAGTAGTCGTCGTTGATCTGGATCATGGGGGCGTTGACGCAGGCGCCGAGGCACTCGACCTCGATGAAGGTGAAGAGGCCGTCCTTTGTGGTCTCGCCTTGCTTGATGCCGAGGTGGTTGGTGATTGCCTTGACGATTGCGTCGGAGCCGCAGCCGCCGAGCTGGCAGGGGGTCTGGTGCGTTTTCGTGAGGTTAGTTTTCAATGAACTTGAAAAAGGTTGAGTGTTGTTGGGGGGAAATGATTGAGGAATGATGATGATGATGATGATGCTTTTGCTACCCCTCCCTTTCATCCCACTTTGGAACTTGTAGCCATGATGCAACAATGCCCATATCTTCACCCAAACGTTTCCCCCATGGAACAGAAAAAAGGACAGAGCAGATGAAAACGTACCGTCGTGCAGGCCTGGACGAAAAACTTGCCCACGGGGGTGCGGTTGTACATTGTGTAGAAGGAGGCGACCTCGTAGACGCGCATGGGGGGCATCTCGAGCAGGCGGGCGACCTCGTTCATGACGCTGATGCTGGTGAAGCCGTGCTGGCGCTGGCCGAGGTCGAGCAGGGGCATGACGGCGGCCTTTTTGTACTGCGGCGGGTAGCGCTTGAGGATCTCGGCGATGAGCTTCTCGTTCTGGGCGTTGAACTTGAAGGGCAGGTCGGGGTTGTTGTCGGGTGTGTTTCGGTGCTGTTTTGGACGGTTCAGGTCAGCGCTTTCCTGGTCTGCGGTACGGTGTTCTCTGGAGTGAGAGTTTCGATTGGGCGAATTGGCAGATGGGAGGACCGGTGGAAGAGGGCCGGGAGGTTGTTGTTCATTCTGGGTGAGACTTTACCACTTGGAGGGTGTCGCTGGGCCGGCTGGCTGTGAGGGAGAATGCGCGGGCGTGAGGCCGGGCGGCGGCGCGCGAGGCGCAGCGGATGCCGGAGCGGACGAGGAAGGGCGTGATTTTGCTCGCCATTGTGGGTGGGTTGGTGGTGGTTGGTTGGAGAGGAGGGAGCGAGGACGAGGACGGACGAGGCTGTTTGGAGAGAGAGCTTTGAAATGGCATATATCGGAGTCTCGAATGAATGGATTCTTTGACGGCTTGCTTGCAAAATGGGGGGCTGTGATTGGTTGGGGCGGCTGATGTTCGGGAACAGGCGGGCATATATTTCCCTCTGCTGTGTGATTGATGCTCTCTTGTGATATCTTGCCGGGTTGCTTCTACTTTTGCAAACTGGGAGATGGTTTCGGATTCTTTGAATTGCGATTGCTTCAACTGCTTGGACTGAACATCGTTGGAGCATGGCCTTGTCAACATGTCTGACCTGAAGCCTTGGTGGGATGGCGGCATCTTATCAATCTGCGGACTGATCTCGTCTTAAGCGTTTTCCCCCGCGAGAGACATACCTTGCATGACGACCACAAGCACCTTGGGCATCAACTCCGTCTTGTCCTCGCGGAACCAGCAGCTGATGAGTCCATCGGCATTGATCAGCTGGACGTTACTGGGCGCCTGAATCCAACTACTACCCGCATCATGCAATGCTAGCACATCCATCTGCCGCGGTACTTTGTGGCTGTACTGTTGCAGCGCTAGGATTAGCAGCTTGAAGGATCAACTCCATGTCGCCAAGTTCATGCTGTGCCGCATCACCATCGTTCCTCTTTCAAAACTTCATGGGTAGATAATCTGCATCGCTTTATGAGCAGAGCTGCCATTCCTCAGAGTCTTCATCGCATCAAGATGCAGTCGCGACGGGTTCAAGCGCTTCTGGCCGCCTGCTGGTCTTCGTCCTGCCTGGCCTCTATATCCAAGATGCCCGACTTTGCCACGTCTGAAGCCGGAAATCCGTTTGTCGACGGCTGGTATGCCGACCCAGACACGCAATTCTACAACGGCGAGTACTGGGTGTATCCAACCTCGTCGCGGCCATACGACGAACAGACATATCTGGACGCCTTTTCATCCCCAGACCTCGTCCACTGGACGAAGCACTCCAACATCCTGACGGCCGACAACTTCACGTGGGCACATCGAGCTGTCTGGGCACCGGCGCCGATATATCGCAACGGCACGTATTATCTCTACTTTGGCGCGAATGACATCCAGTCAGACTCTGAGCTGGGCGGCATCGGCGTGGGCGTGGCTGAGCATCCAGAGGGCCCGTATACCGATCCCCTGGGACGTCCACTCATCGACGCATATCACAACGGCGCGCAGCCAATCGATCAAGACGTCTTCATCGACGACGATGGCCAGGCGTACATGTACTATGGTGGACACTCTCACGCCAATATCATCAAGCTAAACGATGACATGATCAGCCTGGGCACCTTTGACGATGGAAGCACCTTCAAGGAGATTACGCCTGAGAACTATGTCGAAGGGCCGCAGATGCTCAAGCGGAACGGCATGTACTATCTCTTCTGGAGCGAAGGCGGCTGGACGGGGCCCGACTATGCGGTTTCGTATGGTATGAGCAGCTCGCCTCTTGGACCGTTTGACCGCATCGCCAAGATACTGCAGCAGGATGAAGCAGTGGCGACAGGCTCCGGCCACAACGCGGTGATTCAGGTTCCCGATACAGACATCTACTACATTCTGTATCACCGGCATCCATTGGGCTCTACCGACGGGAACGACCGTCACTTGGCGTACGATAGACTCTATTTCCATGACGATGGCACGATAGAGCCAGTCAAGATGCTGGTCCACGACAATTTTGAAGATGGCGACACGATTGGCTGGGAGACGTACGGCGGCGGTGACTGGGATGCTTCGGCAAATGTTCTGCGAGGAAACGGCGGCCTGGCCCTCGTCAACACCAACTTTTCCGACTTTACCTATGAGGCGGACGTACAGCTATCGGAGGCGAAGAACAACGACTGCGGCTGCCACGGCCATGCCGGCATCGTCTTCCGAGCGTCGGAGGCCTCCACCGAGAATGCCACGTTCAAGGGCTATTACGCAGGCATCAGCACCTCGGGCGCTCTGTTCCTTGGCCGGGTTGATGGGACTGAGCTTACCATCCTGGCCGGCGAGGAGGCCGGTGTCGAGATGGCGCAACAGTATCGTCTGAAGGTGACGGCAGATGGGAGCTCGATCCAGGTGGCTGTCAATGACGAGCAGAGCACAGTTATCAGCGTTACGGATGATGTCTATGGTAGTGGAATGGATGGCGTCAGGATATTCAAGGCGGAGGCGGAGTTTGATAACGTGAACATTACTCGCATCGCTCCAAGCCGAGGAAGAGTTGCTGCGTCGTTGTTCGTTGCCTCTTTGGGTAGTTGTCATCATCATACATGCCGACTTTCAACTACCTTACATACAGGCGTATAATACATATATACCAGTCCAGTCGGTGGCTTGTCGGGGGCATCAGCACTACATACTATCACGTACCTAGATTTCATGCAACCTCAGCTGTTTTGATTATATGGACTGCCGATGCGAAATTGCCGGCATTCATTCAATCCGTCACAGCGACACAGCTGCTAGTAGCGCCGACAATCTCACTCGACCTGTCGATCCTGCAACGGCACTCTGAGTTGTCTCAGCGACCTGCCGCTCTCGGCATCTTGGATTGCGCAGATCGCTCCATGGCTATGAGGCTTATGTCGATCAAGCTTTCACTTGCGAATGGATCTCATCCCCACGTTGTATCAGAACTCGTACAAAAGCGAGATGAAATACCTCAGCTTAGTAGAGGTTAGTACTATGGGATATGAAAAAAAGGAATTGAATTGACTCCTAATGAACCCCGATAGTGGAAGTTGTTGTTCCCTTCGAGAAGGGGAAGTATGATTGCTCCACGAGTCAGGGGGGGAGTAATCGAACGTGGTGAGCAATGTTAGTACTAACCGGCGAAGCCCGGCCTCACAAATTTGCATGGATACACGAAACCCCCAAGCACGGAGCGCAGAAGAGTATTTCACCACCGAGGATCGCTCCAGTTTTTCTCATGTCGATCGCTGCAGTCTGATGTCCCTCCTGCCATGTTGAGACTCCATAATAATGACGAGAAATTGAGGGAGTTGAAGTTGGATCAGAGGAAAAGGAATGATATAAGAACACGCACAGTCCCCCGGGGCACTGATGTTCGAAGGAACTGATACTGTAGGCCAAACATTCTCTTTCTCTTTCCCAGCCAGCAGCTATTCTCCGGGTTACCCTCTTGTCACGCTCTTAATAAGAACTTCTACCATATCTAGCCATTCGCTTTTCAGGGTTTCCATCATTCAAGATGCACTTCTCCGTGATCGTTGCTGCTGCCCTCGCCGGCCTCGCCGCCGCCCTGCCGCCTCACCAGGGCCACGACGTGAGCAAGGCTCAGATCGCTTACACCTACGCCAACGGCACCTACACCAGGCCAACGCACATCAAGGTCAACCAGGGCGCTCAAAAGCTGCGTAAGTTCCCATCCCAATCCCATCTCTATCTCATTCTTTTCATTCCCATCTACAAACGAAAAAAAAAAAAAAAAGACCAAACAGCAGTTCAACTGACACCAAAATCCCCAAACATCAGCCTCCGGCGGCACCGTCACCGACGTCTTCGTCTCGCCCCCCTTTGACGGCCGCCACTACGTCCTCACCGAGTGCTCGTTCCAGACCCCGACCAACAAGAGCCTGGGCGCCGTCTCGGTCCGCAAGGCCATGACTGTGCCGGTGAACCCGCCTGCTGCCGTTGGCTACGTGACTTGCAAGACCGACAACTAGGGTGGATGCAAGAGGTGAACTTCGATTCAGTTTCGTTTGGGGGATGTTTATGGGTGTCACGTCTGATTAGGGGCTGGCTGCCTTTGATGTGCTTTTTATATTTAGATTAGATGCGTACATGTAGCGTCGCTTATAGAGATGAATGCACAGACATGTCTATTTGTGTATCGAGATGCTCCGTCAACGCTTCATAACAACGCAACAGCGGTTTCGTCTATCAAGCCAATCTCAAGAGCCTCTTTTATACTGCTTCCCCAACATGTCTGACAAGGTCATCAATCCCCGCCTCAAAATCATCATCTTCCTCCTCCTCATCAACCGCCTTGTTCACGCCCATGGCCTCCTCCTGAAACCCCCATCCCCTCGTCGCCATGAGCACAAACGGCATCGCCCCCTCGGACAACTCCTTCCACACCCCGCTCAGCTCCCCCAGCACCCGAAAGCAAGCCCAAAAGCTGCCCGACGACATCCTGTGGCCTCCTACTGCTGCTGCTGCTGCTGCTGCCTCCTCAGCGGCAATGAGGTTCAGCCCATGCACCAGCGCGGCGCGAAAGACGTGGTAGATGATGTAGGGGGGCAGATGCTTGACACTGCTGGCATCGTCAGACGACGACGACGACGACGACGCCTGCAGGCCCTTGAGGAGCCTCGTAATCGCCATCGCCGACGCCGTGGCCGAGCGCAGCGCGTTGGGGATGTTGTGCGCCATGCTCGGGTCCGCGGGGTTGAGCGCCGGACGGTAGAGGTTGATGAGGATGGAGTGGTAGGTGATCCAGAAGACGACCTGGACGCGGTGCGGCTTCGCGCTGCGGCTGATGTAGAGGCGGCGGTCGATTTGCTTGCGGAAGGACAGCATGGCGTTGTTTGCCCTGGCGTAGACGGCTTGCTTCTCCGGGGCGGGGAGGTGGTGGAAGTTGGGGGCGTACCTGGGGGGCAAGTTTTGTGGTTGGCAGTGTTTAGTTGGGGAGGGGAGTTGTGTGTTCTTTTTGTTGTTGAGAATTAGGGGGGGGAGGGAGGGAGAGGTTTTGTCTTGTTTATGTACTTACATAACGTCGATGTAACGCTGCTGGATTTGGTAGAGCCGGCAGTGGTGGTCAAAGGAGAGGGCTTCTACGTCGACCATTTCCGGGGAGACTGTGTCGATGTAAGGCGTGATGTTCTCAGGCTCCCATGGGATGCCTGTTGGAACGCCTAGCTTTGGGGTGGCGACTCTATATATCATGTGTGAGAGAAGAGAACCGGTTTGAAGTCGCATGAGTGAAAAAACAGCTGGTGAGTAAAAACAAACCGGTCGAGGAAGAATAGAGACCAAAAGGTCCTGATGGTGGCAACGTCGTCGACGGTCCGCTCATGCTGCGGCGTGTCCCTGATTTCCAGATGGTTGGACAGCCCAATGGCCATGTCTATTCCCAACACCAATGAGTTTCTTTCAAGAAATGATGCCAAGCAGTCTTGATATCAACTCACAGTGATAGAGATGCCCCTTGGCCGCATCCAGCTGCATGTGCTTATACCACGCAATGATGATGAGCGCCTGCAACACGGGCAAGCACAGGTGCTCCAGGTAACAGTGCTGCACGAGGCTCTCCGCATACGCCATGAAGGCCTCGGCGACCTCCCTCGCGGCCACGGGCGAAGAGTACGCGGCGGCGGCGAAGAGCGCGCTGTAGAGCAGCTGCAGCGCCGTGTCGTTGTGCGGGAACAGGTCCGAGAAGTTGAGCCAGACGGGGTCGACGAACTTGTAGTAGGGGTTGATGTGCGCGAGGAAGTGCGCCTTGAGGTGCTGCTTCAGGCGCAGGTCGGACGCGATGTCGAGGAGGAACGTCTCCGTCGAGGGGACGTTGATGGCCTTGGAAGCCGGCGAGGGGCGGCGGCGGCGGCGTGATGACGATGATGATGGCGACGAGCCGTCGTCTTCAAAGGTCGGCAGCAGGGTGGTGGAGAAGAAGGAGAAGCGGCCCGGGCCGGCGAGGATCGGGAGGCCGTCCCGGCCGGTGATGTCGGCCCACTTGACGGAGCCGAAGTCGTGCAGGGCCGAGAGCATCCTTGGGCCGTACGGGAGCTGCACTGGCGGCGGCTGTTGCTGTTTGCTTGCTGCTTCGGAGGATGATGCCCCCGGCGACGGTTGGCTTGTTGGAGAAGCCGAGGCGGAGGCGGAGGGGGGGTCTTTGGACTGCTGCTGCTGCTGCTGCTGCTGCTGGAGGGAGGCGGACAGCAGCCGGACTTGGTCCTCGAGGGCCTGGACATAGTCACGGTCCCAGTATTTTTGCCTGGGGGGTTAGTTTATCAGGTTGCGAGTTACTAAGGTGATGCCACTTGTATGAAAGATGGTGATGGGGATCATTTGATGAGGACTACCTGCGTGTAGGTCGAACTGGCTCATAGTGGCAGGCCAGCTCGTGGGACTGACAGGAGCCGCAGACGGGCTTCTCGCCGTCGCACTGCATACATGTGCCATCAGCATCAGCACCAGAATTGGCCAATCTCGTCCTGACGACCGATCATCTCGGAATAGCCTCCCGACGCCGGGACAAAGACAAGACACGCCCAGTTCACTAATCCGCACCCCCGGATCGAGGTTCCAACGCCGCCCAGGCAAAACAAGCCGAAAGACGATGAACTGAATCGGGGTACATACAACATCAGAGCCTCAAATTGACTGACCTTTGATTTCCTCTTGCGGCAAGGCTCGCAGGCTAACTGCGTGCGACCAGAGCTGCGCCTTGGCTGTGGTTGGCGGCTCGAAGACATCCGGAGTCTGGGGGGGAGGAAGATGGATCGTGGAGAATAGGAACTGTGGGATAATTGCCGGTGGAGGGGAAACAGCCGAAATACGAATGGGCTATTTGTTACAGTATCCGTATATCGTGTATGCAGGGGTGTTGCTGGATGACTGAGTCAAGAAGAAAGACAACTCATCAAGTTGCAGTCCATGTTGCGCAATGCACAATTGAGACTTTTGAGAGGAGTTGAACAAGGCCAGTTACCTAAACCAAGTGACCGAAACAGACACCTAGTCTGAATTTTGCTTGCTTGGACTCCTAATTATAGAGTCGTATCAGGAAAATTGGCATGGGTGAAACCCTTGGAGCCCGATATGTTGCTGACACTCAGCAGGCCAAATGGGTGGGTTGCCGGAATAAGGCCCGGCAACCCCCCGTAGCGGGCGAAGGAGGTTGGACCAAGATTTTGTTTTCTCTGCTTGATTTAGTGATAGAGTTAAGGGGATGGAATAGTATTTTAGCATATAATATATTGTGATTAAGGGGTTGGTTCTTCCGTATCGTTGTTGTTGTGTTGTGGTTGCGGTTATTTGGTGTCGTTGGTTGACAAGGGTTGGACTCTATAACCCAGCAGACTATCTTACGAGGTATGAGAGAACTCGCGAGTCGACATCCAGGTACTACCTAGGTATGCTGAGTTGTGTTTCTGACGTAAGAACAGTACATGTATGTAATTGATGATCTAGGAATGTTCATCCAAGCTCATCTCAGCAGGTCGCTTTCAAGTCTCTGACACTTTCTTTTCACTTACAACTATCCCACCTCGCCCACATAAACACCGGCCTTCCAAAGAGCACGACTATGAAGAGAAGGAAGCCCGGCTCACCCAACACCTGACATCTCCATCAAGCACTGCATAAAAACCCCCCATCACAACCTCTTCAGCCGAATCCACAGCCCCCCCTTGGGCTTCAGCGTCAAGCTCGGATTCTCCACCTCCACCTCCCCCTCCCTCGCCGCCTCCAGCTCAAAGTTGCCCACCACCTCCACCAGCACCGTCTTCATCTCCAGCAGCGCCAGCGCCCTGCCGGGACACGTCCGCGGCCCGTTGAGAAACGCCTCGATGGCAAACGGATTGGCCACGGGCCCAGCGGCAGCGTCCCACCGATCCGGGTTGAACTCGTCCACGTCGTCGGCGCCCCAGATGGACGGGTTGAGGTGCACCATGGCCGGGATCGTCGTGACGGTGGTGCCCTTGGGGATGGCGACGCCGGCGATGACGAGGTCCTGGCCGGCCTCCCAGGGGGCCAGCAGCGTGGGCGAGTAGACGCGCAGGCTCTCGCTGACGACGCTGTTGAGGTACGGCAGGCTGTCGATGGTGGCGGCGTCGAGGTCGGGCTGCCTCTGCTGGGCGGCGAGGATCTCGTCGCGCAGGCGCTTCTGCATGTGCGGGTGCCGCGTGAGGGCGTGGACCGTCCAGGTGAGGGCCCCGGCTGTCGTCTCGTGGCCGGCAGAGACGCCTTGGATGATCTTGTATGGAAAAGAATGAAGCCAGTTAGCAAAACCAGAGAGATGACTCTCACTCAACTCCAACCCCCCCCCCCCCCTCTATAGGGCTTTGAAAAAGACTTACAACGTCGACCAGCATCTGGTCGGAAACCCCCTTGCTCTCCGCCAGATTCGCCTCAATCATGTCCGTCAAGAAGTCCTTCTTCTTCTTATTGTCCCCGCCCTCCTTATTATCCTGCTTCACCTGCGCGACGCGCTCCTGCACCAGCTCCGTCAGCATCCCCCTGAGCGCGGTGTTGGCCCGGATGAAGGCGAGGTTCGCCTCGATGGGCAGCCAGCGCAGCGGGACGAAGGGGTTGACAAAGGTGATGAGCTTGCCCAGCAGCGTCGGCGGCGTGAGGATGCCCTTGTAGCACTCCTCGAAGCTGAGTGGCGAGGACCTGGAGCGGAAGTCGGTGATGTCCCTGCTGAGGAGGGCGGTGCTGATGACTTTGAAGGCGGTTCGGGAGAAGAGGGCTTCGACTGATGTGGGTGGTTGTGTGTGAGCCTGTAATTCCTTGTGCAACTCAAACTTTCGAATGTCAAGGGAGGAGGAGGAAATGCCTTACTCTCGACAACTCCTTTGCTTTCTCCTGCAATTGCCTCGTCGAACGAAGCAGACAGCTCCCTGGCTTTGTCCTTGAAGAGAGGCAACATCTTTCTCACATTCGGCTTCGAAAGGGGTCCTATATCCACAACCCGTCATCAGCACAACACACAAAGCCTTTCTCCCGACGAAGTCTCTTCCTCCTCCCCCTCAAAGGAAAACTTTCAAATTTACCAGCCATGATCCGCCGCAGCTTCTTATGCTGCTCCCCAACGCTAAACAAGACGCCCGTCCCCATCATCTCGCCCACCAGCTTCTCAAAGAAGGCCGGCTTCACAAACGAGTTGCCGTGCGTCTGCAGCACCTCGCGCGCCGCCTCCAGGCTGTTGACGAGCAGCACCTCGGCGTTGCCAAAGCTCAGGTACCGGATGAAGGGCGCGTCCGGCCACTGGCGCACCCACTCGAGGTACAAGTCGTTGGGGCCGGCCGTTCTGAGGAGGCGGATTGCTTGGCCGACGAGGAATTGGTTGTCCTGGATGTTATTGCAGACATTGCATTAGCCCTCTGTATTTCTTTGCTTTTTGTTGTTCTTGTGTGAAGTTGACGATCTGGCGTACCTTTGGTCCGGGGACGTTTCGCAGTGGGGAGACGTAGAATGGATATATCAAGGCTCTTCCAATCTTGTACGCAACTGTCCCTAGGATGTACAATCCCACTCCAACGCCCGCTGCTAGAGAAATCGTTGCATCGGGTTGACGCAGCGTCAACACTACGCCGGCAAACGAAAGCAGAGCCACGCAGAGCGACTCCATCGTAGCCCCGTCGTCGCGCCTTATCACGCGAAATACTTTGCCGAGCGAAAAAAAAAAAAAAGGAACAAAGACCGATTCGAAGAAATAGACAACCCTAAGAAAATATGAAGAACAAGAATGCTTCCCTCTCGACAATGGAGTTATCACATGAAGGGGGGGGGAGTTGCCAAGTGCTATATTTATATCGAGCTGTATAATACAAGCCATTGCTTCTGATCAAAACCCTCCCTCAACTCCCCCCACAAGAACCAGTTCTTCCCCGTTTCGTACTGTATCCAATCTTTACTCTTGAACTCGCTGTTGAACCGAGTTTCACACGCATTCTTAATATATTCTGGAGTCTGACAAGGGGCCCCTAATGCAACGCTTGCCCGCTTGGTGCTGATACCATGCGACTTAGATACTGCGGACAAACAGGCTACTCAACTACTGCTCTCCTAGCAAACAGACAAGAAGTAGCCTATTCAATCAAATCGATGCATACTTGCTCATCCAAATGACTCGCGATAGCTCTCCCAACGCCCGGTGCAGCTGCGCTGGTACTGCTTGGTGTGGATACCCGCAAATACCTAGGCTGATGGACAGGGGTACAGGGGGCGGCTTTCCTGCTGTTTATACTCAGTAATTACAGTATTGCTGCGGAGAAGCAGAAAGCTGTGTGCTGCTTCGGCTTTGCTTGTGATGGAGACGGAGAGGCTAGAGCAGAGCTGCGCCCGCCCTAGGGAATATCAAAAGCACGATGGGTAGCCTTAAGGGTGGGTTCGGATGTCTCTTTACGGAAGAACGCATGTAAGACTGCATGATCCCTCGAAACCAAAGAGGCAGCATGCCTCCGACTGTTTGCCACGACTCGTCTAACCCATAATGCGTGAAGTTGCCGAGTGATTCGGGCTTTGAACCCACTCCTTCGACGGAACCCTTGATTGAGTCAAAGATTTTCATTTCAACCAACTCCTTCTCTGCACAGCCCAGAGACGTCAAAGTGCCTACGATTCTCCAGCAACGCCCCAAAACTTCCATACTTGTAGTACCGCACACTTCTTACGCAGCCCTAACCCACGTCAAACTAAACACCTCGGCCCCTACCCTCGACACGCCAACCTCCACCTCTCCGCTCTCGCTCTTGACGCTGGGCAAGATCTTCTCGCCCTTTTTCTCCAGGACGATCCTGTTGCCCGACGTCTCGGGCAGCTTGTAGAAGCGCCTGCCGAACCGGCTGAGGAAGCCTTCGAGCTTGTCCTGCGTGACGTCGTCCTCGCCGACGACGCCGCGCTCGATGGCCTCCTCCAGCGCCAGGAGCACGAGCTGGGTCACGTACGGCTGCGTGAAGACGCCGGCGGGCGCCTTGCCCTGGGCGGCCGACGTCTTTGACGTCAATGGATGGGGCGCGCTGTCACTTCCACTGGAAAGGGGGGGGGGATCCACGTTTTAGCACGACGGGTTTTCCATGACCCCATGGGAACAACCATGAAATCAAGAACGACGCTTGGTGCATTCAAACTTACAAGAAGAATTTGGGATTGCCGCTCACGACGGCTTTGAGCAGGGCGTCCCTGTCGGTGGGCTTCTTGGGAATGGGCTTGCAGAAGGCAAAGGGGTCGCAGCAGGCCTCGGTCTCGGTCAGGTACAGGTGATGCGCCGTGATGGTTGCTTGACGTGTGGGAAACGCGATGAGTACAACTGCTCGAGATCGGGAGACCAAAAAGAGGGGGTTTCAAGAGGGGAGTGCGTAGAGCATACCTCCAACGTTGGGTCCGCAGGCCTTGACTGCTTCGACTGCTGCAGCGGTGGTGCAGTGCTCAAGCTGAGAAACGCAGGATATCAGCATCTCTCCAAGATAGAACCGGGTTTCTGATCAACAGTTTTACGCACCACAATGCGCAGGTTGGGGAACTTGTTATGAAGCTTCTTGAGCGTAGGCAGAAACGCCTCCTCCAGTGTCGTGCCCTCGGGGGCCAAAGACTCGAGGACCTCTCCGTGCAAGTTGAGCACAAGGTCATGCTTCTCCATAGCGGCAAAGGTGTCGTAAAAGGCCTCGACGTTGGCCACGCCGTGCTCAGAATTGGTCGTCCCGCCTAAGGTGCAGTAGTTGTTTTAGTGAAGCTCATTCGGAACGGCCGCAGGGGGGCACAACCGGCCTACCCTGAGGATACAGCTTGACGCCTGCGATTCCCGCCTGTGCTGCTTTTTCTATCGTCTCTGGCGTGACTGACGGGTGAAGCTGGACTAATCGTTAGGCGCGTGCCGGGTCTTGTATGCCTGGGAAAGGGTGATGGCTTACGTAGAGGGACATGAGGAAGTGGACGTTTGGTGCGACGGCACGGAGCTTGCTTTGGTATTCGAGGACCTGTGAAAGTAAGCCTTGTGGAATAGTGGTTGCACCTCAATCATGGAAACATACTCGGTCAACCTCAGTCAAGGGGGGGACCTAGAACATCCGTTAGCCATTGCATCGACAAAGTGAGACAAATCCCCGTCAACGACAATCCAAATCGGCTCTTTCAACGTCAACACACGGATATTGTATTCACATACCAGATTCGGCATACTACGTAGAAATCCCTGTCAGCTATCAATCAAACCTAATGACTCGTTGTTCTTCCATACGAACATACACAAAAGCCGTGTCAACGCCTCCTCGCTCCAGAGTCGGCACCACAACCTCCATCATCTCGCCCTGGCGCAAATGGACGTGCATGTCCGCCGCCGCCGGCAGCTCCAGCTTCTGGACCGTCTTGAGCTGCATTTTTCCCTCTTCAATCCTTCTTCTTATTGTCTTTGCTTCAGAGGCAAAGAAATGATGGAAGCGATGACTTGAGTTGGTGTTTAGAGAGAGTATGATCGATGAGGTAAAGTATTGAAACTGCCCCGCCATGGGGAAGATTTTTTAGATTGACGGAGAGCGGCGCTGCGACTAAGCCTCTTGGAGTAGCAAACTATTTTACTCAAGCCTCATGAGCTCTTTTACTCTTCATCAACAGTCATCGTATCTCATTCATTCCTCATCACCAGCTATCCACTGCTACTGTAGAGTAATGTCAAGCGTATGATGAGTAGTTACGCTTGTAGAAGAATAGAAAAGCATCGCCAATCCACCGCCTAAACAGCCCTGCTTCTCAACCCCCTTAAACCCACACTCACCAGCCTCACAACAAAGCAACCACAACTCCTCCCAGAGCAACAACAGCAGCCACAGCATCAACAGCAACCCTCGTCCCAGCACCGCCAGGCGTCACGGAAGCCTTGACAGGCCCCGACGTTCCGCTCGGCTTGCCCGACCCAGCAGTGCTCGTCCCGTTGGCAGCGGCCCCAGACGAGCCCTCGCCATCATCATCACCCCCCTGAGCGGCGGCTGCTGCTCCCGAAATCGTCGAGATGACGGCCGAAAGCGCGTTGAGCTGCTCGCCAACGCCAGTCTTTCCGTCAAACGCCTGGAGCCACGAGAATCCGCACGCGGTGCCGCTCCGTCCCAGGAACGTCTTCGTCGTCGGCCCCGAGCAAGCAGCGGCAGCCGCCTGGGCGCTGCTCAAGAGCAGAGGCTGAATCGTCTGCCTCGTGTAAGGAGCCCATTCCGTCGTCGCCTTGAGCCCGCGGACTAGATAGCTCTTGTAGCTCTGCATGTCCGTGCTGCACGTCCCCTGCTCCTCGCACGCAGCCTCGACCAAGACGTCGTCCTTGACAAACGTGCTCTGCACGCCCTTGAGCAGCCCGTCCACCCTCGTCTTCCACTCCGAAGACGCCGTGGCGTTGTACATGGCCGCGGCTCCGTGCAGGAAGATGCCCGCGTTCATGCTGCTCTGGACCTTGTTGACCTCGCCGCACGAGGCGGTGTGCACCCCGTCAAAGACCTGGTACGAGTCGCTGATGAGCCCGGCCTTCTGCTCCCACGCAAAGACGTCGCTCGCCCAGCGCGCGTACGTGCCGTTCTTGGTCTGCAGGTACAGCCGGGCGGCGAGGTCGAAGAAGACGCCGTTGGAGGCCGAGTTCTTGTAGTCGTAGCCGGCGTTGAAGGTGAAGATCTGCCACCGCAGGCCGCCGCCGCACACCTTGGCGTCCCACCGGGCCGCGAAGTCGTCAAACACGTTCTGCGCGAGCGCCAGCCACTGATCCTGATCTGAAGAGGCGCTCGGGAATCCGCGCTCCGCCGCCGACAAGGCCGCCAGGGCCCAGACGCCCTGGTCGTCGTTGCCCTCGGCCTCGGTCTGGTTCGCGGGCAGGAAGTCGTTGTTCTCGCCGGTTTGCCAGAGGAGCCCTTGCTTCGTGACGGCGTTGTACGCGTCGTCGCCCGTCTGAGCCCAGTAGTCGATCAGCGTGTCGAACAAGGCGCCCGTCTCCCACCCTGCATCATTGAGTCAGCTCACTTTACCCTTAGCATGAGGTTGAAGGGGAAGTCAGACAGTAGTATGGCTCGGGGAGGATGCCTGGTATCTGGCCCGTCTCGTTGCCGTTGTAGTACTTCATGAGCCCGTACGCAATCGTGCTCGCACCATCCTTGATCGAAGCTGACCATCATTGTGTTAGCTCATGAGTAATAGTGAAGAGGCGCTCAAGCAAGACAAGACAGCGCACCGTCATCAGTAAAGTCAATCTTGATGGCGCCAACAGAGGCGCCGAGAAGCGCGAGAGCCAAGGCGGATCGCTGCATCGTGACAACTCCGAGGTTATGAGTTTAAGGATTCAGGGACCCGAGCAAAGTCGACACGGACACAAGAAGCCGAGGAACCGAAACTCGTCTGCCTTCAAACAGTCTCCCCAAAATCGCGAACAAAAAGAAAAACGAAGGGCAGGTTCGTGACACAGCAGAATAGAAAAGCCGGCAAAAAGCGAGAGTACAAGCCGGCACCTGATAAACGAAAGACAAGCTGCCTCACACACGTTGCGATCAACAAAAAAAGCAACGAGTTTTCCTAACCAGGAAGAAAAAAAGACCCAATTCGGTATTTTGGTGACAACTCCGTTCGACAAGATAATAGTCCCAGCAAGTGGACCGCCAGCTCATCTTATAATCATCGTGCCGCTTCCTCTTCAGCCCCTGGCTCCGCTGCCTGAAAAACCCGGTGCTACCTATTTTAGCCTCATGGTTAACGTTATGCCGTAAGCTTCCTCCTCTCATAAAGGATCAATTTGAGGCAACTCTTTACCAGATCCAATTCTTTAGCATCTTAGTTGTTAACCATTCCCGCTTGAGCCAAGCTGCGCCACAGAAGCCAACAGACAAAAGACAGAAAAATGTCTAATACTATTTTCCCCTTCAAAGTGACGTGTGTTGACTTCTGCAACAAGTCCTCCAATCCTTCTTCGTCAGCAAGATCCGCCCAAGAGAACGTGTTTGGTTTCAAAGGGGGAAGACAAATGTGACTGCCCTTCGGCGATTGCCCCTTTGGGAAGTATACGATGTTGCGCTGGAGCACGCAAAACGGGGGAAACCAGTTCAAGTTGGGAGGTTCAACTAAGTGAATACGAAGTGACTGCATGCATAGGTATAGGGCAACGAAGCCGAAGAACCGGGTTACGAGGTTTCTGCTGTCGAGTTGCTTTCATGACGGGATTCTTTTTCCATCAATCAGCTCGTACCGCGGCGTATGTTGTGGACAACGGAAGCAACTCTGTTAGACCAAGACGGGTTATAGGCCGCGGTTGGGGTTGTAACATCTATAGCAACACAGGTAAGGACAACATCATGACAGCCGTAAACAATCTAGAACCTAGCCAAGCAAAGACAATACAAACGTCATTAGCATCAACCCCTCAGCCCTACAACCCCCCCTGGACCAACTCCTCCATCCCCATCCTAAACTCCTCCAAGCAGCTCTTCACCAACTCCCTCCCCCTCGCCTTCTCCGCCCTCTCAGCACTCACCAGAAACTCCTCCGGCACCTCTATAGAACCACCAGCACCACCGCCGCCGCCGCCGCCTCCTCCTCCCAGCATCATCTGCGAGACCGCCACCGCGCACCTCGCCGCAACCGGCATCCCGTGCCCCGTGTACCCAGCGCAAACCCACAGCCCATCACCTCCCCCAAGCTCCTCCGGCACCCTCCCCACGAACGGGCAACCGTCGACCGAGTACCCCATGATCCCCGTCCACTGCCACCTCGCCCGGAGCTCTTCCTCCTCGTCCTCCCCTTCGGGCCGCAGCTTCAGCGCAGGATGGAGACACCGCTTCAACCGCTCCGCAACAACCTCGTCAATCTCATCGTCCTGCCACACCCCCTCCCCTCCTCCGGGAACACTCAGCCTCTCCCCCCCGACGATGATCATCTCCAGCGGGTCGTCCCTCTGAATCAAGTAGTCGTCACTCTCGTCCGCGATCCACACATGGCTGTGCTCCAGTGCAACACTCCCATCCGGCGGCTCCAGCGCAGAAACCTGGCCCCGAACAGGAACAATCAGCCCCGTCATCTTCGGCAACAGGTGGCTCGTATATGCATTCGTCGCAAGGAGCACTTCTTTGGCAACGACCTGCCCCCTCGGCGTATGCACGACCCACGACGATCCCGTCTCCATCTTCTGCAAATGCGTTACCGGCGTCGAAGTCTGCAGGTTAAACACCTCCGGAGCCTCCTTGGTAAACAGCGCCTCCAGCACCCAGGCAACGAGCTTATACGGCCAGCACTTGGCCGCGTACGGCTGCAGCACCGCCCCCTTCGCATTCGGCACCCTCAGCCTCTTCAGGTCCTCGGGATCAGTGTACAACGTCGCCAGGCCTGCGAGGTCAGGATGGTGCTTATCAATAATCTCGATCCTCTTTGCAACAAGCTCGACCAGCTCATCAGTAAGCAGTCCATGAACACCACCAACCCGCTTCCAATCACACGCCACACCAAACTTGGTCACAATGTCCTCCAGGAAACGATACGTAGCAAGCTCGAAGCGCGCAATATGCGCCTTCTTCGAGTAAATCATGGGCTGACAGTGTCCTCCATTCTACGAATCTCTCCCCTGATTAGCACACACACACAACATTCCCACTTCCGGAAAAGTTACCAAACGAAACATTCAATGTCACAAAGCTCATTGGGGCCAGATGATGATGGAATTGGAAAAGAAAGACTCACCCTCCCCGTAGCCCCCCAACAAGCCTCCCTCGCCTCCAGCATCACCACCGACCGGCCCCCGGCAACGAGTTCCCGCGCCGCAAACGCCCCCGTCATCCCGCTGCCCACGACGACCACGTCTGCCGTCGCGGGCAGGTCTGGCGTCGAACGGCGGCCCAGGAGGACGTATGACGGGTCGCGATGCCAGAAGGACCGCGTGCTTTTGGGAGTCGGCAGCCCGGATTGGCCGTCTCGCAAAGTGGCGGTCACCATGGCCGCTTATAAGGTATGCTTGCCTGTGGTATCCGTATTCTGGCGGTGATTGAGTAAAAGGAGGTGGAAAAAGAAGAGTATGTGAAAAGGGAGTGATGATATCAGGATATCACGTGTCAAGATGCCTATACAGCGTTCATCTATCCGCAATCCACGTGAGTCATTGTATCAAAAGATGGATGATACTATATAGACCTCCAGAACTCGGCTTCTCGCTCCGTGGTTCGCACCCGATTACGACGCGCTAATGCGGGGTCAGGCTTATGTACCCGTAAGGCGATCCGATCCGTATGATACGGAGAGGCGTCGACATCATCACAAACAAGCTTCTGCACGCGGAAACGGTCAAATCTCTAAGGATATCATATCATATTCATTGCATTTCGTCGTGACAGTCATGACTGGCGGATTTGCCTCCCCGCAATTCCGGGGAATCCATCGCCCTCAAGAACCCTCCCAATTCCAATTCCAAACCGTCCATCCCAACGCCGCAGTTCAGCTGTCCATTCCATTTGCATCTCCTTGTTCGCCGATATTTATTCGTACATCGATTGCAAAAGGAAAGAAAAAAAGAAATGGAAAAAGAAAAGAAGCAACTTCTTCCCTATTCTATACCTTGAGGAACCCCTGTGGTCCTCGTCTTAGACGATCCTTTGATCACAAAACAAACCGTAGTTGTGATCACCAAAAACTCCAAAGGCAGGCCACAATCCGGCCGCGCGTCAATGCTATGCCTATTCCATCTCAAGTATAGCCGATACACGCAGTCTCCTCTCGCAAAGTGCAGCTTCAGCGTGCTGATTGTGCCGGCTGATTGAGGCAGCTGAGGTTTGGCGATTCATCAGAATCCCCACTCAGCGTCACTCCATCTAAATACACTTAGCCGCCCGAAGCCAAGCGCTTCAATACCATCAGGAGAGAGGGTGAAGGGGTGATGAATGAGCCTCTCGGTCAGCTTGCTCGAAGCGGTGATGCAAGAACGTGGAGCTGGTGCAAGTATAGAACCATTTCGCCAACCCAAAGTCGTGATACCTGTCGAGATGTATAAAAACGAAGGTTGAGATCGTTCATATCCGTCATGGCGTCATGGGCCAGTGGCCGTATAACAAAAGAAAGAAGAAACCGCTATATGCAAAGCCAGAGGCTTTGGAAATTCAAACGACGGCCCATTGTATCCACTCGTACATATCCCGGTACAAGGGCAAAAGTAATCGGCATGCTCAGCATAGGCATCCTATGTTCTTTTGGGGATATATCCAGCCGCGTTGTTCTTCTGAAGCAGTGGCCTCTAAAAGAGTACAGAGCATGTCAAAATCTCTTTCAAAAAGGAGGAGTATCTCCTTACACATCCATCATGTCGAGATCGCTGGTGTCATGAGCGATGGAGATGGGAAACAGCTCCGAGGGGCCCCAGTTGCCTTCGTAGACAGTGGCGGGCGCATTGCGGTGCTCTGCCACCCACTGCATGCCTTCCAGGGCCAGGATCTCCTCGACGCGCGGTCGATCTTCAGGCTCCTGCTGCGTCATCCAGCGAACGATGGAATCGAGGGAGCTGGGGTGGAAGGCCTCAACCATAAATTCAGGAGGCTGGTGAAGTTCCGATCGCTTAAAAGAGCCAAACAAGTTGCCAGGGCTGCGTGTTCTCTCGGCCCGGAGATCATCGCTCATCGCGGACTCGGTCGGATTACCAAGTGCATCTCGCTGGACATCGCTTGACGGCGTCCAGGTGAGGCTCGGCACCTCGGAAAGATCACCAGATCTCAGAGCAACCCATGTAGGCCCGTTGTCGGGAAGCACCACATTGGCTGCGATTTCCAGAGTCATGAGACCCAGAGAAAAGATGTCGGCAGACTGGTCGGCTTTGCCTTCCAACATTTCTGGCGCCATGTATTCACGGTCGCCCTCAATGTCCAGATGCACGTCTTCAGAAACGGCCTGCGCCAACCCAAAATCGCCAATCTTGAGGACTCCTTCGAAGGTAACAAAGATGTTGGCTGGTTTCATGTCCAGATGCATGAATCCAGCGTCATGAATTTCCTTCAGTCCCTGGAGGTGATGTTAGCAGCTGGGCCGAGATCTCGAAAGAAGGCCACGTCAACTTACCAAGCAAAGATCTTGCAAGATCTTATAGATGCGGAAATCATCCAATCGACCAATCTGTCCGATGTTGGCCAAAAACTTATCCAGGGTTCCCTCTTCACAAAACTCGGTCTGTATATAGAGATGAAAGTTATGCTCCCAATCGTCGATATATTGCACGACATGCTCAGAATGTGCCAGGGCCCGTAGGATTCGAGCTTCGCGCAGCTTTGCATCCCTGTCCTTGGGGCCATGATACGGCTGCTTGCTCTTCTTGACGGCAAAGACCTGGCTCTTGGAGACCTGGCTCTCGGCAGGACTCTTCCTGGGGCTATCAGTTGGAGTGAAAGAAGATACAGAGGCATTCTGGTGATCCTGCTTGGTGACACGGTAGACCGTGGAAAACTCGCCCTTGCCAATCTGCTCAACCTTGTCAAACTTGGAATGGAGGCTGGCGTCCACGTCCACGTTGCTGGAGCGACCATTGACCGGCGTGACAAAGATACTCATGGATGATCGGAAATCTCGGGACGTGGTGGGCGTAACCGGTGGCGGCATGGTTGTGTCTCCCCGACCCTCCCCAGTGCGGGAGATGGACAAACGGCTGGCATCTAGTGGTAAGAGGCTGTCCTGGGGGGTCTGAGGGGTGCGTCTTCCATCGGCAGGGCTCGCTGATTCAACAAACATCATCTTAGTACATACTCTGGCTCGGGTTGACTTGAAAGATGCGCGACTAGATTGCGGCGTCGTCGAAGTTGTTGGAGGCTCAGCTTGGAGCGGCGGGGGCGCACTGAGCCCCCTCTGGGACCTTGCCCGTCCAAAAGAAGATAAGGAAAGAGGGTCGGTTGAAGATGCTTCGCAGTCCATGGGAGTAGATCGATCGGCCAGCAACTCTGCTCCTTCGACTTGGCTCCTTGGAACGGCGGACTCCTCCGGGATCGACTTACAGCTGATTGGTCGTGATGGTGTTGCCTTGACCGTTGACGAGGAGAGCGCAAAGGTTCGATTGGCACTTGGGCTCTCCTGAGAACTTTCACTAAGGCTGCTCAGGCCGCTGAAGCTTGGCGTCAAAAGATTCTTGGTCGGGGTTGGGGGGGCTTCTTCGCCTTCGGCGGAGGTTGCGAGGTCAAGACTATCGGCGAACAATTTCCGGTCGTCGCCATCAACGCTGAGAATGCTTCCACGGCGGGAGGCCATAGCGCTGCTGCGTTGGAAAATGGACAGACCTTTGGAAGGGTTGGCAACGGTATCGGGGGCACGAGCCAGGACGGAGGTTTGGAAGGGGGTGGAAGGAATGCCGCCGAACGAGTAGCGAGTGCTTCCCCTCTTCTTCCCAGAACTGCCTGTGGGCGGTGGGAAGGTTGCGAACGGGTTGATGTGCTTTTTGCACGGCGTATCAGGGGGCGCCATCTTCTTCTCAGCTTCCTCCTCCGGGTTTCGGTTGACCTTGGAAACGAGGCCGGTGGAGCTGAATGCGCCGACCCAAAGCTGGTGCGATTGGTTTGGCGTTGCGATGGCAGCCCTCTGCTCGATGAAAGATCGAGCGGTGGGTCGACTGGCCCCCGGGGGCAGGGACCTGGAAAATGGATGCGGCCGTTGCGCAACCTTTGCTGGCGCATAGAGCGACTGCTCCTCAGTCAAACTGTTGCCAGATGTGGAGGTGGTCAGCGTCTTGGACAGCGGGTGAGGCTGGTGATTCTTGTTCTCCGCGGTGGAAACGGCCGCGCTGGGCGCAAAGGGATTCTCTCGAACCGCTGACGGGGGCACGAATGAGTCAGTAGAGAGACGCGGGCGGTGCCTGACAGGCGTCGAAAATTCACCGCCAAGCTGCGAAAGCTGTCGCTCACCAGACCGTTTCCCCCATGAAGTCTTTTCACCGTAGCGTTGCTGCAACGTTGACCGCCGGAGAGACGAGGACCGTTTCGGAATGCTGGATGTAGAAGTATGGGACGCTAGGGCATCCCGTAGAGCAGCCCCCGAAATGCCAGAGAGCTCGTACTCAGCAAATGCGTCTTCGTGTATATCGAAGGCGCTCGGCGGCGACGCGCCCGAGCCGAAGACGTTCACATCTTCCGCCTGCACAGAGCTCACAATGCCGTGCAGGCTTCGTCGCTTGGCGACCGGGCTGCCATGGTTCGACTTGTCCAAGTTCATCGTTGCGTCGCTGCGCTTGAGGGCACCTGCCGTGGGAAGCATGGAAGAGTCGCTGATGGAATCCAGTGTCTTCAGAAACGAAAACTGAGGGGCCTGCGCAAGGTCAGATTGCACACTATGTCGAGTCGATCTTTCGATGGCCTTTCGCGGAACAGAGCGGCTGGGAGTGTCGTTAATGCCGTTGTTGTTTTCCTGGTCGAAGAACCTAGGGCCCCGTGGAGGATAAGTTGGCGACTGCGAGGAGTTCGAGTTTCCCGAATCAGGCGTGGCGCTCAAGGCCCGCTTCAACGGGCTCTTTGAGGACGCTCGTGTCCGGGTGATTCGTGAAGGAGTTGTGATTTTCGAGCTTTTAGTAGAGCCAGCTCGGAGCGAAAGTTTGACACCTGGCCGAAGGGGTGTTTGCGCAGGTGACAGGGACGGGGCACTGGAAGAAACCGTCGAGCTGACAGCTGGCGGAGCCGATTGCGGAGGCCTCAGCACTGGGCGTTGTTGGAGTGGTGTGGTAATGATCCGTCGGCACGGAGAATGTGAGCCCTGTCGTGCCCTATCTGAACCTTGAGAGCTTGTTCGTGGAAGGAGTTTGGAGGGCGATCGTGACATGGACCTTCGAAGATTGCGCACCGTGGTCGGGTCCATATGATGGACGTGGGTGGGCGAGGGCAGTGCCAGAGTGCCACCACCGCCGCCGTTGGAGAAGGACATGGCACTGGAATGAACGCAGTGCAAAACAATGCTCGCTGGTTGTCCTTCCTAGGGTTATAAGAAAGGCGTGGCCCAAAGAAATAGGACGGGGAATGTCGATGGTACTGAATGCGTCTGATGCGGAGCGTAGTTTCGGATTAGCAGGTCTCCTCGTAACGGGCGATGTATAAAGTGCGCTTGTAGATGATCTTGTCGGTTTGGCGGTGTCTCTAAGATGGCCAGGAATATGCGTGCATCACGCCAAGATATAATATGCGCAAAAGACAAACAATAAATTGGACCCCGTGAGGGAACGAGGTCTGAAATGCTTGGGAAACGAAAATCCGGTCAAGATGGCTTGCGTTGTGTGAACCGCAGCAGAGGTCGAAGTATAGAGAAACAGCACACAAAGATGGAGATGTCCTGGGGAGGGCTATGCCTGGTGTTTAAGAAGTAAACGAGAGACAAGCCGTGAAGATGCTCAACGAGCGGGTCGCAGTGCAGGATACCAAAAGAGCGTCTTATCCAGTACGGCCACTACAGCATGCTCTTCGATCGGCGGCAAGCAGGCGGGGCCGAGAGTCAAAAGAAGGCCCAACGATGCCAGCAGTCCAACAGGCAGGTCGACGGCTCAGAACACGGAGCAATGGCTGATGTTGGCCAGAGGCAGCCACAACATGGCGTTGCCGACGGAACGAAGAGGCAGGAAACGCAGACAGAAGAGAAAAATGGTGCTCACGATGCGCAGGTGCCCGGCGCAGGATCGCAGATGTCGCCCGCCTGTGCTTGAAATCGGTTGACGTGTAGATATAACGATGGCGGATGCGCCTGCGTCGATCAATAGTCGGCTTGGGAGGATCGCAAGGCCAATGTTCCGCAGGGCCAATTCTGTCGCCCCGGATGCCTCTCAGGCGCCACCCCTTGTTCAGTCGTCGGTCGCTCGCTCCTAGTATCGTCGTCTGTCCTGCTCTGTAAGGTACTGTATTGTGTGCGGCGACTCGGGTAGCGGTTCGAGACTGGCTTTGGGAGCGCAGCGGCAGTTCCCCTCAGTGAGCGGCGTTGGGTTTCGGCACGGCAGTGACTCAATTGCGAGACAGAGTAAAACAAAGGCACGACGCAGGGAGGGAGTGAAAATCCAGGTCGGGGGCTGGATGGTATGCGGAGGTCCAAGTCGAAGGCGAAGGCGCTGACGGAGCCTGAAGGGAGGGCGAGTGCGAGTACGAGCACATGGAAGTTGCTCGACGGTGACGGGTTAGAGCTGGCAAGAGCTGGCTGGGCCCTCCTGCCTTACGTCGACGTTGGCGGTACTTCGTACTTTCCCAGTTCCCAGAGTGTTTAGTGGTGCGGGAGGCGCAAAAGGCGCGACTGAGCTCCTGCATTGTTTATCATCTTACCCAAGGCGGTCTAGCGCGACACGCGGAACGCGTTCTTCAGCCAGCCGTGGTGGGGCCCATTTGGCCACGGCCCCTGTTGTCCGCCCGGCAGAATTTGGGCCCCATCAAACCCATCAACCCATGTCCAGGTCGAGCCCTGCAGATCCGGGCCACGAGATGCATCGCTGCACCCAGCAGATCTTCAACTTTCGGGGCCCTTTCAAGAGAATAACTGAAAGGATGCTGTAGATATCGAGCGAATACGTATCTTCAGCATAATTCAACCGAGCTTCTCACTCGCTAGGGCCACGGCATCCCATCAGCAGTCATACGATATATCCTGCCTTCCATTGCAACGGGCAAGACATTGCATTTCTGGCATCCCACGGCTTCTGCTCAATCCCCACCTCGCCTCTTACACAGCTTTCGTCACGGACACTTCAGTCTCTCAACACCCTAAACCTCCATACACGCGTACGGCGCACAGTTCAACCCGTCCACCACCCAACACAGTCACGGAGCAGCACCGCCTCAGGCCATGTACGCATTGGCAGTATCAAGTTGCCGCACTACTCGTACATACATTCCTCCCTGATGTTTGGCGTTGCATCGGTCAAGGCGCCCGTGAAACAAGCGCCCGGGCACAATTCCGTGTTTCCAACAGCCGCATCTGACGCACCATCACGGCCCAGGAAGACACCCAGAGTGATCGCTGGCGGACGCAGGAACGGCGCCTCAACCGTGGGCGGATCGTTGATCAAGGTGACATGGATCGATGGCACCTTACGATGGCTTGGAGAGTACTTGGCATGCGGGTTGCAAAAAACACCGCCGGTCTATCATATAAAATTGTAGGTGATGGGCGGCGGTGTTTTCTGCCACCCACTTTGCTTGGATACATCCCGCCCATCTCTGGTCCTCCCTGCATATCTGTTTCAGCCTTCTCGTCTTGCTTCTTTGCTTGCTTTTCAAGCTTTTGAAACTTTTGATCGCCTTTGCCACTGCTCGTCCCCCAGCCGTCAGGGTTCAGGCCACATGCAGGTGGCACGCCGGTGTGCAAAGTGCTGCAAGCATGAAGAATGGAGGTCAATGTTCCGCCGACTCAGCCGCCATGCAAGAGACAAACGCCGACCCTCTCTGTGTGCGTGTCGTTCACTTTTGTCTCCTCTGCCGATGTATGTCTCTCTCTGCAAACCCAGCCTCCTCTGTCGACTCACTAACGAGCAAACCATTGCCACCTCGCTCATCGACCAAAACAAAACGGCGTCATTGTTTACTTTGGCCACTCGAGAAGCATGCGGGACCTGTCGCCACTGTTTTGTTTTGATAGCAGCATCTTGCCTCGGGCGCTGTCAACCGGACAACACAGCCCACAGCTCCCCGCCCATACAAACGGGACCCCTATTTTCGCATTTCTCGTGCTTTCGCAGAAGTCCCACGACTGAGGCTAGAGTTGGTGTCACGAGTCAGGCTACCTTCCAGCCCACCAACAAACATGCCTCCGTCACTGCCTGTGCAAAGTACTCCTTCCAAGTCTATGTTTTGTAAGGGAAAAGGCCCTCCCCTTGATAAGCCTCAATGCTCATTTCGCTTGCTCGGGTCGCCATTCCGGGCCCGGTCAGTTGGTCTGTACATAACGGCACATTTCATTTCCAGCCCGATTGCGCTCAAGGGAAAAGTGTGAGTGTAAGTGCATGTACGCCACTTCAACTGTTGGCTCACCAAGGGCGAGGTCTCACCATCGCGGTGTTCTGGATTCGTGCGAATACCTCTCCCTTCCCTCTGTGAAAACTTTTCAGGCGATATATCTAGTAGTATTCGAGTAAACACTTGGAATCATGCCATGCTTGGTGGAAGCCACCTACTAGAAGGACGGGCCACTCTTGTGCAAAAGTGAGACTGGCGACATCTCTTGGTCTCACAATGGGCGTACTCTCAACTCTGTGGCGGCCAAGGCTGTTGGGCGCAAAGCATTCGGACGTGGTAAAAAAACGAACCCTCATTTTCAAAGGTACTACACAAAGCTACGGATCTTTCTTTATTCGATATGTCTTGTAAGTGATGGGTACCCTAACTGCAAAGTAGTTGCTGTAAGGGTTTGATGTCAGTCCCAGTTCGAACAGGAGCTGGACAAGCCCAAGCACGGCCTACCCTACAGCAGGTGACAGAAATTCGCATTTGGCTCTGATAAGGAAGACTTTACGAAATACGCGGCATAATTATTGACGTGAATAGATAAAGAGATGTTTTCTCCCTAGATTTAACCACTGATGTCGTGATGCTGTCTCTCATGATTCGTCAACTGGCGCTTCGCACCATGCTGAGATATCCGGAACTGGTGTCTCCTGATTGTCCTACAGCAAACCGTATCCTGTCAACTGTATAGGAGTATATGACGTTTGACTACACACCAAGTACTTCAATGATGCGGACAAACGCTCCGCACAAGATGGGGATGACTATGCCATTAATTCTTGTGCGTGTCAGTATCTTGCGGGCAGAGCTCCGGTTCATCATGCGACTCCCAGCTTCTAATAACTTATATGATTATCTACTATACTCGCCAGTTACCACCTATATATATTATGCGTTTAATACAACTCCATCTTCTCCAGGTGAATCAACCCGTTCGGAGGCTGTCTCCCATGTCAGTAACTATCACAAGCTAAAGATGCAATTCTTCACTCACCGGAATGAACTGGCGTAACTTGACGCCCGCCTGGCGAAACACCTCTGCCGCCTCGGTATCCATGCTATACCCATGAGCATACACCACCTCCGCGATGCCGACCTGACAGATCTTAATACTGCACGTCAAGCACGGACACGTATCGCAGTACAGCACGGAGCCCTCCCTGATGCGCTCCCGCCCGGCCTCGAGGAGCGCATTCTCCTCTGCGTGGATGCACAGGCACGTGGCCAGCCCGACGCCGGAGCTGTTGCCCTCGTTGCAACGGGGACAGCCGCCGTCGGCGCAGTTCCGCAGCCCGCGCGGCGTGCCGTTGTATCCGGTGCTGATGACGCGCCGCTCTCGCCCGACCAGGACGCAGCCGACCCGGCGCTTCATGCAGTTGGACCGCTGAGAGGCCAGAGACGCCAGCGCCATGAAGTACGTGTCCCAGCCGGGCCGCATGCGGTCCGGGTTGGGGATGTCGAGCTTGCCCAGCGTTGCGTAGAGATGGGCTAGGGAGGAGGACGTGTTGAGCAGCCTGACGGTGGCCCGCGAGATGAGCGGCTGCAGGCCCGTGGTGGGGTCGTAGAGGTGCACGTCGTTCTGCGCGACAAAGTCCTCGAGGCTGATGCCGGCTTGCGAGGGCTGGTTGGAGCGCTGCTGGAAGCGCCGCCAGCGCACGGTGAGCGGAGCGTCGATGGAGATGAGCAGGAAGAAGGGTCGCCGGATGAAGACGTCCAGCACCTTTTCCGTGGGGATGTCCGTCGTCACAAAGCGGCTGCGCCATCGCCGGGTGACGAAGTCCAGCAGCTCCTCGGCCGTGGCAAAGACATGAGAGGAGGAGGAGGTGCTGCCATTGCTCGCCGCGAGGGCATTGGAAGAGGTTGCATTGCTGCTGCCGTCGGATGATGAAGAGGGAGATGATGTCTTGTCCGCGGGCTGCTGCTGGTCTGAGACTGACGCAGGGGGAGTCTGCAGGTACAGGTGCTTGAAGCCGTGATGCTCAACCAGATACTGCGCCACCGTCTTCTTGCCTGAGCAGATGCCTGGATGCCCGGTTAGTTGCTGTGCTTGCTTGAAGCATTGATCGTTGTACAAAGCGCGTACTGCCACAGATTCCGACGAGCATCGTGTACTTCAGCCCGCAAAACCGCGAGCTTGGTTTGAGTTACACTGAGCCTCACTACTGCAGAATGAGGACCAAGTCTGATGGACGTCGGGTTCAAAATATTTCAAGGCGGCATTGATAGGTGGGGCGATGCGGAGGATAGTAACACCTGCGTTCAGCGATTAGGTATGGAGGAGAGCTACAAAACCTTACAAACAATGCGTTGCTGAAACCTACAATCTTACGGAAAGGCAATTAGTATGTGGGAGAAAGCAAACAAAAAGACATGTGATCAGTCTGAAGATTACGGAATCATCGAGATTGGCAGTAAAGTCGATAGAAGCAAAAGAGTAACATGAGAGTGCAAAAAAGAAGCAAAAAATATGCCCTCACACAGATTTGAACTATGGACCTTCGCATTACGAGTGCGACGCTCTACCCCTGAGCCATAAGGGCATTTGACAGCGAATTCTGGGCTGTGGAGCTCAGATTGCTGCATGATGACTGATGAGAATTGTAGCCCTATATACCTTTGCGATTTCCATCTTCAACCCCATCTTGGCTCCCAGGACTCCAGGTTGAATATGATGCAGCCATGCTTTACATCATTTTCGTTCCGAATAATGAGATATCTCGTGGCGAATGTAATGCTTGATGTCTATTCATCCAAGCTTTAAGCGCAATATTCGAGTGCTGGTGAAGGTGGAAGCTACACGTAACTTTCAAGTTGTCTTACACAGCTTCGCCGGTTACATTAGCCAAGGGATCTTGCTCGTTTTCCCCTGCATGTCAAAGTATCAGTCACTCTAGAGTCGTTCTCCTATCTAGGAGGTAAGAGCACCCTTCTGCAGACCAATTGTAAATAAGAATACAAAACCTAATGATAATAACATTACTGCTCCATAACAAGTAGCTAGTATATCAACATGTGCGCTCGCGGGCTAGGATGCCACAAAAATGCATCTATATACACGGTTCTGCATACAAAACTTGTTGCCTCTCAGCATTGGTTGCTAATATTGCCCAGGCTACGGGCATGTAGTATAAAGCTCTTGGGATGCCACTATGCACAACTTTCAACTCCACGTAAAATCACACTGCCCACTCTCATCATTGCAACACAACGCCACTGACCTCAAAGGTCTGCACTTGTCCACTCGAAAAAGACGCAGAAAACTTTCCGTTGTTGATCTTTGTATCTGTGTAGCTTCTGTACTGGTCTCCCCCGCCGGTCTGGGTGCTCCATCGTGGCACTGTTGCGCCATTGCTGCCCGCAGTCCTGGCACGAGTAAGGTCAAAGGTGATGGTCTGGGCACTGCCCCAGTTTGCGGTGACAATGACAAGCTTCTGAGAACCAGCGTCGTAGGCAACGGCGGTATTGGCATCAGGCGTCGTCAAGATCTGCATTCCCTGTCTGATGTGGCGGGTGAGTTGCGCAAGGACAAAGTACTTGGTGCTTGCCGACGAGAGCGTCAAGTGGTCATTGTCACCCACGATGAGCCCCCAGCCAGCGCCGTCAATGGCCTGCCAGTAGACCCAAGCAGTGGGATGGAGCCAAGTGAAGTCGAGGAGCAGGTTTTGGTACATGGATTTTCCACTGGCATCCGAGTCACCGTATTCGCTGTTCCAAAGCCGCTTCCCGGCCTGGCTGGCGAGGCTATAGAGAGTGTCACGCCTTCCACCACCGTCCTGGTAGCCATGGACATTGATACGCTTCACAATGTTCCGTGTAGAACTGTTGAAGCCGTTCCAAGTAGAAATAGCCAAGTCGTAAGTGTTCTCGTCGGACGATGCCACAAACGACGACAAGCCACGCGACGACAGCTCTGTGTTCAGATAACCAATCACCGTAGCCATGGTCGACACATCGAAATGGCAACCTTCTTGCGTACCGTCAGCTGTCCACCAGCTGGAAGACGGCTCATTGAATGCCTCGACTGATTGGAACTGGATCCCCCAGCTCTGTTGAGCATGCTGAGCAATATCGGCCAGATAAACAGCGTGATTCTGATAGTTCCACGACTGGAGGTTGTCGCTCGAGCCGCTCCCCGACGGATTGTGGTTATTGCACATCCACCACATGGGGGAGTTGGAGAAGAGCTCAAAGATGTTGGCACCGTTCGCTTTGGCCTTCTGGAGCATTGCTCGCTGATTCGCATCGACATTCCAGTTCCAGCTCGATGAAGAAGGATCGGAGCTGGCCCAGTCGAGCCAGAAGCCGTCCATCTGTCGGGAGGGTTTGATGTTTGGTGAGACTACCATGGTGGAACCATCGTAGCTGTTGTTGCTACATGCGCCAGCGTTGTATCGAACAATGTTGAAGCCCAAGCCGGGCAGAGTTTGGCCATTGACGGCTTGGTTGTTTCTGCTGAAGAAGACACTGGCCAGATCATCTCGGTTGCCAAAGGCTTTTGCCCACCACGCGAGCGATACACCCCAGCCTTCCCAGGTACCCCAGTTGGAGGTTGGATCGATGGAAAGCGTGGTGTCAGCCCTGGCTCTCTGGGAAAGCAGAGCAAGGGCTAGAGACGGAAGGACAATGGTTCGCATGATGATTCAGCGGGCCAGCAGTGGTGATACTGTGAAATGCACGATGCAGATTGCATCTGCCGTGTCCAGTTGGTGATGCTGAGCTCATTCTTATATCTCGCGCAAAAAGCTAAACCTACCTGACCAAAAGCTCGCCTTTTCGGAATTTTGGCTGCACTTGCGGTGCAACATAGAGTATCATCGGATCAATACGATCTCGCCATGAGCATTCTTGTCATGGGCTCGCTTATAGCGGAGCAAAGGCTATATATTTAGGCAGAACGGGAGAGGTGAAGATCATGAATGGTATTCTGTCTGTTTTATAATGAGAGTTTCCTATTCGAGCGGTTATGGTATATGCAAGACCACAAGCTGTTTCCTCTTTGGCTACGCCCCTTTGTTCATGACGCATCATGTAGCCTTGTTAGTCCACGGAATCGTATCATGACGGCAGGTTGAAGGCGCAGGATGACAACAATAGCGAAGAAATGCTCCAATTGCTAGTCCTGGATTTCAAGCAAACTCCGCTTGTCCGCTACCAGGCGAGCTTTGTATGCCCCGGTCAATGTGCTAAGCTGGAACAACACATGTGCCTCCCGTCCATCATAGAAGCTCAATGGACGAAAATGGCAGACTCGACTTCTAGCCCATGATCTCATACGGGCCGAGTTAGAATCATAAAGTCCGAGTTACTTAGGTGTATATCAAGACACTCTCGCAGCCATCGTCCCGCTGACGGCTTGCTTGTTGCCGCCTTAGTGGGGATGGACCAGGGTCAGCAGCCGTGTATAAACGCCCTGTGTCTGCTACGCTCTCCAGTAATACTACTACTTCCTTTCATTCTCTTCTTCATCATGCATCATTGTTCGTCCATTCTCTGTCATCATTCCCGGATTTTGTTAGCTATCTTTACTGATCTTGGAGAATCAAGAGATACGAGCAACCGAAGGAACATTCGAAGAAACTGAAGGAGCTCAACGCTGTGTATACTGGAGAGCATCACTTCGATGCTCTGACACGCTCATCGTACATTTCTGATTACCTGTTCCTTCTGACGGTATATACCGCCATTGACTTATGAACCCGAATTTTATCGCTTGAGATTATATCACTGTGATGAACATTGTTTCTCTACAAAACAATTGGTATCAGCGGCATCTACCCTCATATGCTTGTAAGTCAAGCCAAATGCCTCATACAGGGTTTGTGTTTAGGTGAAGGTGAGGCCTGGCCGTTGGTCGCCTCTCCATAAATATGCGGCCTCTTCATGCAACCATGCCTTTCGCGCCAGGATCCAAGCCAATGGAGGCATCGCCTCACCGTCCAACACGACCATTATGCGACCAGTAATTATCACAGTACCCGAGAATGAGGCTTTTGGATAGAGTTGGTGTTGCTGCCTGCGGATATCCGTGGCAGTGCCTCTCGTACCCTCACAACGCAAAACTTGGGAATCTTCTACTCTATTCTTGTTTCCTTTCTTTATAATATTATTCCATTACCATCACCTTTTGTATAACCATACTTGTCTACTTGTGAGTTGGATACACGTGGGAGAGGGTTGAACTCATCAGCCAGTCATGCACCGCTTCTTGAAGCGGTTCTCCCCCAACTTCCCAGGCAAAGGGAGCGACGACAACATGAAGATGAAGTCAATTGGCGCAAACGGAAACCCGCTCTCTACCGTGCAACGCACAAAAAAGGCCACCCAGGATGATTTGCGGTCTCAGAATCCTCTTCCGCAGGTCACTGCGTCATCCGCACAACCTGTCCAAGAGCGCATCCACGGGTTAATAGAGCTCATCAGCCAGCCGTCCGATCGGAGCGATGCCGTCGACATCATCGCTATTCACGGGCTCAACGGACACCACGAAAACACATGGACCGATGAACAGACGGGGTTCAACTGGCTGAGCGACCCGTCTTGTCTTTCCAAGGACATCCCAAACGCCAGAATCCTCAGCTATGGCTACAATTCGATTACCTACTTTAGTCGCAGCAATGCTGATATCCGCGACTTTGCCTCAACGCTGCTCGCTGCGCTGCGAGCCAAAAGGAGGACAAGCGCCGAGCAACAGCGGCCTCTGGTCTTCATCTGTCACGACCTCGGTGGTTTAGTGTTCAAACAGGTGCGTCCTTTAAGTCACTCCGCATCATTTGAGAGACGCGTTCTGAACAATGGCAGCTTGTAGTCAGGGGCCATGAGCAAGATAGTTTCTATGGGCCAATGCTCGAAAGGATACGGGGTGTCGTATTCATGGCAACGCCTCATAGGGGATCAAACCTCGGCTATTGGGACAGCATCGGACCGCGACTTATTCGAGCAGCAAGTCTTGGCTTCAAGTGTAACACGAAGCTCATCAAGGATCTGAAAGTGGACTCGGAGATGCTGAAGCGCATCTCGGACTCGTTTGCCTATCGCGGAGCATCTCTCAAGATACGAAGTTTTTATGAAACAGAACGCATGCCGCGCCATACTCGCTGTGTAGGTTGTTTCATCCACAACCTTATCCCTTTAGTCACCAATTCACGTCTCATTTTCATTTTCTAGATTGTAGACAAGGACTCTGCTAGGCTAGGATGGAGCAACGAGCTTGACATCGCATCGCCGTCGGATCACTCCAGTATTTGCAAATTCAAGTCGCGAGACGATCCAAGATACGAAGTGGTCATCTCCGAAATACTCGACATTATTGGCGCAGCGGAGGACGATGTCGCTCGTGAGTTTTGACTTGCGACGACCAGGTGACTCGGTCCTAACTCTCTTTCCCACCATAGCATTTACTGCCAGAGAAAGAAGCTGTATGCGGCAACTGAACTCGGAATACATGAGCCATCTCGATCAGATTGACGACCCGGTTCCACAAACATGCGAATGGATTCTCTCACACGAGACATGGAAACAATGGCGGTCCTACCCCGACTCATCTCTGCTTTGGATCACGATGAACGCAGGCTGCGGAAAGTCTGTCATGGCCAAATTTCTCGTCAACTATTTCCAGAACCGCTGCGATAAGGACACAGCCAAGAGCCTCGCCTACTTCTTCTTCATGGATGGTGTGGCAGGACGAAATAATGCATCTGCTGCTGTCTCAGCGCTCCTACACCAGCTCTACTCTTCGCAAATCGTCTTCTCAAGCATGCGGTGACAAGATTTATCAGTGCTCCAAGCCATGTCTTCAACAGCTTCTCGACTTTATGGACGGTTCTCGTCAACAGTCTTTACGATATCGAGCGAAAAGAAGTTCTCTGGATCTTAGACGGGCTGGACCAATGTGAGAAGCCGTCCCTTGGAAAGTTGATAGACTCAGTCGCCAGCCTCATAAAGCAGCCAACAACAACCAAGTTGAAGATGATCATTCTGAGCCGCCCAACGAACCGGATGCAGCATGCCTTGGGGCTCTTTTCCGGCACGCCGCCGCCTCGTCCCGGCTCCAGCAATATGCTTAGGCTTGTGGGAGAAAACGAGTGCGATGCGCTGAACGAAGATATCCACCGGTTCGTTCAATGGAAGATTGACCAGCTCGCATCCGACCCTACGCTCCCAGAGGCCACTATGAACCGCCTGCGAGAGAAAGCTGGTCGAAGGCGCAGATTACACTTTCCTCTGGGTATCCCTCGTCATGAAGGCTGTTGAGGATTCAGTAATAGATGGCATCTCTGAGTCAAAATTGGAGAAGCTGTTTCAATCAACGACGATCTACGACGTCTATTGCCACCTCCCGAAAGAGACGTGCAGCGTCAACCCCGAAAAGACACGGAAGCTTCTGACAATCCTCCTGGCAGCGGTCAGGCCAATGACTGTGGACGAAATGTGCGCGGCGGTGGAAGTGGACGGGGATGATCCCGATACGACAGAAGCGCATGTTCCACGGCAGCAGAAAGCTAAAAAAGTACAAGGCGCCAGACTTGAGCAGCAATGGCATGATCTAAGCCCTCAGCCTCGGCCCAGAACCCAATCTCTTCAGACGCTTGAACAGCAGCTTCATAAGCCTTTCGGCAGCCATATCCGCCAGCTATGTGGTCACTTTGCCAGAATAAGGCGTGGCAAGGTCTACTTTGTCCATCAGACTGCACGCTCTTTCTTGACCAAGGCAACCTCTGGGCCAAATGAGAGGCCAGGAGAGGCAAGGACTACTAAGCTTTGGAGGCCCATACAAATGGAGCATGCAAACCTCACCCTGCTCCAAATCTGTGTGGCGAACCTGAGGATGGTTGAACGAGACGAAAGCCATTGCACGAGTCGGTTCCTGGACGATACGCAAATTACAAAGTATCTGGACACATGTCGGGAACCTTCGTCAACAGCATTCTTTCTATATGCAGCAAAGCACTGGGTGAAGCACTACAATGGCCTGCGGAAGACGCTCAATAACTGCTATGACGAACTGCTTCAACCCGAACACCAGTCTTTTCGAGACTTGGATCATTGTTCACAAATCATGGCTGCTAGAGCACAGAGCAACTATTTGTAGCTCCGAGGCATGCGAATCGCCAAACTTGTCCGCGCATATCGAGCAGATTTGCTTGGAGAAATCTCAGCTCGACCGGACTTTTGACGAGCGCTTCCATATCCTTGAGAAATGGGCGCATCAACCGCAAAACGTTGCGTCAGACAAAGATGCGATTGAGACCCTACAGACAATTGGGCAAACTTATTGGAGGCTGAGAAGCGCCTTTGACGACTACGTTGGCAATCCTGCTCGATTGATGCATCGCTACCGGATGAATGATGTGGTCAAGCTGGTCAATGAAATCCAGACAACGTATCTCAAACCCATGAGAAGCCAACTCGAAGAGCTCAACAGGCTACGAGATGAGGCTTTTTGAGAAAGATCCGGAGCTTGAGCGGAGGCTGACCGAGCAACACCCATCCGAACATCACTCGGAGCATGCCAGCCCTAGGTCCCATCGAGGCTGCCGACCGACAAGCCAAGAAAGAAGTAGATTTTGCACAAGGCACTCCTCCACTTTGGCCTCTTCGCCCCGGACGAAGCGGACCTCGAGGAAGACGAGTTCCTGCGCGATCACATGCAGTTGCACATTGGCGCAGAGACACGTCGACGTCGATCTTCCCGAGCTGTCGAGCTTCAAGGAGCGACTCTGGGGCGATCGTAGCCATGCTGCTATGCGGATGATAGAGAACCGCCGTGGTTGAACTTGGGAAAGTTGAACAAGGTATTGCTTTTTGTTTGACTATGGAAGTTTTGGGTATCTGGTTCTCTTAGGCGTTGTGAAGATACCATGAAGAAGAGTTTTGCAGTCAAGTTTGCCGCAAGAAAGAACAATTTTCGATAAACTTATCATAGCCATGATTCATCCCTCTATCATAATGAATGCTGAAAGCAGCATCGGTAGCAAGACTGAGCCAGACTCCAACCGTGTCTCTCTAGAACGGGCATATCATCCCAATCCACCCAAAGAGTGATCACATTCCGCAAAACAGCCCAACAAAGAACCGCTGCCTCAGCCAAAAAGACAGAGAAAGCCATTATTTTGAGACCACATCTCATTCAACCTCGGTCAACGACGAAGGAACAATCGTCCTCTCCTCCCTCCGCATCTCCCACAACGATTGAGGCTCAATCACCTGGCACGGCAATCGCAAGTAGTAGATGGCATCTCCCATGTAGCAAATCCTCTCCTCCACCCGCTCAAAGCACACGGAAAGATCCTGCCAACCGGTCTGCGAGACGACAGCTTTCCACGCGTCGACAACCTCGGAAGTGAGGTACAGACCGATATCCCAAGTGCCTCGCCAAGTAATGGAGGGTCCCTCGTTCGACTTCCGATACACGAAAGCACACGCCTGTCCCTGCTCCTCGCCATTCCACAGCACCAATGTATCCAGCACGGGCATTCTCATCGCAATCCTTGCCGCTTCACGCATTAGAGCAGCTGCTTCCGCGGGGGATCCCGAGTTCAAGGTCGGGGATGTCAGACACAGGGATCGTAATTGCGGCCAGTTGTAGGCTTCGAAGCAGTACGAGAAAAAGACCTTGGCGTCAAACAAAAGCCACACCCAGATAACTTCGTACGCAACGCTTAACCAAGCAAATGCCTCAGTGATGATGGGCATCACTACCTCTTCAAAGCCGCTATAGCCGGGTATTTCGTTCAACGCGTCGGATAGCTCACCATTGATGTTTTCGAAAATGACTAGCCTTCGTATGCTTGTTTGGGGAGCGTCAATGTCCAGCTGTAGGTCTATAAATGTATGTTAGCCTCAAGCAGTATGCGCAAGGATAGACAGGGGCCGGTTTCATTGCAACTGGCAGGGCCGTTCGCGGTTGAAAGGAACCAAGAGTCATCAACGCACCTGAGTTCATCTCGAATATCACCAAAAATGCATAATACCAGGTTCGCCATGGCTCATATATAAACTCTTCTAAGCAGGGCATATTCGCCAACAGCTTGGTCATGACCGAAGGGATGATACAGCGCCGGAACGAACGGCGTATCACGAAGCTGGTGACGATCGGAGCAGGCGGCGATTCCTACCCGCCGGTATTTCGCACCATCGAGAAGACTCGCCATATATAACTCGGTAACGGGGTCTCAGTCCGGTGGCCGTCGGTCCAGCCATGCTCAGGGTCGTGCGGACCAACGGGAAATTTCAACCTTTCCATAGGGGCTCCGTAGTAGTAATGCTTATACCAATGCATGTAGTCGCTGTCGGAATACGCGTTGAGCTCCAGCTTGATTCCTTTGCCCGCCGGCCGCGAGGGCCAAGAGCTGAGGACCCGTAGAACCCTGTAAATAGAAGCGATTACGAGACCCGTGTTGAGACCAACATCTATTAGGTCTTCGTGCTCTTGGCACAGACTGCAGTCGTAGAGGAGGAGGCTTATGTTCAGACGGATGTGTTGCACACGATCTCGTCTATCCTGTGTGATCATTCGTGGCAAATGATGTATGTCGTCGTTCCCCAGAGTGATCTGTCGCAGGTTTTCCGTCTCAATCACCGACCGCCATTCTGTGCAAACGGATGCGAGCGAGGCCCAGCCAGGGTGTTTTACACGTGCAATCACCACTAAGATCGATTGTCGGATCTCCCATGGCAGGCCAAACCAGGTTCCGCCAATATGCATGGTCTTCAGCTGCAGACCGGGAGTAGAGGATGGAAGGTGATGAGCAGAGAGTCGCTGACAGCTTGCGAGGATCGTGGTGGAAGACAGACAGTCGATAGCCTCCTCTGCCGGCAAGTCTGGAAGCAAAGAGATAAATATGCTGCGAGCAAATTGCTTTCAGACTGGCGCGTCTTGTTGGTATTCTCAACGAGACTCCGGGATAAGAAACAAGAGCAAGTTTGTATGGTGAAGGGTTTGTTATTTTCCATTCGGTTATATCAAGTATGAAATTGCATGTGTCTTGACACATCGAAGCAAGAACGATCTGGGCGACTCCAAGTCAACTGTTGCCCAGGACTACGAGACGAATATGTCGTAAGTCACAGAGTTGCCAAGACCAGAAGCCTCTTAATAAGGTACTTAGTATGAGGCAGGTAGAAAAAGGGCGATGCACTACCGTGGAGAGCAGCAAAGGACTTCCCTGTATCACCCTACCGACCCTTTGTGTGATAAACATCCAGCAGATGATGCCGCCACTTGTTCAATCTCATCTAGAACAAACTCGCCACTAATAGTATATTAATCATTCAAGTTGCTGACTAGCGGTGTGATGTGCATTTCGACAAGAGTGAGTCCGTCATTGCTATAAACTCCGTGCCATGTCAGCTTAGACGCCATGTCCCCTTTCAGTTCCACCTCGTCTCCAACATCTTTCAACCAATTCCTCACTGGAAAGCAATGACGCAAATTCGTTGTTAAGCTATCATTTGATGACCCAACATACACAAAAGCATCCCCATTCCTTGTGAATGATGCTGCGACTCTTTGCTTTCACCGTTGCCCAGGCCACGCTCAGCAGCTCCGTCACGGCCTCGAGCAGCGCCCCTGATCTGTCCCAGTACAGCCTCACTGCGACCCTCCCCATAGTCCATTTCGATCCTCCATATACGTGGCCCAACTATGCTCCCAGCCTTTCAATCTACCTGCATCCGCCCGCAAGCGCGTCCTTCGCCAATGTTTCGTTCAAAGCCCCCATAGCGCCAGTTCTCGATACCGGCTCGAATGGCTTGCTTCTAGATGCACTGGATCTCAACATCACCAACGCCACGCTGGCGCAGTATGAACCCGGCTACCAGTACCTTTCGTCGTCAACAAAACTCTACCGCGGCTCGTGGATCCCGTTCACGCTCGAGTTTGCCAGCCCCTCGGGCGAATCAGTCAACGTCACGGCAGAGATTCCAGTGCTGGTCGTCAACGAGACGCTCAAATGCTCGGGGTACCAGGCTGAATGGGAGGCATACTGTCCCGAAGACCACACGAGCAGCTACGATTCTCATCCCCGAGGCACCCAATGGTGGGGAATTGGCTTCGGTCGCGAAGCCGACGGACAGCTCCACGGAACGCCGGACAAGAATGCGCTGATCAACATCAAGAGCATCAACGGCGTGGATGTGTCTTCGTCGAAGAACTACAGGGCCGGATACAGCTTGCGGAAGGACGGCGTAGTGGTGGGTTTGACCGAGGAGAACACACGGGGCTACCGATGGACGAAGCTGGAGAAGCAGATAGACTTCTCGGATGACCCCCGCGATTGGAAGAATGCCTCGGGCTGCGTGAGCATCGACGGCGGTGACTGTCGATCATCCAACGTTCTCGTCGATACAGGTCTCACTATATCCTATCTATCGACCGCTGATACGTCTGTCCGCTTGGTACCTTCAAATAGGTCTTCCACAGCAAAGGTCCTGGCAGCCGGTCAAAATGTGCTGGTTCGATTTGGTTTGGGGGATGGAGATGGCGAAGTGCAATACAACTTTACGGTGGGAGATGCCAGCAGCTTGGAGGATCCTAATGAGGTGAGGACAAAGCTGGTGGACGAGGGCAAGGAAGAGAAAATCAACACGGGAGTGTACTTTTACCGCGAGTGGGGGAGCGCCTTTGATGCAGACGGTGGTTGGTGGGGGGTCAAGTATGTTGGGAACGCTTAGATGTGAGTGAGCTGAAGTGATGGGAATTCATATACATTCTGAACCCTATACGAGAGTTCGATACACTCCTGCGTATTATATCGTCGTGTGTAGTGCCTACTGTGCTAAATCGCATCGTGAGTAGCACGAAATCAAGCGTCTGCTCCATGTTACTTCGTGATGTAAGCAACACTATACGTTGAAGGTTGCGGGGTGTAAGACGATATAACGCCACTGAGACCAAAAGTTCAGGCCAAGGATTCCAGCCTCATGAGGAGTTACGGCCAATTGAGTTTCTAATGGTTGCTTAATTTAGTATTCACCGCGCGGTTAGACACATTCATGCCCAATGGCTCGTCCTAAAGTCTCCGTCGTGATGACTTGCTGCTTACATACCTATATGAGCTGAACCTGCATCGGTTGAGAGTTCCTATTCCGGACATTTTTGGGAGTCAATATTCCAAACCAGTAATTGCAAAGGTCCGCAGATTCCTGTCCAGCCCATGAACAGAATGGAATCCAAAACGTTTTTAATAGCTCGAATGCATGAACATCTACTACTTGTGTGAGTGATTGGTGATACTAGACAAGCACCTCACAGCCTGTTTAGTATTTCGCGACGCCATGGAGCTAGGAACAAATGGTCTGACAAGTAGTTCATCATTATAGGACAGGTCAGAATATAGACCAGCCTTGAATATATCGCGACGAGAAAAGGTCAAATCAGAACTGAGCTTTCATTTCTGTCTTAACAAGATTTGACTATATATGAAAGACCCTGTTGCCACATTCTTCCGCTCGTGTTCAGTCTCATTCAATCTCAACTACTGTCAACTCAGTGATACCCACAGGCAACAGTCGCCCTACCGTCCTACCAGGTATTAACCACGTCGCTAATTTTCCATCAACCCTCTCGCACCTCATCAGCCATCATGCCCGACAAGGTTCCCACCCTCGTCGAATCGGGCCTCCTCAACGGCGGCAAGCGCTCCGTCATCGCCTCCGAGCTCGGCCCCGGCTCGACCACATTCCCCCACTACCACAAGACCTTCACCGAGACCTTCCACCTGCACTCGGGCTCCCTCACCATCTTCGCCGCGCCCGAGGGCGTCAAGGACGCCGACGCCATGCGGGAGGCGAACCTCCCCGTCGGCGAGAGCGCCGCCATCCCGCAGTCCACGGCGCACTACTTCCTCGCCGGCGAGGGCGGCGCCGCCGTGACGGTGACGTTTGAGCCCGCGGCGGTGGGCTTCGAGCGGACGGTGCTCATCATGCGCGGCCTGCAGGAGGACGACGAGTACAGGTCGTGGGGGGTCGGCGCCAACGAGGAGAATGCCATGTTTGTGTCTGTGCTGAGCGAGCTGACAGACTCGCACCCGCTGACAGCGAACGACGCGGAGATGATTGGGAAGCAGGACAGGGAGGGGCATGAGAAGTTGAAGGGGGAACTCATTGGGCGGTATGCTACTGATGATATGCTCAAGGAGGCTGTGGCGAAGAATGCTGCTGCTGCATCTGCATAGTTGTGTTTGGTGTATTCAGGGGGGAAGTGGGCAATTGAGTCAGTCAATGAAATGAACCATTGGAGTTCAATCGAGATGGTGTGTCAGAGCTTGCTGGTATTCATGGTGATGTGTCTGTTCGTCTGTTCGTGACGTCTGACTCATTCAAGTACATGTACTCTTCCACAATGGGCGGAAAGGTTTATCGAGGAGGCTGCAGTGGAGATGAGGTCTGCTTCTTCTATAGAGGCAATTTTGAGAGGAGGGGTATTCTATTTACAATCTACAAACTACTATTCTATCAAGCATCCATCATATCGTCAATCCTTGGGCGGTCGATTGGCAACAATCTCCTTCAAAATGGTATCCGCACCGGCCTTGACAAGCCTCTCAGCCAACTCCTTCCCCAACGCCCTCGCCTCATCATTCGAACGAACCGCCGCATCAATAGAGTCTTCAACAGCCCGCGTCCCATCCAGACTCACAACAATTGCCCTCATCCTCAAAACCCGCTCCCCCCCATCAACCCACTCCGTCTCAACCCCAATCGGAACAGTACACCCGCCCTCAAGCGTGTACAGCAACGCCCTCTCCGCAAGGCAAGCAAGCGTCGACTTTTCGTCCGCCAGCCGATCGAGCAGCCGCGAGACCTCCTCATCCCCCTTGCGGATCTCGAGACCGAGCGCCCCCTGCCCGACGGCGTGCAGGATCCCGCCGTCCTTGGAGCCCAGGTACTGGTTGATGCGATGCCTGAGGCCGACGCGCTCGAGCCCGGCCGCGGACATGATCATGCATGTGTACTCGCTCTCTGGATCGTCGACCTTGGCGAGTCGCGTCTCCACGTTGCCGCGCAGATTGGCGAAGCGGAGATGGGGGTACAGTCGGCGCAGCTGGGCTGAGCGGCGCACGGACGAGGTGCCGACAATTGCGCCTTCAGGAAGCGTCTTGAGACTTGTGTAAGGCATGCCAGCCTTGACAATGAGAGCGTCACGGGGGTCATCACGGAGGGGAATGGCTGCCAGGTCGCATGACTCAGGAAGCCTGGTCGGCATGTCTATTCGATAGTGTCAGAGTTTGTGTATCCGAAAATCACATGAGAGAGAGAGAGAGAGAGAGAGAGAGAGAAGAAGTTGCGGGAGTAATTACCCTTGAGGCAGTGAACGACGACATCCAGATCCCCACAAGTCAGCTTGTCCTCCAACTCAGCCGTCCACAGGTTCTTCGCGCCAAAGTTGTACAGCTCGGCGGACTTGTCCTTGTCGCCCAGCGTGTGAAGCGCCACAATCTCAAAGGCGCGGTCGGGCGCGATGCTCTTGAGGCTGTCGCGGATGCCCTCGGCCTGGACGACGGCCAGGTTCGACCTCCGGGTGCCGATTCGCAGCGGCGGTGGAGCGGCGCGAGGCGGTTCTGACATTGTTGAGGATGGGTTGATAATGATGAAGACGGGAGGGGGGAATTTGAAGTTGAGTCAAGTCGCGATTTTGTTACATATTCACGCAGTTGCGTTTAAATGCGGTTGCGGTGGATCTTCGGCATCCTTCGTTTCGTCGGATAGCCTACATGTAAGTACGCGCATGTAGGTGAAAGGAAGAAATGCGATGGCTTTGTTACAAAGACGAGAGTTGTTTCCTTAACTGTATGGAAAGGTGAGGAAGAAACAAGTAATTGAGAATGAAGTTGAATGATGCCTCAACAGCGACTGGTCTTCTCTGGTGTTGTCTGGCATGGGTAACTCTTTGGTGTTTGTAGGGGGGCGAATTACATGTGATTCACAGCTGCTAGGTAGTAAAGTCGCCCATCTGCTGCACTTCATCTGGATTCTCTTTATTATATGTTTTTTACAGTCTGAGAAACAGAATAACAAGAGTTTCTACAAAAGTACTTGCTTCGACGGTGGTCCCATTGCACTGCGCCGTTATCGAATTAGATTTCCTTAAGAGACAGATCATACACACCCCATCCCACCACATCTCTGAAATGGATATCAACCAACCTCCAACTGCAGCCTGCAATAAAGTAACTCTTTATCAATGGAGTTGTATAGACAAGTGCGAGATGTGTTTCCCACTACGATGGGAAAACACTTTCGCCATGCTTATTGTTCGTTGCAAAGGGGAGTTGGCGCCGTCGTCTCGTTAAGGTTAACCACGAAGCCCTCCCAATCGAACCAGGCCCAACCGACCAGGATGAGTACATCCAACAAAGTTCAATCACACAGCCTTGACACATCATGTGATGTCTCAACAAGGAGCGGCTTATGCCAGGTACAGCGTATGTACAGCTAAAGTACAGTAACAGCTTTCAGCCGGCCCAGGGCAGGACAGGACAGGACAGGGCAGGGTACAGGAAACAGCAAAGCCCGCCCCCTGTCAAGAGTACGATACTAACATGAAGTTGATAGGTCACAAAGCCTAGAGATGCAAGCCCTCCGTCTTGCCGTGTCTCTTCAGCTTCTCGCCCTTTCGCCCTTCTCTTTCTTCCTTCCATGCAAGCTTTCGACACGCTCCGCCCGCCCATTCCTTTAAGCGATCTCGCCAATGCCGAATACTAGTATCTGTGCAAATCGTACGTTGTGTCTCTGTTGTTTCCCTTTTTGGAGGCTGTTGAATGGAACACTGCCGGCAAGGAAAAATTACACATCACACTTCACATGTCTCAGTTGGGGAGCGGCATCGCACAAGCAGCCTTTTTCTTTTCACCGCTTGACTTGCATGTGATGCCTCCTTTACTGTGCCTTACGCATACTGCCTTTCGCTACGAGCGAGTCATGTTGACGTGGAAGACAGCTGCGAGGGGCATGTTTCTCCTTATGCCTTGATGGCGTTAGTCGTCGTCGGCAAAGACCCTTTGATCTTCATCTCCCCATCTTCATCTGTCCTGGCCCATCTCCATTCTCGACGTTGCTTCAAGACAAGGGGTCCAAATCAGACTTCTTCTATCGACAGCATCGGCACTGTCGGCACATAAACCTGCCAAGGCTTCGAATCTGTCTGTCCATTCCACTAAACTGCTTCAAGTCAAACAAAGGGTCAGAACCTTAGACACAACTCAAGCATTCGGGATTATTTTTAGCAGCACACCCTTTCTTCATCAAGCGGCCATGGAGGGCACTCACCCGATCCTATTGTCCTTCCCCTCAGTCGCACATTGTCGCCCGGCTTATCGTTACCTGATTGACTCCGAGTCTCCGACCTTGGCAGCGTCCTTAGTCGTGCCTTGTGCAGATGGCTGTCTTCACGTGAGAGACTGCCGAGTATGGCTTACATGGGTGACCCTCCATGGAAGCAACTCTGAGAGAGACGAGACAGAGATCCCGGGACAGCGCCAAGAGAGACATCTGAGTTCCGGATAAAGGAGCAGCAAACACTGGATATGCCGTCGTGGATCCCGGAAGTGGGCAACCATCAGACAGATACTATGAGCAGTACTCGTAGTTTGGCGCTATCGGCACTCATGATTGCTTGGCGTTCAGGAGAAGATAAATGGCAGCAGGGAAGGAGAATGTGTCGTATAAAGTGCTAGCTCAATCTCGGTGTTATCACGGTGCGGACATTAGCGCTGCCGTGTAGCACAAAGACACTTCCTGCATCCGCCATCCGCTTCTTGTACGACCTCGGCCTTTGCCTTGCATCAACTGCTCCTCTTGGCCAACACTCTGTGGCGTTCTGCAACCGAGATCGCGCTTGAATCGGGTAGGTCGAGGAAGTAAGCCAAAAGGGCGAGACACCAAAGAAAAATTACAGCTCACAAAAAGGCAAAGCGAACGAGACGGGCGGTCTGCCGAGGCGTTGACTGATTGAGGCGAGGCGCAAAACGACGGCCAATTGCAAGAGCACGAAGTGCGGTGCTGAAGTGAGGCGGTATTAGTCTCCTAAGGTAGGTAAGGTAGTATTACCAGAAAGATGAACCCTTGTCTCTTTGATCATTGGCAAAATTCGACGTCGCGCTCAGGAGCGTCTTCCAATGGGAGCTCCCGAAGGCGATAAATGACATGGAACACCTTAGCTGGACAAGGGTCGGCTCCTGCAGTGGTTTTCTTGTCCTAGTGGCTTCAATTGTCAGTCAGGGGAGCCCGGATGTGGTATTCCATGGAAGTGCTTAAAAGGCTCGGGGGTTAAGGCGGAGAGTGAGAGGGAAGTGTGGAGTAAACCGGTCAGTGACACCCAGGCTATCGAAGCCCGTCGTCTGTTGAACAAGACAATCGCTGCAGTCATTCAGCAGTGCCGGGGCGTCTAAGATGGCTTCCGGGCGGGTAGAGGAGGACTCCATATCCTCCTGTTCGCACCAAAGACGGGACGCTGTATGTATATTGGAGGTGCTCTAGCTCGCACATGGCCAAAGCGGGAAGCGTCCAACATGCCGTGCGGTTCGTGTCTCGTCCTTGGACCATTCCGTACAAGCAGAGCAGCAGAAGGCCCAGGATGTCATCCACGCGGATCACGGCAGCGACCCACCAGACGCTGGCTTGGTGCCTGCGGTGGGCCGCGGGAAGTGGTGAAGCTGCGTTTGACGTTGTGGGGATGAGGAGATGTCGACGACAAACAGCTCGAGCACTCGCGATTCGGAGCACGGAAGTGCGAGTATAGTAAACCCGTTCATGTCGTCATGTTAGTAGTAGTAGTAAGAATGGTAGTTGTATCGGTAGCAATGGCAGAAGCAACGTGATGACGCAGCGACAAGGCAGAGGTGGTAGCTGAGACATCTGCCGGATGGTGCATCCTACCTGAGACCAGGGTTCTAAGACAATGATTTGACGTCTTGTCGGCCAGGGGTCGCTGGCAATGCGACGTGCAGTCCGTCAATGCCGCATCCAGATCGATACCTATCGTTGGCACATGTACCGAATCGCTTTCCGACGCTGCTGTTGCTGGCGTTGTGTCTGCCTCCCTCTCTCTGTTCTCCTCTTCTCCCTCTCTTTCTCTCTCTCTTTCGTATGATGTCGTCTCCATCCTCCCTTGCGTCAATGACATGCCACACTCTGCGTGTCCTCCAGTCAACAGCGGCCACTGCCCAACACAACAGCCGCCAAGGCCCAACAACGTCGACATCGCCAATAGCCGCACGCACGCACCGCAGCGAGGGTGAAGCCGATGGCGTTTAGGCTTTCATGGCCCATCCATGGATGCTTCAGGCTGGCCCGTGCAGCGCTGCGGCTGTGATGCCCGAGAGGGGGAATCCATGCCCATGCGATGCCTGAGTAGTAGATAGTGTGTAGTAGTAGTAATAATACCACTTCAAGTGAGGAGATGGATAGGTAAGGTAGGCACCATCTCACTCAGCTCTTCGGGCTCCCCTATCAATCGATCCCGATAAGCGCCGCGTCTCGCCGAGTTGCATGTACATGTACGAAGTGTCACCGCAGCCAACCTGCTGCAACGGATTAGCATGTGCAACGTACCGGAACCTACGCCTGCACATGTGCCTGTAAGGTGAGCACTTGTGAAGTGAGGCCGCATCACGTAGCATCCAGGCCTGGAATCATGACAGCAGAAGGGAAAAATGTATTAGACATACATACCCACCTTACACCCGTTGGTCTTGAAGAAGTACTCATAAGTACAGACTTGTTTAATGCGGGCTGCATAACAAGATCTGAGATCTGATACAGCAGCCAGAAGCTAGGATGCGACGAACCTGTGGCACTAAGGCGGTTGCCCCTGGCCGGGCCTTGCGGACGCGGCGAATAGGGATCCGCATTGACCTGCAGGAGGAAGCCGACGGCGAGCGAGTAGAGCTGGGCTAGTGAGGTGAGAGGAAGAGGAAAAGGGATAGGAGATGGACGTGAGAAGGGAAAAAGGGGGTGGAAGGTGGTGAAGCTGCGTCTGAAGTCGTCTTACAGAGATGAGGGCATCACCAATGACTGACGGATGACTGACCACCAGAAGTAGGTGCATGTACTACCTCATGTATGTGTATTTACTGCAGATGTAAGCAGACAGTCAGCCAGCAGAACACATCACGCACACACCCACAGAGAGAGACACACACGCACGCCTCATGTCGTCTTCTCTTCCCCAAGACTCCAATGATCGGAAGAGAAGCACAAGCTTGTACCGGTACCTGTCCAGCCCACGTCATACCCCCTACGCCCAACCCGCCCAACAGCGCCCTCACTTGCACTTCTTCAGGCTCCCTCTGCCCTCCCATTTGCTCGCCCGCAACCCCCCGCCGCACATCGACCACCTGGACGCCTCCCACTTCTGCGGGGAATCGAGGCGACTTGACCCCCTTGCCCTCTTTAAAGGATTGCCTCGAGCTACTGCCGGGCTAATGTACCGGTACGGCGCGCTAATGTCGAGCCTTTGTTGTGCCCCATGCTCGCGACTGCGTGCGAGCTACCTCGACGGTACCGCTGCTGCTGGTTGTGCTGGCTGCTTGGTTTCAGCCCCATCGACTCGATCGTACCTCTACCTCGACCTTTTTGCCTTGCTTGTGCGACCTTGGCTGTGCGCCTGACGTGAATCTTGCTCCGGGGCACTGCAACTTGTTCACGGTAGATGATGAAAAATGGCTTGAGCCGCGGACAAAACCCTCCTGACATCTCCCTCGACCGGCGCTTGGTTGCCCCCCATCAAAAGGCTACTCTCTCCCATCATCTCCATCGTCACCTCTGGCATACTCCCCCATCATCAATCATCTCCCTCGTCATCTGCTACAACCGCCATCCACCATCCACCATCCTCCACCTCTTCCACCACAACGTCTCCGTCATCGTCGTCTCCCATTAAGATATCCATTTCTCTTCATCCCCGTCTCCGTGTCTGCCCACAATGGCCTCCTCCCCAGTGACCATAGCCCAGCTGCCCAATGAAATCATCTCCTACATCCTCGACTTCCTCGACACGCCCTCCGACTTCGAGCATCTCCAGTATGAAGACCCGGCCTTGATCCCGGAACCCAAGTCCTCCGACTCCTCCCGCGGCGACCTCAAGAGCGCGTCCCTCGTCTGCCGCCTCTGGAGGCGCTGCACCCTGCCTCTCCTGTTCCGCAACGTCATCTGGAGATTCCAGCACATCAACCGTCCGCCTCCCGGTCAAGATCCGCTGAGCACGGTTGAAGGGCTCGACTTCCTGCGCTTCCTGGTCCACTCCGGGCTCGACCAATGCGTCCAGAGCCTGACCATCATCATTGACTATCCCACGTCCGCCATTGGCGACGACCTGAGCCACTACAACAACTGGGGTGTCCTGCCCAGTCATGTGCCCTTCCCAATCCTCACGGAGCGCGACGACGATGTCACCATCGAGCCCGGTTCAAACCCTCGCCCCAAGGGTCAGTCCAACAACTGGCTGTGGGAGACCATCTTTGACCACCTGGACCTGCTGAGCATCAACCTCGTCAGCTCCCCGGCCATCCTCGCATCGCTGCTGGGTCGGCCAATGGACCTCTCTGGATGCTGGATCTTTCGCCAACGGTTTCACATCCTCTCCCTCTCGAGACCGGCAAAGTCTATCCAGAAACTCGCCGCTCCACCCGCCACCTCGACACCACCGGCAAGCACAGGACCCAGGCCCAGGATCAAGACGAGCGTCCCCTGCAATCTGTTTAGCATCCGTCCTTGGGAGTCGATGCTCCTCAACGAAGGCTCTTCTGTTAAGGTCTACACAACATACGAGTACTTCAACCACGTGCCCCCGTCCCTCCTGCACGCCCTGCTGGACACGGGCGACGAATCCATGCAGTACTTTCTGCAGAACACGCTCCGCTCCTTTTCCTACATCGCCATCTTCCCGCTCGCCACCCACATCAACCACGACCTGATCCACCGCATCCCGGCCCTGGAGAGCTTCTACATCCAGATCGTGCCCCGCGCACCGAGCTTCGCCGGGGACGACTACCGCCATCCCGCCATGGACATCTCCGACCTGTGGATGGAGCGCAACACGGCCTACGCTTCGCTCATCATGGCCATCTTCGACCCGCCCCCGCTGGGCTCTTGGAGCAGCCTGCAGTACTTTGAGTCTGGCGACGCCATTGACAGGGAGGCGTGGGAACAGGCCGTGCGGTATGTCATTTTCGCGGCGGGCGCGACGTGGAAGGTCGCTGGCGAGGGCAAGTTTGTCCGGAGGAGGGACAAGGTGCCCATGGCCATTCACTCGGCCGCTATGGTGTAAGCGGGCTCTGCAGCTCCATTCTTATTTTGGGTTGTCCTATTCGGATTTTTGTTTTTCGGAACCTGTTGGGATCCATTTTCCTTGGTATTCTTTTCTGCTTCTCTCTGCACTGTCGAGGGGGCCATCTGTGACAAAACGTCGTCGAACAGTTGTGTTATAAGTGCGCAAGTTGCCATACGCTGTTTTCCATTCATGCATCGGCAGTTAGGCGTTTCGGGGAGCAACTAGGAAATTCACACAAGGGTTAGGATAGGTCAGGGCTTTACAGTTGCAACAAGTGTCTGAGAACGTACATAGTCATTGCCTGGATTGCACAGAAAAGTCGGTAATTAATTCTCATTTTTATGTGAGAACAGAGCCAGAGTGAATACAAAGTTGATTTGATATCATGTACAAGTATCGACGAGTTCCCATAGAACCCTTTTATACCATCTCCAGTCGCCAAGTGTGCAACACAGACACAAAGCACATATATATATATATATGTCCAAGAACACATTCATAAACGCCTCTATACCAGGGCAATCAGCCCATATCTAAAAGGAGCAGCTCAAAACCTTCCCCAATAAGCACTACACTCCTTAGGAATCATCAAGTTCAATCCTCATGGCTGCTCAGGTCCCCATCCTCATCGCTGTCCGTGAGATCCACCCTCCGCTTCTCCATCTCGTGCTCCATCATCTCCCGGTACGTGCTCCAGCTCAGCGCCCCGAACGCGACGATGATCATGGACCCGCCGAGCACGGCCGCCGGGCTCAGGGGCTGGCCCGTGATGAACCAGTCGGCAATCGCCACGATGAAGATGGTGAGCAGCGCCGCCACGGACGACAGCACGGGCGACGTGAGCGATATGAGGATGAGGAAGGACGCGCTAAACGTCGCGTTGGCCAGCACGGCGAAGAGGATCAGCCAGCACGTGGACGCATCGGGGATCTCGAAGATTTCCAGCCCCAGCCAGTGCAGGATGGGCAGCGGGATCCAGAGCACGGAGAGGGTGAAGAGCCCGATGCAGGAGCCAAACGTGTTTGCAAAGATCATGCCCCGGCCAGGAGACACGCCGTCGGGAGGGCAGGCGAAGCGCTTGTACAGCACCTCGTACAGCCCGTAGAGCACGGAGCCGATGCCGATGATGATGTTGCCCAGGAAGCGGCTGCCGGCATCCACGTCCGCACCCTCGCCCTGGCCCTGGGCGTCGGAACCGGATCCGGACCCGGTGTCGCCGTAGGCCACCACCAGGACGCCGATGATGGCGATGATGACGGCCACCGACTTGTCCAGGCGCAGCGGCTCCTTGAGCAGCGGCACGGAGAATGCATAGGCAAAGAAGGCGGAGCAGTTGTAGATGGCGGTGAGGTCGGACGGTGTGGTGAGGCTGACGGCAACGTACCAGCTCAGGCCGGCGACGGTCAGGGCCGTGGTGATGAAGGCCGTGGTGCGGGCCAGGTAGCGCACGCTCTTGGAGGCCGGCCGCTGCAGGCCAAAGACGTCGAGCGTCTGCAGCTCGACCATGAGGGCCGTGGACCGGACCAGCTGCAGGTGGCGCCGCCAGAAGGCCGGCCAGGGCATGTCGCGCTTCTGCAGCCGCAGGATGAGCAGCTGGGCCGGCCACATGAGCACCCACGAGCTGTGCGTGAAGAACATCATGCAGTAGGCCTTGTCCCAGCCCAGGTCGCCCTGGATGTACGCGCTCAGCTCCGTCTGGATGCAAAAGGCCACCAGGATCAGCACCAGGAAGAAGGCCGCGTACGTGTACTTCTTGCGCGCCGAGCTGGCCGCCAGCTGGCCGGGGCTGCGGCTGCGCATCGTCGAGCGTCGAGTCATTGCCGGCCGAGACACGGGGGAGTCGTACGGGTACAGAGGCGACGAGGCCGAATGGGAGTTGGACGCGCCAGAGTGTCCAGAGAGTCCGTCGCCCGGGGATCGCGCGGATCGGCCTCGCTCGACGTCCTTGTCACCCAAGTCTCCCGCGTCTGCTGCTGAGTCGGGCCTCGACAGCAGGGGCTCGCTGGATCGGCCGTCCGCCGTTGTCTCATGGAAGAGGCCGGGTCGAAGATTATCCGGACCCATGGTTTTGCGTCCAAGAGGGCACAGATCGTCGCTGTCTCTCGTCGTTGGGCAGCGGCTGAGATGGTGATTTTTGTGCTCGATACTGAGTAGTAAAACTCTCTCGTCCTTCTCTCAGGAGCGGAAGCGTCGCTCGGAGGGCTCGTATCGGGGCAAGGGCCGCCAGCAGTGTCTGGTTTGGCGCGAGCGTCGCGGAGACGTTGGCTGTTGCGGGAGCATGTGGCTGTCTCGAGCGACCAGGCGGGAGTTGGTTGGGTAACAGGCTGAAACTCGACGACTGTGCTCAGGAGAAGCGCCAGAAGCTCGCCGTGTTGCTTCGATGCGATCCGGAGCTTGGCTGGCGGAGAATTGGCAGAACCCGGAGCCGTGGCAGTGAAATGCTGCGTGTCGAGAGGTGAAGGTCGACAAGATGAGAGGATCCCGCATGCGTCATCAGGTTGCTGCATCCACCCGTCAGCGCTCCCAGCTTTGCCTTATGGGAGCCGCTAGGGGTCCTTTCCCCCCTGAGGAGTCCCCCTAAAAATGATCCATCGGCGGCCTGTTGGACCCTGACTGGTGCTTTCTAGTGTCGCACTGGAAGCCGTCATAAGTTGTGCGGTCACAGCTGACGGTTCCATCACAAGGACAAGGACGCAGCCCTGGGGAAAAGCCCTTGCGGCCTTGCGGGATGACGTCGATATGTATAGCAATTGAGGCTGAAAGCGAAAACGGGTGCAGTGGGAAAGGGTTGTGAGTCCTTCGTCGGCGTGTAAGTGATTGAATAAGACGCCAGGTCCGTGCCGGGGACGCCCCTAAAATACATGCACATAAGACTTCTCGCCTCTACGCAGCAATACGATTAATACATAGGTAGTCGCTCACAAGTGATCTCGAAGACATCACCATCACTTAATATAGGATGCATCAAGGCATTTCGGGGTAAGGTATACACAGCGGTAAACGTGCTCTGACAGCTCAACTGGTTTTTGTACTCCCACTTTATCCACATGGTACAGTCATCTGACAAGTCTGCAAGCCTCATGCTCTTATTTCGCTCCTTCACCAAACAGGACCTGCAGAGGGTCATAGCCATACTCCAACTCTCCATGCCAGTAGACGACAGAATCGGCCTTTGACACCCGCCAGGCATCGTCCAGCGCCTGCACAACCTCCTCCGGCAGCGGGCCCTTTTCCAAATCGGTCAGGTTCTGCTCCAGCTGCTGCACGCTGGAGACGCCGATGATGATGCCGTCGTTGCCGTCCTTGACCTTGAGCGCAGAGTGGTGAACCATCCAGCGCAGCGCAACTTCAATCAGCGTCAGGCCCGCCTTCTCAGCCGCTTCCTCGACAATCTTGAGCGCCTCAAAGGTGGCGTCCCGGAAGTATCGCTTCCGGTAGTTGGTCGCCTGCGCCTTGTCCCCCGCGAACCGCCCTTCTTGGGGCTGGATGTCCTTGGACTTGATCTTGCCGGAGAACAGGCCGCCGGCAAGAGGGTTGTACACGACGATGTCGACCCCGTAGCGCCGGCACGCGACGAACAGCTCCGACTCAATGTTGCGGGTGATGGCGTTGTACATGCCCTGGTAGATGGTGGGACGCACCCAGCCGTTGTACTTGCATGTCAGGACGACTTCGGCGACCTCGAAAGCCGTGAAGTTGCTGATGCCCAGCTTGACGAACTTGCCGGCCTTGTGAAGACGGTCCACGGCCTCCAGGGTCTCCGCAAATGGGACTCCACGGTCAGGCCTGTGAAGATATAGAATCTGTGCCACGGCATTAGTATGTAAGGACAGTCTCCCACATTGCGTGGGTGTTCTCCGTTGGAGCATCTCAAATGAATTACTCACATCAACGCTATCGGTTCCGAGCTCTTTCAAGCTCTTCTCGACAGACTCGACGACCTTTTCAGCCGTGTTCAGACCATTCGCCCAAGGGTACTGGACCTTGGTCGCCAGAGTGAGGCCCCTGCTCTTCCAGTTGGCCTCGCGCGTAAAGGCTTCCTGAGCCCCGCCGACGTAGACTCGCGCGGTGTCAACCTCGTTGTAGCCCCGAGCCTGCAAAACGTCGAGGGCCTTGTTGAACGTGTCCAGATCGGTGATTCGGGCGCCCTCGTCCTCGCTGGGACCAAAAGTCATGAGGCCGAGGATCACTCGGGGCTTGGGGTTCTGGGCAATGAGAGGCATCTTGACTTGTTGGGTGCTTTACTTGGTCGTCTCTGTTCAATACTGTTCATCACTGAGCCAAGAGGAGGGGGGACATGCACACGATATATAGATACTAGTTGAGAGGGGCTCTCGTCCATCCCACACATGCCTCCGCAGATAGGGCGTGGCTACTAGAGCCGGCCGATTAGCCGCGAGTTGCTGCCGACTCCGAGTTCCATCGACGCAAAGCTCGCCATCGTTGCCCACTATAGCGATTGCTCCATCCTTGTGTGCATGATGATTTGCTGGAAACTCGAGGAGGCTCAAAGAACAAACGTCATTTCCTCACAAATACGGCACCCATTGCCTTTTACGATACCATGCGGCTCGGTACGTCGGCTGATATAATAGCATGAGTAATGTAACTTCACCACAATCGCCGAACCAGAACAATGAACAATCTCCGATGAAAGTGGCAGCGGTTGATGGACTTACACTTGGCATTTTAGTGGCGGCGCCGCGCTAAATCCGGGGGCTGCGATCAAGTTGCAGATAATGTGCTGACGAGAACGGGCAGCACGATGCTAAGCTGGAGAGGGCAATAATAGCCAATTATGACTCTACGGGTTGAAGCTGACCCCCATTGGAACAACTGCAGTGACTATGGGATTCGAGATTCGAACTGTATGTAGCTAGATGTTCGTGGTTTCGACGGCGGACGGTTGATGCATGCATAATGATGAAATCCAACTGAGATGCAGCAGCAGATTATGACATGCAGAGCAAAACCAACACGAACACTCACAGTCATTTGGTTCCTCAGCTGCATGATCGCCAATTTTGATCGACTCCAAGCATGCTATTACATTCAAGTCGAAATATGAATCGCCCGTCCTTTTTGATACGGCATCTCTACGAGTATCTATGTAACTGCAAAAGACGGAGTACGGAGTTTAACCTGTCTGCAATATTCCGTACAGGAGGGGACGAGAAGGAGGTTTGTGTGTAAATCGCGGGGCACGAGGTACGTACTGATAACGGATAATGGACCGCCGGAGAAGCTTCGGCAAAATAATTGCTCAACCTTGCTCCACGCAAATGATGCTGGAATTCAAAGTCGAGGATTCGAGATTGAAGGCCTCAAGAGACGTCGTCAGAATCGCCCGCCATTTGCGCAAGTCTGTGCAACTTCGCCCGTCCCAAACATGAACCAGTGACTCGCTCAAGCTCCGCCATGCGCCAATTGACGTCTGACCATCCCCCCCAGGCGCATCGAGACATAGACACATTCACACCATGAGGGCAAACCTGGCCCGGCATGGCAGGCGACTCCTGGTTCGCCAGGCGAGGACGGCGCCATCCTGCGCGGTCTACGCGACTCCAGCCCGGAGACGGTCGATTGCCCCGAGGCCGAGGCTGCGAGCCACCTTTGAGCGCACGTTCCTCAGCAACCTGCTCCAGAAGCCTCCGCGCGAGGTCAGGCAGCCCGAGTACGAGCCGGGATGGCTGCAGATCATGCTCTGGAGGAGCTACATGCTCGACAACGTCCGGCCGCCGCCGCGGGCCGAGCTGCTCGAGTCGTGGAAGAAGCTGATGCAGCACAAGTTTAACAGCCGGACGCCTCTCAACAGCACCCAGGCCTTGCAGTGTCGACGATTGCTGGAGTATCTCTCGACGCCGAAGCCAAAGCAGTCAATCAGACTGTTGACGCACGCCGACCTATCGTTCGCGAGACAGGCTCTGCTTCAAGTTGAACCAATCGAACGATCACAGCACCATCTTGATTTTGCAAAGTCGCTCTATTCCGTATGGATGTCGCTGGAGCCTCCCAAGACCCCGAAGGCTGTGGAATTGCAGTGGACTTATCTTGTCAAGGCCATGGCACTATATGGCGCATCTCGCGAGGCAGCCAAGATGCTCTACGAGAAATGGGACCAACCGGATTACGCCGTCTATCTGACCCAAGAAGACCAGCTACTAGAAACCGTTGCCCGCGGCCTGTCAAGAGAGGGATGCGAGGCCGAATTGGTGGAGTTGATAAAATACGCCGAGGATCATCAAGTACCTTACGATAAGGGACTGCAGGCCGTCATGGTCGAATTCTTTGCCCAGCGAAATCGCGTCGCCGAGACTAAGGACTGGTTCAACAAGCCTATCGCCGACAAGCTCCCACGGCCCTCGGTTTACCGCACCATCGCGTGGTTTGCTATGCGCAACAACCTTCAGGAATGGGCGACCTCGCTCTTCCTCGAACTGGGAGAGTTGCAACCAAGGCAGAAACACTGGAACGTGATCCTCGAGGCGATCCTGATCCTCGGAAAGAGCCTTGCCGAGGTGGATGTCATGATGTCGCACATGGTCCACGGCAAACTCCAGCTGTCGCCAGATACTCGAACCATCAATGGTCTTCTCAGGGTGGCCGCCCAACAGCGAGATGTGGCCCTGGGTGAAGACATTCTTGCGCTCGCGGCTAAACGAGGTCTTGCCCCAGACGGAGAGACGCACCTGATTCTGTTCTTTCTGCGAATTGCATCAAACAACCTGGTGGAGGCACGCGAGGCATACAAACAGGTCAGGCATATGCAGCCTTGGACACTCGAGACCAAACAGCATCTCTTTGGCGAATTCAGCAGAGCAGTCAATGAATACCTGGTGGCGCTGACTGCTCAACAACAGCCTGATTTCAAGCTGATATCATCATTACTGGAAGCAGTGGAAGAAGATCAGATGAGGCTCGAGCCTGCCACGGTAGCGGCACTCTGCCTGAGATTCCTGGAAAACGACCAGCATTTCGATGTCATGGACATTTTGTCAATACATTCCTTCTTGTACAGCGAAGCCGAGCGAGAGATTGTCCAGAGCGCATTCGTCTCGTTCTGCCTGGACCCCAGCACGAGCACGAATCGAGCATGGGGCGCGTACCAGCTCCTTCAGCAGTTCTTCCAGGACACCAGCTTCGAACGGCGGGTCGAATTGATGAACGGTTTCTTCCGCAGAAAGCGACCCGACATGGCCTCACATGTCTTTGGACACATGCGCGCACACCGAAACAAGTCGTACCACCCCACGGCAGAGACTTACATCGCCTGCTTGGAAGGGCTTGCCCGATATCCCGATCCTGAAGGACTGGACATGGTGCATAACATGTTGAAGATGGACACCACGCTACAGCCATCTACGAAATTATACACGGCTCTGATGCTGGCATACACGGGTTGCGGCCAGCCCCTGATAGCGCTGGACTGCTGGTCCCAAATCACCCAATCGAGGGAGGGGCCATCGTACAAGACGCTGGAGGCGATATTCTGGACATTGGAGAAGAAGACGGGCGGGCACAACCAAGCCCGAGAGATCTGGGACAGGATGGAGCGGATGGATCTGGAGATCCCGCCCGGCGTGTACAATGCGTACATTGGTGCCATCGCCGGGAGCGGCAACGAGAAAGAGGTCCGGGCTCTGATACTGAAGATGGCGAGCGTCGTAGGGTCAGAGCCAGATGCCATGACGTGAGTGCCACAAACGTTTTCCTCTTTCTGTTTCATCCCGCCGCAATTTGCTAATACTTTGTTTGCAGACTCGGCATTGCGTACAATGCACTGCCCGGACAGCTGCTTCAGCAGGGGTTCCAAGAGTGGGCAAAGGGGCGATTCCCCGACGTTTGGGCAGAGCTGATGAAGGTAGGGCGGCGCATGGACGAGTACTCGCTGTGTCAGTTCAAGATAGAGCGGCCCTTGAAGGCTTAAGGCGGGTGTTTGTCAATGGGGAAAATCTGTTCATGACATGTATCTATACATATGGGGTTGATATCTACTGTACACATAGTCGGGAAAAGGGGGGAAAGGAAAACAAAGTACAAACATTGAGTGACCACAGCCATACAATGGCGGGTCATATACCTAGCATCCAATAACATCATACCACAAATACCTTGTCCCATCTTTCCGTCTCATCGTCGTCCCTCTCATCTCCTCTCAGGGAAGAAGCTGTCCCGAATCATCTCCGGATGCGCGTGAATCGTCGGGTACAGCCCCATGCCCTGCACCCTACGAATCATCTTTGCAATCTTGCGCTGGTTGACGGGCCGCAGGCTCGTGCCCGACGAATGCGTAATCTGGCCCGACGTCGACGTGAACTCCTGGATCAGCGAGAAGTTCTTGTACATGTCCAGCGGCCGGATGCCCAGCGCGTCCACGACGTCGGCCTTGCGCGGCGACCGCTTGCGCCACTTCTGCATCTCGACGGGGCTCATGTCGTGCGGCGAGTACACGTCGCCGGCCTCCCACCGGCGCGGCATCTGCCGCAGGTAGTCGGCCGAGTTCTTCTGGTTGCGCAGCTGCTCGATCTGGGCCTGCTTGTTACGCAGGGAGGCCTGGCCGTCGCGCTTGAGGCGGTGCAGCATTGAGGTGGCGGCGTCGCCTGGGTTGCCACCGCCGCTTTGCTGCTGCTGATTTGAGCGGTATTTGTTGTTGTAGTTGTTGTTGTTATAGTAGTAGTTTGACCGCGGGGCCTGGCTGGAGGAGGAGCTGTTGTTGATGGAGAGGAGGCTGCTGCTCGACGAGGGGCGGCTGGAGGAGTTGTCGCGGAGGGCGCAGGCGGGAGATGATGTTGAGAAGGAGCGGATGGATAGGCCGCGGACGACAGAGGAGGAGGGCAGAAGAGGCGGCATTGCGGCGGAATTGATTGGGTGCCTCTGCTGAAAGAGAAGAAAGAGGGTTGTTCAATCGGGTTTTACTGGTGGTGATGTGAATTGGCTTGGTGTTTTTGCGGCAGAAAAAACGTGGAGGTGGCGGGACGGAAGAGGTTCCGCGGTTGGCTCACCTCCCCACTTTGAGATTCCGCCCATCTTTTTTTCGCCTTTCAATTTTCCTTCCTATCTTTCTGGTCTCTGTATCCAATCTTTTAACAAAATCAAACCTGCGATACCCCCCCCCCCCCCCCCCGCCCGGGCAATCTTGACGCCAGATTCGGTTGTTCTCGTCTCGACTCAATTGCCCCTCATTTACTTGATACCTTCATCTGAAAACAACCGCCCTCGTTCAGCGACAACAGAGCGTCATCCGGCAAAATGGTGCGCAAGCTCAAGTATCACGAGCAGAAGCTCCTGCGCAAGACCGACTTCTTCACATACAAGCAAGACGACGGCCACCGCGACAAGCTCGTCCGCCGGCGGTACATGATCCAGAAGCCCGAGGACTACCACAAATATAACCGTCTCTGCGGCGTACGTTTTCAACCTACCCATCACAGATTCTTCTCTTGGATAATGAAACTGACAATCCTCCCCCCCTCCAGTCCATCCGCCAACTCGCCCACCGCCTCTCCCTCCTGCCCCCCGAATCTCCCTTCCGCCGCAAACACGAAGACCTCCTCCTCCAGAAGCTCTACGACATGGGCGTCCTCTCCTCCGCCTCCAAGCTCTCGGCTGTCGAGAACGCAGTCACAGTCAGCGCCTTTGCCCGCCGCCGCCTGCCCGTCGTCATGACCCGCCTGCGCATGGCCGAGACCGTCCAGGCCGCCACCAAGCTCATCGAGCAGGGGCACGTCCGCGTCGGCACCGAGGAGGTGACCGACCCGGCGTTCTTGGTCACGCGGAATAACGAGGACTTTGTCACGTGGGCGGTGGGCAGCAAGATTAAGAGGAATATCATGAAGTATAGGGATGAGCTGGACGATTTCGAGCTTTTGTAATCTTTTTCTTTTTTTTCCCCCGCTCTTCTTTTCATTCCTTTTTTGTTTGCTGGACTGTCGGTGGGAGTGGGGGTCTTCATCATTCGAATAGAGAGCGCTTTTGGACGACTATCTGGGTGCTGGGTTCTGGCGTTATATGGGTTCATAGCTGGGTTGTTTCTACAAGGGATTCCTCTTCAGGGTTCTGGCAGGAGGAGGAAGAACTCATCACTTCGCAATGGTAAACCTATTCTGCGCAAATGCTTCGTTTGTAACCTCCCCTGATAAAAAGGGGCCGTAAAGTCTTCACCTAATTGCTATCGCACAGCAATATGCCGGGGATCTCTACATCTCAATATTCGCATGTCCTTTACACTCTCAAGCATCCTACTATACCTTACATGCATAACACAAGCTCACACATCGTCGGTAATGCTCACATTCAAGCTTTCGATATGAACAGCCTCGGCGGCAGACACTACAGGGCGGCGCAAGTGAACGGCTCTCTGCTCACTAATCAGGAGCTTCTTGAAAGACCAGGGTTCTGAAAGCCCTAATAAGGTAACATAGAAATCTTCTCATCCTTGGAAGAGTAATCCCTATTTGGGTTATGCCGATAAGAATCGATCTATACTGTGCCTCTTCCAAGGCTGCCGCTCATTCCAGCATTCAGCTGACTCATTTCCAACCTCACGCCTTCCAACTGCAAGCCTGATATTCAAGTCTCAGCTCAAAACGTTCCTCTACCCTCTCCTCTCCATTATCCAAGCCGTATGAAATCCCCCAAACAACGGCATCGCTCGTCCCAAATCACCCAAATCGTGACCAGCGGCAATCGAGATCCGGGGCCTCCACCCGAATCGGCCCCACATCCGTACTGTACGCCTTCGTTTTGCGAGTCGACACCAAAAGGGCGCCAGCATAACACGGAAAACAGGGCTAACCTCGTATGCTTAGAGAGCAGCATCAGCTCGCTCCAGCTCGGCAGCAAAAGTTGGCACACTGTGCGTGACGGCTATAAAAACCCACACTCACACGAAGCTGCCACACACTCTTCCCTTCCCTTTCTGCTCCCCCCCTGATAAGCTTGGAGGATTTCCGTCCTGTTCTGCTTGTCCTTTTGCTTTTCGCTTCGCAAAGGGGCTGTTTTGTTGGGTTTTCCAATGAACGTGTGGTCGCTATAAGCCAAAATCACCATCTGATTGATCACACTTATAGAAGCCCCTTGGTCGCAGAGGGTAGTCGCCCTCCCCCCCTCTCTCATCATGCCTGACTGGGCCACGATCAAAGATGTCCTGGTACATCTCATAGATCCGTGGGCATTCATGTCCGTATCCTTTGCTCATATTCCTGCGACTGTTCGTGGTCTCATCCACGACAAGAAGTATGGCACGCTCTTCTCCTTCACGGGATTCCGTGAAGCCCTGTTCGGCACCTTCTGGGCTACCGTCGGGCCAAACGTCAAGACCAATGCCGAGCAGCGAGTGATTCCCCTTCTCCAGGGCCGCGTCAAGGGCGGAGTTATCCATGACGAGGTCGTGAGTACCCCCGTGTACGGAACCGTCCTCGAGGTTGGCGCCGGAAGTGGCACGTGGACAGATGTTTTTGCTCGCTTTCGCGAGAACGCCGAAGACACAGATAACGCAGACGGTCTTCGTAACAGGAGGTCCGCGGGCGGCCACATCACCAAGATTTATGGCGTGGAGCCCAATCCCATCTCTGCCAAAGCGCTCAAGCAGCGTGTCAAGGACATTGGTATCGACGACATCTACCAGGTTGTGCCCGTCGGTATCGAATCCGTCGACGATCCCTCCGCGTGGGATGGCAAGATCGAGCCAGGCAGCATTGACTGCATCGTTGGCATCCTGTGCCTTTGCAGCATTCCCGAGCCCGAGAAGAACATCAAGCTCTTGTACAAACTGCTCAAGCCCGGCGGCCATTGGTACGTCTATGAGCACGTCAAAGTATGGCGAGGAGGCCTGTTGCTCAGCCTATATCAGCGTAAGTCTGAGCACATACACAACACCAAAGTCCATAGCTAACGTCGTCGGCTCTTCAGGCTTCACGAACCTCATTTGGCCACACTTTTTGGGCGGATGTGAGCTTTGCCGCGATACCGAGAAGAACCTCAGGGCTGCGGGCCCCTTCCAAGAGATTGATCTCGCTCAGCCTGCGGACCAGCCTTCATACCAAGTCTTGCCTCACAAGATTGGGATTTTGACGAAATGAGCACCACCCAAAGGCGCCTTTTGTGTGGATAAATGCCTCAGAGCTCGTCGTCGTCGTCATCGTCCACAAGGAAAATCGACGCCCTCTTGGATATGCTGTCCACCAGTAATGGCTTCTTTTCATCGGTGCTTTCCTGTGGTTTGACAAGCACTTTCTCGTCCTTGACGTCTTCGGCCTTGGTTTCCATTTTGATCTCCCGTCTTGACCCCTCACCCGCTTCTGCCTTGACCCCCTCTTCTTCCCCTTTGATATTTCGAAGCCCCATGTCCAAGCCTTCGTGCTTTACCCCGCTTCTTGCTTCATCCTCCTTCATCGTCTCCAGTTTTGGCGTGTGTTCCGGACTAGCGATACCCTCGTTTGCATCAAGAGATGCCTCTCGTTCTAGCTTAGCCTCGCGTCTTTTGTAGAACGAATTCAAGCAGTTCCTTCTCTCTTCTGTCGTCCAGCTCTCCACGATGAGGGCAAAATCCGTAGCGTTGGCAAAGCCAAATTCCCTCGCCATCTCACAAAATTGCCGCAAGCAAACATCTTGCGGGGGCTTGTACGTGCTGTGCAGCCCTTCGCCATCAGTCTCATCATCCGTGTCAGCAAACAAGGTTGTTTGACCCGCAAGGTCGCCCTCACCAAACAGCCTCATCTCTGCCCGCCGTGAGAGCTGCTCCTCCACCTTGGAAGATCCAATCACTTCAGCATTATCGTGCGTGTACTCTACGCCAGCAGCTGTGAGAATGGCCTGTACGGCGTCGCTTTTCGGCTGGCTCGACTTGAAGGATTCGCGCTTCTTTGCCTGATCGTTGGACGTGAGCAGGTCGGCCAGCTGGCTCAGGCCACCATCCTCCGAGTCGGCGCTCTCTTCCTGTTTCACAACAACACCCAGGTCTTCTCCTTCTTTGGCTGCCTCTTCCATGTCAACATCGGCCAGGTGCACTCCGGCTTTGGCCTCGGCAATATTCGTCTTGTTCACGATATCGCGAAGCAAGCCCATGTGGCTGTGGTATGTGAAGATGTTGGAGAGCCCAAAGATTTCGCCCTTGCGCTCGGTATCTTGCTGGACACCACGAAAGTACCGCCGCTCAGACGATGCGGTATATCCAATGTTGGCCTGCTGCTGCTTGTAAATCTGTCGAGCATAGACGATTTCCTCAATCGTCCCCACCGAGATGAGCCGAAAGACCTCGACATCGCGGGTCTGACCGATTCGGTAGGCCCGATCTTGCGCCTGTAGGTCATACGCGGGATTCCAGTGAGGGTCCATGATGACCACCTTGTTCGCCGAAGTGATGTTCAGCCCCACGCCACCGGCCTTGGTTGATATGAGGAACACAAACTGCGTGGGGTCAGAATTGAACGTGTCCACCACATCCTGCCGCGCTTCATAGCTCAGAGAGCCGTCGAGATAGCTCACGGTGTAGCTCGTGTTGGTGAAGAGGTGCTGCAGTATGCGAAGCAGCCGCACGCTATGGGAGAAGACCAATACCTTGTTCCCGCTCCCATGCCAGAACTTGAGCAGCTTCTTGAGAATCTTCCATTTGCCGCAGAACTCCGGGTTGACCAGGTTACTAATCCGATCGCGCTTCTCATAGAGCACTTTCCACGTGTCCGGCATGCAGGTCTGGAGTGTCGCGAGTTCTTGCTCGTGCCTCTCTTCCAGATCCGTCGTCATCGGCACCAGCAGAGTCAGGTGGTTGGCCAGCTTTTGCAGAGTCATCATGCTGGGGAAGACGATGCTCTGCCAGCGTTTGCCATTTGGGAGATACTGTTCGCAGCACCAGCCCTTCTTGCCCCCGTGCTCACAGTCTTCCGAAGCGGTCCTCAAGATGGTCACTTCTTTGCTGCTGAGAAAGTTCTCGTATGCTTCCATCTGCAGGTCGGAGAGGGGGCAAAAGACGACTCGATCCCATTTTTTCGGTAATTGATGAGCGATCAAAGACTTCATACGCCGCAGAAAGTATCGCGGAAGAAGATTCTGAACCAGTTTTTTTGCCGTCTGCCTTGCAAGGCTAAGCTGCGCAACCGTCGCGTCGTGGGACTGGCCAACCGTCAGGGGCTTTGTGATGGTCTGGGACCACTCCGCTTTGGTGCCGAAATGGCCCGGGTTGGTCCAATCCAGTAACGTCCAGAGTTCTTCGTATTTGTTCTGAATGGCCGTTCCCGTTAAGCCGATCCTGCAGAGCGCGTTCACTTCTTGCATTGCTTTCGTGGTCTCCGAATAGCGGTCCTTGAGGCGGTGACACTCGTCTGCGATGATGGCATCCCACTGCACCATGTTGATGGAACTGCGAGAGTTCTTGTACGTCTCGTATGTTGTAATCATGATTTCCAGCATGCCAGCGCGGGCAGCGCCAAGCACGTCGTCCTTGTTTGTTCCGTGGAACGTGTCGACATGCCACCACCCCCATCTACTCAGCTCGTTCCTCCAGTTTGCGATGAGAGATCCCGGGCACACGATGAGTATCCTGGGATACCATCTGTCGCCAAGAAGCCGCATATGCCTCATGCGTTTGGCGTCTCGTTCGTCTCCCGTCTTCCCAAAGGCCACCGTCAGAAAAGCAGCGACTTGGACCGTCTTGCCAAGGCCCATGTCGTCCCCCAGGATGCCTCCCTCTTGATACACAAACTTTTTGTGCAGGAACCGAACACCATCCACTTGGTAGTCTCGCAGATACTGAGCGATTGATGCGGGAATGAGGCCGCCTGACTGGGGAAGCTCGATGTCGCGGTAGGGCCGAGACGGTTTGATGCCGCTTGCTGGACCAAAGTCTGGCCGCTCTTTGAGCTCTCTGAGCCTTCCTGACTCGTCGAATTCGATATCCGTGTAATCAGGCGGAAGCATCAGGGCTGACTCGTGGTAGAGCTTCCGCCGGGCATCAAAGGTTCGTCTCCGCTCAACGAGATAGTCGGGCAGGTCCACATTGTCCAAGTCGTCCTCCAGAGGGTCTCCATTGGCATCCCGCTTGTCTGATTTCTTCTGCTTGGCAGACTTGCGCCTCGTCTTTCGCCTTTTCGGCCTCAGAGGCGCACTGTCTGATTCATCTGTCCACTCAACCTTTTCCGTGAACTCGAGCTCTATCTTGCGCTTCCGAGGCGGGTTTCGGGCGGGCCCCTCGAACCCATCCTCCGAAAGGGAGGCCGTATCCCCGTCATCTGACAATTCAATGACATCTGTTGGCATCTGAAGAAGTGGAGGCGGCCATCAAGCCACGAGACGTTGGTCAAGAGACACGCGTAGAGAGAAGACGAGAAGGTCGATGGTGACTTGATGCAAAGTCACGTGATGTGCACTGTGCCCTTGTCAACATGAGTTGATGAGCTTAGTGGCTGCCTTGACTCTGTGAAACCTTCAACGGCATCTCCAGCAATTACATCCAAGTCCGTTATCATTCGAAGAACAATCGCAGGCAACAGGCATGAACATGGTCAATCTCTCTCACAACTGATGCTGCGTGTCGCGTGGACCTGTTGTTGAAGTCATGTCCTCTTGTCTGTCCAGGCAAATAGCAAGCGATTCAACGGGTGCATGGATTCAGCTCTCGCAGTGATCTCGCAACGGCTCTCCGGATGCATATGAACTGATGACAGGTTGCGAAAGACGCCTTTTAGTCGATGCTCTAAAGGCTGCCATGAATCGTATCCTACCTATATCGGGCATCTCTTTGCCAGCTTACTCCATAAAACCCTCCTAACCACCCAGTAAACGTAGCATTTTGTGAAACGTGTAATCGCCTTTACCCATTCGTGGCAAGCATCCTATGACTATCTTGTTCATACCTTACCTTGCCTTACCTTGGGTAGCGCTGCCTCGGCCTTGCATCGCATCAGGCACAGCCCTGCCGGGGAAGGTCAACCAACTCCGAACAGACAGACGTTCAGACCTTCACCGGAAACCCGTAGCAAAAAAAAATCCTTCATCTTTACACAAGAGCAAAGTAATCAGTCGCCATGGCGAGCAATCCCCCGTCCAACAGCTATGAGGTGGTGAGGAACATCCCCAACGACCAGGCAAAGGCGATCCTCCTCTCCCTCTGCACGAATCCCGCCATCTGCGCCAGAGTCGCCTCCTACGCAAGGCGGCTCGACGAGGAAGCCTCGTCCAAGAAGCGCAAGCCCGAATCTGCCATTGCCATCTGCGTGCAGTGCGACCAGCCGTATTACGAGGAGGACAATGGCGATAGCAGTTGTGTCCATCATGATGGTGAGTTGTCTCTTCTATTCTACCTTTGGCGCAGTTCGGGCATTGGTAACAGCAGTCGTGGTACAGGTCTGTTAGAGGTCAACTACAAGGCGGAGGTATGGGAGGAGATCTCCGATGACGGCCCAATCGACTCTTCAGACAACGAGGAAGACGTCCCCGAGGGCTTCAACTGGACCTGCTGCGGCACCATCGGCACCTCTGAAGGATGCAAAAAGGGCCCGCATCAGTCAGACCCCGAAAAGTCGAGGAAAAGCGCTCATGTGTCCGTGAGCAAGGCCAAGGACGACGAGTGAGAGGGTAAAGCAAAACTGGGAGGATCTCGAAGGAGGCATTTTATCGGAGAGACAAAGGGCGACAAAAGCGAATTCAACATTTGGGGGGGGCAGAGTGGGCAAAACAGGACATCTTTCATGGCGATCTCTGCGGGTTTTGGGTATTTTGAAGCGGTCCTGTTCATCCCCGAGTTGTGGACACTCTCAACGTATGTACTGTAGCATTTTAGGAGCAGCGGACTCATGCATTGCTGACGGACCTACCTCTTTCAACACATCCTCCACCGCTGGGACATGAAGCTGTCGAATCAGCAATTTCTTGCACTAACACGTGTGGTTTATCTTGATGACCACCCTGCTGTAGAGCCGGTCTAGCGTCAAAGCGTCTGCTTTGATTCAGACAATCAAACCCGCTGCCGATACGATGATCGCGGGGCATGAACCAAAGGCTCGAGCTCGGGGCAGCCAGATGAAGCCATGCTGGGGATAACAGACGACAATCCTAGAGGTGGAATTGACGCGAACAAACATGCGTATGAATTTAATTCGCCATAAGCGTCTTTTCATTATCGAAACAGTCAAACAGACATTTCCGTCTGCCATACACCATACTAGCTGGCTATACCTAGAGGTACATATTGATGGTTGATAGCCATCACCACTCCACCAAACTTGGGGTCACATCAAGCACGAGCACTTGCCGCAAACTGTAAGATCATAGCTCCTGGGCCCTGCAGTTGAGCAGGATTGGGAATACTACGACGCTCCTGATACTACCCTAGGGTGCCATTCGGGTGCACATATATCTCCTCATCTAGGTATGATCGAGTATATGTATAGTATATTAATCATTGACCCCGTTCCATGTAGCGGGCAGTCATCTATCTATCCTTTTGCATCTCTACTCCAAGCGGAACTCGTTGATATACTGCCGCCCCTCAGATACCCTCTCACTGAAGCTATAACAACCCATACTCCAACCACAATGGCGGCACCAGCTCCCCTCACAACAGCCCCCCTCACCCCCGAGGAGGCCCGCGACAGGCTCAACATCCGCCGAGTCATCGAGCGCTACTCCCAATGCGCCGACCGCTGCCTCCCGGAGGAGCAAGCGTCGCTCTTCATCGCAGAGCCCGTCTTCCACATCTACATGCAGGGCCAGGGCACCGAGCCCACGCAGGCCGTCACCAAGAGAGAGGACCTCGTCCCCATCTTCGAGTACACAAAGGGGTGCAAGCACACGTCGCACGTCCTCGGCCAGAGCACCATCGACATCGAGGCGGACGGCAAGACGGCCACGGGGGAGACGTACTGCCTGGCGCATTACCTGTCGGAGAAGGACGGCCAGCGGCAGATGTGGCAGGCGAGTCTGCGGTACCACGACATTTTGAAGAAGCAGGAGGACGGGCTTTGGCAGTTTGCGGAGCGGAAGCTGATTGTTGACTGGACGGAGACGAGGCCCTCGAATCCCTAAATGAGCCGTAGGGTTGTATCAAGTGAATAAAACGGTTTCATTCGAAAGACTTTATCGTTCGCCTCTTGCATTGTAAATAGCTGCCATTCTTCCGGTCTGCGCTTTTCGCCTAGCTATTATGTTGCATATATTTAGCTACGTCTTGATACACCAATTGAGTCTGATTGATACACAGTACCTCATCCTTTGTCAGAGTATTGATGCATCTGCAGCCGATGGCCGACTTGATACGACGGCCAATTCTTCGTTTCTGGGGCCGTGTTGAGATGGTCACTGGGGAAACCCCACAAGTTGCGTGTAAGTCGCATGCGAATGAGCTTAACAAAAGGAATCAAATTGGATTAAACTGCGTTGCGCCGAAATATGCTTCGTACCCAAAGACCGCCCAAACGCCCAGAGTATAGCATATATATACAAATTGAAAAGATGGACACTTCTATGTCTTTTGCTGTCCCGTTTCTAAACACCATCGCCTCGACCGGATTTGATCCATCTTTTAGAATTGTCCGATGTGTCCGTCCAGAGCCCATTTAGCGAGCGCAGGCCAGGTAAGCATGGCGCCGAAAAGAGGAACATAGCTGCCAGAGAAGTGTTAGTCTAAGGGTTCCATATTCGGATGCATTGAGTTGCTTTGGTTTGTACGTACGTGACAAACTTGCCAGCCGTCCAGACGACCTGCTTGGCATAATCGGGTCGCGCAGGCTTCACTGTGGCAGCGAGTCGCTCAAAGGGTTGGTGCTCGAATGAGCGTCCCATTCTCCGGACTTGCATGAAGAAGCCGGGTCTGCGAACAGCGGCGGCAGCAGTGCGGGTGACGGTTGCAGCAGCCATGTTGAGAGAAGTTGTTTGAATGAAAAAAGGAGTATTGAAAGTTCTTTGGTTGGTGTCGTGTGTTTCAAAGCCGGATGCAAATCTTAGTGATAATACACTGAATGAATCTTAGAGAGTTGAGATGGTGGTAAAGGGTGGTTGAGTTGAGAGGTGATCCCGAAGGAATTGTTCGTATCGTTGCTTGTTGATGCTGTGATGATGATCCAGAAAAGAACGAACTTTGCAAAGCTTCCCACCCAGGCATTATGTATTCAGACAAACGCATCGCATCTCGCCGCCTTGCTATACAAAATCAATTCATTATCGAAATTTCCGAATTTTTTCTTTTCTCACTCCTTCATGATGTCAAACTCTGGCGCTTTCTGCCCATCCTCACGAGACTTCCTCGCCTCAGCCTGCGATTATGGGCAGATGCCGTCCTCACAGAGCAGCGAATATCATACCACTGTCAGGACATTCTACGGCCATGACTGCCAAACTGCCGCTCGCTAATTGGCTAGCCCTACCACTGGCCTAACGGTTTTGGGGCTTACGCTGGTGTCGAGGTGCGCAGTTGAGTTGGGGGGGCTTATCACGGGGATCCTGGTCGGTGGTGCCACTCCGGAGCATCCCGGAGGGGGGGCATCGGCCGGCGCTTTTTGGGGGGTGCTTTGCTGTATGTACTCAGAAGGGTAATAGAATCTGGTTCCGGGTCCGAAAGAATGCCTAAGTCAGAATCGTTTGACTTCTGACGCTCTTGTGTTCCGAATGAGGAAAGTTTATTGAACCATGAGGCTGTTTGAAATTCCTGTTGTGAGCAGGTGCGCTGAGATCCGATACACCAAGGCGAGATGAGCCGCAAATTATCATACCACTGTTGGCCAATGTGATCCCGGGCAACCGGATTCTCCCATGCATTGCTACGATTGTTGTCTGGAGATGCCTGGAGAAACAGGTGCAGCGTCAAATCACAGGAAGGCAATTACTATTCTTCAGATCAACGAGATCTTGTCATATGATATGAGGTGGTAGTGCTGTCTCTATTAGGGAAGAGAGCATCTCAGTGAGATGTGATCTCAACTCAAAGTGCGAGACTCAGGTAGGTACCAGGTAGATACGGCTTAACAGCCAAGGAACACTTCGATTGATGCCATCATCGTTGCACTTCAGGGTTTGGATGCGTTCTCTATTCACCATCAGGCCATCTTAAGCAATCAATGAGAAATGACGACAATCATTTGCGTGGATGGAAATTCCATGCGGGCCCTGCGGTGACTGCGGCATCAGCCGAGACTCGCCACCGCAACGTCGCTGCTCTCCTCAGCTCAGGCCCGGCCAGCACCGATGGCTTCACCACGATCTAGATTAGTACTATCTTTGCCTGAGCACGTGCTGGAATGGATTCAGCTCTTCCGCGTGCCGCACTTGAACTTCCTTCTATTCTAATCAAGGTACTGTATTCTAATCAGACAAATTTCCAACTGCAGCAAACTTACAGCATGCCCCGGTGGCCTGACCTGAGACACGTGTAATTCAGCCTCAGCTTCATCCGCTGTGGCATTCGCTTCGCTCTCAGCTGAGACTTGTTTGTCTTTGTCCCCATTGTTCACAGCCCTCCCTAAACATTGAGGAGGCGGGTCAATGTCAATACAGCTGCGTGCTAAGAATACCTAAAAGCAAACAAGCTTTCAGCTCTTCCTGCATACAGGGTATGCGCTCCTTCACCTCAGCCAAGGAGACATCTTTTCGAGAGAGAACTTGGCGAAAGGCGCAGCTTCCTCCTCTCCAGAGCGAACAATACATCTTCTGTCATGTCGGTTAAGCTTCCCTCAAGCCACCAGCTCCTTCAAAACGCGAGACAACAATGTCATGTTGTCTGAATAACAAGGATGTTGATCGACGACCCTCTGCGGGCAACATTTACACACTGCTGCCCCAGGTCCAGCGAGGAACGAATACCACTCGACATGTCGACTTAGAAATAATGCATCAATGCTGATACTAGTACTATGATACTCTTCTACCACAGTTCTGGTCATCATGCATCACTTTGAGCACACGAAAAGGCAGGTGAGTCGTCACTTCGACCGAGATACCAGATACTGATGGAGAGAAAGGGCTTGATTCGACTGCAAGTCGTTCCAGTCAATCCACTCGCGCTGCGTTATGGCACTTCAGATGCTGATTGAATTGCTATTGGCAGGATGAGGCTCTCGAAAATGGTGTTACTACTACTACTACTACTACCCCCTTTCTACGGCTGCCGGTGTCTCTCCGCTGTGCCCCAATGCGCCCCCAAATGCGATCCTTACCATCTCCACCGATCGATTGTCATTGCAATTTACATGGGCATCACAACTTCTCCACGCGGCCACGTTGCTGCCTCGTCACCTCAAACCGGCAATTGATGCGCCGTGCCTCTCGATCTATCAAATAGTGGCGCCTGTGTTCTATATCCGACTGCATTTGTTTGCCATCCAATACGTGTACAAGCGGTACGCCGAGTAAGTAGTAGCACGCAATACGAAGAGTGACGGGAATCCTTGCATGAATACTGTGAGGATACATACTGCTGTGTGGGTGGAGAATGGAGGAGGAGTAGTAACGTGGAGGATGCAGGGAGATGAAAAATTGAGTTGACATGTGGGCTGGGATTGTTGAAGCTGGCGGCTAACTCGACTGACAGCGGCCACAACTGCTCAACTGGACACTGGCTGGTTCACGGCTGATGCCTGTGATCCAAAGGATCACTTTGAAGGAGTTTGCAGGTCTTTGCGTTGTCCAATAAGGACCAATGTGAGAGACTTGTTGGCTTGCCTAGAGTCTTTCACGATGAGGGTCGATTTGGAGCCCGCCGAGGTCCATATAACCGTTGCAAGTTGTAACAACAACTCATGCCGGTGAACCACACTGCAGCAGCTCAGTGGCAACTCACCCCTTATTGGTCAGAGAGCGGACGGGGAAACGTCCGAGACCTTGGGGGGCTTCCCGGACACCATACTCCGTGCCTTGATGAAGGCCTTGTGCTCTCTCGCAGCTGATATTGCCCCTGTATCGTACCGATGGCTGAGACATCTTTTGGATGGCCACTACCGCTAGTATAGCAATTCTCGTGTGCCTGATCTGTCCAACCCTGAACCCCTGCTTCATGCAGCGTAAACTCGCCATACAATGGATTTGAGGGGCCCACGAAGTCTGGTTCGTAGGAGGCGGAATCTTTCCTCAACTCGCATGTGCAAAGTCAAGCATGACCCGCACTGTGCGCAAGGTACAGCTCCCGCGTCACGTGCCCCATCTGGCTGTTCTCTCTTCTCTCCCCCCACCAAAAACCCTCCGCCCTCGGGCCCTATTGGATCCATCAATACCCAAGGCAGAGAGGCGCAGAGAGCAAACAAACTCGCAGCAACCTGAACCATCAGCTCGGCTATTCCGCCACGAACCTTGCCTTCAAGTCATTACCGCGCCCAGTCCGCACTGTATTTTGCCTATGTGATGCAGGCTGCGCATACACAAACACGCATGTGCCGTGCATGCGTTCTGACCAGTCATCTGTATGCTATGTTTGGTGATGCAAACTCCACGCAATCCGCGGTGCGACTCGACCGCAGATGCACGACCAGCGACAGGCGATTCGGCCGGTATCGTTACGCGGACGCCACATGGAAGGGCAATTGTTCGCGTCTGCTCCTGAATAGAGAAGGAGAATCGGGGCCGGGGATCTCAGCCCAGGCCATGACACCTCGAATGGAGACTCTGGACCGGGCCGGCTAGGCGACTTGCGTCCATGGTTCGCCGCGGTTTAATCTTAGCTCTGGACAAACAACTTGGGAGGACCAGGATTCGACGGAAGCTCCCTACGCTAGGAGCTGTGCTAGAGCCCAAAGTGATGCCCACATCTCAGTGACAGCCGTCTGTGCAGGTCGCATCACAGAACCAACAACCTTGAACGCACGCGGGTGGACAATCTCTGCAGCATATGCGTGAGGGGGGCACGGCAAATTTTCTTTTTTTCCCTCCACAAGACGTGGATGTGTGCTTGCGCGGGCTCCTTCTGATAAGAGCGAGGCATCTCTGATGGTGTTTCCCATCGGATCCCGTTCATTGTCTCTCTAACCAGCCAAGTCTCGGGAGTCGCAATGGCCAGCCCCAAGTCGCCCAGAAGCCCGCAAGCCGGTCCCTCGTCAGCCAATCCGTCGTCCAGAAGCCCGCAAGCCGGTCCTTCGACAGCTAGACAGCCATCAGAGCCGAGATCCCCTGAGCCTGCTGAACCTCCGGCACAGGTCGAACCGGCTCCGGCCGCAGAGATTCCCTTTGTATGCCGCCTCCATGATGGCTAGCCTGGCGGCCTAGCGTCGCAACGACCGCAGGAGCTGCCATCTCCCCTTTCGTGTTCTTGCTCTCCTATGTAGGCTAACATGGCTCGAAAATAGGAAGAGAATGATGAAGAAGACTCTGGCGTAGATGATTGGGATGATGCGTAGGTCGAACTGATTGCGGAAGCACGCATCTCAATGGTGTCCTGACCTTGTCCAGCGCCTCTTCAACGGCTTCTCTGTCGGAGAGCATATTCGACTACCGCAACATCCACGGCCGGACGTTCCAGAACTCCAAGACGACCGAGTACTGGGGTCCAAACGACGACCGCCAGAACAATGGGCTCGACATCTCGCACCACTTTGTCACCATGCTGCTCGGCGACAAGCTGTTCGAGGCCCCCATCAAGGAGCCCCCGAAGAAGGTGCTCGACGTCGGCACCGGAACCGGCATCTGGGCCATTGACATGTCCGACGCCTATCCGTCTGCCGAGATCATAGGAACCGACATCAGCCCCATCCAGCCGACGTGGGTGCCGCCGAACTGCATCTTCCACCTCGAGGACGCGCAGCTCGAATGGACGTATCCGCCGGAGTCGTTCGACTTCATCCACATCCGGGCGCTCTACGGCAGCATCGCCGACTGGGGCGAGCTGTACAAGCAAGCCTACAAGGCGCTGATGCCGGGTGGCTGGATCGAGGACTTTGAGTTCAACATCACGCTGATGAGCGACGTGCCCGAAGTCCGCGACGATCCCAAGCACATCTTCAAGCGCTGGGCAGAGGTTTTCACCGAGGCCGGCGTGCGCATGGGGCGAACGCTGCTCATCGGCACGGGCGGCAGGATGCGCAAGCTGATGCAGGAGGCGGGCTTCGTCGACGTGATTGAGAAGAACTACAAAGTGCCGAGCGGCCGATGGAGCAGCGATCCCACGATGAAGCAGATTGGCGCGTACAACCTCGCCTTTCTCGACGAGAGCCTCGAGGGGTTCGCGCTCTTTATGCTCAAGGAGATCATGGGGTGGGAGTACATTGAGGTGCAGCTGTTCGTCGCAGAGATGCGCAAGGCCATCAACAACCCCAAGATCAGACCATACTACATCCTGTAAGTTGTTTTCCGCATTCCAGCCGCCGTTCCTCCCCCCATGACCTTGTCGTTGTTGGCAGGCACTAATGGGTGTGTGTGAAATACAGTACCAATGTATTTGCACGGAAGCCGGACGTCTGGGAACATTGAATTCTGTTTGGTTGGCGTCTTGTGTCTTTTTTATCTCAGCGTTCTATTGAAGATTGTCAGCCATTCTACCCTTCTTACCTTTATACACCTACTACCTTTTACCTATTCTAGGTACATATACGAAACCCGAGTTGCGCAGCCTAGCTAAATACCCATGAGAGGAGCATACCTTTTGCTGTTCATGTGATGCTGGATGGACTGCACTTTTGTCATGTATTGTTACTGATCACATAGTCTAATATGCGCCATACGGCACTATGAATGCGCGTGTGAACATAAACCGGGTTTGAGTGCATCGCTTGGAGCTCTGTCTCAGCCAGCCAAGGACTCACTTCTGACTTCGGAAAGACTTCACAGACACAACCAACCAGTACTAACTCCCTTACTTCTCGTGCAAAGTAGCACTGCTTCCGAGCCCCGAACAACGAGTCGTGTCGCCCGCCTCCCGTCCCTGCCCTGCCTAACCGCAGCATTCTACTCCATAGCAATCTCGTCTTGGCTCGTCTTTGTCCCAATGCAGTGAGACATGCCGACCCGGCAATGCATTTGATCCCGCTTTCGCCCCCTTCCCCGGCCAGTAGCAACACCTCACCGAAAGCGCCATGGTACGACCATGTGCCGTTACGCAGGCCCAGATTCCCAGAATATTGGAAACCGGGTTTTGATGAGAAAGTGACAGCTCAGCACAGCTTCTGTCTGGGGGACGGGGGCGATTCAAGTCGGCCTCTCGAATGAAGAGCTTTTCCCATTTCCATTGAGTGATTTTATACGAATCGGTATGTCATAGACTCCAACTCGTTATGTTATACATCACATTCTCTAGACGATGGTTTCCCATGTTGCCCCATGTTACCTCGGATAAAGCTAGTAAGGTATGGTAATGGATTTGGATTTGCAACTCCAGCTATCTCATTTGCCCAGCCCGTCTCGTCTGGAAATATAGGTTCCGGGTTTAACCTTTTAAGCTTCCTAGCAATGAATAGCTGAGACTATGTACTAAGCTGCCTAGAGCACCTACTGTACTGGCTGTTCACATACTATCTGCTTCAACAATGCAGAAACAGGAATCAAAGCCCCGAGCTTGTCTCTTCTCCAGCTTTTGTCCAAGACACAACATCATCAAGTAACGGCGGCCCCATCCCCCCCTAGCTTACCTACCTAGCGGCATATATCCGCCGCCGCCCCTCTCTCTCCCCTCAAGGGTATGTATCTTGGGGCCGCGCCGCCGCTCCAAGTTGGCCGGGCCCTTTCTCCAGCTAGTACTAATAGCGAGCCGTGGCCACTAAATCCAGTAGCCCGGCACACTACTGCAAGGCCTGGGGGGGGGGGGGGGGGTCCTGTTTACCGGTTCCATCATTCCATTTCCATGTGAACCCATCAGTGGTGTCCAGCTGCCAGCTGCCAGAGGACGCCCAGCAACCAGGGGTGGTCCTCAACGGACACACAGAGGCGGGGAGTGGGCTGGTGGAACCCAAGATGGATGGATGGGAGGGTGATGCATCTTGGTTTCCATTCTTCCGCGGGCTGCAACTGCAAGGAGATCCCTTTGGAATACTAGCACCGAGGGGGCCCAAGCCAAAGGCGGGAAAACCGGTATCAGATCCCGCGTTGCCGTTGGTTGTGTGCTATTACGAAGACAGTTAAGGACGTGAATGTGAAGAGCTAAGAAAGAGGAGAGGAGCATAAGAGGGGGGTCGAATGGTGGCCCATGTTCTTGGATAGTCGGATAGTAAGTCAAGTCCTGCCAAGGTTAAGGTAAGGGTATCGAGACTAATCAAGCCTATATTACATACGAGCATGTCCAGCTGTAGATCGTTTTGAGTCTCTTTCACTGTTCTCCTCTCCTTTTTCCTTCTCCTCTTGACTTTTGGCTTTTCGGCTTCTTTGGCTGCTTCGTTGCCAGCTTGGAGTATCTAGAGTTCTGACTACCTTAGTCTGGTTATCAGCCAGACAAGCAGATACAGATCCGTCTTTTCCGACTTCGAGTCAACTACTCTCAAAGGCCAACTCGGATCCGCCAGCAATCCTTCGGAACTCCTGCATCGAGAACCGAACCAGCAGACGTATCTGAAGGGGCCACTTCAGACGTCAGAGTCGCACCGGTGTGCGAGTTGTCAGGCGGGGTTTGTCGTTTGCGTGCCACTTGCTCCACGCTTCAGCGGCGCAATAATACACAAAAGTCCACAAACTGAAAGCCAAGAGATTCCGGGAGATCACCATCACAAAGGAAGCTTCTGCGTTTTCGAACCCGAGATGGAAAGCGTTGCTGGAATCCCGGGCTCCGTCGTCCTCCTCGCCGGCGGTCTCATCAGCCTCTTCGTCGTGGGAAGGATCCTCCAGTTTGCGAGGCTGAGGAGCTTCAAAGGTCCCTTCTTGACCAACTTCACCAATTTTCCGCATAGAAGGGCCCTCTTTCGGCAAAAGGCGCACGAGTATTATGCGGAGGTTTGTGAACAATACGGTGCGACGACCCCCCTCTCTCAGAAAGCGTCTTGTCTCAGAAGAAACTCGTCGTTTACTAATCTCGTTCCTCTGTGTTGAGTAACATACAGGCCCGATAGCAAGAGTTGCACCGAACCTTCTGATTACATCTGACCCGGATGTGTGGATTCATGTGAACAACAAGCCTGGGTATAAGCGCTCTGATTGGTACTACACTGCCTGCCGCATCGAGTACCAGCGGGACAATGTCTTTTCGCAGACGGACAACAAGAAGCATGAGCAGAGGAGGAAGCAGATGGCTCCGGGGGTATGTTGTGATGCCAGCTCCTTCATTGCCAACACTTCGCAAGCTAACCGTGATTTCTGTTTCCTAGTATTCTGGACGGGAGAATCTCGACCTGGAAATTTCCGTCGACCAGTGTCTCCAGGAGTTTATCGACTTGATCAGATCCAAGTATGTTTCCACAGAAGCCAAGATCGTGCCCGTGGACATGGCCAAGAAGGTTCAGTTCTTCGCCCTTGACGTCATCAGCGGCGTTGGCCTGGGCAAGACGTTTGGCATGCTGAAGAGTGACACCGACGTGGAGAGCTACCTCCAGTCTGCCGAAGAAGGCCTGCGCATTGCCAACTTTTCGCTCGCCATAGGCCTCAGCTGGATCGCGCAGGCGCGCTTCCTCGGCCGCTTCATTGCTCCGTCACCAAAGGACAAGAACGGCTTCGGAAAGATGATGGCAACCTGCTTCCGCTATGTCGACGAGCGCGAGGCGAGCTCGACGGACAAGCGGTCTGATATGCTCGCATCCTTCATCCGCCACGGCATCCATGGCGCCGACTTGAAGACGGAGGCCCTCGAACAGATCGTCGCCGGCTCCGACACCACCTCATCTGCCATCCGAATCATCTTCCTCCACATCATCACAAACCCGCGCGTGTACGCAAAGCTCCAGAAGGAAATCGACGAAGCAGTCCGGGATGGAAGAGCCCCCCGCGAGGGCATCATTACCCACAGCCAGACAAAGCAGCTCCCCTATCTCCAGGCCACCATTCGCGAGGCCATGAGAGTCATGCCGCCCGTCGCCAACATCTTCTCGCGAGACATTCCGCCCCAGGGCGACACCGTCAGAGTCAAGGGCCAGGACGTCTTTCTGCCTGGCGGCGCCAACATCGGATATTCCGCGTATGCAATGCATCGCAGCCACGAGATTTACGGCGACGACGCCAAGGCCTTCCGTCCAGAGCGCTGGTTTGAGGAGGACCAGGACAAGCTCGCCGTCATGCTTCGCACCAACGAGTTGATCTTCGGGCACGGCAAGTATCAGTGTCTGGGCAAGCCTGTTGCTCAGGTTGAGATTGGAAAGGTCGTATTCGAGGTACGTCTGCTCATGTGGAGGAGATCAGCAAGCCGCGGCTTCTTCATCTCTCCTCATCCATGTCCGTGCCGTGCTTCGTGCTAACCAACCTATAGCTACTGCGTTACTTTGATATTGCCATCATGCACCCGGACAAGCCTTGGGAGGCTGAGAACGCCCTTGGGTTGTTTCACATCAAGGACATGTGGGTGCAGGTGCTGGAGAGAGGCGCGTGAGAAGCGGGAGCTGCGTGCTCGGGCATATCAGGCGCTTTGACCTGGCCGTCGCCTTCCTGAGACGGATTTCACCATGCGACATTCATTCTATATCCGGTTGCGAGATGGCGAGATTGTGAGGTTAATGATGGAATGTATTTGGGAACGCTCTAATCTGTAATTAGTTCGGCATGAGGTCCTCACGAGCATCTGAACGTAATTGATACCAAGCAATCGATGGTTTGTAAAAGATTCACCATGCATCTCGGGAACACCTGTAAAGCTGTACTCGTATGTAAAGATAAATGAGCACGCAGACAGATCTGGCCAGAGAGAGGATGCAAGGGTTGGGGCTGCGAAGCTGCTCTTGACCGAGGATATGTACGTATGTAGATCGCTGAGAATAAGTCACGTGATTATGACTAAGCCAGATCTTGATCGCCAAACCTCGGAATTGATTCAAACAGCTCAACTTCAACACCTCGATACTGCAGCCGGCAGACGCAATCACCATGTCTTCAGCACTGGCAAGAGGGCCATCCGCCCAGGCCACCGACAGCAAACCGAAAATCGCCATATCCGCGGTCCCGACGTTCGAAAATGCCCTGTCCAAGGGCGTCTCTTTCGGCCGAGTCGCCGTCCTGCTCGGGCTGCTGGCGGCTCGGTTCCAGGATCTGGTAGCAGAGCCGGCGCTGACGCTGCAATCCGCGCTGCCTGTCGTCGCCGTGATCCAGGTCGCGTATGTGGTGCTGTGCTTGCCGGCGGCGGGCTCTCAGCAGGCGAAGGCGGCCAAGAAGGCTCGTCCCGGGGAGAAGAAGAAGCCCGAGGCGGCCGGGACGAGCTCGGTGGTGGTACGCAGCTCCCAATGGATACTCTCTGATGACTCAATTGAGTTCGGAGGGATTGGGCATTGGCTTTTGACTCGGGAATGCTAACAATTTCACCCTTGTCTTAACAATCTAGACTGCGATCCTCGCCCTAATCCTCGCTGCGATAGCGACTCCCGCCGTCCATGCGCTCTTCATCCTCTTCGGTGCGCCTTTCATCGACCACATCCCTCACACGTTCCTCTGCGCAGCGCACTTCTCTCTATTGGGCGTCTTCCCCGTCATCTACGCACGCGGGTTGGACAGCCAGGCTCTGGTTGCCGTGGCTGGACTGACTGCGCCTCTGGACGAGACTCTTGGCGGGCTGCTGGGCGCGGTTCTTGGCGCATGGCTGGGCGCGGTGCCTATTCCGCTGGACTGGGATCGGGACTGGCAGAGGTGGCCTGTCACGGTCGTCTGTGGCCTGTATGCCGGCTCATGTCTGGGCAGCTTCTTGTCGGGCGTGGTGTTTTACGGCAAGCGGCTTGGAGGAGCTGCGTCGACCACAAAGGAGGAGTAAGAGCCGAGGTATCAACTGCTGCATCTGCTAGGCGTCATCTATTATCTATGGGACATACTATTGCGGAGGACTGGCGGGCATTGCGTGCTGAGTCGAGCATTACGAGAGGCCACTCAAGGTCAGAACTAATCGGGGACAACTGGATAGAAGAAATGGGGAGTTAACTGTAATTGTAGAGGTTGTACGTCCTCACCTAATCCCTCAATGTCGTTTTTCTGCCCTAGGGACAATGGTTCCCCCATCTCTTGTAAGATTCGAGGCTCTACACCGAGCACTCGCCCTGTAGTCGGAGAAATTGATCTCACGATGATAAGAGCGCCCGCACGACAGACTTGATGGTAGCAAACTTTTCCGCCAACCTCAATCTTGTAAGACAGTACTAGCAGCAGCCAGCGCTTGTCACAGTTCTTGTGAGCTGCATAACATTAGTCAATCGGGCCCTCCGACCCCCGGCTCGCACGGCGTTCGGAATGATGCATGGTTGGACTGGGACAAAAGCCAGCTGCTCCGTACCGCTGTCACTCTACCCATTCACCGCCAGCCAAGAGCTGCGCCTGTCATGCGATTGCGTCCAGCCAAGACCCGAGCTAGGGCGGGGTTGTGACGGGGAGAAGCTGAGATTTGCAGTGAAAAAACACACAGTGGCTGATGGTTTCTCGTGTTGGGATGCTGCGAGAGGTGCAAAGTGAAACGGAACTCCCACACAGACCCATCATGACGGCGGCTAGAGCAGCGCAAGAGGCGCCGTTTCTGCAACGGGAGAAGCATCAACTTCCCACATGCCTCTCAAACATGCCAACCCAAAACCGTTCACGAAAAAAAATCCTCAAGGGCATAATAGAGAAGTCCTGCTGAGGTCACTCATACGTCGAGCCGAAAAAAACACCAAAAAGCCCGCTCCGGCAGACACGGAATTGCATTCGGCACGCAGGTGTGGCTGGTGCGTCACCTAGACCAAATCACGGCCGGACTTGTCGTCATGTGGCGATGAAATCGTGGCGTAAGCATGTTTTCGAAGCTGTGAACAGCTCTCGGTGGTGTGGCGGTGCGGCCAAGCTTTGGATTGCTCATGGAGAATAAACCGCGACACTAAGCAGGGGTCTGCAGCAGCCGATGGTAGCTTTATGACGTATCCCCTGCGATTTTTCTCTTCTGTTCTTTTACGAGGTACATGCGAGGATTCCAAGCTTGATTCTGGCCTGGGAGGGCCCTTGCATGTGGATGCGACAGATCTTGCCTGCCGGTTATCCTGCCATGGCATTATCCTTCTTATGCCCATGTACTCTTTTGGTCTAGGGATCGAGCTGGTCTCTCCCGCAAAGGGCATCGAATGCTTGTGGCTTGACCAATCGATGACGCAACATGGAAGGCGGCTTCCCGTTCTCCAAGGCTTGGCTCGGAATGTCTGGGAAGCAGCCAAGATGACGCTCAATGGGCAATAAATAGTACCGGGCTTGCCAAAAAACCTTCGTGTGTCTCCTCCTCTCCCTTCTGTTTGTCTCACCAAAAACCCTTCCGTTCTCCTCCTGCAGATTCTCTTGCTCCATCTCTCCCAAGCAACACCACTTTCGCGCTCTCAAGGTCTTTCACTGCGACCTCTTGATACCCCTCGATATTCACAACTCTGAGCCCTTGAGCTTTGCATAAAACGACACAAAACAGATACCCAACATGCCTTTCACCACAAGGTAAGCCTTCTAGCAGCATGACGTTCCGTGGCTTCCGTCATCTTCCCCGCAGCTCCCCAGGTCTCGCTCCCTCGAGCGCATGCGACCTCACCACTACGAAAAGCTATGGGATTGGAGTCGGAAGCTCCCCGGATTGGAACAAGCACTGACATTCTCGTTTCTTTTAGCGACATCTGCAAGATCATCCTTGCCATCATTCTGCCGCCCGTCGGTGTCTTCCTCGAGCGAGGCTGCGGCGCTGACTTCTTGATCAACATCCTGCTCACGATCCTCGGTACGTCAGATCCTCACCCTCTTTGCAACTCACAAGCAGTACAGCCTGTCGCTGTCAATTACAAACATCGCATCAATTACTAACAGCTTTTACCTCAGGTTACATTCCCGGCATCATCCACGCTCTGTACATCATTCTGAAATACTAAACACGCCTGCCGCTTTCGTATCCCGCCAGCTCAAAACCATGACGTCGCGCCGCTTCACGCCGTGCGTGCGCCATCACGTCGAGGCGCCTAAACGGCTATTGACTGGCAACTCATTTTAGCGAACGGATGCGACGGCGGAGGATTGTGTTTTGCGTGGTCGCTGGCTCACCACTTGGCCGGACATAGACGCGGTTATGACAGTGGGCTTTCCTTCATGAAATACTCTTTTTTTTCTTCTTGGCTGGAGGCAGATGCAACCTGTTTGAAGGCGGCATCAGGTTTGGCTATTGTAATGAATTGATACCCGACTTCCTCTAATCACAATTACTATTTACACTGAACAATGTTTGTGTCCTGCGTATGGTGATGAATGATTCATTAAGAAAGTAAGGAAAAAAAACAATCAACCGACTGTTTAAGCATATCGAACGATCAATTGATCGTGAAATAACCGGCTTGCGTTCCGGGTAGCTTTAATTGAGCGTCAGAAACAAAAAAGGATTGTTGGCGCAAAATGCAAAAAGAGAAGATGGTGATTCCGCCCGGGCTCGAACCGGGGACCTTTTCGGTGGTGTCAACTGAACTGTTAACGAAATGTCATAACCAACTAGACCACGGAACCTCTGATTGGTGATTGCGAGCTGCTCTACTAATGACTATACGGCTATTGCCCCCTACGAACCTGTAAGGTGCCTCTAAACGATGCAACAAAACCCACGATGAGAATGAATACCCGGTGGATAAACTACCTACTGATGACCGTGTAAGTTGCAGGGTAGAACAAAAATTGGTAAAGCATTAACCTTTGTTGTAGCATTCAAATCTTGCGTTCATATAACATACAAGAAGGCAATATGCCAAAGACCAATAACTCCCTTCCATAAGAGGGCGATGTGAAGACTGCATGTGTCACGGAAATAGTTGCCCGTCAAGATCAAGATGTTCAAATTAAAAGTGAGAAAAGAAGAGAACGACCAACAACGCCTTATTCTAAAAGACCCCCACCCCATAACCAGTGCGAAAAGTTACCTGGAACATGAAAAGCTTACCATTGTGAAGTTGTAACAGATTGCAAGAATGTGAAAAGGAGCGACGAGAGGTTTTATCAAAGTAATTCTCCATCGCCCTCGTCAGCCGCCTCGTCATCCTCATCCCAGTCCAACTGGGCCTCCAGTTCCTCGGCCTTGCGCTGGACTTCTGCAAGCCCGGACAGTTCAGCCACGTAGTCCTTCTCCTGAAGAGCCTTCTTGACGAATTCCCATCCGTCAGTGCGGAAAGCGTTCAATATCTTGGGGCTGCACGCGCTGCAGCTGTCGTAGGATTGTCCGCGAATGACAATGTTTTGGAAGGTAGATACGTAGCCGCGGATCTGATGCGGTACGAGGCCGAGAGGGTGGTTTGGGGGGTCTCTCTCGAGAGTGACGCCTGGCCTTGGTTGAGGTGCTGGGGCGCCATTCTTGAGCGGGTGTTGCAGAAGGCTTGTCAGGAGCTCAACCAAGAGTGCTGAGGCGATGGCGGCGACTCCGGGCCGCGTCACGGTGCACTGCTGGTCGAGGGTTTGATCTTTCATAGACTACGCACAAGGGATGTTAGTGATGCGATACTCAAGGAAATTGAACGTTTTGAGGAGACTTACATCAGCCGGAGCGACGACATCATTGCAAAAGTAGCAGCCGAGCGACTCCTTGCCCTCCTCTGAAGACTCGGCGCCGTGTCGCATGACTACGTATGAATCAAACCCGAGAGCGGCATTCATGACAATCTTTCCGCTGGCCTTTCCCATTACTGTGGGCAGCCATCGGGATTCGCGAGTGTCCATGAGCAGGAAGACGACGTCGTGTGCGTCAATCAATGCTTCTAGCATATCGTAATCGGCCTTTGTCCGCGCTTCATCCGTCAGAGGATGGCCGAGCATCGGTACGGAAAGCGAGTGGCCCTCGGCGTCCACGCCTGGGTATATCCTCTTCAACATTTCGGCAGCTTGGATAGCCTTTGGTCTCCCACCGTTGAGGCAGTCGTCATATTCGAAGAGCGGCTGGCGAACTGGGTTTGAGAAGGATACGCTGCCATAGTCGACAAATGTGATTTTCCTGACACCCCAACCCAGCAAGTTCCTTGAGACGTAGCCTCCGAGCGTTCCGGCGCCCAGCAGCAGGCACTTTGTATTCTTGATAATGTCGAGGTTCAGATCGGGGGCCAGTCGCCACTTCATCAACTTGAGGTTCAAATCAACCGCTGAATCTGCCAACCGAGAAGGATCCATGTATTCGCCCAAGTTGGCCAGCTGCGCCTGGAGCTTGCCGTTCTTTGCCCGCTCCCAGCCTGTGACCTTGGGCATCTCCTTAATCTCCATGTCTTCGACGGGGTCCATCTTGATTGGTATAATGATGCTTCTAGCTTCATGCCGTCTGGACCATTCATCTCTGAAACATAGAATGTTGACATTGGACAGGCGGAATCGATGGCGAATCAGGATCAAGAGATTGCGAAGCGGCCACGAGGGACCTTCTGGGAAAGTTGATGGGTCCAAGAATGTAACGAATCGATCCTCATCGGCAACGCCGTCGAAGAATCCGTCTTCAAATTGTCGCAGGGAAGCCACCTCCCATCTGTATGGAATCTTGTGCGCCGGGTCATGCTCGTGCAAATCCTGGGGCTTCTCTCCCCAGACCTTCTTGGCCAGGAAGAATCCATGCTCGCGCTTGTCCACACTGTATCGCCATGTTCCCACTCGATCCAGCAGTGCCGTGGTCTCGTCTGAGGTCATCCGCTGGATTGGCCCGGATCGCTTCCACTGCGCATCCGAGTGCAGCGCCGGGAACGCGCACCAGTATATGAATTTGTATTTCTTGAGATCGGCGTACGACAAAATTATAAACGAGGATAGGAGCGAAGGGACAGAGTAGATGCTGCCGTCTTTAATGGCGTCCCATATCTGCCTGCCGGCCAGCTTCAACATGGCGGCCTTGTCGGTCTTGCGGAAGTCTTCGATGGTGTTGACGTTCCTGATGATGCCTTCGGCTCTTGCTTTTCCCAGAGGGGGACTGTGGCACATGTCAACTTCAGGGTCTTCCCTTGTACTGCTTCCAACTCACTCTGCGTTTGTCAAGGCGCTGCCGAGGATCTGGAGCTTGCAGCTCGCATCTGGTTCCACATCCCGCGCCTCGTACACGCCCACGATGCCGCGCGCAGAATCGTCGAGCTTGTCGTAGTCGAGCTTGGACGAGAAGAGCGCCGAGTAGAACGGCAGCTCTATCTCGGACGTGAACGGCACGAACTGAAGCGGCTCGTCCATGATCACAGTTGCGCTGCGAGCTGTTCGATATGGTAGGGTTTGGTGGTTCGTTTCGAGTGTCTGGTGAACGGAGCGTCGTACAAGGGGAAAGTGTCCAGCAGTAGAAGCTTGTGAAGATGAAGGCGGCGATGATGTTTATGCCGTTATCTGTGCGAGAGTCAAAAAGCAAGCAGGAGACCAGGCAGAAGCCGTCATCTGATAGAGTATCACGAGCTACAAGTCTAGTGATGTCGTAGCGGCTGAGCTGCCCCGCGGAGAGCGGGGAACCCTCTGAAGTGCAGCGGAAGATGGCTTATGCAAGGGGCTTCGGTTGTTAGCGCTGCGAGCGGTTCTTCAGCAGACCGCTAGCAGACGCTGTGTTACCGTCTATAGGGCTAATTGAGGGAAACCCTTGCATCCAAGAAACACATCCGATATGGTGTAGTGGCTAACATCGCTCGCTCTCAATCTTCGATTGAAGCTCCGAGCAGCCCTGGGTTCGATTCCCAGTATCGGAGATTTCTTTTTTTTCTTTTTTGTGCATTTATCGGGACCTTTCACTTCCAGCTGAACAACAGCTCATGATGCCATTTTTTTTGTTTCTTGAAGATCCGATAGAGGCATTTGTCTCTCCATCCCTGTCCAGACCATGAACCTCGAGGACATGAAGAAGGTTCATAGTTCTCATACAAAGAAAAGAAAAAGAATGGTGAATGTGCGGCTGATCTAAGAAAAATCTGTCGAGGAGAAATGAAGCAATGCAACATACGGATCCATATGTAGCCCTCTTTAAGGATAAAGGTTGTTGTCGCTACCTTATATATGATGCCTGGACGCTCATCATTTCGTCTCTGTACAGCTACCAGTCTTGTAGTATCGACATCATGGATGGCACTCGATGAGATAGGGAAGTGGTCTCCAATCTTAATACCGACTACTGAGCTACCCAGAAGATGCTCATCGTTGTGTGGGAAACCCTCAACGGCGCAAGTCCAGTGAAGTCATCTTTCCCGCCAGATCTTCACCTGCTTCGCCCTCCATTTCCTCTCTATACATTTTCGTCCGCCGCCACTCTACGTAGCGCTCATTTCCCGAGAGATCACCACCCACCAGCCGGTTGAATTCCTCCTGGGCTCCGGGCTGGCCAGGTCGAAGTTTCAACTGATACGGCCACTTCTCAATCACGGTGTGCTTGTCTTTCATCGCAACGCCAAGGGCCTCCTCCATCTCGGAGAAGGCCATCCTCTTCATGTATCTATAGTCAATGTTAATATCGGGCGGTTGTGAGCGTTGAAAGCAGGAATTCTCCGGTTCATCAACTTTGTGCTTACCGATCAAATACGTGGTCATAGGATGCAACAACGGACGAAGCATATGAGATTTTGACGAAAGAAGGGTCGTAGGGGCTCATTGGCATTCGCTCCATCGGGAGAAACTTCAAGAGACGCTTCATCGGTTGTCCATGCGGAGACATTATGTTCCTTTGCTCTTCCATAGTCATGGTCTCTGGCACGGCATTCATGAAGAGAGTGATGAGAGTCGCATGGGGGTTAATGAGTGGCCCCTGGAGCAGCGGCGCCATCATTGCAACTGTGCGATGGATTCCGACGTACCCACTGTCTGAGACATTGGAGACCTGTGTGCCCGAATCAGCGTTTCCCCCGAGATGTTTGTGAGATATAGGCCTACCTCGATACGACTGAAGTAGTTGGGCTCGAGATGGTTCTGAAGGTCGGAGAAGTCTACGTGGAACAGTCGAAAAGACACACGCAGCTTTGGAAGATGAAGAAGAAAGGAGCGAAGTAGCGCGCGGAGGTGGTAGAAAAGCTTGCCGTAGATATCGGCGGTGGCGGGGCCACTGGAAGTGTCTTCAACCTCCTTCGGTGACCATCCATTGAGGGGATCAGCACTGTCGTGCATCGGCCAGGTGTTGGCTGTTTGGTACAGTGTCCTGTGATTCGTGAGATACTTGGGCATCACTATGTAAGTCGTTGGGTGCCATGTGCCACTCACGGATTTGGCTCCTGAAAATCATCGCGTGAAGAGCCGAACGGTAGCAACAATCCGTCTTGTCGAAACCGGTGCTTCGCAACTCGACGGGATGGGGATTGAACAAGCCAGTTCCGGTGTCGATAATCCTTCCTGGACTCGGCAAGGGTAACCGCTACACGGATTTGGTTCGCCCGTTCGGCCGTCAAGCCGGCAGGAATGCTCAAGTAGCCAAGAAGGGCGTCCCACGACGATCTTTGCAAAACGAGCCTCAAGGACCGCTCTCCGAATGTAAAGGTCTTGGCCAAGATGCTGGTGCGTGGTTTGTCTTTGATCTTTTCACACACGCTTTGGACAAGGGGTCGAATTCGTTGTTGGAGCGTCTCCAGGTCGGACTTGCGGATGAGGGCCGAATACCAGACGTGAATGATGCAGTTGATTGCCTCTTCCATGTCATCTGCTACAAGCGCAATAAGAAGCAGTATGGCGTTGCGTGCTACGATATCAAGGTCGCGGTCGTTGAGTACCACAGTGACGGGCTCCTCGTAGCCGCTGGGAATCTGGGCAATCGTCTTGACAACATTTCGAAGATCACCGGAAGCTGTAAAGTGGTAGTTTCCATTAGTTTCGCTGCTGAAGTGAGTGAGCTTGTGTTGAAGAGTAGGTACATACCGGCAAACAAGAGCCTCAGTGGCTTTCTATAGCCGTCACCTTCGTTCGACCCGAGTTGGAGCACGTCAATCGCAGGCACATTGCCCCAGAGGAACTTCTTCACGCCAAACACCGCCTGCTGCCCCTGCTCTGCACCTCCGATGAATGCCGGTTGTCGGTTCTCCAGCGCCCAGTCAGGCATCCATGTTTCCTTACCCAGAGGGGACTTGCAGTCCGCTTTGTGAAGGGCCCAGTGTGCCTTTTGGCAGTCCGCGCCGCAGTACTAAGAAGATGAAGGTTGCGTTTAGAAGAGCGTATTGCCACACCAGGATGCGCGGTACCTACTCACCCCAACAAGGAGGCAGTTCTTGCAACGGTATTTGGCATGTTCTTTGCAATCCGTGCTGTGTGGCTTCCAGTTTGCACATGGAAACTGAGAGGTTGCCATCTCTGCCCCTTCTAAGTGAGCTGAGCCGAGTCAAGTTGCAGATATATGTATACCAGAGCTGTCGACGATCGAAATCAATAGAGCCAATGATGACTACCCAGATACTTTATCGGGTACAAGGAGCATGACACTAGATAGAGTTGCAATATGAGTAGGGAGAGTGTTGGGATGCCAGGTCGTGCAGGGACAGGCGCATGTAATAGCCAGCTGCCGGCGACGTTGTTGGGTCGCAAGGCTCCAGCCTTACCTTCAATTCACTCGAGCTGGGCTTCCCGCCCGGATGTTGGTTTCCGTACCTCACTTAGGCTAAACACTTATTGACCTGTCAGGTCTCTCGGACCTGATATCTGGTGCATTCATATGTAGGCCTCCCGCAGAAGGATCTAGACACATGCGCGCATGTACATGGTTGCTCATCGACATCTCGGTTTGTGATGCAAAAGCACCGATAAAAATGACTAATTCCTGCGTAATCTTGACAGCAACTACTTGTTTTTACTATGGTAAGGATCAAATAGGAATCCCTTTCGAATCGCCTCAACAGCAATGCCAGAATAGTGCTGAAGAAGATGGTTGAAGTGAGTGTACATACCTAGGTATAGAAGGCACGTTGGGGCTTATGCCACCATGACAATTAATCTATCGAGTCCGCTCTCAATCATGCCAAATGTATACATTTGAGGATATGTGTAATATAGACGACTCGAACGGCGTCTTAAAACTTTGGAGCACCACTCTCGCCCTCTCGCCTAGCCATCAATGCTTTCAACATCTCCTCCATCTTCCCCCTGATAATCGTCTCCGTCTCATTGTGACCCTTCTCCTCTGCTAAATCCAAAGGTATTTTGCCCTGATAATCCTCGCGCAACACATCCGCCCCATGCTTCATCAACAGCCGCACACAGTCAACATGCCCATTCAGAGCAGCCAGATGCAGCGGCGTCCTTGCGTTGGCATCAACACAATGCACGTCTGTAGAGGCCCCCAGCAGGGCCTCGACAATTTTGGTTTGCCCTGACAACGCTGCATAGTGCAGAGCACTTCGCCTCTTTTCCAGATACCTGCCGTTGACGTCGTAGCCAGCTTCTATCAACCTGAGCGCAGTCATGGCCGTCTTGTCTCGAATCGCTCGCACGAGTGCAAGCCCGTCCTTTTTTGCTCCATTCTCCAACAAGAGATCCACGCATGCCTCATCCGCATTAGACAAAGCAATGACAAGAGCGATGGACATACCATCAAAGCCAATCCCTTGGCTTATCAGGAACCGTGCAACCTCTATCTTGCCGTGGAAAACCGCTCTGCACAGCATATGGCCGCCTCTCCTAGTGGGAGCTCCCCTTTCGATCAAAAGCTTGATCGCGTCGAGATACCCTCCGGCGCAGGCGGAGCATAGTGCATTATGTCCCGCTTTCTCTATCGACACCGAGAAAAGATCCAGGAGAAGATTTATAGACTCACAGTGTCCTCTACCAGCCGCGGTTATGAGAGCTTCCTCCGCAACCTTGTGGCCTCCGTAATTCTGCTTCGACAAAATGGTGATTAACTCGGTGTCATTTTCCCTGGCCGCGTCTACGATTGGCTCATTAAATGTGTCGACATTGAAGACTCGATTCGCATCCGCGTTACATTTGGTAAGGCAGTCTATGAGGTCCTGCTTTTTCGACAGCACGGCGTACCACAAAGGATTGACATTGAGTCGGGTTATTTCCATGTTCCGGCCGTCGTTGATGCCAGGGTACGAGCATTTGTAAAGATACTCGGCGACTTCAATCCAGTTCATTTGACAGACCACCCATATTGGACTCGCTGGTGAACCAGCTGCCCACTTGAGGTCTTGACTTTGGTCCGATGATCGAACAATCTTGCTGATCAGAGCACTCCATACTCGAAATGCCCTGGAGACCTTGTAGACTGAGTCGACAAGTTCGTCATTCTTCTCCAGCATGAATGCCTTAATGAGACTGGCTAAAGGGCTCTCAAATCGCCGTTCGGAGCTCTTATCAATGTGCATTGTCACCCATGTCGCAGCATACTCGCTTGGTTGGCCGTAAACATCATCAGATGATACCACTGCGAGGATCTCGACGCTCATACCTCTCAACTCATCGTCTTTGAGGTGCTCCGCCCATTTGGCAATCTTTCTGATTGTGCTCTCCGAATCTTTCTCATAATTCTGGTGCGTAGGATCTTCGGTGCCAGTCTTCCGGCTTGCATCGTCTTCTTCCGTGTCGTCCTTTTCCGTGTCGTCCTTTTCCGAGTCGTCTTCGTCATCTTCGTCATCCTCGCCACTCTTCTTCTTTTGCTCATCGGGGCCGTCGTCTTCCTGACGTTTCTCAATGTGTTTCACAACTTTCTCTCGTAGTTCAACCCCCCGATTGTCAATTAGGGCCATATTGAGATATCTCAAGCACGCGGCCGCGATGGCGGCATGGGCTGCGTCCGGTTGATAGCTGTGTATCCCTCGGTTGTGCAGTCGCTCAAAAAACTCTCGAACAGACAAGTGCACAAAGTCAAACGAGTTTTGCCGAGTGACGATAAGATTTGAGCAGACATCCAAGACTTCATCGCCGGAGAAGGCGGTTTCAGATTGTAATGTCGACTCTGTGCATGCGAGCACAGCCAGGGCTTCAATGGAGATGGATTCCTGCGCGTACAGTAGCCATTGGAAGGTGAAGTTGGCGAGCCCAAAAGCATGGTCTCCAGCCTCCCGAATCTCTTGATAAATTTCCCAGTACGATCCCTCAAGTGTCGCTGGTAAAGTGCCGAGACGTGCCTTCAAATCCGCAGCCACCTTAACCCTCTTCAGCGACTGGATCTGAAGGTCAACCCATCGAAACCTGTTGAAGGGTCTGGTTAGTCATAGCAAGCTACACAGAGTATTTGAGTATTGAGTTGTACTGGTGACGCACATTCCCTTAGCTCCCTCTTGCAGCGTGTGAGCGATTTCCTCTCGTAGACTTGGCGTAAGCTTTCCGTGCAACAGCTTTGCGGATGTAAGTTGAGTGTCACTATAAGTTTAGATCAGCAAGGTCCTCGAAGTGGATCAATATGCCTCGCACATGAATGTTGAGATATCCTCCGCGTTGTCATCGGCTTCAATGTAAATATTCGGCGCATTGCTGAGCTGTAGGGCAATGTCGTAGTTGCTTCTGCTGGAGATGAACACTCTAACAAGAGAGTTTGACTTCTTCAGGATACAGTCGAGTGCATCCAAGAGGTCCTGTCTGTCCGCTTGGTCCACCTCGTCCAAGGCATCTAGAACAAGGGTTACAGCAGGATACTCGTCGACAAGTCGCAGCAAAACATCGACACACTCGTCCGACGTCCATGCCTGGTCCTCGAAGCCTACGAAGCCCTCGATGGCCTCCTCGTAGTGCTCTACCACAGGTGGCAAGATCGGAGCGCTTGGTGTAAGACTTGCCAGTTGGCGAACAAAACTTGCAAGGATTTTGTCGCATTGTGCTCGGTGTGGCTCAGCCGGATTTCTCAGGCAGTAGAAATAAGCCAAATGTTCCTTGCCTTTGATTTCGTCAACAACTAGAGACGCCAGCTTGGTCTTGCCAGAACCAGGAATCCCATGAAGCCAAAGCACAGAAGAGAAGCTACTCTTCCGCCAGTCACTATAAGCCGGCTTGCTGAGAAGCCACCTGCCGGAGCCCTCTAAGCGTCCTTTGCTGGCGGTTTTGTGGTGACTGCCATATGGTATAGTGGAAATAGCCCTGAGGATCTGTGCCCGCATCTGTTGCTCAATGCCATCTTGGATCTGTTCGAGGCGTTTGTCGATGCGATTGATGGGTTGGTTCAATTGTTTTATGGCATCTTTAAGAGACTGCATCTCCACTTTGTCTTGTTCCGTTCTCTGTTTGAGATGCTGCTCAATTCCATGGATACCATCAACAACAGTCCCCAAGTCTTGAGCTTCTGCCATCTCCGCAAGGCGCCTAAATTCGGCTTGCGCAGATTCGACGGGCTCGTATCTGGCCTTCATATCGCCCTTGGAAACGACGACGCTCTTGAGTATCCGTACTGCCGTGCTCAGGCCGAAATAGTGTAGAGTCCCTGCCAGGTAACCAAGGATAGCAGTATAGAGGTCTGTTATGGACTCGGAAAGTCGACCAAACAACTCGCTGCTAATAAGAGCAGATTCGATGAGCATTTATGCGTATACCCTGCTCATAACGCAGAAGAACGCACTCACCTTGACTTTCTCCTATCAACAAGATATATCATCTCGATGATCTGGCACTGGGCGACAAGATTGCTGATGTTCTCCAGCGAGTTAATGACATGGCCAAATACTTCGATGTCGTTGACGGTGACCTGCATGATGAGCCGCACAGCTGCCCATGGTAGTGCCATATGAGACGTGTCATATTGAATGATAACGTCCCCAACAGCCTAGAACCAAGTCAGTGATGAGTATACATTGTGACTGACATTTACGCACCAGGAGCTTCTGAACCCAAGCACTAATTTTTTCAAGCACGTCTCTCAGAATGACAGTCTGCCCTTTGATGGACAGCTTCCATCTCTTCTTCAAGCACTCTTCCTTTCGCTTGTTGGTGGCTACGAGCACGTTGGACAGGACAGATTTTGGGTCATCTATGCTCTTCGATGCAAGCTCAAACTGTGCTTGATCCTCTTTGCTCAGCTTCTGCAACGCCTTTGCCCACCTGCTCGCAGACTTGCTGTCCCTGGCTTCTTTCTCGTCGGATGTAGATAATGAGACGGCTTCATCCACATCCACATTGGAATCCGCTGCTATTTCCGCTTCGCCCATCTTTTTCTTGGCGCCTCGTTTACTTGGTAGCGATATGAGGATTCAGGACATTCAAGAAGCGATGTTTGCTGTAGCCAAGCGATGCAAAGCGGGGCATCACGGAGCGGCTGTAGCCTGGCGGTCGATCATGCTGGAGGGGAGGGTCGTTGCTGTGTAGGCGAGGCGCAATAGGTGCAAATATGGACATCTTGAATCGGCCTCCAATAAGAGGGCGAAGGATCCGGGTTGATGACACTAAGTAGCAGGGTTGATGATTGAGGCAGAGTCCAAGGCTGACATGTCCATCTTAACGACGGCTTGGAGTCGAGTCCGAGATTCATCACAAATTTTGCGGTCCTTCTGTTTATCCATATTTCTTTCCGAATCCTCCCTACAGAAGGCACGAACGCTGTGTTTGCGTGTTCATCACTACAGGAAGGTATGCCCGGTCGAGGTGTGAATGGAAAGAGGGGGGAAAGACAAGGGTCGCATCTGCCTAACTTTATAAGACGCATAGAATCGGCGATAAAACGGAAAAAATGCCCCTATGGCTCAGGGGTAGAGCGTCGCACTCGTAATGCGAAGGTCCATAGTTCAAATCTGTGTGGGGGCACATTCCTTTTTTCTTTTTTTGCCTTTTCTTTTCTGCCTTTTCAATAATTATTCTCCAATCTTTTCAATTCGTTATTTTTCAAGATGTAATATTTCCTCTTAATTTGCGTTCAAAGTCAGAGGGATGGTTGGTGTAGTATCCGAATCCACCCTCTCTATCGTCGTCTCTCCAGCCTCCTTTGTGGTTGGCTTGATGTAGAATGGCGAGAGCAATGAGATACTCGATGTAATCGAATGCTTGCACAGGCCCTTCGAGGTAGTCATCCTCTAGTGTGGTAAATTGAACTCTCGGACTCATTCTAACTCTGGCTATTCTGATGCTTGAAACCTTATATAGAATATGTCTAGCAGATCTGAAATAAGTGACAGCTACTATGGATCTTAGTAGAAACTTCAATTCCACCAGGTATTGAGAATGATGCTCTAACCAAGCGCTTTGATACCTTACGAATAAACGCGTCCCCAGAGCAGGAAATCAGACTGTTAGTGAAGAGACACCTATGCCAAGAACAGCCCGTTCACATAATTGGAAAAAGCAAGTCGCGATGCTAATCCGAGAAGCATTCTTCACTTGATGGGCATCTGCTACTACATCATGCTCTGTTGTATGCTACTCAACTCGGCATCTCGATAGACTTAATAAGTGACCAGCCTGGATCAGCTCGGAAACCATCAAGGAGAGGCAATTCTTTGAACAAGTCCCATCAGCTACAAAGATCACAGTCCGGCTAATCATTCTATATTTTCTACTTTGCATATCTCTTTGGAAGTCCCGAGCTCAAACTTTGCTGTTCGAGTTCTGCTAGCAGATACGTCGCCTTCATTGTGGACTTCCGGGAGATAGTGCTGATGCGCTACGGCGCGACCATGGACTTTGTCGGGCTAATGGCTGTACCTTCCTTCTCATAGGTCACGAAGGGTGCAATTTGTTCTGGATCTTTCCTGAGTACGGGAACGTCTCAAAACGCGATGAGCAAGCAGCACGGTAGATCTGATAGAAGCGATCGCGGCTCAAGTTACAAACCTGCTACTTACCATAGAACAGTATATGCTAATGCCCCTTATACCCAATTGTCCACCAGAAGCAAAAGTATTGACTCCTGAAGAGAACTCGAAGTCTGATTTCATCATCATTTGAATGACAGGGTACTGAGATTCTCAGGCCTGGATACTGTCCTTGACTGTGTTTACAGTTTCTGTCGCTATGGCGGCATATCTGCGGCATGTGCTGCTTGTACAAAAAGAAAGGGGGGATGTGGGATGGGATGTGGGTTATACACTGATTCCAAGCATACTTGGGCAGTATCGTCGTCATCTTTTTGGAATCATCTCCTTCACGGCGCTTTTCATGCAGATGTCTGCTGGGGAGTTTCAGCTCGCCGCCGTGGTCGAAACTTCTATCCTGGCTGCATAAATCAAGATTTTGCGAACGAGCATTTTGGTCCTCATGACTTTAATCTCAAATGTTGGCTTTGTGATGGTATATGCCAAAACTTCTGATCAGAGCTGGTTACACCCAGGATGATCTTTTATCACAACTACGTCTGTGGCCAACATTCCCCTGCGATTCAGCCTCATCAAGCCAAACTTGGGAGAATTTGTAGGGACATTGACTATTCCGGGCATGATCTTTTGTTGCGTATTGCACCGGTAACACGGTTAGTTCACCGTCCATTTCCACAGACGGAATCCCGAGGTATGTCGTAAGTTGTGACTCCATACTCGTCTATGAAAGGGCGTCCTCTCATAGTCTCTCTATCAACCGAGGTGATGCAGCGATGTACTCGAGCAACGCTGATTGCCTATGGATTGATCCCTGTGTTCTCTTCATATTGATCGTTTATTACATCTCCGAGGATAAGCGAGGCGAAACGAAATATGGCTTGCCGGCCAATACCTCGGATGAGGAGTGGGAAGCCGACATGTCGAACAAGTCTGGCCGGGGAACTGGCAAAATTCCAATACGTCTTATGAAGTCTGACTCGTCGCACTCTCATTTTATGACCACCAATGATTCATGTGCTAGTCTCGCCCTTGGAATAAAGCGAGGGGTTGTGGATTTTGATCGGACATTTCAAGTTCTTCAAGCCTTCAAGTTAAGGCGGAGAGTGTCCTGCGTGTGATCGGATATAATGGAAACATCGCCGGCGTCGGATGATTCGATTTCCTCCGTATGCCAAACGGAGATGACGAGAAAAAAATCCCAAGACACTTGGATCACGCTGAAATGATGTTACTCGGTGACAGGAATTGATTTAGCGTTGGGTTCATAATCATTACGGATCGCGAAAATGCAGGACGTTGAGAAAGTAAGACGCCAGATTGAGTGACAGAAGTCTGACAAAAGTCCGACTTTCCGCTGCTGATGATGGCGTGTGTGCTGTAGATGGGCTCTTTCACGCTGTGAAAGCTGTACGGTGGATAGGCAAATGTGTGAGGAAAAGAAGAGCTGATGAGTAGATATTTCGAGATCTGAGAAGAGGTTTATACAATAGGTGATTGGGGGTTACCACCCCTGATTAGAATCGCCTGGTGATGCAGAGGGTAGCAGATCGGAAACAAGCTGGCGGTCCGAACGACGAGATTATGGCGGTAGGGTTACAAACAACGGCCCCTGTGGCGATCTAGTTTGGGGGGCTAGATTGGTCGTGGAACAATCGGTAGAAGAAGTCGGCAAAGGAGATTTTCTATATCTCAGCTGAGGCTGACCCTTTAATGCTTCGTTTACAGGAACGAAGCAGACTATCCGTGTGATGTGTAGCAGCCTTGGGGAGAGGCGGACGCCAGACGACTGCAACTCCGGTACTTTGGGTGGTAGCAAAACAAGCAGCAACGCCATTTCATGGGCTTGGGTGAGTTGTAAAAGGTGGCTGAGACTAGAATCTGCCTTGCGGCTTCTACCCCGGAGATATCAAACACACTTTATAGTCTATAAGACAGCCTCATGCCCGATAGCAACCCCATAATGGCGCGACATCACCATCCGCTTCTATTATTAAGCTGTCAAACGCGTGCTCTCCCGTCCCTCTCCCCCCCACAGCATCAAAGGCCCTTCAGCTCTAGCATCGCCTTGGCGGTTTATGCTGCCGCGACGAGTCTAGTGTCGTATAGGACTTCCCCAATCAGCTCGCCGGCTTCACCTCCCTCGGTCTTCGGCTCGTCATGCCGGTCCGTACGAGCGGCTCCACAATATGTCAACGCCCTTTGGCCATCGCCAGCTAAAAGCGTTGGCCTCTCGGCTTATGCTTCTATCCTGAACCAGCGCGTTCGTCGTGTATTGCCTATATGGGACATCTGAAGCGCTCTGAGCCAGAGACACCATGAAGGTTCGGAAGTTGACCGTCTGTCATACTTGCAGGGCACGGAAGCTGGGGGTGAGTGGTCAATTGAGCAACTGAGATTATGCCCGGTTTGGTGAGAATGTTGTCAACCAGTTTCCTCTGCCAACGACTATCTATACCTTTTCTCATCTTACACCTGACATACATGACTTGTCTCGGAATTTCTTACTGAATCTGGTCTTTCCAGTGCGACGGAAAGCGTCCTTCGTGCTCGCAATGCGCAGGAACCAAGATCAAATGTGGAGGCTATCAGTATGACCTCGTCTTCATACCATCACAGCTATCCATAGGGGCATCGGCGAAATCCAAGACACGTAAAGACGGAAAAATCACAAAGAAGGAACGCGAATGCACGATTACACGAACGGATATTCCGGCGGACACTTGCGACGATATATTCCACGACACGCGGCTGATAGCCAAACATGCAGCCCCGGTAGTGCGGCCATCCCTGGCCTGGCCCTTCCAGGACATCATCTCGCTGGTTGTGCAAAACTTCTCCCCGACTGTGCTGTCCAGCAACTCAGCATTCATGAACTGGGACGTCGATATTCACCCTCGGGTGTGTGGAGCGTGGATCGAGCTTCTGCCGGTCCTGTCCCTGACTCGGCGATATGAGATGGCGCTGTCTTCATCGGTCAAGGCCCTTGGCGTATCCATTCTGTCCAGGGGTCGCAACGGAATAGCGCCCATCTCGGACGCTCTGACGGCACATTGTTCCGCATTGCATTCGCTGCATGACAGCCTGCATGACATCACGCATACTGCAGATTCAGACGTCTTGGCCGTGGCCATCATGTGCCTCATGATCTCAGAGGTATGTGCTGAACTCTTCAGCTTCTATTTTCCTTGCATCCCCCATACCGTACCTCCTATTGCCAACGGACTAACGAATTCTGCTGTTTATAGATCATCCTGCCGACTGCCGTCTCTAGCAGCTCGGCCCATGCGGCTGGCTTGAGTGATCTGATCCAGCTGCACAGCCCTGAAGCCTATTCGACCGGACCGTCTCATAGGATATTCATTGGCCTCCGCCCTGCCATGGTATGAACCGTGCGCTCGCCTCGTCACTGGATTCATGATAGCTGACTGTTTCAATAAGATTATTCACTCGATTCGCACCAAAAATCCCACGTTTCTTGCCTCGCCTGAATGGCGCACTATCCCGTTTCAATATGTCGAGGCAAACTCTTTCCATGCCCTCATGACAGAAGCCACAGCAATTCCATCTATTCTAGTCGATATTGACAGACTCAAATATGGCTCCCCCAATGCAAATGCGCCCCGCGCGGTTTTGGAAGATCTGAAGAACCTCCTCGATGCCCTTGTCAACTGGAATGTTTCCTTCCAGAGCCTCACAAACAAGCCATCCTTCCGCGTCCTGGGCAAAAGCCCCGAAAAAGCCCATATCTGGTTTCCTGATATCACCACAGCGAACTCCATGACGCATTACTGGACGTTCTGGATAATGTGCGTCGTCTACATCAGAAAGCTAAGGGAAGATTACCCGGAGCTACGAGACGAGGAGCTGTTGATCAATGGAGAAAGCCCGGAGAGCCCACTCATCACTGAAATGGCGATTCAAATGTCTACTTGGATTTTCCAGAGCATTGAATATCTGGTACAAGACGAGATGAGGCTGTTTGGAGCAATATCTGCGACACTACCGACGCGGATAGCCTACCAATTTCTTCGGTATAATCATTTCTACGACCAGGAACTGATATCGTGGTGTGAACGGGTAATTGATGGCATCCGAGATCGAGGGTACGATTATATTGCACAGTATATCGTGGATGATGATGGAGTTTGATGGCAGTGGTGAGAGAGCAATTGAATCCATTTTCATGCTACACACAATAACACTTATACATAGTTTGTATAGCTCTCAAAGCATGCTTACGAAGCTCTACATCTTCTAAATACCTAGAAAAGACCCTTGCGCTCACCACGAGGCAGCCACAATACCTTGTCACTAACACCAGCCTCCGCGAAAGCCTTGGTAGCCTCCTCCCTCCCCTCACTGAAGTGACCCCATCCCTCAAAGTGCATCGGCACAACCTTCTCGACATCGGCATCCTTGATGAGCTGAGCAGCCTGCTTGCCGTCCATGGTAATAGCCAAGGGCTCAGGTGCGCCCACCTCAACAGCTGCACGGCCGAGGTTGAGCAGAGCAAGGCTGATGTGGTACCCCTTGAGGCTGTTGGCAACATCTTGGTTGTAGATGGTGTCTCCGGAAAAGAAGATGGCGTTGGGAAGGCCGTTGGTGGTGCCAAAGTCGGGCGATGTGACAATGAAGCCAATACACTCGCCCTGAGGAGCGTGCTCAGCCGGCGTAGCAATGATCTCAAAGGTCTTGCCATTCGCGACGAGGGTTGTCTTGTCACCAGCATTCATGCCAGTGACAATGGCCTTGTTCCCGATGTTCTTGGCGCCATCCTTGGTGGTGAAGACTTTCTTGCCTTCGAGAACCTGGCGGCCGATCTCGTCGAGATTGTCAGGGTGGTCCTCGTGGCTGAGGAGGACAGCGTCAATGGGAGGAAGGTCTGCAGGCTTGATGGCAGGATCTTGAGAGACTTTGAGCAAGACAACTTGGAGGTCCCATTCGGCGCCAGAGGGGGAAAAGAAGGGGTCTGTCAAGAAAGTGACATTGTCGATCTGGAGGAGGGCAGTGGCTGTGCCGATGTATGTGACACTGACGGAGCCCTTGAAGGTGGACATTATGGCCAGCTTGTTGTGAATTGCTTGGATAGAGAGACCCTCTGAGGAGCTTGTAGCTGTTGTTTGAGTACTTGTTCCGTTTACGAGAAGAAAAGAGCCGTTATTTAAACTTGATTTCGGAGATTTGACAACTCCTGCCCCGGACGCAACTCGGGAGACTTACCTAAAGCCTCCAAGTTGTAACAACTATCACGGCGTTTACAATTCCAAATATCACATATGTAAGCATTCTGTAATAACCTTATAGATGAAGATTCTCACAATATTACTCGATTCATCCAATTATCGTCTCTTTCCCCGCCGTCCTCGAACAAGAGCATCGTCGTGATGTCCTGACTTACACCATATGCAAAAGTCTTGGCGGATAATGTTACCGTAAGAGGTTAGCGTCTTGGGTTGCCCACGACTCAAGTCCAGGGGGACAACTCGCGATTGCACAGTCGGTGACGTTGAGATTTGGAGACTTTCGAAGATTTTGTTGAGCTTTATTAATGCATTATTAATTGAGGTTGCAACGAAGTTGGTCATATGGAAGAGGAGAGGATGTTGGGCTTATAGGGTCGGAGAGTTACTGTACCATGTGTTATATGAGCGTGATTCCCGCAGTTGAAAGTGATAACAGCCGAGTCTTGAGACACAAGATATAGATAGAGACTTGTTGAACTTGCTTAGGGGCAAGCTACTCTACTCCAGCTCCTTCTATCAAGGCAGACGCTATACTCCTGATTCGTTACACCTCTTCCGTGACTGAATGGCGACGGAAGTCATATCGAACTGTTGATTATATGAGACTTCTTATTTTAGTATAACGACTTTTGAGCCTCTGACATGCCGGTGAGTTAATGAGATCAAGCTTTTTCTTTATGTCACGAAACAAAAGTAGTACTTCATGGTCCAAGAGAGCCAGTTAGTTCAGAAAATAGACGCTTTCGTATGCTATCGTTTGCTATCGCTGATGATCAGAAAATCAGATACGCAACACCGTTCCAGCCCAGATGAGTGTCCTCGGAGGCTCAGGCTCTCCCTCCTCAGCCATGTCCATCTTCCAGTCATGCATCAGAACAAGTCCCGGTTCCACCGCAAGATATCCCTCCATGATCTTCTTGATGTCGTCCATTGTTCGCATAATCAGCGGCGTAGGCGTCCTCGCATAAGCATCGAGAACTTCCTTTATAGCATTCTCGTTCTGGTAGTCCAAAACGCCATGACTGAAGCCTACTAGGCTCCCTGGAGCAAGATCTTCGTGGAGTTGCTTGAGAATAGCGCGGTCGGTGGGTATATCGAAGAAGTGGAGGAGCCCCATCATCACCACGCCGACCGGCTTGGAGAAGTCGATGAGGTTGCGCGTTTCGGGGTGGTTCAAGATGGGCTCCAACTCCAGAACCGATCCTTGTATGAATGCCGTGGAAGGATCTCCGTTGAGTATCTGTCGACCTTGAATGACAGCTGCATCATCAATATCCACATACACGACACGAGCGTTAGGGTTGACTCTCTGAGCAACCTGGTGTGTGTTGTCTGCACTTGGTAGCCCAGATCCGATGTCGATGAACTGTTCGATTCCCTGGAAGCACATGTATCGAATCACGCGGCGGAGAAAGTGACGTCCTTCTGCGGCGATTTCGAAGATGTTGGGGAGTGCCTGCTTGACTGCTGCGACGGCGGCTCTGTCCGACTCGAAGTTGTTCTTTCCGCCAAGATAGAAGTCATACTTCCTAGATCTTAGTATGGCTGGACTCTCTTGAATCATATTTGAGCTCATACCATTCGAGCGACAGAGGGCCGCGAAACATCGATACCTCTTGGGGGTGCAGAATCCATGCTGACTTGATCTGGAAGATAGGAACTGGATGTTTCTCGTCAAGACTTTGCTTTGTTTCCTCAGGAGGAAGGGGTAGTTTGATTCAGAGCAAACAACCGCAATAGTACTTGGTAAAAGTATAGTATCTTAGAACTGCTGCAATTCTCTGTTGGCTTGTCCACAACTCCATTCACAACTTTCTATACTGGATCATGAGGACGAGATCTTTATAGTAGTGAAACGACCGAATTACGTCAACATCGTCAATTTGTCTTCAATTGCCTAATGCCCGGGTATCTGGTGAGCCATCGCCGCGGAAAAGTGCATCTAAACCTGCAAGTGCTTATAACTGCCGCTGAAGTCCCGTTCTAGCGCTCACATCAGACCCAATGCGTGGAGAGTATCTAGTAGCTTCCCCATATTGCGCTGCGCTTAAACGGGACGGCTATCCATATAGAGTCTCGAGTTTAGGAAGTCGGGCATCCGACAGCCTGTTGTTCCGTCCAATCGTGAACAGTTCCGGTTCGTGTTTGATCAATGAGACAACCTCACCACTGTAAGTTTGCTAGACAAAGAGCATATGATTATTGCTTTGAGAAAGTAAAAGCACACAATAGGAACGTGATAGGAGTAAAAGCTCCTAATAGGAGGTGACATCTATGATGGTCTGCATCATAGAAGTATGGTGATGTGTCATGTAACATCGGCGTTTCCAAGCAGTTGGTTAGGCAGCTTATTGTGATCATGCCCAAAGACGAGACTGGCTTTCAACTTGAAGCCTGCCCTACTAGGCTCAGACTACGTGATAACCTCTGATTTCATCTGACAACTCCATGTTGACGATTCACACTAAGAAATGACAGCTCATAGGGCTGCGTAAGCGAGACAGTCAACGCCTACTTCATGCAGCTTCACGCTCATTCACGGCTTGAAACAGCTTGGAACAAAGCATCATCTCAATGAAGGACCCCCACCAAAGGTCTTCTAGCAGGTCGAACGATGGCCAATTAAGCTTGCTTATGTAGCTTATGCCCTTTTCTGGCCCTTCGATGAAACCCCGTTCTTGGACTCCGATAGACTAGTTTCCCAAAATGGGGGTCTTGTTCCCGCTCGCCAACGCTGCAGAGGCCGTGAATATTTCCGCATCGAGTACAGTTGCGGGCGACATGGAGCCCGTTGGAAGTGAACCAACATTCTCAATAAGCCTTAACCGGAAACTCAACACCGTTATGCACTGTGACATTGTGTAGGTGGATGACAAGCAAACGAGCAAGTTGAGCTTCACTGGTGATATCGGCTAATTCGGCTATGGTGCGACCAACCGATGTTGAACAACTGGTCTGGTATTCTGGAAAGACGCCAACCACTATGCAACTTGGCATAAGATATCACGAGATTATCCACCGGTATATTACCAGCGATGTAACGCTCACTTAAAGTCTCACGAAAGTTCGCTTTAGATAGTGCTTGAGTAAGCTGGTATAAATATATCTATATAATCTATGCAACTTTGCTGCAGACAGATGTATAAGCAATACCTCAAATTAGATCAAGCAACTGTGAAATACGTGTCTCTTCGAAACCACAAACAAACAGCTTGGGCTTCTTACTTACTCTCTTGCTGGTCACATCTTTCCAATGTGGGCAACCCAAGTGTAAGAGTGAGGGTGAATCATGGTATTCCGAGGAGGATGTTCAAATAAAGTACAAGCCTGCGTCACGTCGGTATTCCTCGAAATGTTCAATGAGGTTTTGACGGAGAATAGTTCTTAGACTGAACTGGATGTTCTGGCCAAAAGGACCTAGGAATATACGAATGCATGAAGTCCCCCTCTTTTATACGTCTATTCCTTAATCTTCCTTGCAGGTACCTTATATACAAGTCGGCAGGTGGGCTATCCTAAGCCTTCTTCGTAAATAATACTACTTCTCAACCGCTTGTAAGCTACAAGTTTCCTCGAGACCACAGGAACCTTGGGCTTCCAACTCCTCCATTGCCGGATAAATATCTCCGGATGTAGGTGATTAGAGTGTGAGGGAATGTGTAATTGCCGTCGGAGTTTCACAATAGTAACGTACAAATCTGCGCCACATAGTCTTCGGGAATTTCATGATAATCTCTTGACATGAATATTTTACAAGAAACAATGAGGCCTCTTTTGCCACAAGTGGCAAGTCATATACGACCTGAAACCGCTTCTATCTTATTTTCCAAAACCTTTGTACAGGTATATACAAGTCGGCAAGTGAGCTATACCATTCCTTCTTCGTAACTGATGGTTTTTAGTCATCCAAGCCAGGGCAGTTCTCGGACGTAATGCTAGTAATGTTATCATAAGGAAGAGGGTCGGTCCAGATCAAGTTAAACGAATCGTCAGGATAATCGGGGGCCTTCTTGTCGCCCAGAGACTTGGCAATGTTAGTAAGCTCGCTGTGCTCCCAGCTACTGAGGTGTTAGTTCAACGTCCCAGAAGCGGTGGGCATGTATATCCTACCAGATGAGAATGTTGCCAGAGCCCTTGTAGTCATCGACAAGGTCCGCAACGCAGTCGGACTTGGTCTTGCCGCAGCTTGTGTCGACGGTCAAACCAAGGTCATTGGCCAGAGGAGTAACGGTGTTGAGAGCACGAATCCGCTTTCCATCTGCATTCAAACCTGTTAGCTAATCCGACGTCCAGCACAGTTATATCGCACCAAGATCATGGTGATCCAGATTCACATACCCTTGGGCTTCTCGGCGATGATGTACTGAATGTTATACTGGGAGCCGGCACCGAAAACGTTCCTCAAGCACTGAGCGCGCTGCACTCCCTGGGCGCTCAAATTGGGATCGTCGTCGTCAGCGGGCTTCTCGCCGTGTCGAATGAAGTAGACGGTCTGGGCGGTAGCCAGCGCGGCTCCCCAGAGAAGAAGAAAAGCGGCCTTCATTTTTTTACAGAACAGGAAGATTCACTTCTACAAAGCCTGATGATCTGTGCTGCCGTGTGAGGAATGAGCTGTGTTCCAACAGGGACGCAGGCAATATTTATAGGCTCCGAGTTTCATGTTGCATACCAGGGGGTTATGCTCGAATGAAACGCAAGAGTCGCTCTTTCGGCTCGACATTGCCATTGTTTCCTTCTTGATGGAGATGTTTCGGCCGGTACACGGAGCTGCGCTTCTGCGCTATATCAAAAACGCGACCGATGCTCCGCGGCGTCGTCGAGCAAACGGGGAAGATCGTCGTGAGGGTAAGGTTTCGAGAGGATACATAGAATCCACTGTTGCTGATGTGCAGGTGCCGGTGAAGCCATTCTGAGTATCCCTGTATGGATGACCCTGTAACTGGAGGTTTCACGACCCCATTTGCCGTTGGTTTGGACATCAACTTCATTGAATCCTTGGGAAGATGAAGCCAATCAATGAAAGCCCAACAAACCACAAATTGAGCTCTTTTTGTAAACGCAAGCTTTACCGCCGCAACAACATTGTCTATAGCGGCAACGGCGCCTCAAGACCCCTGCAATCCCGCCTCGATCAATGCAGATTTCCTTCTCTCAGATCCTAGGCTAATCAGGATCCCTCGGCTCGTCCCATGTTAGCCTCACGCGGGAGAAAACCATGTCCGCCAAGCACGGGGATGCTACGCTGCATCTTATTGGAAGAAGTTTCACTTGGCAACATGCCGATATAAGAGTCTCGGTAGACGCTTTGGGAAAGCCATACAATACGCCTCACACGACGTGTTGATTGACATATGAAGTATATGAATTCGATTTGAAGTGAAAATGGCTATCAAAACATCAACATTTCCTACTCATACCTCTTGTCAAAGTCCGCCCGCGCCCTCTCCGCAACCTCGTCATCAAGCAACACCCTCAAAGCCAGCATCGCCATGCCCTTGCCGCTCTTCATCGCCACCTCGTGCGCCTCATCCGTACCCGCAGCAGCGGCAAACTCACGGCTGTGCAGCGAGACGTTTGGTCCCGTCTCGATGCCAAAGCCGCCATGAATACCAGGCACCACGTGCGTCACGTTGCCCATGTCGGTCGAGGCGTTGAAGCTCTCAGGTAAAGTGATTTCGACCTTTTCGCCCAGCTTGCTCATGTCTTCGACATATGCTTTGCATAGAGTGGGATTGGAGATGACGTGCTCGTACGTCGCGGCTCTGCCCAAATGATCAGTAGGAGGGCCAAAAGCGTAAAAGTAAGCCTTCAACACTCACGGGATATAGTTGACTTGGCAACCAGTTGCCGCTCCTGCTGCCTCTATGCAGGCCTTTACCCTCTTCACAAGCAATTCTCCCCGTTGACTGGTCGGACTCCGGATATACCAGTTCATGCGCGTGTAATCAGTAATGACATTGGGCACCGTGCCGCCCACCTCGATAACGCCATGTATCCTCTCGTCAGGCCGAATCTGCTGGCGCAGCATGGAGATGTTGTTATACGCCGCCACAGCAGCGTCCAACGCGTTGACGCCGTTCCAAGGCTCGCCAGCGGCGTGTGCCGGGACTCCCCTAAACTCAACCCGGAACTTGTGGCTCGCGATGAGGTTGAATCCCGCCACGCCAGAGACGCCGCTTCTTCCCCCGTAGTTCATGAGATTGACAGATATCGGGTGAGCCATGATCGACGCGGCAATGTCCTCGGCGGGACTGAACGCACCCGCGTCAATCAGCTTTGCCTTGCCGCCGCCTCCCTCCTCGGCAGGCGTCCCCAGGATCCTCAACCTCCCCGGGGCGCCCAATTGAGACAGCGCGTGAGCCGCACCGAGGAACGCAGCCAGCGAAGAGGTGGCAATCAGGTTGTGGCCGCAGCCGTGTCCAATGTCAGGCAGAGCGTCGTACTCGCAGCAGACGACGACCTGGCGGCCTCCCGAGCCGATTGTGGCCTCGAAGCTGGTGTCCAGGCCCCACGTCTTGCGCTTCACGTCGAAGCCTAGTTTCTCCAGGAAGGCGGTGATTGTGTCGTGCGCCTGGAATTCATGGTAGGCGAGTTCGGGGTTCTCGTGGATGGATTTGTTGACGGTGCGGAGTTGCGGGTTGAGCTCGTCGAGGCGGGTGTTGACGAGCTGACGGGCTTGTTCAAGGTCAACCTTGGCCGCCATGCTGATAATCTAGTCTAACGTGCGTAGAATGATCCCTAAGAGAGCTGAATTCAGACTTTGCTGGAGATGGATCGTAAAGTCAAGATTGAGCAGTTTTATACACAGAGCACTACCCGCAAAACGATGTCATGGAGAGCACAGCTTCCTGTACAAAAGTGGGAGCTTCCTATCGGCTATACAATCTCACATCTTGATTGGATCTCTGCTCAATGAAACTCCATTCACGATTAGCGACCGTCGGCTTCTTAGTAGCTAGCGGCGTGCGGAGTCTCGGGCTCTGTGAAACCACCCCCAACCTTTGATTCTTGTGTGGCGCAAACAAGACAGAGCCAAGGCATATAAGCATCTTACTGCCCCGATCCGATCCGATCAATGTTTGACAGCGGCTGAGGCTGCCGACGGTCGGCAAACGCAGCCGCACGACGTTGGCCATGTGAACGGCTTCACAGCTTCAACACTACTCATGAAGATAGTAGTAATCTCGTAGGCCCGCAAAAGAGACCGATGACGCCCTTTCAGAAGCATCTTGTTCCTCTTCTCATCCGACTAACAGAGATGCGTTCTAGCTTCTATACATAGGTGAAGCTGTCAGACCTCAGATATCCCTGCCAACACGAGTCAAGCCCGCCCATCAGCAACATTTTGAATCTTCAACACCAACAAGGTCTCAGTGGCTGGCCATGGATCATGCCATGTCCACCACCGGCCCTCATCCTCAGAAGAGCCGCCGCCGCTCCAAAACGGGCTGCCACACATGCCGCATCAAAAAGGTCAAATGCGACGAAGCCCGGCCCCGCTGCGAGCGCTGCGTCCGTCTAAGACGGCTCTGCGACTACGAGCCCAAGATGAAGCACAACGACCTCCTGGCCATATCCCGGGGCTACATGCGGGCCCTCGAGAGCTCTAAGGCACTGCCGACGTGGGCTCGGCGCGCAGCGCTGACGAGGGCTCTGGCGCTTCCTATGTGTACTCGGCTTCCTGCGTTCCCTGGTAGTGCCAGTTCGCTGAATCTCACTTTGGCCGACCATGAGGCGATTCGGTATTTTCGGACTACGTTTGCGAGGATCCATCATACCAAGAATCCGGATTACTCGCTCTTTTCCATCATATTCACTCTGGCCCAAGATGAGCCCATGGTCATGCATGCGTTACTCGCTCTTGGGGGTCATGAGATTGAGTTCCGGCGACACAGCGCTTCAGATGGATCTGAAGACGGCTCTTCTCAGCCGGTAGAGCGGGATCGTAATAAATGGACGCCGCTTCAACATTATTCGGCTGCCCTAGGCCTCCTGGCCGATGTCATCGGAAATGCAGACGACGGCCGGCAGCTGGAGCTGGATCCCATCTGCGCAGTGCTCTACCTGATGCTTGTTTACGAGCAGAAGTACGGGAACGGGTCATGCTCCGGCCTGTCAAACCACCTTGCCGGAGGGGCCTTGATCGTGAAGCACTGCTGTCAGCGCCTATCCGAGCAAATAGCCAAGCGTGGATGGCAAGGTACGCCAGTTTTGGCTCGAATGCAGGCGCCGCAAAGTCATCAGCCGCAAGAGCCTGCTTTCTCGCTCTTCGTAATCAGGCTTCTTGTCTGGATTGCTCTCTGCGATGCCACAGCCGCCACCTTTGGACTTGGCGGCCAGTTCAACAGCGAGCTGAAAGACATCATGGCCCCAGACGATGCGTCGTCCATTTCGGGGTTTGACGTGCTGCACAGATACTCAAACTCGTTGTACCGCTCAATGTGGGGGGATGGGTATCCTCAGGTCGAACTGTTGGACGACGTGGAGAATCGTGACATCTTCGCCTTTCTGTGCGCGTCCATGCAGCTCCGGAGCATGGTGGCTGATATTTCGAAACTTGGTGCAGATGAGCTCCAGCTGCGATTACCAGCCGTTGAGTCGGCTTTCAGGCAGGTAGATCTGCGATACGGGGAGTTGCTTGAGGTGGCGTCGGATATATCACCATCGACGGATAACTCGCACCGTCTTGTGGCCAATATCCGTGCATTCGTCCCGATATATCATGCTGCCAAGCTCGATTTCTTGCGCGTGATCCGGAGATATGAGACAACGGCGACGATGGACATCGTACCTGAGGCTCATATAACAGCCATCATCGATCTGGCCATCCAAGCTGATAAGCACCAGGGAGTTGAAGGCACAATCAGAGTCGCATGGCCGCTCTTTGTCGTGGCTCTTGAGACCAACAGCGTGGTCCATCAACGTTGGATCCTCAGTCGATTTCAGGCCATGAGCAGCTACAGCAAGAATCTTGAGCGTGCCCACAGCTTTCTCAAAGAATATCTGGCTATGCCGCACGAGACGAGGGAAGATGAGCAGAATTTTCGTCTGGCAAACGGGGAGATGTTTGTGATATAAAGCTCCCCTATGGACGATACATACGACAACCATGAAGCTCACGACCTTTCCCATTGTCATTTAGACATCTTTAGCGTAGTCACCCTTGACTTGGCCCCAATCTCTCGTCTGCCTCGGTGTCGCTCACAGGCGCATGTCGATCCGTCCAAGGCTCAAAGACCTGAGCCCCCTTCAGGAGACCCCCAACAGTCTCCCAAATCACCACAAACGCAAAGAGAGACATAACCACCGCCATGAAGCTCGTCGTCGACAGCCCATCATCTGTCGCAGGCAATGCAATCAGAACGATGGCAACAACTAATCGCATCCCTACGCGCGGCGTCTTCGACATGATCAAGCAGTCTTCGTCATGCGTCCGATACAACATGCCGTAGATCCAGAGGCAAAACATGCCCACGCCTAGCCCTCCTCCCAAGAGCCACCTCTGTCCCGCTTCAAATTCGTCCAATCTGGTACTTATAGCGGCAATGTGGCCGCCGATGAGAAACGACGCGGAGAGCGGTAAATGAAGCAAGAAGAATGCAAAAGCCGTCCATGCAGATCGTTGAATCGGATGCGTCGCCTCCAAGCTGCCGTCACCACTGACATAGAGCCAGTTGAGGCAAAAGGCAATGATGAGCGTAAACGCAGCTTTCGCATAGCCCTTTGTGAGGCCGACGCCTGCTGGATCTCCAACAATGACGCTGTAGACGAACTCGCCTAGGATGATGATGAAGAAGGCGGCCATGCGGTCTATCTCGTGGGCAATGTCGACGGCGGTGCTGTACGTGAGCTTGAGTCTTTTCTTGAGCCCTGGGCTCAAGGTGATTGACCAGGTGACTTCTTGATAGAAGATGATGACGGCAACGACGGCGATTTTGGCCTCGATGCTGACGTCCTCGAAGAACAGCGGGATGGCAATGAAGAGGCCGATACACATGAAGAAAGCCATGATGCGAGCCTGCGTGCGATGCTGATGGCTTGCAAAAGAGCACACGAGAAAGGCGCACATGGTGGTGAAGCGAGCGACGACGTACGCCCCCGCGGTGGTCTGCATCGCAGACAGGTCCTCATCCACCAGACGCGCATTGTTGGCGTACAGGACGAGCAGTGCCATGACCCACAGGATGACGAGCCGCTGGAGGAGGTCGTCTGTGTAGTACGAGTTCATGATCTCGCGGAGGTCGACCCAGATGTGCCATGCTGGGGCGAAGATGAGGATGTACTTGGCGAGATGCTTGCCGTCTGGGTGTTCGGCGAGGTCGTCGCTGAAGTTGGCGACAATGGCGACGTCTGGTAGAGGTTTGTCAGCTGAGTTGGCGTCAACAATCATGAATGATCATGATGGAGTGATGGAGTTACATAGGAGGTCGAGGAAAAGCTCAAAACGGCCAGCCTGTCTTTCCTCGTCGCTGTGCTTCACCAATTGGCCGTTGTGAAACCATTGGAGCGCCTTGGGCCGCTTGATCATGTACCGCTCCCCGGTGGTGTTTTCCTGCAGCTCGTTGCAGTTCATGCTGAGCCTGGGCTGTCGGAAGGAGAGCTATTCTACAGAAAAGGACAACGTGTTTCAAGGGAAAAGGGTTCGGGGAAGAAGAGTGAGAGGAATGTCTGGCAGTTCATCTCGGGGCCATGCACAGATTCGGCTGCAGATGTCTGGTGCTAACTTGGACTAAGGCAAGGTAGTCAGAACTTAGTCTCCTCTCCGCAAGCATCAGCTCTTTATCTTCTCTACATAGATTAGGTTAACTTCGATACGATCTTGAATTAGTTTTCATCCAATCATTTGTTGTTTCGTGGATTGGCCGTATTGTATGAAGGGGTGGCAGGGGCGGGTACACGTCTTCAAATGCTCTCTTGCTGGGACTTCAGCCAGCTTCAAGATGCCGCAACGACAATCGCAGGCAATCAGGCATGATTTCACAAGAAAGATCAAAAACAAAGATCAAAAACAGAAGTTGAAGTAAATCTCTAGTCAAGTTCAAACAATGTGAACAGGGTACTTAGATGTATGGGCAGGGCAGTGAAACGCGTATAGATTGAGAGAGAGGACGAAGACAGGCGCCGCTTTTAAGCTGAACTTGCACCAATGACTTGAAGCCATCGTATATCTTCTTTGCGTCCACAAACTTCTTGAATCATTTTGCCAATTGATTCACCGTGCAGCTGCTGTACCATTGTAATTCTAACGGCCAATGTCTTCTATGCTGCGAGCAACTGTTTCACTTTCACGTGGGCATGTAGGTGCATGTAAGACACCTGCCAACCACGCAGTCGGCCTCCCGCAGCACAATTCTCCAACCACGCCACGCTCTCCTCATTTGTCACATTTCTTTCTTTTTTCTTCTTTTCTCCTCTCCTCTTCAACGTGCCTTGCCATCTCCAGAGCACGACCTCTGCGGCTGATTGGGATTTGGTAACAGCGTCCTCATCGGCACATTTGCATCCTCGACACCAGTTTTGCCATCAGCCGACGAACAACCCAGACATGGGAGACTTTTGGGGTCAGCTTGGCCAAGGACTGGCACGCGTTCAGGAAGAGGCTGCCAGGCACATCACGCCGGAAAACATCAACCGCGCCGCCCAGATTGTTCGAGATGGCGTCGGCCATGCTGTAGAGCAAGCTCAGCAGGTACTTCATATACGCTCTCGAATCCATCATCACTTCAATCCAAACTGACCAGACTTAGCACGTCACGCCTGAGAATATCCAGCATGGTGCTGAAATAGTTCGAAACGGTATTGGCATGGCTGTACAGCAAGCTCAGCAGGTATGTCAGTATATCACTATCGTAGCACGTCTTTCCTTCGGTTAACTGACGATACGCAGCACATCACTCCTGAAAACATCAACCGCGGCGCCCAGATTGCTGGCGACGGCATCCGATTTGCTACAGACCAGATTCGTCAAGTAACTACATACCCATCAACATTCCCCTCTTCGTTATACCTCTAGCCTGCTTACCATGTTTCATCAGCACGTCACGCCCGAAAACATCAATATCGGTGCTCAGATGGCTGGCAATGGCATCAATGCCGCAGCGCAGCAGATCCGCCAAGTAAGCTCACCAATCTCCTTCTTTTGTCCTATTATAGTCGACTAACAAGGCCCTTTCTCAGCGCGTCACTCATGAGAACATCCATCACGTAGCCGAAAAGGTGGTCCAAACGGCTGGAGAGGCAGCTCGAAGCCCAGTCGGCCAAAAGGTAAGACAAGAGCCTCAATCAATGCCCGTGCTTGGAACCCTGAGTGCTGACGTGCATGGAGGTCGCCGCCGCTGTCGAGCAAAACAAAGTGCCGCTGGCGGTGACTGGAGCCGGAATCGTCTTTGCCGCAGTCCCTGGCATCATCACGGGCCCTATTCTGGGAGTTGCCCATCTCCTCGGCTTCACCTCGAGCGGAGTCGCCGCAGGTAAGAAAACCTCTTCTGCACTTGTTTGGGTTCCACCACTCATTCTGATATCTGCTCGGCTACTGACGCCATATGACAATCCAGCTTCAGTTGCTTCAGGAGCTCAAGCAGGCATCGGAAACGTTGCCGCCGGAAGTGGCTTTGCGGTGCTGCAGAGTGCCGCAGCTGGAGGATATGGCACGGCAATCCTGACGGGTATTGTCCAGACCGTAGGAGGGGTTGCAGCCGCTGTTGGAGGCATTGCAGGTATCGTCGCCAGAGTTGTGGGCTGATTGGGGCCGTGTGACGAGGACTCGGAGAGTCATTTCCTTGATTGCATAGGTTGATCTTGATGCTATTTGGTAGAGCACATGTCAGGATCCATCACTGAAAGACTGATTGGATCTCCATGGGCGCCCACGTTGGTTTGTTGGCAGCTGAAGTACACAGCCACCATATATGTAAAACGCGAGGCCCAACGAACAACCTGCATCATCCCTCCTCATGAGGCGGCTTGTCTTATCTCAATTAGTTCTGGCAACTTTAACAGTAACGTGAAGACGAGGCCTTGCACCTGATCACTCGCCCAATACCAATACCGGACTGCATGCTCGGTTGGGCTCCGTGACTGCGCCACATGGTAGGCCGCCCGCATAGAAGCAGCCCAGTTTGCAAACAATGCATGCAGAGACCAAGGCTGAGTGAAAGTACTCGAAACTTGGAACCTCTGATCTCTGTTCAGGCACCCTCGAACATCTGCATCTCACAAATATCGGCGCCGCAATATTGACAGTGACCTCACGCTATTGCGGTGAGCTTGGATATTGTCACTTCTGATGCGATAAGGGCGCGAACATACTGGAGTGGAAATGTCATTTCTCGCCCAAATCCGAGGCGGCCTGGCAAGCGCCCAGCTCGAGGTAACCAAGCACGTCAACGCAGCCAGCATCCATCGGGTCATCGCAAACGTCCAGAACAGCGTCCAGGCGGGCACTGCAGGCATCAGCCATCTACGCGTGAGCACATCTGTTCTGTCGGTTTGAACCATCTCGACACTCTTGTGTGGAAGCTAACAGAAATCCATGCGTAGTACCTCACGACCGGATACGAAGCCCAACGGACGACAGAAGACCAGTGCAACACGGACAACGCAACCAAAGCTCGAGACAATTGCCCATATGTCGAAGTCACAATGACTGGCGCCGAACAAGGCTGTTCAAAGGCGAAGACTGCCTTTCCGAGCGCTGATACGGCCGGCGAGCAGTGCACATGCACATGCTCCTGCGACGATGGCCCCCAGAGCACCAGGGCAAACGAAGACGGTTCCAACAATGGATTCATGGATCGCGCCCGACGTGTGAGTGTCTGCGTTGCCTCTCACGCAACGATCCTGACTGACATGAATCCCAACAGCTGAAAGACGCCGCCTGGGAGAATCCCCTGATGGCTGCCGGAGCCGTCGCCGCTGGAGCTGGCGTGTTGGCTGTCGCTGCCCCGATCGTTGTCACCGCGCCCATCATGGGCATCGCTGGAGCGGCAGGCTTTACGCCAGCCGGAATAGCCGCATGTAAGGCATCTTCCTCGTACGAAATCTCATCTCTCGATCCTGACTGACGATGCATTACACAGCCTCTCTGGCATCGGCCGCTCATGCCGGCATGGGAACCGTTGGCGCCGGCAGCCTGTTCGCGACGATGCAGAGCGCCGCCATGGGGGGATACGGAGTCGCGGTGCTGACGGGCGCTGCTCAGACTGCTGGAGGCGTTGTGGCCGGGGTGGGAGGGCTGGTGACGTTTATGAGCAGCAAGCCGCAGTGCGAGCAATCCAAGGAACAGCCGTCGGATGAGCCGCCAGTGGACGAGCAATCATCGGACAAGAAGACGCCGGAGGACAAGTAGTACTAGATTCATATTTGACGATCGACTGCAAATGACTCGAGAGCCAGCGGCGGCCCGAGCCGGCAAGTGGGCAGAGGGGGCGGGGGGACAATACATTAGCTCTGGAGAAACGGAGTCAGCACTGAAGAATTGAGCAGCTTGAGCCTTACAAATGGAGCAAATCAGGCCTGGCCTGGTTGCTTTACTTTAGTGCCCTCAATTGATCAGGTTTCAATTGCCTCTCCGCAAAAGCAACCATCCCCATGGACTTGTCATCCAGCATCAACTCTGATTGGACTGGGCCGAATCCAGCACTCTGTTTTGCGCCGGCCCGCAAGCTTCAGCGGTTGGATCCCCCTGTCGGTATTCAATTTGATCTCTCTACAATGCGCTCCTTTGGGAAATGATGCCAACATGAATACTCCGACCCCCGACCAACACCCACACACAAACATACATGTGCAGAATACTGACTAATTGAGGTCTGATACTACGGAGTACAAGTCTTTATTTCCTTTGGCCAAAAGCTCTTCGTTTTGCCGGGATCCTGACAGAGTTGCAGTGAGCGAGCCGTTTCGCCGCATCACCGTCTGCGGCATCGTGTCTGCTTCTGTCGCTGTCACTGGCGCTTGAACACCAAGAAGAAGCAGAAAAAAGGCGAGCTACAGACGCAATGGACAAGCCCGCCGAAGGCGCGGCAGCCAAGAAGCCTCGCGCAGACTCCGGCGCTCCCGCCTCCGGAGCCGCAGCAGCAGCAGGCCTCGCGCCAGCCTCGCCGGACACAGCAGACCCGGCGGCGGCGGCCATCGAGGCGGACGACGACCCGGCGGACAGCGACGCCGGATACGAGTCGGACCAGGCGTCGCGCACGTCGACGTCGGTGTGCAGCAGCGTGCGCGACTACGAGTTCGAGAACAACCGGCGGTACCACCGCTTCCAGGAGGGCCGGTACCAGTTCCCCAACGACGACCTCGAGCAGGAGCGGGAGGACATGAAGCACGCCATGGTGGTGCACCTGTGCGACGGGAAGCTGCACTATGCGCCGCTGGAGAACCCGCAGCGGATATTGGACGTTGGGACGGGGACGGGCATTTGGGCGATTGACAGTGAGTTTCATGTTGTTTGGTTCATATGGATTTTGCTTGCGCTTTGATATACGTATGGCGACGAAGAGTTCATGGGGGAATTGATCGGAGTAACTGACGAATGGGGGGTTGGAATCAAACAGTGGGAGACGAATATCCCGGCGCAGAAATCACCGGCATCGACCTGAGTCCCATCCAGCCCCAGTGGGTGCCGCCAAACGTCCGCTTCATGGTGGACGATGCCGAGGCAGACTGGGTGATTCCGCCCAACTCGCTCGACTACATTCACATCCGGCACATGACCTCTTCGATACGCGACTGGCCAATGCTGCTGTCGCGCGCCTACAGGTAAGTCGTCACCAATTACATTACCTTCCCAAGCCATGGATACCACCCCCTCTCTCACGAGAGCGAACTTTGCCGAGAAGAAAAAAGACAATGTTAATGCCATTGCCCCCGTCCTGCAGAGCCCTGAAGCCAGGCGGATGGGTCGAACTCCAAGACCTCCAGTTCCAAGTAAAGTGCGACGACGGCACCGTCCGCGAGGACCACAAGCTGCAGGACTTCTTCCAGACCATGGTCCGCGCCCTCGAAAAGTTCGACGTCGACCTCCTCGCCATGCGGCACAACAAGCAAAAGGTCGCCGACGCGGGCTTCGTCGACGTCGCCGAGGTGCCCTTCAAGGTGCCCATCGGCGTGTGGCCGCGCGACGCCCGCATGAAGATGATTGGGCTGTACAACCGCAGCATGATGCTCGACGCGCTGTACGGCGTTGCCGTGAGGCCGTTTACGAGGGGTCTTGGCTGGACGCTGGAGGAGGTGGAGCTGTATCTGGTGGACGTGAGGAGGGATCTGATGGATGCGAGCCAGCATGGCTATACGCCGTTTCATGTGGTTATAGGGCGGAAGCCGGGATGAGGGGGGGCCGGGGGCGAGATGAAGGATGGGAGCTATCAAGCATTATATCTCATGTTCACGACGGCATGTTCACCACGTTGCAGTAATAAAGTACGCCTGCCTTGCATATTGTCGTTTGTAGTATTAGTAGCATGACGGATCTCGCCCACGAAATCGCAGCCAAAGACCAAGATCATCACGGACCACATCACCGCAAACGAGCCTCGACGCCGCCCTCCTTCGACGTCGACGGCCTCGCCGAGTTTCCCATCTCCCGAAGACGACAAGACGCCGTACAGGGCACGCTTGGATCTCATCTCCCTGACCAAGGAGCTGCACGACATTGCCCCTCGGGCCCAAAGAAGGCCCTCTCTCATAGCCATCAAAACTCCCCCAGAACAAAACCACAACCACACGTAAACCTCACTCAGTCACTCACTCACCATGGATCTTACAAAAATCTTCCAGCGCGTAAACACCCTCTCCCTCCACTCCATATGGTCCTTTCAAAATCGCCGACGCAATCCCCCTCCACGCCCCCATATCATACACCTCCCCTCATCCTCAAAATCCGCTCCATAAACGACAACCCCGAGACCATCAACCGAGACATCCCCTCCCACCTGCGCTCCCCGCAGTCCGCCTCATAACGCACGACTTTCTTCACCCCGCAGCCCGTCGACGTCGTCGTCGCCGCCGCCTACTTCTTCCGCATCATCTTCCACGTTGCTTCTCCGACAAGTAACTGCCTCCGCATCCTGCGCGCGCTCGTCCCCGCGCGCTGAGGAGAAGGGCGCCAAGATCATCGTCAACGACGGGGGCGCTGCCGGAGCCGGGGGGG